AATTTGTCATAAACTGCACATGCATTTGTGCCTAAATGAATAATAGCTCTAATGATTGTGGGAAAAAATCCATTTCAGTTCAAAATGTCTTCAAGACTATCTGAAACTACAGCTGAAAACAGCCAAAGGCAATATATCACAGTTTTGAAATGTATTTATTGTCTCAATCAAATTGGGATCAGGGGATTTAGTCAGAATGCTTTGTGCTTAATCTTGTGTGACTCGTGGCATTCCGGGGATTTTTTGTGATGCGTTGCAGTGTGGTTCCATTTAAGGGGAGCGTTTGGGGATGGAGGATCTGGCTTATTCATGTAAACACTCTTTTTCCATCACGGTTTGGATGCTGCTGTGGTACCCTAATTATTATCATCTGCCACCATCAGCTCACTGCTGTCAGTATTTTCCTCTCAAGTCCACCGAGTATAGGCTCATCCCTCCCTGTGATCAATTTTCCATTTGCAGAGAGGGACACAGCTATTGTTTGTAGCTTCTCTCTGAAGCCAAGAGACAAACAGGCAAGAGGTGAGAGGCTCGAGGTCTGCCAGGAGTGCAGAGAGACGCATCAAAAACTAACTACACTGCATTATAGCAACCAGCTGGCTCTGTGTGGCAGACATGGAGAGCAGTCTGTACACAAAGGACTGGAAGTTCTTAGAAAATGCCACCCCATAGCTGAATTTACACCTGAGAGATAAGACAAGTATCACTTCTAGGAAATGTTTCAAATCTGAAAAAAATCAATCAACTTTTATGGTTATGGAATTTACTACTGGTTCGAAATAGATGAGCAAGGCTGGAATGTGATTAACTTAATATTCAAGGCTTTTTTTTTTAAGTGCTGAGACCACTGCTAATCAACAGAGATAAAAAATCATTTTTCATATTAAATCTTTATTTTTAAAGCACTTTGTATGCCAAAAAAAGTGCTTTACAATAAAAATAAAATGAAAAGAAGAAAAAAATCTAACATATTAACATATATTGATAACAATGCATTAATTATTGGTTGTATTTGCAGGCCAAAAAGATACATTTGCATCAAACTGTAGCCTTTATAACTATTTTATTGCTTTCCTACTTCGCTAAAACCAACATCACAATCATCATCTTTCTCAGGCAGTCCTGTACATCAGACTATATCTCAGATAACAATGTGTCAGTCCAAGAAATAAATGACAGTGCAGACAGCTGAATCTCTGTTTTTCTATTGTAACCACGACAGGCTAGTTTGCAAGGCCATTCTGTTCAGCCCTTGACTTGTTCACCTCTGAAAGAAAATGTCTCTTGTCTAGCATCCTGTTGCGATTAGCTACTGAGAGGTCAGATGGCTAAAATAGTACCATGTAGTCAACTCCTATCAAGTCAAGATGCACCCAAGCGCAAAGCTGCTAAAAGAGAAAACAGGGGGCCCAGAAAAATACCTTCTTAAAAATATTTGTATGGAAGTTTCCTTGTTTAATAGCCACAATCCGTTAAATTGGGCAATGTTGCGTAAAAACTCCTGCAGAACAATGTATGAGATGAGCTCATGCACATAAATTTGCTCATCCTCAATCACAGTCACTTTGTTGTTTGGGATATCAGATAGTTTTACACATTATATTTATGAACACTGTCAGCACTGTTCTTTTTTGTACTCAAATGCAGCCAGATAGAATCTGACAGAAGGGATCTCCAACAAATAAAGGCTCGGTTTTGGGTAATGCAGCCCGTAAATCTCGGGTTTCTTAATGCCACGAAGTGCAGTAACACTGGAAGCATCAAAGGTTTTATCAGATTTACAGTTCCACCCAGATGGCAGGTTAAGGTTTAGGCAGATATCCGATCCCTGTTTCTTTGATGAGCGTCAGGTTTCATCCCTCCTCTGCAGTACCAGCAAGGCTTTGAAAATGTTTTGGTTTCTCAGGTCCATCCACTGAGGATAAAAACATTGTGAACACACTCCCGTGAGACGGAACATTGACGGCCTTATGGCAAACAGCAGCGTTTCAGTCCTGTGCCTCTAATGATTTGATAAAACTGCACAATCTTTCACTTAACTGTGGCTGATTAGGTTTCTTTTTTTTCTCTGAAATCCCATTTTATTTGTTCAGGGTAGCAAGATTTGTTTAGTTTCTTCTTTGGTGTCAGTATAGAAACTAAAATCCTGCTTCCATTGCTTCAGTGCAAACTGAACATACAGAAGCTCCATAACATTTCAAATAAGATAAAAACAGTTAGACTTAAATAAATGTTTCACCCTTGACACTGTGCAGTTCTGTAAAACATGCATATATTCAAAACTGGAGGAAAGTTGTTGTTTTTTAGCACTCACCCAGTGCTTCAAAATACTTCTGTGTACAAATATTTTTAACATTTTCACCAGTTTCCTGGCAAGTTTCAGACTCTGCTATTTCTGTGGACTGAGTGTGTTTTAAGAGTCTTTTCGTGTAAACTCAGACTGACTCAGTGTCGTGCAGATCGGGGCCCCCAGGAGTTTAAGTCATTCCTTTTCCTTTCAATGTTCCTTCACAGTCTGAAACGGCCATGTCCAAAAATACATCTAAAACTTGACCCAATTGGCCTGGTATATTACCACCAACCTTTAAGATCTGCGAGTACTGAACTGCTTACAATTCCCAGGTCAGTGGAGTAACATGGAGAGGTATGACTTCCATTGGGAGTCCCCATATACATCTGAAAGACTAAATATAAGTAAGTCCTTTTAGTTTCCTTATTACAACGTCCACAAAACAGAAAAATCTTTGATAATATCTAGTATATGTTACAAAAATGTTACATAGTATACTGGGAAAGGCCCTGTGATGTACTGTGGACCTGTGCAGGGTGGATGTTTGTCACCTTGCACTAACTTGCAAAGCCATATGTACAGTTGTTTAATATATATATATAGGGCATAATTTTTAATAATAATATTTGTTACTTAAATAATTCATTTTTTTGCATTTAGTTGCAGACTAAGAGAAAAAATAAACGCGGGAAATTGCTAAATCTAATCACGACTAATAAGGGAAAATAATATTCATAGTACTATTGGCATAGAGGACCAATTTTAAAAAAAAGTTAAATCAATCAGTGTTTAAAGTCAGTGCAAGAATTCTCTGAATATGGTGGATGACTGCATGTTGCATGAGTAAAATTCAAATCTACTCAGACTGTAGAATTACAACTTAGATATAACAACTAAAAACAAACGTTGCTATGTTTAAAGCTTTTCTGAATCATCTGTGGTGATCTATCGCCTGGTTTTCATCTTGCATCTCAGCAGGACGCGGTGTGAGGGGGGAGCAGGTGCTTTATTAAGAGCATCAGACCTTTGGGGAAAGTCTCCTCAGAAACATACGCGAGCATTTTCTGACACCATCATTTGAGAAAATCAGTGGTGGAAAAAAACCTAATCAATTTACCCGGCGAGTCAAAACGTGCAAAAAGCTGGTAGGGTTTGGCTAAAAGGTTTCGAAACAGGCAGCCTCACCGAGTCAGTGAGCGTGAGGAACAGCTGTTTTCGTCTCTGTGGTCAGCATATTTATCTGCGGGTGGAGCTGTTTTGTGGATGAATTGTTCTGTCTCCTGTTAAGAGGTAACTCGGTGTGTGTCTTGTAGTGATTAACAGCGTACGGTGCAATCCTTCATCTTGCTGAGGTCAAACTGTGAAATGAGTGCATGTCAGTGGTGGGGGGGGGGGACCCGCATCATGTGTGCAGTCCAACTTTGCCATGAAAAAGAAATTAAAATCACGACATGATCAAATGCATTTCGGCACTTGTGAAATCCATTTTTACTGTTATTTGATTTAACATTTCGAATGGCTGGACCAACTCAGCACCTCCAAGAGGCTGCAGAGAGTACAGAAGTGACGATCCGCAGAAAGGCCGAATTCCAGAGAGGCAAAGCACACATTTTGGATGGAAACTTAAATATTGATCACCACAGACAAGTGCAAGCCTAAAAACGGCAACTGTTTAGGATCTAAGAAGCAGTGTGTTTGTGTATTCTACCTAGTTTGACTTAAGTCCTATTTTAAAAACATGTAAAAAGCCAAAATTTGTGTTTTGACTTATCTTTACAATATACCCAAATTTTAATGCTGTAAGTCATTTTTATCAGAATGTTTTCCCAAAATGTATACTTTTTAAAAACACTTTTTCTTTAACTTTTACTCTTTCATAAGTTTCCCTCTTTGCTAAAACACAGATAAGCCAACTTTGAAAAAACAAGCATGCCAGACAAATCCTGACATTTTAACTAACAATTATTTCCCCCAAAGCCAAATCAGATCATAACATTTAAATGTCGTTGCACAGAAGTATTGAAAGTGAGCTGATGTCTGAAGTCATAAAGATTGCTCTTGTTATCACTGACTGTAACAAATTAGCTGCTATTAGCAGTTAAATGTGCACATTTGAAAGATTGTTGGAAATTTCAATTTCAACTAATTTCAACAATTATACAGTCTTAATATGATAACATTGATTATCCCAACTAATCACTAAATGGTGAATTTATTGAAAAACCTACAGAGAACAATCAGACAAAGAATAACCCTCTTGACCATAAATATGTAGAACATAAACGTTTTTTTTAAGGGAAAACAGACCTTTGACCACAAAGATAAACAGCATATGAGAAAAAATGTATAAACCATTTGAGAGATTGTATTATATGCAATGTAGCTTTTTCTAAACTTGTTTCTTCCAAGCTGTGTAATAATTTCTATACGGTATTTTGACATCACATTGTGGCAGTAATGTGTTGCTTCAGTGGGATTATCACATTTATCTCTGTCTGCAGTCAACTGTCTACATTGTGCCGTGATTCTCTTTTTCATCCCCATAGTCTTGTGGAAATGTCCTTGGCTGATGTTTATGTTCTTAGACAGCCCCCACACACATCATTAAATAAAGTCTATTTTCTGTAAAAACATGCTCTGGATAGGGGCAAAGAGCTATTGAGTTGTCCAACTGTCCTGACACAAGTCATTGTTGATTTCACTGTTGTAGGGGAAAGACTCTAGGGGTGCAGATAAGACTGTTGCCATGGTCCTGAAGGAGATACCAAGTAAGGCGTCATCAGAAGGGAAGCCCCTCCTCACAGTGACTACCAAGGTGGGCTGATCCATTCCAGAAGCTCCCCCCATGCCCTCAACCCCCACCCCCCATCTTAAAGTGGAACTTCTTGAAACTGGCAAAGCTTTGAGTGTCCAACAACTGACTTTCACAGTGTACTAACTTATTACTTGAGTTTTTTGGATGCTGTTTCTAACAAAATGTTTATTATTATTTAATTCCCAGCTGCTCTATGGGGTATAAAACAAATAAATGATTAACAAAACCAGTCTAAATTTCTTGTAATAATTCATATTATCTTTCTTTTTTTATAAAAAATAATCCTTTGGAAGATTTATTGTTCCCTTCTTTAAGATATATACATACATATATAGATATATATGCAAGTATATGAAAAAATATATGATTAGCACTTTATGAAGGGGTGGGGTCATCCCAAATGTCTTCCTATTCCTAATCAGTGGTGTGCAAATTGTCCATGAACCTTTTACACCTCATAAGCAGCAGAACAAAGAGCATTTCCAAAATGCTATAAAGCTCAGCATGACATTGAACTCCTGTCTGCACTCTCTTTGCATTAAATTCTTCAGCAAATTACTGTCGCCATTGCTGAACTTTTCACTCCTCCTTTGCTGTGTAAGTGTCAGAGTGGGATGGAGACACCATCTAGACACAAATATGAACTCTGCTGCTCTGCGCTTGATTGCTTCTGTGCAGTGTGTGTGCACTGCTGTGTGTGTGCGCGCCCTCTTGTATATCATTCTGTGTTTTAATAACCTGTGCCATGCTTGATACTTGCTCTATTTTCTATACGCTGACTGCTCTGACAAGCTGTCATGCAAGCAAGACATCGCTTCCACTCAAATGGAGGGGAAGTAATGAAAGTGTTTTTTTTTCTGTAGATTGTTGAGATTTGCACCAATATGAGTTTACGATCTAACATTTGATTAGTTTTAGCTTATCTCAAGCTTAGCTGTTCAGTAAACTTAAGGCTAAAGCATTTTCTTCTTAATTAAAAAGACAATCAATCAAAGTTCTACAAACTTTAAATTAAACTGTAAAAGCCTGTGTTAATATGTATATACATATATGCATGTGTGTGTATGTGTGTATGTGTGTGTGTGTGTGTGTCTGTAGTAGGACATGAAATAAGACCACGGCCTATCCGGTACTTTTTCCAGGTAAAACTGTACCTGGTTCCCAGAATTGCAAGTAAAAAGCTTCTCAAGTGTGAAGTCAAGTACTCGTGTTAATCCCCATTTCCATGAGCAACAGCTAAACAATGGAAAACTCTATCAAATAAACTGGCAAAATTTTACACAGAAAGAGAAAATATTATTTTTAAAGTATGCACACTTGATAAAAAGAATAAGACTGGATTAAAAAAATAGCTCAGGGAATGAAGATTTCTTTTAAAATAAAAAGTACTTTGTAAAACTGCGCAGAAAGCTCATAACCAACTTTTACTAATGGAAATCAGTATATATTTCAACTCGGCTATTTTTGTTTTTTATTTTCTTTCCAACTTCGCAGCCAGAGGACAAATGATACCTCATTATGATGAGTCATAAAAAACAAAACGATCTGAACTCCAGTATTCAGGCCTGTGGGACTACATGGAACAGATCATTACCACCCACAGCAACAGCTTTAAAAACAGCCATAAGTAAACAACCTGATGCATTTTAGTATGATTTTTAAGCACGATCAGTCCCGTTTTTCAATTTTAAAAAAAGTAAAACATGTGAGAAAAAAATCCCTTCTCACATTATTCTCTACATGTGAATATGATAACTCATACTCGGCCGTTGTTACTTTTCTGACAGGCATCCATTTAGCCTCCAGGTTTTATCTAACAATAGCTTTGATTTTATCATCCAACTTTGCCTTTAATAGTGTTTCCATCCTCACCACTTCTTCACACCTTCACCTCAGCCACCCCTTCACCAAGGCTCCAGCACGCATAACTGGTACACAGCTCCCTTGACAACAACATCTGAGAGATCTCTTGGACTCAAGCCCGAGCGGCACAATTAGCTGTAGTTTTCCATTACATAATTTTTAAATTGCTTCATGAAGCACTTTTAAATGAAAATGGTCCAGAATGGAAAAGCAGAGGGGAAAAAAAGAAACAGAAACAAGAATGGAGCAGAGGATTAGGAAATCAGCAAAAAAATAAAAATAAATAACCTTCTATGTATAGGGAAGACGAATGGGCAAAAAGCCAAAGAAGCTCCTGACATGGGTGAAAAAGTCAACCTATAATTAGGTCTTGCATTGCTGCAGACACTTCTTCACAGATACCCACGATTGATCTTCTGTCCCTATTTTCCAGATGACTCGAAAAGGAAAATAAAAAGAGTATTGTCCTTGTTGCTATTTTTGATGGAAATGTTTGGAGGAAAAACTAGAACCCTGGGTAAAACCTGAGAAAATCTGAAAATCATTATGCCCTGAGTATTAGCGTGGTCATGAGTCACACTGAGGCAGGTGAGCAAAGTACTTTCATGACTTTTTCACTCACAGAACTTGCTGGCAAGCTGTGTCGTTTGTGACATTAAGATTAAGCCGGCTATCTTCCCAGGGTTATCTAATTCTGCCGCTGAGCTCGCTGGCAACTCAGCTTAGATCTGCAAATGAAACACGAGCACTAATGAAAACGAAAATACAAGCCAGACTCACAGTCGTTTGTCTTTATTGCAAAGCAATAGACTTCTAAGTATCTCAAAGTCCACAGACATTTTGGCAGCTTTATGTTCAATGCTTGTGTTGTTTTGTGTTTCGTTCTGTCCTTGTAAATATTCCAACACAGTATTAATACACTGATATTAGTTTATCGCCGTCAAACCTGGTGGAAAATTAGGCTTTTAATGGAGATCAGAGATTTTAATTGGTTTGCAGTTAACCCTTTAAAGCCTGAAACCATAAAAAATAGAGAACTTGTTTTTAGTCTGAAGTCTTTATTAGCCCTTTTAAAATATGAAATTGATACAGAATATTATTACAGAAATGAATAAACAGTGAAAATTCACTGAGCTAAATTTATCTTTAGGCTGGTGTTTTAACTTGCTTTTCTAAATATACTGTTTCCTTCATTTATTCCATGGTTTATTTTTAGAAAAAGACAACTTATTGGAAAATATGACTCAATGGGGCTTTTAGTTTTATGCCATCAACTCTTTATCCTGTAAAAGCTTTAAGCCAATTTAAATGGAATAAACAACTCTCAAATCTTATGATATGTTCTTCTGTCAATCCATCGAAAATTGATGAAGCAGAGTGGATAAATGAGGATAATCTACTGTAAATAAGGGGATTTAGTATTGACAGTTCTTCATAGATGTGTTCAATATGCTTGAATAAAGCAAGTTTATCTCATCAATACAGACCTTTGAGAAACAAATATTGGCAAAATACACAAACATCTGATGTTCCAGAACATTTGACTCTGAAAGACAAAAATAGAAATGAGACTAATTTGATTAATTGATTATCAAGACAGTGAGTAGGAGTCATTGTGAGAGCTTTATTTTCCATGAGAAAACATTTTAAACAAAAAAAGGAGACGCTGTAGCTCAATTATACAGAACATTGAGCAATAAGGGAAAGCATTATATTCCCTCTGGATGTGTTTGTTTTCCCTGCATGGGTTTCTTTTCCTTTCAGTAACTGGACTGAAAATGTATTAACCACGTCCATGTTTAAGTTGGCATTTTAATTAGACAGTGTTTAGTTGACTGAGTAAAAGTTATCCAATTAAAACAGCGGCTATTTGAAGTGAGTCATTTCCTCCATTGAGGGCTATGACTCAGTGGTCATTATTCACAAAGTTCTGAAGATTAAATGAGGTTTGAACTTCTTTCACATGAGAAACAGCTGTAAATAATAAAAATCTGTTCTGCTGCAGGTTGTTTCCTGTTAAAAGGGTTTTTTTTTTAGCCTCATGCACGCCTAGGATAGCAGATAGGAACAAAGGGAATTAGGTGGAATCGATTAGTTTTCCTTAGCTTGCAAACGTTTTCTTATTTAACTAGGTTTGCAATTGTCTTGAATTTGATGGCATCTGTGAAAAGTCTACAGATTACATTTGTGGTGCTATAAAAATAGAAATGATTAAACAGATATGTACTAAATTTGTGGCTGTAGTTAAGAATATGAAAAAATACACCTTCTGAGAGATACTCTCTGTGAGAAAGATCTTTAAATTGACACCAGAAGAGGACAAAGCCTTGTGAACATGTGCTGGTTCAGCATTCGAGCACAATTAGACTTCCTCTGTGTTCCATTCATTCCTGTTTGCTGCTAAAGCTAGATATTCACTTCAGCCTAGAGTTTTTCCAATAAACCAAATCCCATGATATCACTAACACACGCACACATATGGTCGTACCAATACGTGTCATAAAAAGGCCATTCAGCACTTTTTCGAACATACAGCAGGTTGCATGCAGCAACCTGCTGTGTTATAATTAAACGTCTGAGCGTTCATTAAAATTCTGCTTGTGGGGCTAGCCTGAAGAGCATTATTGGTAAATGTCATGTTTCCATTCAATCAGTTTTATACACACATTCTAGGCTGGCAGCGCTACTAATGCCTTGCCCATTTTAATAGGACAAAACTGGTTTTCACCTCCAAATTATGAAGCATTGGCTGACAAATTGTTACCAGCTGCACCTGGAGTACATCGAGGCTCCAGAGTGTCAATAATGAACTGGATGTGACCTATTCTGCAGATGCACTGGCAGGCCTCCAAATTGGTGCATCACTAGCAAAATAATTACCATTTTCATGGTTTGGAAGGTGAGCGAAGCAGTAGATAATAATTGTGAGGCTATAATTATTGTGTCTTTTTTTTCACTGGGTATTTCCAGGTTAAATCGCTGGTCTTCTCTAACTCTGTGACTGGTATATTTTTTCATAAGCATAAGCAGAAAGTTTGTTTCATTTGTGATGCAAACAAAATGAAGGGTTTTCATTTCAAAATAGGGATTTCAATCCCTGCAATCAGGCAGAAAGCACCAGCTTCACCACCTTAAACGTCACTCAGACAAGTCTATGCGTAAAAAGTGGTCACTATGACTCATAATAAACAGTGTAAGGCTGCATATGATTATCAAATGCTGAAATATTTTTATTTGACTCATTTTCAATCAAGTGTGAACAGGCAAAACTTTCTCTACTTCCTTATGTAATGAGGTCAGTTGAAAAAAATCATATCTATAAATATATAAAGATAAATGCCTGAAAAAACAATATGCTTCTTGTCAGTTCTGGGGGGAAATGCTGTGAAGTGAATCCTAAGCAAAAACAGAATTTCAAGTTAACAAAGCTGTGGGGTATCGGTGGAGGATTTGATGGGAGAGAGATGCCAAGTGAAAGCCTGAACTGTCTCATCCATTTGTCGTTACAGCTGGTGAGCGAGCAACAAGAAAGCCGGCCGCTTCTCAGCCCCTCAATCGACGACTTCCTCTGCGAAACCAAGTGTGATGGGGTTTCCCGCCCAGTGACATCCAACACAGCCGGTATAGCTCTTGTATCTCAATCTAAAACATTCAGTAGCACATACTATGATGATGAAATACATGTTAAAAAAACTAAGAAAGCCATCTTAACTGCTCATCGAATCTGTTTTTTTATATATACAACAAATACTTGATAAGTTGGTTGGATTAAGGCCGGGGTTTCTGTTAATTCTTTGATATTGGGCAGAAATTTACGATTGTGACTCAAATTTGAAATATCATACATGAGAAACTATTGAATATTGTGGATGTCACAATTTCATCAACACCTACCCCAAGTCATTGTATTGACAAGGTGGCTAAACCCAAAGCAGCATCACATGATGTAAATCTAAGTCCCAAATTATTTAGTTAAAAATGTATTCACTACACATTACTTACAACCTTTGAAGCGAGCGAGCTGAACTGAACAACTGACTCTGAAGGATGCCAAATGCCATTTCAGTTTCCACATGGATGGAACGTTAATCAATGAGCTGTAGCATCCTCTAAATGATCATTTGTAGAACCAGACTGCACAGCTGACACGTGTCAGCTCCACACTGGCCACGGACTGTGTTGATTCAGCAGAGAAAAATATGGACAAATTCAAGGACAAATTCCATAAGCAGAAAAAATTTAAGACAATTATGAGTCTTCCCAGGGAGTGCTCCAGGCCCAGACTGGACCACGCAATGCTCAGAGAAACTCCGAATAATTCAATGATGTGTCCCAACAATGAATGTTTCATACGATTAGTTCGGCTTGTTTTTTTACAGACAGCTTTGCAGTCATTTACTGGGCTCCTCTGTGTGCCAAATTATCATATAAAAAGAAATGTGATAGGTCCATGGTGTTTTCCTCAACCTTTCAAGGAGACAAAGAATGATGAAACAATCCTGGTATCACTGCTTTTTCACAAGCAGCTTTTCTTTACAGCATGAGCTCAATTAGTCATGTGCCTGTTATCTTTTAGCTTGAGATAAGCTTACAATTAAATGTATATGTATATTTTATATAAAAATATCACATATTAGAAATATTTTATTTATAGTGTTATTTATTCTTTTTATAATATTGACAAATGTCTTAAGCAAATCTTCAACGCTAAAAAAAAATAAACACCTAATAGGAGTAAGTGGTTTGGATTGATGTTATACCATATTTATAGAGCAAGCAATTTCTTTTTTGTCTTTAACAATCTTTAAAAGTCTCCCAGATTTGATTAAAATGACACCAGTACTCGACAGGAATTAGACTGAATGGGACCTCATCCAATGTTTTGACACAGTATAAGAAGTAGACATACTCACTTAAGCATACTGTCCTCAGACACAAAAGCCATTAAAAAAATAAAAAGTTATCTCAGGGATTTCTTCACATTTTCACACTAAACAGGAAACTGCATTAAAAGTTTGAAAGCTCAGTCCAGCACATCCGAAAATGTAAAGCTAATAATAATTCAACCCACATTCACAAATGAACCGACAATGATAGAAATGTGATTTATTGTCACACACAGCTGAGTAAAGAGCAGAATTACGAAAAATCTAATTCACACAAACATCTAATAATCAATGTGAACAATAACTGATTTGATAAAAAATGTGAGTAAATTGTTTGTGTGACCTTTTTAAGTTCAATAATTCAGTAATTCATGTCATGTACTGTTAATTGGAAATATTCTTATTTATACAGCAGTAATAACCAGATCAATTGGATTTACTGAATTAAACTGGCACCAGATATTTAAAGAACAATGGAACTCCTCCAACCAGTTAACCTGGAACACCAGATGGAGTCATGAAGTCATCTGTTCATCAGCTATTTTTAAAAAATATGGGAAGGTGATTTAAAAGTAATTAGGTTTCCATTAGCGGGTAAAAACCTGGAAAAACCTGCCAGCAAAGAGAGCCGATGGATCAGAACTGTACCTCTGTTGTATGGATCTCTTACAAGATTAAAAAAGGTGGGGGGGGGGGGGGGGGGGGGGGGGGGGATAGTTTGAATGAAGAACTGGTGAAACAAAGAGCACAGATCCAGAAAAAACTGAGGGAAGTGAAAGTGGCAGAAACACTGACACAGGAAACTGAGGGCAGCCAAAATAAAAACACAGGAATATTTGAGCATAAAACTACGAAGAAAACTAGAAACTCAATCCAAAAATGAAAAGACCAATACAGCGGAACCACAGACGAAGACTGAAGATAATATAATCAAAGAACAACCAAGAAAATAATCTAAACAACAGGACAAAACTCACTTAACCGAAAAATACTGGAGATAACAAGAAAACAGAATACAGAAAGAAAGCTATAAACCAAGAACATGAACACAAAAACACATAGAATTATTAAAATAATGCAGAACAAGAAACTAAAGCAAACAACAAAGTCCAAAAACCTTCTTCACAGATTAGTTTAGTCACTCAAAAACAAAAAAGTTTGTTTTTATTTGGTATTTTGACCTTTTTCCCTTTGAGTTTTCTGTAACATTGGTTGAAAACCTGGTCAACACTCCAGTTTTTTTGTGTTAGAAGTCGTGTTTTTCTCTTCATTTGTGCCACTAGAAGTGTGTAGAAATGTGTATCATCAGCATCAACGAAAAGGAGCAATGCCAATCAGTCGTCTCTCAACAGTTCTGTCTTCAACACTGGACCTGCTAGACCTCAGTGAACCCGGAGAAAGGAGGAACAGCAAAGACAGAAAGTGTGCCCCATTATCCCGGGGTAACAGCCAGAAAAACAACGCACACAAGAAAAAGACAGATGAGACCGAACTCATCCAGGTGGAGGTCGAGCAGACGGGCCCAAGCATGAGGACGCAAGAGAGGGCATCCGTGGACTCAGGTACACTTTTTATGCAATTTATCTGTAAGATAACTGTTGTTGTGATGTGGCACTATATAAATAAATGGAAATATTAATCAAGGAAGTGGACATTTTTTCAATAATTTGATTGCGGAAGGCAAAAAACAGTTCTGACATGATTATTACTATGAAGAAATCGACCTGATCAATTTTTTGATGGTCACTTTTCCCTAAGCAGTAATTTTCTCAAAAGGCCCGACCACAGCCCTCGTACAAACTCTCCTTAACTATAACTCTAATCATCCTCTGTGGAATTGACCCTGCACACGCTCAAAATAGGCCACAGAGGGATCAAACCAATTTACTGACTGTGATCATCTTGAAAGACATTTTGAAAAAAAAAATGGCCAATTACTTTTGTATTTCCCCCCTGGAAAGGTGGAAGGGGCATGTAGTGGTGCAGAGTGAGTCAAGCTTCACGGCAGGGAGATTGATTGTCCAGTTCTGCTGATGTTTAGCAAAGCTTGTGGAAAGCATGGTCTACCGTCTTCTATTACTTTGAGGAAGTTCATATTTCAGCCTTCAAATGAGTCTGCCTATGCTTTTGTGATATTTCATCCAGATCATTTGTTTCTTCTCACCAGTTACCATTGGTTCATTGGAAAAATGGGAAGAACTCAGTCCCAACCCGGAAAGAAACGGCAACAGAAAATGGAAGTTAGAAAGACGCCGCTCTTCAAAGAATTCATCCAATGAGCTTTTGTGGTAGGTGCAGATCTTTGTATTATTCTGACCAGAAATCACTGTGAAAGCAAAGTCCAATTTTAATATCAGTCCTAGTATGATTGATATATCTGGGGGAGAATGAACACCCTGTTTTTAAAAGCCTATTTGTCAATTTTTGCTATATATTAAGTGTTTTACTTTAAAGGTCACTTAGATTATCTTAAATGGATTTACATCTGCAATAATTTTGGCAATGTTATATAGGCATTAATAGGGTTTATGCTTGTACAGTTTATTGTTGTATACTTTTTAAAATAATCATTATTAGAATTTAGAGATTTTCTTTATAAAATAGGTATCATACAATTACAAAAGTATACAACCATAAGCTATAAAAGCATAAACACTATTAAAAAAAAATCCCTTATGCATATATAAGGTTGCCAAAATAAATAAGCAGAGGTAAATCCATTTAAGATAAGGACATATTAGTGTGTGTTACATGCTAAATGCTTATGTGGCTAAAAAAAATGGACACCAAACACAATCTTCATGCCATTTCTTTCAGGTCTATGGACTGCAAATCAAAGTCAGAGTCGTCAAATAAGAACGCACTGGAAGCAAATACCAAAGTTGAGCCGGAGTCCGCCCTCGTAACGCAAGTAAGTTCTCAGTACCGGTCCATGAGCAACATTACTGGATGCTCTCTTTCTGCATCAGACATGTTTGCTTAAACATACTGATTGACAATGTATTATATTAACGCCATGAAATGATGTGTTTGAATTTAACAAATGCATGATGACAAAGACTTAATATTAAAGTGTGTATCTAATAAGTCACCCTGTTGTGTCATTGTTAACCCATCATATTGTCCTAACACCTTTAATTCTTCCATTTCAGCTCAACAGACAGTATATTAGTGGAAGACATGTAAGCCTCCCTATGTATCCTTACATATAACGATGAAAGACTTATACATTTGCACCAGTACAACAGCATCACAGCCTCCTGCAAATTTCAACATTAAAAAAAGGCCAAAATCATGTGATTCTTCCGAAACCAAAAGGTGCCTGTAGAAGAAATCCTTGAGATTGTTCCTTTGTGGTGCTCTGAGGTTCAAATGTCAAGCGCTTTCCTCCCTTGTTAATGTCTCTGTGTAGGTCCACGAAGGTGTCTTGTTTCCAGACACCATTATTAGATTAATAGTCCATGAATTATTCAACCCTCTTACTCTGAGCCCATTAGTGTTGATCTCGCCAAGCTAGCTAAGCATACATCACTTTTTCAGCATTCTCATAAATAATAGATTTTGGATAAAAGATTGTGGTTGGAAGAGATGAAGGGAAATTATTGGCAAACAAGCACTAAATTAGTCTCAGCCTGGATTTAAAAAATAACTCACCAACAGAGATACTGTAAAGAGTGGTTCAGGTTTCCTGCGGGCGTGAGCCACACACAAACACAAACAAAAAGTGCATGCAAAGGGGACATGTCTTGCATGAAATGGTCACAGTCTGAACTAACAACAATGAGTGCCTAAAACAACTGAGCTTCAAGGAAAAATCCACCCTGTGTTATATGTCATAAGCTTCAAATGCAGGAGAAAATTGATCAAAAAGTTCATGAATAATTCCAAGTTCATGGCATCAACATTAAAACACGACATTCAAAACTTTGAACTTTTATAAATAATTTATATATATTTTTTTTTACGTGCTAGATTGATTTTTGATCATGTCAATCAGGAACTCAGGAACTATCAGGGTTGTGTTGTGCCAATTAGTCCTTCAGAGCTTTGTGATGCATAGACTATATTTCACATAGAGAGAGATTAGTTGAAATGTAAAGAATGGAATTTCGAAATAAGCCATAGTTACAACTGAAAAGAAGAACTATAGCCTGAAAATTAACTCTTTACTTTTACCTGTGTGTTGTTAAACCACTTGATCGTTAACTTTAAACTAGAAACCAACATGGACAGTTTTGCATTCGTTATCGGGTGGATTTTTCCTTTCCACAAACCAACTGTATTGTTCTGCAATTTCTCCACACGACACACAAGAGCATTGAAAATATGGCAACATTTTATTTGTACACGGCATGCATTTTTTTCCTTTGAATGATATTGTGCTTATCTACTATAAATGAATGAGAGCTATACATTTATATTCTTATTAATATTTGGAAATTGATCATGATTTTTGATGATGGTAGTCGGTACAGATGGGGGGTTTTACAGATAATGGCCAGTCTGACTGTCAAGCAGTGAAAACGATAGAGCAGTCTCTGTCTCTGTAATGGATTTGCTCGCCATGGGATGCATATAGCCAACGTTATTTACGGTAAATCTGGTGCCATGCCACATCTGAGCAGGAAAGAGTATCTGAAAATCATTCCCTTCCGCAGTTGGGATATGGAATCATGGAAATTACTCGGGCCGACGCTCCGAAACCACACGAACGCAGTAGGTCAGTTTCCAGTTCCACAGCGGGGCAAAGCTTCATCTCCATGATTGTTACGGAGGATGTTCTGACACCGCATGTGCAGGTGCCCCAGAGTGGGCCAGGCTCGGGTGGAGGGTGAAATTGAGAGTAGTGAGATAGGTAGCATGTTGTCCAAATGAGGAGTGGAGCTGGGAGGGTGAGGGTGAGGGGTGGAGGCGGGGGGGTGGCTGCTGACAGATGTGATTCTGCTGGCCTTCCTAAGCACGTCAGAGGCTTTGTCGAGGCAGGGATATTTACTCGTCCCTGAGACAGCACACTCTCCCTTCCCCGCCTCTTCCTCTGGCTGTGTGTGCGTGTGTGCGACGTTTCTATGCAAATGCGTGGACGTTTGTATGTGCCGATGATGTCATGGTTTTTGGTTCGGCGTAAATATTTACATGTTGAAATGCTTGTGTGTGTGTGTGACAGGCTCGCCTAACCAAGGAGAATCGCTGGGGGAGCTCCCTGCTGTCCAGACATCAGTCCCTGGAGGAGGAGTTTGAGCGAGCCAAGGCTGCTGTCGAGGTAAGCCAGGGCCAGCTCGGTACCACACCTAACATCTGTAACCTGTCACAAGACAACCGTCTTTACCACTGGATTTTAAATAAGCTTGAAAGGAAAGGCCAAGTCAGTTTTCCCCTTCTTGTGGCTGAAATTTGAACACTGAATCTTCATAAGATAATCTACATTGTCCCTGTTAGTCGCTATATCCCTTGATCGGTTCAATCCAAATAAGCGATTTCCTGTTTGAACTTTGGAAAGATGCCATAAACTCATATTTGACATGAGCTCATGTTATTTATGTGTTTCTGTTACTATGTGTGAATTACTATGTGTTGTATTACACACTAGTGAACACTTTGGCAAAAGTGTTTTGTTTATGTACTCACACTATAGAAAATATAGTATTATGTCAGATAATCATGCCAAATATGCTTAACGTTTTTAAAGACCTTTGTTGTGCTCTCTCTTTGTCTACCTAAAGGGGTTAAATAGGGTAGACTACAAAATACTGAACAGGAAAGAATGTTTTTCTAAATACAGATCTGATAGACAGGACAGGTGATTGAAAAACTATCCAGGAACAGGTACTATAGGAACTATCCAGTAATTACAGATATATAGATCAGACACAACCCAGAAAGGATGGAGTGAACTAGAAGTGGTGAAACTCTATTCTCACCAGCTCAAATTTGGACGGTGTTACATTGCAATTGAATTATGGGCTTTTGCTAAAGTATTCTTCTTGACATTTTCATTCTCTCCTGAAGAACAAATGGCCAGAGAAGCCATCTGGAGGAGGCTTAAAGTGTAATGAGACACATATGATTATGGTCAAATTTTTATCACAGAAGATTTTGGATGAGTCAACCTCCAACCTCATTGTTAGGAATGGTGGAGGTGATAATGTACTGTGGAACTTTTTCTCTGCAAGTGGAAATTGTAGATTTGGACAGTGGATGGAACAATATGGAAGTCGGACAACTGAAAACAATATCATTGTAACATCAAAACCTCCCAGTTGTTGACAAATCGGTATCAAAGAAAAACAACCCACAGAAAAAGCTGGCACTTGAAAAATAAAAAAAGAAAAAGCCTGAAAAATAACTTTTGAAAGCTTTCTGCCATGGCAAAAAAGTCTATCAGGTCTGTTTAAACTATCGGGTCTGTCAGGTCTGTTTAAACTTATTATATTGGTGTAAATGTTAACACTGTCACCTCAAAGCAAGACGGCATGTTCTCCCAATAAACGGGTTCTCTTGCCTCCTTCAGCTGTCCAAAAGTGTGCATGTTTCGTTTAGAAGGGATTCTAAATGAAGTCCAGGACTACGTTAATTGGAGTATACATGGCTTTTTGTCTTTGTTTGACCATGCGATTGGATGGCGACGTGTCCCTGGTGTGCCCCACCTCTCACTCAGTGACAGCTAGGATAGGCTCTGGTCCCCATACAACCCTGGAACTTGATTAAGTGGCTGCAGAAAGTGGATGGATGGATGTTATTCTGTCAAAAAAATATCAAGAACATTCCATGAAGAAACCAGTTCGCAAATTTAAAGCCATAGTAGCACAAACATTTCTTCAGCGTTCATATAATCTCAAAACTCCTCTTACAATTTATGTAATGGATCCATAATCTGCCTGAAGTCCTATAAGATATATTTCCATTGGACTCCATCAGTCGTCCTCATCTCCGCCAAATGGTGGCTTTTGTTCAACCTACCGTGCACTCATCCCTGAGGTGCAAGCTGACACTTTAATCAGATATGTGTGCTAATTCCACGCATTCAAGTTCATGAGATGGTTGACCCAGAATGATATTCACAACTGTGCGCTGCCTAACAATAGTAAGGTAAATAGGTCAGTCATTTTAGCAGCCAGACATATCATATATCACAGGAGGCGGCAGAGTTATAGTAATAAGATATTATTTCTATCATCTGCGTCCTGATGCACTAAATATGTGGTGTCATATGAGCTGATATTCTCCTATAAACCAGGTGCACTATATCATTTTCCAGAGGGAAAAAAAGGTAAATAACCTGAAAACGTAATCACAGATGAATAAAGAACTTTTGTTCCTTTTGTGCTGAAAAGCGCTTTCATTTCACTCTTCAGAGTCATTGTTCTTTTTGGATCCAATGATATGATGGACAGAAAGAAATGAGATTCTGCTCAAACTTTAATTAGTTTTTTTCCCTTATGTGAAATACTTTTGAGCACTTGTGATATATTAGGTTACATCCTAAAAAGATACCGTAGAAATAAATGAGTACAGTTTCTGTGGTTTGTATGGGTTATTTGTTGTTTGTTCTTAGGAAAACAGCTGTATCACAGAGTGAGCACATTCCATCACAGAGAAAGAGAGAGAGAACAACCCCTGAGCCGTAGAATTACATCAGCATAGAATTACATCAGCATTAACCAGAATTGCAATGCATATAGAACTGTCTGTAATGATCAATGAATAATACAGGAGGAAGAAAGTGAGAGGGGCCGCTTAGAGGGGTGGACCAACTTACTTCTGTATCCTAAGATTAGTAATGATCCCACATTTTGTGTAAGCCAACAGCTGCATGCCTCCGTGTTGTTTCAGTTTGAATATGCATGAGATCTGCAGGCCAGGTGAGCGATAATAAACACTCCCAGTTGATCACCCGAGCATTCTGCATCGATCGCTAACGATAAATTGCTGCCTCTGTCTTGTAGCTCTCAGTTATAGCTTCCACTCTAGTCAAGTTCTGGCCAGCCGTTCGGCTTTATTTGTCAATGTCAAAGCTTTAAACCACATAATTACCATTTAAGAAACGGTGCATAAATGTGTCCTTTCATACTCGTAAAGAAAAAGAGGAAGAGACAGCATAGAGGACATTAAATAGGCAGGCGTTCTCTCTCTGTGTTATTATGTTAGACAAGCCAGACAAATGTAAGGAAATTAAATCCAGAAAAATAGCACTCAAACAATTACCTTTTTTAATTCAACCCATTTTTTTAAAAGAAGTTCACTCTAGTAGAATCTATAGGTGTTATGCTTTTCTACATGAAAACTATTGGAAGGGGAGAGTGAAATGACAGTGATCCATCTAAGGGACTTTTAAACAAATTGACAAACTGGTTGATAAATAAATACTAGAGCAAGATCAATGAATGCGCATATCAAATGAGGACACTACAAATTAATCTGAGCCAGGGAAAGTGTCATATTTTCATTAAATAGCAAACTACTGGAACAGCTGTGGGCTCATTTCTGACTTTGGGGGAAATTTCTCAGACTCAGAGGCACAGGAAAGTGCTCCCATGGCGGCGATAAAGATGAAGGTGGTTGTGACTGTGAGGCATCTTGTTTCATTAAAATAGCAGCCAGCAATGTTTGTCCTGGCAATTTAGGATTTTTAGGAAGTCTCATAACAGTTATAATTGGGTGCAAGTTAGAGATACAGCTTTTTTTTATCAAATGGTTGATTTTTTTAATCCATCAGAGCCCCTGTGGGGAGTAAATTACAGATGCATTCAACTTTCTCAAAGCAGAGCACTAAACTAATCATTTGCATCCACCAAACATGTGTAATTTTTTTTTAAAGTCACTATCAGAAACAGGCAAGAGGAAATTCATTCGAGCACATGTGAATACATCACAAAAAGGTGCTTAAAAAGCTAAATGAAACATTAAGGGAGGAACCATGTTGCTTTTTCAGCATTCATCTCCTACATGTGCAATACATCTTCATCTAAAATCTAGTTCAGACTAAAGGGAAATATATAAACATTGACAAAACAGCTAATATTTCTGCCAATAGAGGTGAGATTTTGACTGCTGCTGTCTTTGTTGTGGGTTATATTCACAATACCTGGTGGTTACAATGGATCAACACAGGAGTACTGGAAATCTGCTGACAATAGTGGTTTTACATGCTGTTATCAAAGACTTCCATTCAGAAGGTAATCATGTTCCCTGCCAAAATACATTCAGGGCTCCGTCACTGTTCACTTTATTCGTCTCCAAGTGACATTATCGGGACTCCGGCCTCCCATTTTTATCTGGCTGACCAAGGACATGGTGTGCCGCGGCGCAGCATTGGACGGGTGATTAACATTAAAAGGCCAAACCAGCCCTGCTGTGGCACTGAAAGGGGTTTTTCAGATTTCCTTTTTTTCTTCTCTTTTCTTTTCTTTCCTTTTCTCTCCTGGTCTTTTCTTTACACTAAACGAGAGCTGCTGTGTCACCACTGAATAATGAAACTTTTAAATGAAAGCCCCCCTGAGCAAAGCGGTTAACTCAGCCAAATCCATGGACCTGTTTGCAGTCAAAGACTCAATCTGCAGTTAACACGGCAAAAAGAAATGTGTGAGCAGATGTTGTTAGACGAAACATTCGAGGCATTTTCCATTTTATCGAAAAGGGATATTCTTTTATTCCATTTTTATTCTCACAATCCCAATACACACTCAAAATGTCATGATGGCAATTCCAAAAGAAATCCACACATAAAAATCAACCATTGTTATTTCACTGTCATTTCTATAATTGACAGCAACAAAAAACTTTTTTAATCTGCCATTCAACCAGATGTTCATAGTGAAAGAATGACAACAAGATAACTGTGTAAAACAGCACAAATGTTAAAGGATCTTCTCTCACTCTCAGACAGAAGAGCATGAAAATCCCAGTTTTAGCCCATTGCACTTTATCCAATTTAGAGGTTTGAGTCTGAGTGACCAGTGATGTTTTTCTTCATGCACCTTGTGGATGGTTCCTATTCGCCTGTCACACAGATGACGGTAAAACAAGAGTAATCTTGTTTGTTCAGCTCCGAAGACGGGAAGAGTTTTCCCCAGATGGACAGTGGACAGCACACAACTGACAAAGTCGGCAGAGGTGGGAGGCAATCATTCCGTGAGGCCCCTCAAGGAAATCAAGCAGATTTTAAGATGTTCTTTTGCCCGTGTGCTGACTGGTCAGAACTGCACGGACACAAATGGGGAGGACCTGCTTGATAACAATGTTTACGCTAGTACAGGGGAAGCCAAACACACCAAAACAACTGACCGTATAATCTAACGTTATCTTCAACATAGAGGTCTTTTTTGGTTTTTTGCTGCTCTTTTTTGTTTTGTTTCATTCTATCACAGCAAAGAATTTACCTTCACAGCACAAATAACTACAATCCAGCTGACCAAGACCATTTTATTGCAGGCTAGGAGTAAATTCTTATTTTCTCGTTAAAAGTTGGTGAAATGTTATTGATGACGCCCCTAATAAATCCCCACCCCAACCTCCAAAGCCCAGTTTATAGTCAAGTGGCAATGACACGTTTTGCAGTAGGAGGCTTTCTGCTTGAAACGTGTTAATATTAGACTCACAGATATTGGTTTCTTCCACAGACACACAGGACATACATTTCCCTGCTGTACCTTAGCCTTGTTTCTTGAAATTAAACTGCCAATGCAGGTGCAAAAATCTTGCTATCCCATAATAAAGAAATATATATATATACAGTATATATATATATTAAATTGTTCTGTATTTGAAAAAGCATTCACATGTTTTGTTCCATTTTAATTTGGCAAGAAATGTGTTATCATCCTGTGGTATGATTAGGCAGCTAATAAGTTGCACTACAAATGGGGTTTCACAGCACAAACATTTGACTGTCTGTAACTCGCAAGTAATGAGATGATGAACCAAGTCGTGGTGCGCACACAAGCCCACAGCACATGGAGAAATAATGAAAATTATTAAGGCTACATTATGCAAATGACCATAATGGCTGCAGCTTGAGAACCATTCACACGAGCATCAGGATGAAGATTAAAGGAGAAATTATGCGCCGTGCAATGATTTTTGCCAGAGGGGCCGACACGTGTAGATGTCGCTCACAGGTATCGTTTGTTTACACACGTTAACACACACTCACCACAAACAAATTACCCTAAAAAGATAATAATGGCAGATCTTGTCTGATGTGGCTTGTCTGATACCATTGTAAATCAGAAAATCTAACATCTACTCATTTGAAAATAAAGAAAGACAAAAAAAAAAGCTTTCTGAAGCTATAAGAACTACACTAATACACTATTTTTGGGGTATGTGCAGAACCAGCACTGACTCCCCATATAAGAAGGTACTCTAATTGAAGTTGAAGCAGCAGATTCTGCCTCTTCTCCTCCACCAGCAGTGGACTCTCTCCTTCAGGGAATTGTGCCGTCGTCAGCTACTTGCAATTACCTGCCACCTCTCACCGTCAGGGGCCGCACGACATCCTCAGTGTCAATCAAAAAGCCTCATCTCACGCTGAGATGTAAGGACCTTTGACACGAACACACACCCTCAGAGTACGTGGCTCTGTCTTTGCCACACACACCCACTGTAAACACGGCTGTCATGTACCGATGAGTCTCTGGCTATGGAGGACTATGGAGGAAGTCGCACAAGGCTGTTCTGCTCTGTTTGGCGTTGTTCCCTGCCGCTTTGCTCTGCCTCTGACGGGAAGACAGTCAGGAATCATAATATCAGTCGGCGGGAAAAGGGAAAAAAAACGTGACAATTCACTGAGCACACGTTTGGCACTCATTACGTTAAATGCTTCAGCAGTGATTGCGATGTGCACGTGGAGAGATGACACCACTCATTACGATCTGTTGAACTGATTGTGCAAAAACACCGCAGGAAAAAATACAGAACAATGTACAGAACCCATGCAACCGCTTATGAACGTTATCTTATATTACTATTGTCTTACTACTACTAATAATAATAAATAGATCATTAAATGTGCCACAATTCTAGAGTCCATATGCATCTGATACGTTAGTTTATTTAATTCTGGAACAACTTTAAATATTTCATTCAAACAGGATGGAAACTGTGATCAAACAGAACATGCACTGTATAGACATTTTGCAGCTTCTCCATTTCTTGGCGATAGATGTGAAAGTGAGACAAAAGAGCACATTGTCTTCATATGAGTGTGATTCATTGTGAGTCGGCCCTTTTCCAAAGTTTGAATGAAATAGATAAACAACTGAGCAGATTTTAGTATCACTTTAAAACCATGTTGTGTTCATTTCACTAAATAATTAGTCAAGAAGCCAAAAAAAGAAAGCCTTTTTATAGCCAGTGGGACAGTTTGGGGCTTCTGGGTGACTACAGAAACATGATATTTTACATGAACTCCACAAAAGTGGAACTGTTGCTATAAATTACTCATTCTAAGGCTTTGAAATGCACACAAAACTGTATTTACAGATCCCATCTAATTCTATTCATTGGAACTTCAGTTGTGATGGGCAGCATCATTAAAATCTCACAGTAATGATAATAAAACAACGAGTTCAGATATGAGCAAAACAACTTGAATAGTCATGAATCGTTTCTATTAACATCCTTTTTATTTATTTTTTTGGGGCAGATTTTCTCCTTCAGGCCTGCTAACCTGATAAATTACACAAGCACAAACAACACTCACTTGGAGCTAATCAAACCTATTTCAAGAAAAGAGCTGAAAAATCAATTAACTTGATTCTCAAAATGAGGCATGCTTGTCACCCAAGCGTTTCTGTGATGAAAAAACCATCAGCAGCACAGCAGTGGCCTTTTTAAAGAGGGTGTCTGTTTTTCAACTGTTTTGAGAGGAAGTTATGATCTGGATTGATATAAAAACACACAGATGTTAACGACATCAAGCTTCTTATATTGCTCCAATGAGAACAAGCTCACTTTAAGTGCTTCCTATCCATTGTAAGGGTGGTAAAAAAATAATTGGAATAATAGGTCATGTTAAAGTGAAACTGACACAACACAAATCATGCAAGTTGATGAAGGAAATGAAATGCTTAATGTAAGCTTTTATCTAAACGGTTCCAGCTTTGCTTTCATCTTAGACAGGGAACCAGAGAAGCTATTACAGGAAGTGAACTGGCATATTAAACTGACAGGATTTCCATTGACAGGAATCTTCAAGTCTTTGGACAGCTAATTAAATGCGAGCAAATGAAATATCAAATGTCAAATTAAAATAGTTGTTTTTAAAAAACTGCTCTTTTTTATTATTTCAGATGAACAATACTCCAGTTGTCCAAAATCATGCATGTTGGGTTTATTGGCCACTCTAGATTTGTGTGGGAGTGGACATGTGATGGGTGTATGAGTGGCTTTTGTCATGGATTTCTGCCTTTTTCTTAAACGGTATCCTGGATGGTGCTTTTTACTGCTGCCTTGACGTGCAATTATGCTTAGTCAGCAAGAGTGAGGGCTCTATACATTAAAGAGCCTGACAGATGTGACATTTCCAACATTTGGATGATGAGAAAAGGAAATGAGGGCTGTTGTTCTACAGCACACTAATCATTCACTCCCTCCTGTCTCCCTCCACTCCCTTCCCATCAATCCATCCTCCACACCTGCCCTGTTTCCCTTCTCTCCGATCTCTCTAGTCTGATACCGAGTTTTGGGATAAGATGCAGGCGGAGTGGGAGGAGCTGGCCCGACGGAACTGGCTGACAGAAAATGAACAGTCACAGATTCCCTCAACTGTATCTCCACACGAGAAGGTCACTGTTGTTTAAATGTTACACTCTAGCACAAATAATGCATGTTTTTTTTTACATTTACCCATAAGGTATAGGTGGAAATATCTCTTGTAAACTGTACAAATCAATGTAAAATTGGGATTGAATGTAACATTTGGCATTAACAATTTGGATTTAATTTGTTTCACTGGAACACAGACACATTGTAAGAAATCACTCCCAAAATGGCTGCAGGTACACATTTTAAAGTAATATTGCAGGAATGTTTTATTGAGGTAAAGTTGCGTGAGCTTCTTTTACTTGTAAGTGTGTATTTAGTAATACATTAGACTGCAATCTGCACACATCTTAAGAAACAGGACACAGGGTACTAGGGAAAGAATCCATCTTACTAAAATAAAAGAGTTTAGGGATAATTTATACTATTTTCACAGCTTTGCCTTGATGTCAGAAAGCCCTTTTACACAGAGTTCTGAGGCTGTTACATCACCCTTCCTTCTTCAAAGCCACAATACTCATTTGTCAGAAATAATCATCTAAATTTGTAAGGTTCATGACAACCCCTACTTTGGGTTGTTTGTTTGCATATGTTATTTGCATATATACTATATATGATATTCCATGAATTAGCCTTAAATTGGGTCATCATCATCATTCAGAGGCATAAACATATCAAACTGCCTTGTACACTTCTAAAGTTAATTCAAAGTCTAAAAATTGCTTTTCTTTTACCTAGATGTGCTTAATGACCACAGTTGAGAAGAATTTTTATTAAGGTATAACATAGAGATTACGTACAGAATGTGTTTTTCACCCTCAGCTGACCTCAAAACTCACATGAGATCAGACCTCTGGGCTTTTCTGATTGATCTCAGCGCAGAACCAGTTCTTACAGAAAAAGCTGTTTCAAAGTCATCAGCCTCAAAAGCATGCAACACACCAGGGTAATCTCGGTTTCAAAATGCAAACTTTAACATTTAAAGAGAACAGGCACACCCTGAGGAGCTGGACTCAGGTTTGATGTGAAGCAGAAATGATCGATTCCTCCTGCTGGAGGTTTGCTTAAACATACAATAGCGCTGGACAGTTTTGCTGGTTTGCATTTGAATGTGGACAAAAAGGAACTGACTTTGCCCACTGTTCCTTTTTTTTTTGTTATTTTTCTGACAGGGTTACTACTTCCACACAGATAATCCTTATAAGGACTTGCCTAATGCGTTTGAAGAGGGACTAAAGAAATCTCGAGAGGGAGACCTGCCAAATGCTGTGCTTTTGCTGGAATCCGCCGTCTTGCAGGACCCTCATGATTCAGAGGTGAATCCATTCAGTTCACAAGCATCAACATGGCCACCTTTTAAAAGTTAACCACTCGTATTAACAAAAGCATTTTTTTTTTTTGTAAAATAAGTATTTTATTTAAGCACATGATAGGCTCCAGAAGTTCAACTCCTGAATCTAAATCCAAACCAACTTATTCCACCTCATGCAGTGAGAAGCTGCAGTGGAAGAAAGGCTGACTGACCACAGGCTGTGTGAAGCTGATTTAGCACACAGCCCCCACTGGCTTGACGCTGATTGCCCGCATCAGACAAGATTTTTTTTTTTTCTTTTGTGCTGAAAGAGCTGTTTACTGTTAAAAAAAAAATTCCCAACTTACTCTTGATGAGTTTTTCCATTTGCCCAGCGAGCTGAATAATAACTTATGCCGTGCGTTTTTCCCCTTTAGCAACCCCCCCCACCTGAAAAAAAAGACCTCTTTGCAAGCTGAAAGAGCAAATCCGTCATGCAAAATGCTCCCAGGATCGCCTGGAATATACAGAAATGTGCCAGTTATTCAGAGGAGAAGATTATCCCACAGTGTATGGAACTAATATGATTCCAAAATTCCTTCTAGGGCGCTTTGTGGCTTATTGGCCCACTCTGATTCATTCAGAAATAATGTGGTTTCAAAGACCTAAAAAAAACGGCATCAGCAGAGATAAGATCAGGTTATCAAATTGTCTTTACACATCCATAAGAGAATATCATAATGTGGATTTCACTTCATTTTGTCATTGTTATGTTTAACAAAGGTGGCTCCTCCCCAACACACAGATTGTAACTGCTGTGCTGCACAAACACAGATACATTCAGAGTTTACTAAGCAAAGGTTTAACTAAATCCAGAGTAAAAACAGCTGACCTTTGGTCAAATGTGTCAGGATTATGGGTTACATATCATGTCTAAAGACGGAAGAACATGTAATATTTTTGTGCTGAAACCAATTAAAATGATGGAGTTAATTTATTTGAAGTTAGTGGTATGCTGAATTTGTGCCAGAAGCTTGTGCTGTGGCACAAAGTTGTTTGACTTCTGGAAAAAAAAATATTTTTGACAATTAGGCTGTAGATTTTGGGATGTGATGTATTTTATTGGTAGAGTGCGAGGGTGATATTGGCAGAATCTCCCAGTTTTGTCTGATTTATGATGCAGGTTGTTTATCTAAAGATTGCTCAGACAAGCAGACGTTAGTTTGAGGTCAAAGCAGTTGAATTAGCTCCAAAAATGATCTTTAAAGTGTACCATTATACAAGGTCGACTGAGACACAGTATTTGGTGTATCTAGTTCAAAGCAACAAAATACTGAACCGCATTCGGACTCTAAAATCAAAACACCTTGTTAAATTCACTGCAGTTTTCCGTCCAGCATCAGTAGCACCACCGGCTCTGTGTGGAGCTCTCACTGTGTTTCAGTCCCTTGACAAAAGAAGCCGTGGAGTTTCCACCCTAGTGTGTGTTGTTACCTTCATTTATTTTTTTTTCCCTGCAGGCCTGGCAAGTGTTGGGGACCACACAGGCTGAAAACGAGAATGAGCAGGCAGCGATCGTCTCCCTTCAAAGGTAACAACTCACTCAGAGATGCAGCAGAACCTACACTGAGGGGATATCACCTTAAAAGAGGCACAAGGATATGTTTCCCCACAGTTACCTAACCACTTCAACCAGTAACTGGAAGAAAAGGTTATGCAATTTTTTTTTTTTTACTTGAAAAAAATATAATCCCACATGGGTGGTGCGTACAGAAGCCAAGCCCCGACTGGAGTCCCTAACTGGGAGGTGGCCCAATTTCATTCATAACACTGCTGAAGCCAGAAATTGCACCTTTCTGGGAGTGTGAACATTGTCAAGTCAACTGAAAACACTTGAGACAGCGATTCTGTTGAAAGCATCCTTTTCTGTTCCATGTACTTCAGAAATGCTTTATGTGGAATCAATGAGGTATTAAAATAAAATTGCATAAATGGATTAAAAAGGATGGACATAATTTTTATTTCATTCTTTGCAAAAAATCCTATTAAATCCCATTGTTCCACGTATATTGATATGATCTACCTCAAATTACCTAAAATGCATATTTTATATAATTGTTATATATTTTCTTGGATTTGTTATTTTACATAATCATTTCTATGATTATATATGTATTAGAATGTGTTAGAAATGATTGCTGTTATTGCTGTTACTGTTGTTGCTGTTGCTTACTGAAAAACAGGGTAGTTTTGTCATCCCAAGAAATGGGAATAAAATTGATTTGCAAGATTCCATTTCACATCAGCATTTCATAAAAAAGAGCACCCTGATCTGTGCTCTGTGACTTTGAGTGGCAGGAACCAGCATTTGTGCAATCTTATCAGTAACACTTAACATCAGGAGACTGAAATAATTCATTTGGTCTGAGATTAAGATGCTTGAAGGAAGGAATTGTCGCATAATCTCCAGCAAATCAGGCTTAAATCTTGATAAAAACTAAATCTTGTGTTGGCTTCTCCAAAAGTCTCTCAATTAATGTCTAAATTGTTCTGCTCTGCTCTCCTTCTCTGTGATGTAATATGAGCATCGTCTAAATCCCGCTCACTCCCATCTTCTGAGGCGATCACCATGGGAGCTTTTGCCTAAATGCAAAGCTAATTCAAATCACACAGCCGTAGGCTGCATGCAAACCTGTTTTTCAATAGCAGAGGCAGGACGGGAGAGGTGCAGCTGATCCGATCTGACACGGAGATCATTAGCTTCTGCCTGATGTTCCTCTGCCTTGGCCTGTCCCAATTAATGCTCAGAAAGTCCAGATTTCTCTTTGAAGTGCACACGTTACGCCACCTCTCCTTTCCCATGCCTGGATCTTGTCTCCATCCAGATGTTTGGAGCTCCACCCAAATAACCTTACGGCCCTCATGGCTCTGGCGGTGAGCCTGACCAACACTGGTATGCGTCACGATGCGTGCGAGGCCCTGCTCCGCTGGCTGAGGCACAATCCCAAGTACAAACACCTTCTGAAGGGGAAGACCCACCTGATGGGATCCCCCAACTCTCAGAGGAGGATGTCATACGGTCCCAACATGGCCAGACCCGAAAGGTAGAGTAGTGCAACTCCTCGCTGCTCATCAAATCTGGAGTCTGTCCATTTCCATTTGGTTATCACGTAAAACGAATCATTCTCATCTATTTTGCTGCTTTTTTTCTAAGATTCTGTCATATCTCCTTCTGTTTTGCCGTGTTCTGCATTAGCTGCGTCATCTGTTGCGTTTGCATCGCGCCGTGCTTTACACCTGATGTCCAAAGAACAAACACGCCAAAGACACCATTGATAAAATGTCGTGGTTATAAGACAGCAGGGAAACTGGGCATCACAACAGAGTCTCAGCCTGTTCTCAGTCAATAATAAGTTGACAATCATGATGACAGATCATGTTTCAAGTTGCACTCTCAAAATCAATATCCCCACCACCACCCTCGGAAAGTCATTTATTTTACTCAAACTCGCACTGCTTTGCCAGAGAGACCAGACTTATTTCAAGGTCTCTCAACCACAGCTGATGCGGGTTTAATTTTGCTGGCGCCGCGCCAAACATGGCTCTACGAGTATCCATCTTGTCAAACAGCTCTCAGTGTCGTAGGAGGAATCGGGCCTGTGTGATGTTAAGCCCAATGGATGAGGTTATTAGGCATATCAGATTTGGAGGGCCTAATTCTTCTCTCAGTGTACAGCAGCGCTTTATCAAATCATTAATCGTCTAGTCATTGGGGAGAGATACAGGTACAACCCAATTACTGGGCTCTCTCCTCCAGACCATGCAGTATCCCCTTTTTCAGTCCCGCCGCACAGTCCATTCGTCTCTCTTCACCCTGACTGTACTCTTGATCATTCAGCCTGTCTTTTCTCTTTCAGATATCTTCTTGCTTTAGCCAATCTCTCGTTATGCTCAACTAAGTGGAAACCAAGACGTACCACCAAGGGCGACTTTTATATTTTACCGAAAGCAAAATATCAAATGACCGCTGAAGCAGAAGACAATTATTTGGGTCTTTTGAGCAGGAATTTCGCGAATTGGGTGTTATGTGTTCATTCCAGAGTAATAGGGGGCGAGAAAAGACACGTGGCAGATAAGAGGTTACTGTCTTTCAGCCGTAATCCCCTCAGCTTTCACACGTCATTTATTTCCATCAAATTTTGCATTCACCTTCATGTCGTTCCCGCCTCTGCACTCACTGCTTCCCCATTTCAGACCCGCCGTGAATAAAAGTTGACGTGCCGTCCAGCGCACATCATAGCTCTCCCATCTTGAAGAGTGCTTAGTCAGCACCCCCCGCTAACACCCCCCCCCCCCCCCCCCCTTATCTGTGTGCGCTCACAGCTCATTGTTACCGGAGGTCAAGGAGGTCTTCCTGGAAGCCGTTCAGCAGAACTCTGACAGCGTTGACCCGGATCTGCAGACAGGCCTCGGAGTTCTCTTCAACCTCAGCGCAGAGTTTAATAAAGCTGTCGAGGCCTTCAACACGGCGCTGTCAGTGCGGCCAGAGGTAGGGGAAAACACACACAAACACTGGACGCATGGAAAACATGCAGATTATGCACTGAGGTTCTGTTATAATGTCTTTGGCTGATTACAGTTTAATGGAAGAAGAAAAATAATGAAAGCATTAACAAAAGAAATGGAATGCGGTTGTTGTGTGTATTCATTTTTCCTCATGCCCTGAGAAAGAATAAAGCATATGCATGCACTCAGCAGTGTTCAGGCCCAGAGCTTTGTTGGCCTGACACGCTAACTGGAAGCTGCACACATGGGCACATGGGACTCACTGGTTTCCTTGGAGACGTAACATGCTTGTCAGCTGGTTGACTCCAGCTGGGACAGCAACATGGCTGGGATGTAAACTCAGTGTCTTTCATGAAACGCTATCAAGCACGGATCAAAGGTTCATTCAAATGTTCACAGATGAAACATTTTCTGAAAGTGTGACTGGTTGTTCCCCCCCCCCGACACGGGGTCCCAGTGATCAGCCGATTTGCATATCTGGGCTGGTGGATGTTAATAGGCTGATGCATATTCCAGAGACGCATGTGCTTTGATATAAATCATGTGAATGTCATTATTTGTCCAAACGTATTGTATTTGTTCTGCCTCATCAATTTAATTCATTTCCCAAATGGATTCTAAACACTGTATCAGGTTTGTTTTGACAGTCGTACGTTACACTCTTTACAATTTCAAAAAGGAAAATACATGATATAGACTTTATTATCTAGAAGAAAGCATGACGTTCATGTGTTACAATAAACAACATCTCCTCAATTTTGGCCCGACATGAGATTTTTTTTACAGAGCAATAATGTTCACAACATGCCAAAGAATAAGCCAGATGAAACATTTAAAGGCATACCATATTTCCACTCCTGTGAGCATGCTCCCAGTGATGTAATCTGCCATACGCCACACGTTCTCAATTAAGCACAATCAGCAGACACAAAGCCCTGAAGCAGAAACGCACAAAATGATGACATGGAGCCACAAATATCGAGGGAGAGTTTATGCAAACAGATTCAGTGGGGCACAGCACGATGTAAAGCAGCTGAAATCAGATCTCATGAGCAATCAGTTAACACACTCACACTCCTCTCACTTAGGATCCCAAACAAGAATCCAAACATACTTAACCACCTTAAGTGTTGTCTAGTGGAGGGATTTTTTTTCTCTTCTTTTTAAGTTCAGATGCTGTAATGCTTTAAACCCTTCACATCCAGAACCCACACAGTTGTCTTTGTGTATTTCTTTATATTATTCATAGCGCCAATCAACTTTTCTAGAGGAGTGACAAAAAATGCGAAGGTAAACTGGAGCATGGGACGTTTTTGGGAGAGCAGTGGAGCGTGCCAATATTTGCGTCTTGGTTTGGGAAGAATACATTTGCAGGGATTATTTAAGTGTAAAAATACACCTTCTTGGGGGAAATTCTCAGTTTATTAGCATGAAAATATATGAACGTTTGTGATGATTATCTTGAACTGAAAATCGTGCACTTATTCCAGAACAGTTTAAGACATCGTCCACACATAAAAGCACTTTGAGGCATATTCTCCTAACTTCAGCGCAAAGATTGTTCGCAAATAGAGTCACAACAACGAACTTTTGTTTAATTTCCCGCATGCAAATCAGTCCCCGTCCTCCCAGCACCGTCCCTGGATGGCATGAATATTACTCACTGTTAAATCCAGGCTCCCACATTTGACTTGGTAATATCTGTTCCCCTGCTGGAAAAAACAGCTCTGAGCACAAAGGGGAGATAATTATACCCGACTGCCAGGCTTAACCAGATATGAAGGACCCCTTTACTGTAACAGACCGCTGACCTCTGCGTGTTCCTGTCTTCCTGCAGGAGGGAAACATCGGCAAGGACAGTTAGTGTGATGTAACTCTGCTCTCCTGAAATTACCATTCCGGGGCTGCCTTATATCAGAAAGCTGGAAAGTGCCCATGTTGTTTAGGCCTCGGGAAAACAGAAAAATTTAGCTTTGATGATGTCACTTCAGGCGCACAGTGAAAGGAAATCGAAGATTGTTAACTTCCACTTCATTGAAAGTTCCGTTCGAACTTTCTTAGGTCTTTCAAAAGTGGAAAAACGCTTCAAAAAGTGATCAATTAACGGGTAACTTTATGAGAGCATCCCTGAACAAACTCAATGCTCATGCTCCATCCAGGACTACTTGCTGTGGAACCGCCTGGGGGCCACGCTGGCAAACGGGGACAGAAGTGAGGAAGCGGTGGAGGCTTACACCCGAGCCCTCGAGCTGCATCCTGGTTTCATCAGGTCCCGCTACAACCTGGGAATAAGCTGTATCAACCTGGGGGCACACAGGTGGGCGGTGTTTGGTTAACCCAAAAAGAGGCGCGGTTCGATTTTGTGGACTGTATGCAAAAAACTCTCACATGTTTTTAACTTAATAAACAAAATCAATGAATGACACCACCAGGCATATATGTTCACGCTCACTGTTAATTCACATTCAGTTTACATTGCACTTTGAACCTTAATAGTCTTTGCTGAGGTAAAATGAATGAAAAACTGTTGGATGATCATTTCTGTCTGTTCCCTTTTTTTCCTTTTGATTTATATTTGCCGTTGTAATTGGAATTACAAGATGTGTGACTTTGGAGACATCTCCTCCCTTTCATTTTTAAAGAGTTCGGCAGATTCATGTACACATTATCAATTATCAAGAAAGCAAATGCAACAGTGGGATGAAAACATTTATTTAAAAAGCCTTTGGCTTACGTATGTCAACAAATGTATCCGGAAACTGCCCACAAACTATAACTGACTCTCATATGTTTTGTTGCATTTGTTGTTTCTTCTCTAGGGAGGCGGCCAGTAACTTTCTGACTGCCCTAAGTCTTCAGAGGAAAAGCCGCAGTCGCCAGCAGTCCCACCAGGTGATGTCTGGAAACATCTGGGCAGCTCTGAGGATAGCGCTCTCCATGATGGACCAACCGGAACTCTTCCAGGCTGCAAACATCGGTGACCTGGATCTCCTCATTCGCGCCTTCAACTTGGACATTTGAGGAATGAGGAGCAGCGATGCCACTTTCCCCGTCTCACCCCTTAATTTCTAACTAACAGCCAAAAGCCCAAAGTGCACACAACCCTAGGCTCTGAACAATGGTGCGTTCTTATGCACGAGAAAAAAAAAAACGAGATGAAATACAGTTGTCAAAGCCGTCATACTCCTTGCCCTTTGACACCTTGGGGCAGTTCTGACGGCCGGTTCTTCCAAGTGACTGTTTTGTGATGGAATTTGCACATTGCGATTTGTGATTTCCCTGAAGAGCACAAGGACGGGCAAAGATTGCACGAGCAATGCCTTAGAGAACACATCAATTAAAAGCGACTCATCCAGTGGAACAGAGCTGAGCTGGGAAAGACAGGCAGTTTTAAGACTCCGGCAGAGAAACTCTCACAAGTCAATGGCAGAAAAAAGATTTGAGCGGGAACACTCTTGACTTGAGATGATGAGGACATTTTAAAGGCTGAACCTCACCTTCCTCTCTTGGCCGATTCATCCTCTGTCATTGGACGGCTATGATATTGCATGAATAAGCATTTTCCAAAATGGATCCTTGTTTAAAATGTTTCAAATCAAACTTGTAGAAATGTACCTATTGCACTTCAGACTATTAGATGACTTTCATAATCCACGTGGAATGTGCAAGCCAGGTTTAAAAGCCTTACCTAAATGCATGCGACCAACACAACATATTTATACTATTTTTATGGGCAATACGAAACCACAAAGCCATTTTTAATAGTGAGACTGGATTTGATTTCTTTACATCTTTACACTTCTGAACTTGAAAGCTTTCTGAGCCATTCGTGTTTTTTAGCCCCCCTTTTTTATTTATTTTGATCTTGGCTCTGGGCTTCTCTTTGCTCCCTTTAAGCTGAGTGGCTGGAGAAATACACACATTAGCGCTTTTGAATGAATTCAGTTTTTTTATGATTATTATGAAAAAGATGTTACAGGTCTAAAAATATCCCTGTCGTTTTCTTTTACCAGTAATCAATGTAAGCATCTTCTTCTCTTTTTTCTTTCTTTTTGCAGAGTGCATGTGTGTTCATTTTAGTGCAGGCTTGATTACTGTCTGTTCAATGATCAGTGGTTGCCAACCAAGACCCAAGACAGCAGCTTGGTAATGCATTCATTTGTATCTGCTGTGCCTCCACAAGCCACAAGGCTCATACATATAATTAAGTCAACTTGCCTCAGCCATTATGGATGTATTCTGTCTGGCTAAATATCGCAAATATTTGGTTGTTTTTTCGGATCACCTTCCAACTTCAATTCACGTCGATATGCATCCACAGAAGACGTGATTTCACTAAATTGCCGGTGAAGTTTGCACCACCGCAGAGGCTTTTTCGGAAACATGCTTTTTAGCTGACGGCTACCTTAGCATCAAAGCTGCCACCCTGAAAGCCACCCTGTGAAGCGGACATCATGTTCCTCGCCGTGAAATAGTAAATGATAGATAATCTGCTGTGCTGCGCAGCTCAGCACACTTTGGTGTTTATCGGGCATGTCCACAGTCCGGGTGCGCTGTCAAATGTGGGTTTTTTATTGTCAGCTCCTATGCAAAAGGTCATGTTTCATGTTGCCATTCTCGATCGTCGGTTTGTCCCTGTCTGCCTCAGCGGACCAAAAGGAAAGTGTTGATTGTGTGTTTTGGAAGAATGCTATCAGCGGGGACCAGAGACCAGTATGAGAGCCATTTATCTTTCAAGCTGTGCAGCCGAGATGTCACGGACTGTGAAAGAGTAACTGTTTCATTAGAAAACCGGGGGGAACACACCAACCCACTTACAGTGGCATAGCAATGAGTCTTTGACCACTATTGCGTCCACTAAACTCACTGCCGTGCATATTTGCTTATGTTGCATATGTTTTGTGTCCGAGTGTGTGTCCGGTTTTGAAAAAGCACTTTGAGTGGTCAGCTAGACACCAATATCTCTACATCATTACAGTCCACTTAACAAACCATACATCAGGCCATTAAAGAGTTCAAACTAGAGCTACTTTCAAACCTTTTTATTTGTGATTTACTGGCATAAAAACTAATCCTGCAGCCAGACCATTACTATAAACTATTCTTGCTGCAGGCTTTTGTGGCCTGGCAGGACAGTTTATTGACCAAGAAGGCACTGAGACAGCGCGTTTATAAGAAATATATATGAAACAATCTGCATTGGACTGAGGCTGACAGTGGACTCTCAAAGATAGTACAGCCAAGGAAGAGGAGGAAGCACAACTCAGACAGATCAAAGCAGAATGTGATGGGCGACGTGCAGTAATTCGTTCAATCTCTATGAAGCTATTTTTAGCCATGCTTGTAGCAAGTCAAATTTGTTTCCAGTAAATATTTTAGAGTGTACATTAATGATAGAAAAACTCTTTGAATTACTGGTGCCACAGCTATGTCATTTTGTTTTCGTTTCCCCATGTTCTTTTTTCTTCTCCTCCACCAGAAAACATTCCTAAGAAGTTTGAAAGGCATTCTTTCTATTTCTGGTCTTTCTTTGCTCACTTAATGACATCACCATGAAAAACATTTATGCAATGCCTGCTTATTGGCCAATTCCTCAAAGACTAAATAGCTGCCGTGGAATTTGCTAATATTTAACAGTTAGAGCGAATTCATTTCTTGGGAGGGGTTCTTGAGAGTGACAGAACCTATAGCATCTGTATGAATGAACAAATTAGTTTTAAACATTAAGCCAGGCAAAATTCAATTATGGAACAGTAATTGAACTTAATATTGATTCTTTAAGATCATCCTCAGTAATGGCCAGTAGGCAGTTTCCAATAGATTAGTGCCAACTTCTCTAATGAAAATATTTTTATCACAAATGATTCAAATGTTATGATCTACTTTATTTTCTTTTTGATTAGTGTGGTTTGGATGATACCAATTATTTATCAGTTTAGTCTTTGGTTTTAAAGTTTTTTTTAAACTCCTGGATGAATACGATTAGGGCAGAAAAGCAGAATCAATGTAAACGAGTCAGTTACTTATTATTCTAATTCACCAACCTTTTTTTTTTCCATTTGTGTGGCACTAGTATTATTGATGTTTGCACATGCACAAATTCATTTGCTTTTATGTTTCTGTTTGTATTTGACTGGACACACACACATCATCATGGCTGATGAGCATGGCCCCTCGTCCATATCTCTTTTGTCCTGGTTCAGGTCTCCTGGTTCCCTGAACACGATATCCTGTCATGAAACTTCCAAATTGAGTCTAGCTTTCTCATCTGTTGGCATTTGTGACTTTTTTTTTTTCTTCTCGTTATTTCAAAATGCTGTAGATGGGATGAAAATTCAAACAAATATTTATTTTTGTAAAGAGAAGGGAAATTGCCAGTTTAAAGTATAAAGACCTACCGGGTGCGTGATTGTTTAGCGCATCGCGATAGGACACCTGTGGTAACATTTCTCTTCATAGAACCAACTGCTATACCTTTCTCAGGTAACCTGAAGTAGTTTAGCGCATGCTCTGAAGGAACAGCATGAGACTGACTGCATGCTAGATTCTCTACATTGATTTATGTTTCTTTTCTCAAGCGTTATCTTCCTTTATATGCATGTAAGTGCTCTCACAAACATATATATAGATATATATTAAGCATATGAGGAACTTTCCTTGCAATATTTCTACAGTGCACAGCAACGTAAAATGATATACAAAACAATAAGGTATTTCTTGTGTAGAGCAGCCAGTCTGTGCAAGGCTCAAGCAGAAAAGTGACTTTAGAGAATAACATTTAATCTCTTCCAAATGTACTTGAGCTTAAATTCTGGTGCATTTCTAGGACTGGTTATTCAACAGTTATTTTCAGTAGAAAATTTGTAACTGCAATTCCTGGGAACGGTGAGATTACGGTAACCAGTGCATTAACCCCAACCTATGAAGCTTTCCAGCAACTATTATACCCATAACACTTTTTTAAAAATCACCTTACAGTTGTGTTTTTATTGATCACTGCTTTTGATGTGCTCAAACATAATTAAGAAGCATTTGGTTTTAAAGTAAGACATTTTGCACACGGTTGGGTCATAATGCGGTCAAAATGAAGGTGATACGTTTCTCAAAAAATAGCAACAATCTTAATAAAATAAGTACATTTTTGTATGTGTAATTGCATCAAAACTGCATTTCACTGCTGAAGATGCAATGCAGGTTGAAAATGTTCTTTGTCATGGTTCATAAGGCTTAATTTTTATTGAAATGTTTCTTTTTTAGTTCTCCATCTCCGTAAAACATTTCCAAAATGTTTGCAGCTGCTTCATAAGTTGGGGTTCGAAAGGGTCACTGATCAAAGTTCTGTACATTTATTTTCTCACTCCTTTGATTCAGTGTGTATAGAAACGATTTATTCTAGTTTATTTATCAGTGTATGAAAATATATGTATTTGTTAAAATGCTATTTTGATGTATGAAATTAGAAATGATATACTTTACATACAGCCATTAATTTAGTAAAGACACTGAGTATAATGCATACTACTCTAACCTGTATAACCACCAGGAAAGCATTAGCACCTTTGAAACGTATATAATGAAAGCAACCTTTGAAAATAAAAAGTTGTTATTTCTATATATATACATACAGACATATAGATGTTCCCATATCCCGTGTCTTTTTTACATATAAAAATCAGAAAATCAGAGGCCAAATCTCAAATGTGTAGTTTATTAAATTATCCAAACATTGTAAAGTAAACAGTATGTACTGCCCTGACTCTATTCATGTACACTAAAGCCACGTGTGGATAAATGCCTACATTACAAAAGACAACTTCAAATATCCCCATCAGGAAAACTAACGAGAACTAAAGAAATGGCACAAAATTGTTTGCAAAAAAGGGAGCCGAGTAAAAACAAGTGAAGAATGATTTTTGACATTTAGTCAAATGAAATAAAAGATAATGGCACTCACAAAAGTACACTTGTACAATCCAAATGACTAAATGTCAACATCTAGTGCACATGCTAAGAGTGAAACACTTTTTTTTGGTGACAAATTGAACTGTTACATTTAACCTTAAAGAAGAGTGGAACAGTAGCAGGGAAAGCTGAGATGATGAGACGAAAATACAAAAGACATTAATACATCCAGGAGCTCGAGGGGAACAAAAGGTGCATAGAAAGAAAACATGTTGCACAGAACGTTTGGGCACATTCATGACTAGCCATCATTAGGCAAGATGAAAGACATCAGGAGCAGAAACAAAAGACTTGCATAGAGACTTTTGGGATTTTCAACTGCATAGACAAACACTGCAGTTAATTAAGAGGTTGAGATAAGAAATCAATGAACATTTTTTTCAGGGAGGTTTAGGCACAGATTTGTTAGTCGCAGCAGAGATGAGGATCATTATTGAGATACATAGGCAATTTTAAATCCCAATCCATCTTGTATAAGAAGAAAGATGCCCCCACCACTTTTTCTGAGGTCGTGGTTTCTATTTTATAATCACCAACTTTCACTATTCGACATACGTCTCTGCACTTTCTGTATAATCTCTTGAGATTTACAGTTGGATGGTTGTCTCAAAGAATAGCAAACTCAAAGTTTGCTAAAAAAAAAAGTACAAGAAAAGTTGATGCTTAGCAGTACTCCTCTTGAAAACACACACCCTAATGTGCTGTACTGAGTGACGAACATTTCCAATTTACATTAAGGTCACCGATGTCAACACCTTGAAATATTGCCTCGTCTGGCTGAGATGCAGCAAACAAAACCAGTTTGAGTCCAGTCTTATGTATTATTCTGAAGTTAAAAGGAAAAAAGGTGTTTTGCCTTTATAAATTAAGATATAAATAATGTAATAACATATTGAGATGTTTCTTTTCTTTTACAGTCATAACCTTTGAATTCAAAAGGATCTCACATCGTGAATGTTGTGAACGTGTAGATGGCACAGAGCTGATGGATAAATCCATCACAGGAAAGGCCTTTTGTTGTGTTTATCGTGCTTTCTGAGCATTGAGGCTGAAGAGGTGGTTCTGTTTGTAGTGAGCACCATAAAGTTATACATTCAGTACTGCCTCAGATCCATTACTGCGTGCACTATAGAGGAGAATCGGTTTGATATGGAGCTTTCATCTCACTGTTGGTTCAAAAGGAGATTTGGCTGTGGTGAATATTGCTCTACAGATGCAAAACATTCAGGTGTGAATGTGAATGAGCCAACTGGCCTGGAAAGGAGCAACAAGTCATAGGGAAAAAAAAATCATTTTACCTTTTGGGCCATAGTCTGAATCTGTCAAGAGTGATTAAGTGAGCAACCTCCAGCAGGTGCAGCTAAGTTCCATTATGCCCAGAATGCAATTATTTTTGCAATTTTGGCAACAAAAAAAAAAAATTACAAAAAAATGTTTGCTGCAAAAACACTCAGAACTTGTATATGAGTTTTGTGAACACTGCTGAACCCAAAATGTATCTTTAAAGAAACAAACTTCCACTTAATGAGGTGATTTTACGTAAAACTGTGATGAGATGAACCAGTTAAGAAAATACCTAACGGAAAATATCACATTCACTTGCTTGCTTTGATGAATATACATGTTAGAGTCCATCTCCACTGAATCAGGTGAAGAGTATGAACTCGGTTGAGTTTTTTGTTTTCTTAAAGTGCTTTTGGGAAATGAATACTTTCTGATTGGAAGAGACAAAGTTGCACAATGTTCAAGTAAAACTGAGGCAGTAGTGAGCAGTTATTCAGTGGGTTTTACTGCACGTATACAGTCTGAACCAAACCCCACATAATCATTCTTTGTGTCCTTTTAGTTCCCAGTAAATGAAAAACATTCATTGTAATTTTAACTCAAATGGAAAGAAGCCACCAGCGGCACAGCGGTTACTTCTGTTGTTGCCGTTTCTGAACATTTCCAGGCTTGCAGTAAAAGCCATTTCAGTAAACATTTATAAAATGTAGCACTTTGCAGCTGAAGGCAGAGAGGAACAACCAGATTTGATATGTGGCGTTACTTTGGGAACCGAGCACTATAGACGTAAAAATTGCACGCATCCCTCCTTCAGTGCACAAAAAGCACATCGCTTTCCCTTCCTGACCAGTGTTCCTAGTAGCTCCTGAATGATATCACAGTAAGGCAAGCAGCTGGTCTGACAGGTTCCCTCCATCATTTCCACCGCCGCTGTCATTACGAGTGTCTGTCAGTCTTCTGGGCGAAAGACTGAGGCTATTTAAAGATTGCAGGGAGGAGGGGGCCGGCGATTTTAACTGCTGGACAGTCGGTGGTAAAAGTAGATGTAGCCCAAGTCTTTTGGAGGCCTTTCCGACAAGCACACTTTGTGGTCGTTGTAGATCACCCACCTGCACGGAGAGGAACGTTTGACAAGTTATTTTGTTTTTTTCTGGCGGAACGCTTTCAACGTGGAGACTAAACTGGTCATTTTGTCCTGTAATGTCTAAAATCGGTACAATTGTATGAAACTTTCCACAGTCATATTAATGAGATTAATGAAATACGAAGAAACACAGCTATTTTAAAATGTTTTCTGGTTGGTTTGCTCGTTTTTTTGTGTGCGCATGAGACTTTTTTCAGCTTTGTCAGCAAATAAAAGTCATTAGCGGTGGTTTAGTGACAGGGCCTGAAACTCACCTGCCCTCCTTTTTGATGTGACAAACATAATGTCCAGACATTGTGGATGCTCCCATGTGGCTGATGAAGGCAAAGAGCTCATATCCTGAGAAGGAGAAACAAGCCAAGAACAGCGTTACGCAGCGTAAACAAACAGATGCACGCCATAGCTGCTCATCATCCGACTCTAATGCAAAGTATGATAACATGCATCAAAATTTGCTGCCCCTGGCAATTTTTAAAAAGCATTCAATGCATCATCACGGTGATATTACTCTCCAATGTTCAGCAAAGAGAGTGAATGCTTCAAAATTTATGCTGTGTCATGAAATCATTCCAGTACGTTGGTGACCAATGCTTGAGTTATACATCACCTAGAGCTGAACCCACAGTGAGAGGTGGTTAAAATAGCATTCAGTAGCAGAAAATATCCTCTAAAACATTTTGGACACAGACACCTTCTGATGGTTCAGGTTGAATGTAAAATGATGTAATGCCGGACATTTTTGCTACATGTTTTCTTGTTTTTTTGGGGCCTTACTGCATGGGGCAAAGGCAGGCGGATATAAAAAAAAACAGGGCTGACGGCAGGTAAAGAGCAGTTGGGGAAAAGACTCACGTCCTGGTCCGTCTTTGACTCGAGGGCCCGGCGCGTCTCTGTCGGGAGACAGCGTGGAGTCGCTGTGCGAGTTGGCGTTGGAGAAGGCGTTGTCGTTGGGCTCGGTGTCAGCCATGTCTGACAGGGCGTCACTGTCCTCCTCCTCTGGGTGGCTGAAGATCCAGTCGAGTGCACGTTCAAGATTATTGTTCTGGAACATTACAAAGAGCGCTGAACATTACGAGCTTCCTCATTTGAACTGAAAATGGTGCTTTTCATGTTAACTGCTCCTCTGCTGCTTTTATTTCCCGTCTTGGCTCACATTAGCTGCCCTTTGGTTAGATATTCTATAATTTCGTTTCCACACAAAAATTTGACACAGTAGTAGCATCAATTTTCGTAATGTAAACACAAACTGTAGAAGACAGACGGCTCGGTAGATGAGAAGGAAATCAAGAATCTATAACAGAGCTTTCTGTGTATTTTCTCCACTCTGTTATCCTCCACAAGTTTGCTTTAGATATTGCAATCATATGCCTAATGTGTTAACTAAGTAGGAAGAAGGTGGGTAGCTTCCATCTGCGTTTAGTTCAAATAGATGTGCCGCTCCGAAAGGAAAAGTGATACGGTTTGGAGGATGCTGGTAATTTTTTCTCTCCCTTTCTCAGGCCACTGAGGCTGAAAAGATGTTCATTGCACTAAATATGGACTGACAATGTACCAGAACTGAGACCCTCTCTGCTTCGCACCATCATCCCTCAGGAGAAATGTGTTCCGTGTTTTGCTTTTTTCCACTTCAACAGCACCATGGCAGACGTGGCATTACTAGTGATAAACAAGGAAGCCGGGTGTCTATTTGTTCTCCCTACTAACAGTCTGCAGGGTTTTTTTCTTTTTCTTACTGCCGGGGCAGCTTTAAATATAAAGCATGAAATGTGAGAACGAGGGGCCATTTCAAAACAGGGAAACCAATAAATGCGCAGCAACAGCCTTCTCTTTTACTTTGAAACAAAACAAATATGACAGATTTTCTGTATGACATGGATTTGACTGTCTTTTGTGAGACGTGATGTTAAAAGGGCTCGGTGTGTAAGTGAGGTGTGTGCTGTTGCCGACTGAAGAAAAAGGATGAAATTCTCCAGTGGGTTTGGGTGCTTCTGTGACTATTTGTTAACACTATGTAGAGCAGAGATCTTTAATCTCTATGACATGTAGGACCTATTAAATTTGCAGTTTGGAAAGTGAACAAGTAGGCCAGCCAGGCTCTTTTATGACTTACAGACTTCGGTTTTCATCTTATTGCCCTCTCTTTGCCCTCCTTTTACAGCTCTGTCTCACTTCATGCTCCCTTTTAAACTCAGTCATGTGACCTCAACAGTGTTTTTAATCTTACCTCAAATGTCCTTTAGCATCTGAGAGCGTATTAGTTTATATTTTCTTGTGATGTTGTGGTGCTGCCATGCAGTCCCCGGAGGGGGCTTTCTACCTCCAGGTTCTGAAGATTTCTCTCACTCAAGTAAAACTTTTTTTCCACTTGTCATGTAACTATCAACCATCTCTGCGAAGCAGACTAAGAATCATGCACCACCCACAAAACCTTTATATCAAGTCAGGCATAATGACCATCTCCGCCCCCGCCGGCTGCCCAGCTCCCCTTGAATTCCGTCAGAATAAATTACTGTTAGCACTTCCATAAATATTAGGGTACAGGGAAAGTTGCTGTTCTCCGAAGCAGAAAAACCCGATCGCTCGTAAACTGGAGACAGATATATGCGTCAAAACCTCAATCGTTGGGAGAAAAGTGGAGCAGACCTGTTTGAATGATTGTAAGTGGATTTGTTTGTAGACGGGGCGGCAGTAGAAGGGAAGACTTACCGTGGCTTTGAGTGCGCGGATGCCGTGGTTGCGGGGGAAGCCCATTGACGTGAGGATGGAGACGCTCTCCTCAGGGGGCGAGTTATCCAGCGGAGTGGCCCCCATGGGGCTGTCACTGGTGGAAGGACCCGGATCCATCATGGTGGGCAGAGCGAGGGGCTCTGCAAAGTCTGTCAAGAGACGGTGAAATTAAATTGTCGTTGTTTTTTTTCCTAACTTGAAGGTTAAATCATTCAAGAGCTACACATCATTTCTTTAATGATGACTATATTTTGCACATTTCAAAAGGAGATTCATCCTTACTAGAAGACATGAGTGGCCTGTCCCTGATAAACTATGAAAGCCAAACAGAGTTAAATTGACTGGCCTAAAGAATCCTTTTGTAAAGCTTGCATGTGAATAACTGTTGGAGAATCAGAAGAGCTGAGAAAAAAAAGTAAAGATGTGCGAAAATTAAGAGAAATTAAAAGAACCAGAGATGGGAAGATGTCCTGGTCAAATAAACTGCGTGGGCAGGCTGTTCACATACCAGGTCTGCAAACTATCGATTTTAAAACGGTGACATAAATCCGTGAATTTTATGCCACTGAGAAAAGAACATTTCGATTGCATCATCTGCTACCTGGCAACCGCTCTGCTAAATATTGCTGAGCAACAAGATTTTCTTGATAGAATAGTGATTATTTGTTACCAGGAAATGATTTATTTTTCTCTGCTTGGTGTTTTTCTTACAACACACTGCCAGGACAAATAAAGCAATGCTTGTGGGAGCTTGTCGCTTTGACACTTTGCGTTGTAAGCAGCATTTTGATGTTGACAATGCTAGAAATTCACAACAAACACGAACACAGAAATACCATAATATCAGCAAAACCTTTTATTCTGTTGTACAAAAGCAGTTTTTCAATGTCTAGGAGATTAATCTTTTGCAACCCGTCATATTTTCATCTTAAAGTCTGGTTTCCCACTCATCTTTGCAAAAAGCATGAGATGCTTACCACCTACGAGAACCTACGTGCGACCGACTGTCCACACATTAGCAAGAATGAGTAATGAAGAGAAAATCTGCTTCTATTAAACGGAGCAATGCACAGAGACCTGGAGGTATCCTACATTTTAATCCCGAAACCTTGGGGAGAGACATTCCATTCAAAACATACAAAAGTGACCCTAAAACCCAGGGACAAGGACACTGGAACCACTATAGTGCCACTGGCCGTAAACACAGCTTTCATTACTGTCCTTGCCATAAATGCAAATGCATATCACTTATCTCCCACTACCTTTTCCATCTCAGCCTCCTTACCTGGTGTCCTTCTGGCTGCTAATGCCACAGGATGCCTGCCCTTCAGGCAAATAAATGAACAAAGATCTTAACATCATAATGTGTTTATGTTGTCATGTATAGTCGCCCAGTTCAACACTCGATCTCATCACGGCCGACCGTGATGGGTAAGTGACCATGGGGAAGGTTAAATCCGTCATCAGGGAATGAGATAGTTTCCTTTTATTGTAAATACAGCGCTCTGAAATTCCCTTCTGGCAGTGGGATGTGGGACAGATTTTTCTCTAACAGTTTAGACCCAAAAAGTATTCCATCAAGTCATTTGACATATTCCATAGAAAATAATGTATCCACTTTTCTAGGCTTCATGCGGTTCTTTCCTCTCTCAAAAGGCTTGTGTCAGAGATCCAGAATAGGACCAGTGTTGCTCCACTTTGCTCCATATATCATACAATCTGTCAGTGATTGGTCAGTTTGCATGCATGACACAGATCACCTGCCCCCCTTTTGTCACTGAACTGCAGCCTGATTTGTTGGGTGAGTAAGCAGCTGAGCATGTATGGATGTTAAATCCAAATGCATCAGCTTGATATCAAGTCTCTGCCAAGTATACTTTTCTTGTCTTTTGTGTAATTATATTTCTTCGTTTATGAACACATATCTCACTTTTCAAGACTTGACATGGTCTTTATGCAGCTGCCAAATGGCAATGTCTGTTGCTGTGCAAATTTTCATATATACAGAGTTGGGTTTTTTTCAAGAAGAAGAAAAAAAAATATTCTCAATTACACTGCCTCCTTCAACTGGAATAATGTTCAGAAAATCCCAGATGATGTAGAGGAAATGAGAAAAAAAACAGAGTTTGAAAGTCTCTAAAACTGAACCATCTCCCCAAATTGTTTGTTTGACTTTAGTATCTTTTTTATATCTTTTTAGTATCTTTTGAGTATCTCTTTAAAATATATAGACCGAGTTGTAATAAGTCAGAATTTTCTGTTTATGCTTTGTGCCATAATAAATTTTGCTGCTCTCTTGGCCCTTTTCGCGTTGCCTAAAAGGAAATGGAAGCAATAAAAAGCAGCAGTTTTGTTTAAACGACGGGCTGAAATGATGCTCATGGGAAATTTGGAAGAAGAAGAGTGAGGACAAGCAAACTTTATCAAGCACACTTGTGCGGCTCATTTTCGTCGCGATATTGAGGAAGACTGCAGCCTATTTTTTGCAGATGCATTAGCGCCTTTTAAAAAGTAACCTGCAGGGGGGGGTGCTCTAATTTCCATCCACTGTAGAGGCTCTTTACAGTCAGCCGGGGAAATAAAAGTGACACGAGTCAACTCCTCAGGGGGACAGCTCCACCGCTGTGAATCTCTGTGGCGTGCCTAATCAGCTCCCACAAAGTTTTTTGGTGATGATCTCTCACACAGACATGCACACATAAACACCTGCAGTCCACAGAAAAGACAAAGTCTGACACTTGCAAAGGCACGACGATCCTTCCACGAGATCTGACGCGTCTCTCACATTAAATTACCTTTGTGCTCAAAAAGGTCCACAACAAATAAACTTGCTTTGCCTCTTTGTCGTGATGCATTATGGTGCGCTAGCCTCACCAAGTCTGCAGCATCAGCTTACACAACCGGGCTGCACAACCAAGCCTATTTTCATTGCACCTGCTCTAATCATTTGTCACAATTATTTTTAGTTTCTCTCGGTTTAAGTTTCCTCTTAACGCTCACGCACATCCCTTATACAGCAACTCGCCGTGGTTATTTTTAGTCACCAGGAAAGTAATTGCACAACTGGGTGCTTGGTTAACTTCAAAGAAAAAGGATCCATCTTTGTTATGTTCATTATGTTGTTCAACCTTTTAAGCCTGGACTGATGCAAACACACTCAACCCTGAAGATTTTAAAGACATTTTCAGGAGTTTGATTAACCAATGGGCAAAGGAAATAATTTACAACCAAAGCTAAGGGTTTCCTCCATGTTTATGTTTTTTGTCTCATCTATATATAAGTGACTGAATTATATTAGTCCACAAGGATGTGTTGGCACAGTATTTTTAAGCTTTGGAGAGATGCTGCCTTACCAGGCTCCTCCATGTGAGCTATGATCCAGTTGAAAGCCATTTCGGGGCCCATGTTTCCGGTGTAGTACACCGCTTTCCTGCAGGCCTCCAGTGGAAAGCCCATCTCCGCCAGCTGCATAACGGCGGCCTCGTCTATCTCGGGGGCTGGGGACACACGGCACACCAACATCAGCAGCCAAACCCGCGCTCACCCATCCAAACGCTGCAAGTAACCTTCACTACAAACAAGCAACCAGATTTGTGGGGACTAGCTCTTTGGGACTCATTAAACAAAGAGATCAGAGGAGGATCGGGCCGCGGAGGCATCTTTATTGAAGGACGATTTATCAGGGAGAGAAATGAGCGTGGCTAAAATAAGCAGAGCTACAGGAAAAGTTAAGTTTGTTTAGAAAGAGAGAGAGCAGCCGCAGCACCTGCTGGTAGTCAGAACTTTAGCTCACCAGCATTCATCACTACCACCACACTAAAAAAATACATTTTCCAAATGTCTAACTTAGATGAGTGTAACACTTGTTTGATGAGCATTGCTTGGAGAAGTGAATAATACTTACAGTCTGAGGAGCTCATGGAGTTATCTGAAAAGTGAAAAGGAAAAAGTATTAACGCCTTTAACGATTTTTAAAATGCGTTCCTCCGACACGGCATGGGCAGATCGAGCATCAGCATTTGGGATTTGTCTTGTTTGTGCTGGTGCAGTGCTGCAGGCAAAATGTAATGTGGGTTTTCTGTGAGACTATGATTCCACACTGAGGCATGTGCTTTCTACAGCCTACGGCCATTATACACATCTGTTGTTGTTGTTTTTTTATATCAAATTACTCATTAACAAAAACACCAAAACGCAAACATACACTCGAATATGCCGACATTTTTTTTTAATTGAACACAAATCCAATAAATGTAGAAGCGGTTGCAAACAAACTTCTGAAATCAGATCATTAAAAAGAATTGTAGCAATATTCATCTGTCCCCATTAGGACCACAAACCCCCCTCGTTCGGATCTTAAAAATGCTAAATTTTTTACAGTGAATGGGATTAACACTTGAAAAATATTTCCTTTTCACAGTGAAACCAAACATGCTGCATTAATGTTGAAGTTCACAGATATTTCATACACTGATTTGCAGAAAAAAAAACTCCAGCCGTTTCCGAACTGGCATCAAGTCAAGATGTCATGAAATTGTCATTGTAACTATCACTGTTTTAAAACCCTGTAATCCCTTTGCTAAATTGTCACTACTTATCTGGTAAATAGCATTTATTTTACAGACATGACAACTCAGCAGAGAGCTGCTGAAGGCCGTGCGAGTCCTGCTGCCATGTCCCTGCAGCATAAATGTGTGTTGTGAATGAAGGCAATGGGTTTTGTCTTTTGTCCTGGTAATACCCCGACTGTTGTTGCACTTTATCCCCAGCCAATTTTAGCGTGCTCGCTTTTCAGAAAGAAATAATGACTCTTGGCAGTTAGTGTTAATTTAGTCTCACTGTCCCAGACAGTTTAATTCCGTTCAACACAAAAGTCATTTCAGCACGGTTTACGTGTCCAGAAAAACACTCCAACAAGATCAGTCACACAGTCTTTTTTCTTTTTCTCTCTCTTCTATACTTTGTCTGACGTAAAGAAGCACAATAAGTCAGCCGTGAGATTAAAGTTTTTCAATTTAAAACGTACAAAGCAGAAGAACCAAGCCCAGGAACGTATACCCAATGGTCTGTCGAAAATAGAAAATAAAAACTGAATAGCTCTTGTTTTTCTTTTTTCTTCCAAATGGTCTGGAATAATTGACTGAATAGATGATAAACGGTCCAGTGAGTAACAATGTGATTCAAGTTGCGTACAAGAAAACAAAATGTAATCAGTGGGAAGCACTGAATCATTTGGGAGACCGAAGGGTAACCAATGATTCATCTGGTAATACCAGGCGGAGTATAACGGACTCAGCGGTTCATTTGCAGCCAACAAAACTCTTCATATCAATGTGAAATGGATCAATCTGAGAATGTGCTGGAAAAACAGCAACTTCTTCTGACCTCTTTTCATTTCACAGTTTAACTGCATTATTTACAGCGAGGAAGTAGTTTTAACATCCCGTTAATTGAAATAGAAGCTCTCGGGGAACAACCAAGGAATTATTCAAATTACTACACCATGTAAAATTGACGGCTTCTGAAAAACATTTAGACATATGGGCATGCGTTGAGCTTTACTGTTGCCCTCCTGGACGCCTGCGTCGGCTGTTGTTGTCGTATCGGGCCCAGATATGCAATACAGCCAACATGAGACGGTTTCAGCTTTAATGTGCCACACAAGAATTTTAAGTAGTTAGTGCATCCAGAAGCCAATTCACTGTTTGCGTGCCTGAGATAGCGGGAGCAGCATATGCTGCTAAGCCCTGAAACATTAAAGGCACACTGAGACAAAGAAGTTCAAATTCCCTTTTTTAGCACTCTTTTTTTTATACCGAGATGGTGCTGCCTAAACTTTCCCACAGAAAGGGAAATCTTTAATTTTTTTTCATAATGTATGGAGCACAGCCAAGACTTTCTCAGATGTTCTTCTTGGACTCCCTCTTGTGCCTCTCCTCTGCTAAAATATTAAGAAGACGCTGAGTCGACGCGGGTGAACTTTATAAAACAAGGAAGAGAGGAAAATGGCATCACAGAGGTGACAAAAACTACATAAAAAACAAAGAAGGGTGCTGTTCTTTTGGCCTTTAGGGAAAAAAGGCTGGCAAAAGTACTTCAGGAATCCTAGTAATATCACCCAAAGAGAACTCCAGAAAACTGCCAAACTCTTCTTAGCAAGTCCCAAAACATGACACTGAATCTTCCAGTCGCCGTTTTCAAGAGAACGCCCGAAAGAATTATGACTCGATCTCATTAAATCATTAGAAGTTATTAGGCTTAGCCACACTGTGAACACAACAACTCCGCAGTAATTGGTTGAGCTTGGCTTTCCTGTGGGATTCCTTTAAGAGAGAACCTGAATGGCTTCGAGCAGAATATCGTATCAGAGACAATTTCACAGATGATTTGACTTACAGAAACGCTCCACACCTGCTGAGTGGTACTGCACATGGATTCATTCAGCGGCCCTAAGCGTCTTCAAAAGGCAACGATGAGCTGTTGCTTTGTTAGACAGTCAGAATCACACTGACTCACTAGAGGGACAAAACGACTTTTGACTAAACAGACGCAAAAAACGCTTGAGGAAAACAGCGCCCTTTAACAGCCAAACTGAGAAATGAAAAAAACGAATGACCGAAAAATGCCGCAAGTAGTTCCATTTTACATTTCCCTCCAAGAGTTTACGCAACATCGCTCCGGGTCTCTGTTGGCAATTCATTGGAGCGTGTGACCACAGAATCACTGTCAGTGAAGTTTAGGTGAGAAAAATGGAGCACTGATACCATAAATAAATATCTGAATACAGCCCTCTTTCCAGAAGACTTCAGAATTTTTTTAAGAAGTGCAAATCAAAATAGAATGTGATTATTTAGACAGTTTACAGTGGATGCTTTCTTTTTGTTTCCTGTGTAAAGTAGAACATAGGCTACATTAAACGATGAAAGAGGTCTTTTAAAGTATGAGCTTGTCTGTTTTTTTTAAATATTTTATGCTGTCTTTGCTCATCTGAAAAGTTAGACAAGCAGATATAAGGAGTTAAAACATCTCATAGTGATTAGCAGAAGGTTGACACATGTTTTTGGAAGCAAAAATGCATCTTAGGGTATATATGTGCATGGCCCTGTTGTAACAGAGCCTTGCAGCAGCTCTTCTCAGCCACCGTCTTTTTATTATAAACATTAAAAGATGAGCAGAGGACAGACATGGATTTTGTCTTATGAAGCTGTCGGTGGTTGCCGTCATACCTCTGGTGTCTTCAGGCAGCACTATGGGAGGCATAAGATCCGGCAGTTCCTCTTCACCCGCCTGTAGTCCTGCAGCTCGGAGCCGGCTCAGGTCCAGAAAGTCTGGAACATCGATGGCTAGGTCTGCAAAGAAATGTAGAATTAAAGTGAGGAAAGCAAGGCCCTGAGAGTTTTGACTAAATGTCCAAATCGGCAGAACCCTTTTTTTTTTATTGCTTTACATGGACAGAAAGTTTACTTGCTACTGTACTGTTTACTGTAATGTGCCTTGCAGAGAGCAGTTGGATGGCGCCCCCTGCTGGATATTCTTAATACTACTGACACCTAAAATAATGTTGGCAAATGCAAGCGGATATCTTTGCTAATCATCATCACATGACACAACAGTTACCAAGTTTCTTTGGCACCCAGTCGACACCAAATGTGAATTTCTTGATTTGCAGAATCAGATACTCTGGGAAGGAGGCGAACTTGGAAGTTCTGCAGACAAAATTAAACGAGAGGATTTAAAAGTTTTCGAATGCAAAAGAGGTAAAGAGTTTTTTTTTCAAGTGCTTACTTGACTCCAGCTGACTTCGCCTGCAGTGCTGAGCTCCAGAAGTCAGGGACATTTTCCGGCTCTGTGAAGGCTTGCAGACAAGCAGTGAACGGGATCCTCGCTCGCACCGGTTCAGGAGGAGCCCTCATGTTGTCCTCAGCTTCCTTCCGCTTGGCATCATATGCCAGCAGCTCCTCTGGTAATTTAGACATTAAAAAAAAAGAAAAAACGTTGACCACAACACACCAGAGAATCAACTGCACCACATTTTAACATCACCTGTTCATTGGATCAAACACTGCCAAACGCAGCGGGTATCAGACTGTATCATGGCAGCTGATGTACTTGTTTAACCCTATAATGCCAAATGTATCATATTTGATACATACGGTTTCTGAAATGTTTTGCATCTGACACGTTTTGCATAATTTAATGGTTAAAACTTTGCTCAAAATCCTATTGAACACAATCAGATATACCTGATTATGGGCGCAGAAGACTACACGAAAAATAATCTTGACTTATCGCATAGTAATAAATTATTAATTTAAAAAATGTATTTCTGTTTTTTCTTTTTACATATTTTGTTAAAAGGCCAAATAAAGACTTCAAACCAAAAAAAGTAATTTTCTGTTTTGTTTTATTCTTGGATTGGGCTTTAAAGGGTTAAGAGTTCTGTTTTCCAATGAATACACTCCTCCTTAAGCAGAGCCAAACATCTTTTCATTTGGCTAATTCTCCCAGCGGCTCATGCCACCTGAGTTCGGTAAGTTTGATCTGTAAACGCGGAGGCATGCGTGTGGGCTTGTGTGTTCTGCAGGCCCAGGTCCAGGCTCTTTCACCTCGATTGGTGGCCGCCTCTATGGGAGCTGGCAGCTGGATGCAGTAGTCCACCCGCTGGGTGTAGCGAACCCGGCGGGACTGGCAGCACTGGATCCGCTCCTCCACCAAGAAGCGGAACGCGTCGCTTGGGTTCTCAGAGCCTGCGCTGTTCCTCTGCGGAAAGGAAAACACGGCGAGCTACTGAGCGCTGAATTTGAATCGAGGAAGAACAAGGCGCACAGTAACAATGATTCACCGGTAATGCGTTTAACTCGCTCATTCAGAAGAACAACAGGTAGAGAGCACACTGGATCGGTCCTTACTCCAACACAGGGGCAGGATTGTTATTAGTATCATTATTAGTATTATTACTACAATATGTTGAATCTCATATCTCCAATGAAACTGTCATTCTGTTATACTAAATTATATTTAAGCCTTATGACTAATAATCTCCCAAATAGATATTTTTTTTGGCCTTTGGGTAATGTATCTTATGTATTGGGGGGAAAATAAGTATTGGTCTCAAAAGTTAAATCGGCCAAATCCTAAATCGGACAGCTTGTTACAAATCAATTTAAAGAATTGGGATTATCTGGAAAAGAGACTAAATAATCTCCATATCAAAAATATGGCAGCTCAGTGTCATAAATGTGGCTGTCTAAATGCAGTGGTCTATTACAGCCTGCTGGCATCACCCAGAACTCTTCAGGCAGCAGCTCAAAATGTCAATGCATGTCTTCCATTTAGAGTTTCCATTAACCTTCTGTTACTGGGAAAGTTGCATCTCTTAAAAAACGCATGAATCATTAGCACTGGTCACCGAGGGACCGGGTCACGGAGGCTGGACACCGTTTATTTGAAGACTGCGATGAAGGACGGCATCACTGCTTAACACCCCATTCTGCACGACCAAGACATTTCTGCAAGTCAGCGCTTCTATTCTAAGATGCCACTGAAATACATTAGTTATAATTTCACTCAGGCCTAGCTTGTAGGGAGGCTAACGGCGGTGGCTGTAGTGCTTTCCGTCGGTTGGTCATTTGCAGACTGTTGTAGTGGGCAGCGAGTGGGGAAAAAGGAGAAGAATGTTTAAGGGTTCAAAATTACAGCTGGTGCTCTGAGATTTTCTGTTGACATCCAGAATATGAGGGACAGGAAGTATCAGACAGGCCCCAGACTGAGTGTGATGTTTAAAGTAGAACAGGAGGCATTATCTGGCCACCCTGTGTAACAGATAGCAGGGAGCTATATATAAAGACATAAAAAGCTTGTGTGAGACTTTTCACAGAGCCTTGTGTGTCCGAACCAAACATGGAGGCAGTGTGTTTCGTCTAATCAGAACAAGATCCTGCCCTCCCAAACTCTGTTCCCCACACATTTCTGTTACATGTTTTACATCGAGATTAAGGATGTTACATTAATCCATGCTCTCATCTATGATACTCTCACCATTTCAGAAGCATATCTCCACTCACCTCCACCTGGTTGATCATGTGCAGGAGAAACTCATGGGAATCTTGTTGTCTGTTAGAGGAAAACTCTGGGTGTCCCCTGCTGACCAGTGCCTTCAACATCCGAGGAGAGATACCCTTCTGCAGGTGCTGCAAAGGGAAAATGGATATTAGCGTTAGTGTTGACGGAGGATATTCAAAATGTAGACTGAGATTCTCACTAGAGAATCCTGGTATAAATGCATCTTTAAAGGCAACGTGATCACATTAAAGAGTTTTCAATCCTGCAAAAACTTTTGTGGAATTCAACAACAAGTTGTTTGGACACAGTTCCTGCCTTTCGGTTTCTAATTTTCTTTTACATGCACAACATTTGTACAAATTCAGGATATAAATATGTTTGTCTGCTAGTGCACTGAGAGATCAAAGTACCCTTTTCCACTGATGAGTTGCTACTTAAAGAAGAAACCCACTGAAAGTGTGTTAAATTTGGGTGTTAAGCCACACCTCGTGGACAGAAGGGTTTCAAAGCACTATGAACTGTTATCAGAATAGAATTATTCTTATAAAAGAATCCCTCGCTTATTTCTTACTAACATCACAGATAATACCTGACTGTTCAACTGGTTTAAGAGCACTTATTTCAGTTTTCTGGCACGGAAACCTCTGGGAACACATGCAGCATTATCTACAAAGTCTTCTCATGTTGCTTATAATGGCTGTGACACTTCCTGTGGTTTTAATAGAGAATTGTTCATTTCAGGGAAAGGCTGGCTGAATATGAAGCTGCTGCCTTCCTCTTGGTACAGAATGACATATTTTCATACAAGAAAGTCTTTAAACAAAGCAACAATTGCATTATGCCGGAGATGATCAGATGGTTATCAATCAGACTTTTCTTAACATTAAATTTTATTGAGCTACTTTGTGATGTTGGAAAGTTTGTTTGAATTAAGGAAGCTATCAGTTGAGAAATTCCCAGACAGTACTGCCAACTTATTATTACATAGGTATAACATAATTCCAATAATGTAAACTGATTCCAATTACACTCTTTCACCTAGCACAGTGTCCAACAAAAATCAGTTCCAAAAAACACAATATGGCTTTTTGGAAACAATTGATTCATTACAAATAAATGCAGCATCATCATCTTGACATGGCATGAGCAAGACAACTCATCACATTAAATCTAAGGTGGTAGAGTACATTTATAGAGCCGGTTTAAATAGTCTATGATTGCAATTGGTAAAACTGCCTCTGTGCAAACTGAACACAACATGCCAGCACAAGCCCACCCCCTCATATCCTCACAGCTGTCAATATGTGTCCAAACTTGACTCCTCCATCACATGTGTCGGAAGTTCTAGATCAGTGCTCTGCCATTTACTGTGGCCAGCTAAAACAAGATCTGGGGTTACAGAGCTACTGTGGAGCCCTTTTATGCTTCAACAGCTTCCCTTCTCTAATTTCCAGTTAGCCGCGAGCTACAATAATGAAAAGCAATAATTCCAAATGTTGTCAAATCGAATTATTAAAGCGGACCGGGCGATAATCCAGTTAACTCAACTTTAGGTAATGTCTGTGGCCAAATTAAGCAGTGATATGGCAGCTAAATTAAAATCCAAGCAAAGTCAAATGTAATTCACGTTGGGTTTTTTGGTAATGCTGCCAAGAGCTCTTTTTAAAAGAAGGGAAAAAAAGTATAATATCACATAATCTTTGATATTAACACATAAATAATCCAATAAACATTTAGATAGAAGTAATTACTCTGAATCAGCAGCGGCAAAGCCACAATATGTCTTATTAAAAGACATCAAAGAAAAACATTTAGAAGGCTGTGGCTAAACCCAAAACATCTCATTCTGTCGGCTTTTACGACGAACATGCCTCTTGTGGTTGTGGACCCAGTTTGAGAGCTGGACATACCCCGTTTAATACCTTGTGTTCTTCTTTCATCACCTGTTCAATGAGCTCAGATTTCATGGGTGGTTTGGAGTACTGGCCTGAGAGCAGCCCGTGTCCCAGTTTAGCCCTGTCAGACAAAAACACAGGCTCAGACATGAAGTCCGCTCAGTCTCGTTTTAGTCTTGCTGGGGTTGTTTTCTGGCAGACACACAGCGATGGCACAGTGCTCGTGGACCTTCACACTTTAAACACTTTAGACAGTGCACCTGGGGAACTGTCTTACAAGGCAGCTAGCTTATTAATTTTGGGGGGGTTTCCTGTCTGAGAAGGAGCTGGCCCGAGATCAAAGGGAAGGAGGTGTTTCTATGGACCTGCACCGCTGTCAAAGGCTGCAAGGAAAGGATTTTGTTAGGGATTACCAAAGGAAATAAAAAGGCATGCATATGCAGTCCAGGTCAAAAGTTCAAACACCAAAACTAGAAAATTACCCTCAAATAACCTCGATTCTACTTTTTTGAGCTTACTGTTTTTTATGGTTGCATCATATGTGCGTTATTGAGCAAGAAATACCACTATGCCCTTATTTCTGTCTTTCTTAGTTTAACATTTCCTGACTCACCTCATGACTAGCCTCTTTCCAACATGGAAGAAAAACCTTCAGGTTGCCTTTTCGATGTTGGGATTACGTACATGTTGTACATGTCTACATATCAAATCCGCGTCACTACTATGCAAATTACTCTAAACTAAGATGACTCAGATCTGTGTAGCAGACAGATAAGTCTTTTTACTAACGGCAGCGCTCGTCTTGGCGCCGTCATTTTACTCTAAACATAATTATCAACTCTTCAGTCATGCCTGACGCTATTAAAATTCATCTGACGCTCGGTGAAATCATCACTGCAGGAGGGGCAACAGCACGCACACTTAATTCATTTGATATATTTACAACTTGTTTTTCTCCATGTCCAAATAATCTGGAGTATTTGTTGTCACTTCTCTTGTACTATGCCGGCTATTCAAAGTAATACCATACTCATCATGATCTGGATGCAATATAATATTATTGCTTAACATGTGATCAGACTTTCCTGAACTGTCTTTGAGACCAGGCCCACTTTAAATCATCAAAATATACTCAGTGTCTCTCTGAATGCTCTGCTACTCGTCGAAAGCCTGAATTAAATACTAACCGCGACAGGAGGTGTGAACATGTTTATCGGACTGCATATATCGAATTATGACACCACCACAGAGCTGACGCTCGCTTTCAAACCTACTGAAAACATCAAGCGGCAGCTGGAAAACTCCTCCAACGCTGCATTGTGTCACTTACATCTGTGTGGCAAAATCCTGGGTGGGGTCAAGGGGTGAATAGTCGAATATCCTCTGAAGATTACCCACATACCTGAAGATCAAAACACATGCCGCACATTCGCATTCGTTGGAGCACATGGGGTGGCACACAGACAAAAGATGCATGGAAACACATGAGGAACTAAAAAGCACCCTCTACTGGTACTCATACTACCCAGCATAGAGTAACCCATAAATAGACTGAAGTGATACACTTAATATTCTCATTACGATTACAAATTGCATAACAGAAATGTGAAAGAAATGGTCAATCCACCTTGGGACACTCACATTCTCTGGAAGTCCGGGATGCTGAAGAGAACCTGCATGACTGTGCTTAGATAGCAGCTGTTGCCCAGGTTTTTGATGCCCGTGTAACCAGAACCATACACAGCCTTCAGCTTCATACCCGATTCCTGGATCACCTCCCACTCGCTGACCCGCGGCCGGGGGTTATTGTCTGTGTGATGTCCATTCTCTGTCTGCAGACGGGGACAGGAGGGCTTTGTGTCAAGGCTTTTCTGTGAGCGTCGGCATCGATAAAATGATAGACACACCGTAGAAAATGCAACATCGCTAGTTTTCAGCCACACACATGCGGATGTATTTTGTTTAAAGGGCTTCATATGTTTTAGACTAGTCAACTGATGAAAGCATGTGGGGGACGTACTCGTTTCTGCATCTGTAGCATGTCGATTCCAAAGTGGGACAAGTGCTCTGATATGTGAGGGTCCAAGACCGCTTCTTCCTCCTCAAATGAGTAGACGTCTGAAATCAGACGGGCAGGATGTCAGAACGGCAAGTCCAGATTTTGACTCAAATCTTCAGAATAGTTCAACACTTTGCAGCCTTCAAGTTCCTTTAAATGATTCTTACAGATGAAAAACTTCCAAATCAAATCTGTCTTTAAGATTTATGTGTAAAAGAGTTTAATGTAAGTCAATTTCACTGCAGAGAGGTTTTTATTTCCCATGACAGCAGCTCTCAGAAAGATTGCAGGAAAAATTGGGATGATTTTTCATCCCAATTTTCCAATAATCATTCTGAGATCCTTTCATTAGCTGTCTCAACAAATGAAAGGAAGGTTGGACCTCACAGTAAGAAGGAACCCTGCAGCAGCAGATAGCATTAATTTATGTCTTTCTTGGGAAGGTTAAAGCATGTAAAATATTCTTTTGAATTCCATGATAAAAGCCTATAGATAATTACCTCTATGGCAGTATAAAGAACTGCCATAATTTCACGCAGAGATTGTTTGGTTTGTAAAAGATATTGTCTGTCCGCTGAGTCTGGCTAATTAGATAAGACTCATTACATTATTCAGTTCTACCATAATTTTATCAATTAACTCGGTTATTTTTTTCCATTGTAACCAATGAAAATAAAAATGCTTTGACATTTTATGAAAACAAAAGAGCGGTTCCTGTAAAAACACATTGAATATCAGATAGCGGATATTAGATTAATGCTGCATTTCAATTATTCCAGCCACTCAACGTATCTCAGACCTGCTCCATCTGGGGTGATGGTGTCCAGTTTCACGGCCAGGGGGTAGTTGGTTTCCCTGTAGTGCTCCAGAGCATGGCCATTACCCCCGCTCCCGTCGAAGAACCACTTCCCGCAGAACACTGCTCCATCCGTCAGGTTCAGCCACAGGTTTTCCCTCATCTCACATTTCTGACACTTCCAGCCACTGAGTCCAAAACACAAACACACGCACACAAAAGAAGACTTGTGTTGTTTTTGTGTGGATGCTTTGTCTTTCAATAGGATATTGTTGAATTATCAAATGAGCAACTGATGGCAACCATCAAATTTTCCTAAGAGTGGAAATAAGGAAACCGAGGATTAAAAAAGATGCCCAGTTGTCCTTATTCCACCCCATGATCAGGTTGAGAATCTACAGTTACATCGTCTTTGGTGACATTAATGAAATTATACCAGAATTATCTCAGAATCTCTATTTAAATGATTATGTATATATGCACAATTCTAAGATTTTTTGTTTGTTTTTTTGTTAATCTCTAAATCCGTGGTATCTTGAAGATGTTACACAGTGCTGTCCTAAGGCAGTAAGCTAAATCCTACATAACCACCTTGAAAGAAAAGTGTCTTTGACAGTTCCGGTGTGCAGACAGGATAATATTTTAACATCATCAGACTGTTTGGTGTCATTTCCACAGACAGACACACAGACTTGAAGGACTGGAGTTCGAGATCCCTGCCTTACAGCAATGTGGGATGACATTGTTCCTACCTGGGTGGGATCCGCACCCCGTTATCGAGCTGCCTCAGGCTTCTGGCATGTCTGGAGACCTGGATCTCCTCATCCCAGGACTCAGGTTCCTGCTTCTTGTAAGCCGATGATGCATTGAGCACTGCGTCACAGGCAATGGTCACCTGGACGTCGGACGGGACAGTAGATCAGAAAGTAGGCATGGCGTAATCTCCCTCAGATTCAAGAATCACACACTAATTTTAGCAGCCATGTAGCCACATTTAATTGTCATGAATGGCAATGACAATTAAACTTTGAGGACAGCGAGCAGTAACAGAGTAACAAAGTCAAAACAATTACATACTATTACTACAAGAAAAGGATTAAGAAAAAAAACACACACCCCAAAAATGCCTGAGATTTAAAAAAAAAAAACACTCATGCAAAATATCTCCAACAACACACAATAATTCAAAGTCGGATTTAAAAAGTCATTAAATACAGCCATGCCAAAGCCAAGCTTTAAACACTAACAGCAGTAGTGACGTGTGAATGTTGAACTCCATGCAAGAGATAAAAACACCAGCATGTGCACTATGTGGTTTCCCTAAACGTCACATAAAAAGGCCAATGCCTTACACAGCCATTAGACCAGGAAGTGAGAGAACCACTGTGGGATATAGGGTTTTATAGGTTTCAATTGAAGGTAGAAGCTTTTTTAACAGTCCTGAGGCCCAGGGAACCACCGAGTGCATCTCACCCACAGGCATGCACATAAACAGCACCGGATCACTGACCAGAGCAGGCAGCTCCTCAATATTTGGTAAAGGGATCTCGAAGTGGTCTGGAAAAATGACGAGCTTGGCCTCATCCTCATACTCATAGTCCTCGCCGTTAAAATCACGGTTAAGCTCTAAATCTTCAAGGGAGGAAGCAAACTTTCAGTCAACTGCACATAAACAGCGACCGACTCTCGATATTTTATCATTACACACTCAAAGTTGAGTTTCAGGGTCTTTTTATTTTTTTTCACTTGGAATCTTATTTTAGTTTAAAGTTAATTGTTCAGATTAAGACTTTAAAAAGACCTCTAAAGAATATCTAATACCAAATTTGCTCTTGCAAAATGCATAAACGGCCTAGAAGGCTTGTTTGTCAGACAGCTTCAAAACATTTGAGATATTTCTCCAGAACTGAAAAAAATATCACAAAGAGCAGAAGAACTCATGAATGAAAAAAAAGATCATACAGCATGAAGCATGAATAATGTAAAAACTGAAGATCATTCTTAAAGTAATAAAATGAAAAACTTTGTAAAATTCAAATGTCACATATATAATTGTATGCACTCACATTACAAACTAAGTTCTGTTATAAAAGCACATTTGAAGTAGAAATGTATGCAGATACATCACATTTAACATCAACTTAACAATAAGCTACACAGAAGGAAATCACCAGTCAGAGGCCTCAGTATAGAGACAGAAGGAAGTAATGAAAGAGCAGCAGAGGTTGGGGAAATATAGGGTAAGAGTAAGTGAGAATATCTTAAGAAGATAACACACGTCATATTTTTTAGCGCAAATGAAGTCTAATTAAACATGCAGTTTTGCATATAGTGTTAACTTTTTTTGATCAAACCCCCTAATGTGTCACAATTCAACCAGAAAATAAATCAAATAAATAATTTAGGTGAAGAGTAATTAAGAAAAAGATGTTAAATCTCCATTGTACAACACAAAACCGAAAAGTGTAAATCAGAGTCGTTGTTCGCAAAGCAAAAATTCATTATTGATCACATGACTGAATTAATCAAAGTTGCTGTAATTTACAACTAATTAAGGAAGTTATATTATTTATACCACTTTAAGTATTTATAAAGACAAATAAGAAATATTTCCTTTTTATCTGGGTTTTCTTCTGGTTTGAAATAGATAAATGAAGATGCCTCTGTAAAAATATAAATACATTTTCAAAGTTTTCTATGATATAGAATGCAAACAATTATCAAAGAAATACAACAACAACAAAAACTCAGTAAGGACTATATTTTTTTAACCGATTTTTCCCTTGACATTTGTATTTTCATGTCTTTGATATATTCCTGATACACAGGTATCTGTTAAACCGCTGTCCTTATGAAGCCGTCTGTTCCGTGCTTCGGCCTAAAGTTATGGGATGACTCATGTGAAATAAATCATAGGTTATCTCTGGCATTGTTATGATGGACACCGGTGGTAAAACATGACGTTAGCAGCTAACCGCCGGATTAGATCACAGAACTGGTATATGGGATGACAGTGGGCACAAACAAATCCCATCAGAGGATGATGATGATGATGTTAAAAGAGACAACAGTCATTTGCAAAAACAAGTAAGGACGTAAGGAAACAGCAACCCCAATAACACAGTCATTTTATTCAGTAAAGTGGAAGGAGGGTGAGGAAGAGGCCGTCAGACCCCTGGCCCTCTGTGAGGAGCGTCATCACAGTAAAACGGTCAGAAGTGTGTCAACCCCGACCGGACCCTGACAGCTGGTGGCAGCTGAGAGGCCAGCAACTGCCGGGAGGCGGCCCCACTGTAAACCAACCACCCCACACCCACCCCGAGGATGGGGAGGAGAGTAAGCCAGGCTTTGATTTAGAACAGTTACCGGCCACGCATAGAAATAAATGGGCCACATTTAGACCGCAGGAGGAGGAGTCGGGGGCTCATCATGGGAAATATCAGACACTTTTGGCAAAGGCCAGCGAGAGGGGAAGCTGGTGGGCAACAGATCTATCCTAATTTTAATTAGAAGTGTTTAATTATAAAACTTCTATTTACAACATAAATAACCAGATATATTAAATTATTCATTTTAGATACCGATTCTATCATGTTTTGCATCTGTTATACATCTGAGGGAGGTGTCTATTTACATTCTCAGCCTTTTGGGTCCTGTCAAGAGCTTAAGTAGCCTTGGACTTGATTTACATCATCATTCAAGACCAATTTTCCATTAACATTATGCCAGTATGAAGCCAATTTGGCTCGCATAGCTTTTCAGAAATGTCCTAAAACAACTGATTGGACTGTAATGTTACATTGCTTCACACTATTGGCGTCCAGCAACCGTCTTAAGGGTGTCCCCTGCTGGACTGCCCACCGTAATAAAAATGTATTTAGCGCATCAGCCCCACAGACGATGACCTCATGGGGTCAGAGCTTGCTGACGCTTTGCAGGTGGGTTCTGCACATGGCTTAAACCTGGCCCAAATCCCAGGTCACCAGCTTGGTTCCAGCAGCAAAAACCAACACATGCCCGAACCGTATGGAGGAACACAGCAGTGTTTATGACGACAATGCTCCACACGCACGGCTGTGCGTCACCCAGCACGTGGTTTGCTTCATCAGGTCACATTTAACCAAAAAACTGTCTGGAATTTTCTGATTGAAACCTTGGTCACTGAGAGATCCACTTTTTAAATATAACTGGTCCTTCCTAAAATTGAGAAATGAGCCCCTTGCTTGTAGAAAACCTGTGCCCTGTGCAATATAAACAGCTTTAAACTAGTACATTTATAGCATTGCTTGCAGGGGAAAAAAACAAACAACTTGAGCTTAAAGAAAGGTAGTTTTCTATTATCTGCTAAATTTTTCACATGAATATCTATTTCACATAATTTTTTCAAAAGAGGCTCATTACTTTTGTTATTGTGAATTTGGGAGACAATATCATCTGTTCTTTTTGCATTTAGCATCTAGACTTATTTCAGATTACATAGACTGGGCAGTAACGTCCAACAATGATCATCCCCCACATTTAAAGATGGAGAAACAAGTTGTTTTTCCACCACAGCTTTGTTCAGGTGAATTCTATTGTTCGAGTCAATGTATATTTTAAAGTGAGGGTCCAGTAGGTTAGCAGTTCCTTACTTATTACCCTGGTAAATAGGTTAAATCATAGCATCTGCTTTCATCCAAGTTTTTTCTTGTTAACAGAGGTATGTGTGCCTTCACTGACCAGAACTGGGAAACAGTGCTTTGACCTACCGAGGAAAACTTTTCCATTTCTTCGTCTGGGGATGGCGCCTCCTGCAGCTCCTGTGGCTTTCTGCAGGAAACACAGATCGAACTGGATAAGAGCTTTCATCTCAACAAAATCCCACCTCACGTACATTTTTAATAAGTATTACCATCTGTCGGTTGATATTTGAATAAAATTCCAATGAACTGAGAAACCTTACTTTTTATTTCTATATTTTTTCCCTCTATATGTTGTGGGATATCAAGATGGTTGTCATTTTGTTAGAAATAGATCGTGCATGTTGCAGCTTCCAGGTCAGGTTACCAACCAAGTGGAAACCCCCTTCTACGGTGGCAGGGTCAAAATTACAGGGTGACTAATTGAACTGTTGCACATATTGATTTGTGGACAACGACAGGTATTATTAAACACGTTTGGGCTCGTTTTTGTCACCAGTGTTGGTCATCGTCTCCATGTTCTCATATTGCTCTTTGCTACAGTCGCACAGGCCAGAAAAGACAATTCTTACAAAAATAATGCTCATATTTCAGTATTCATGTGTTGATTACCAATAACAGAAACACACCAAACAGGTAAATCATTTTTACACTACATTCATTGACAGGACCAAGACTAAGATTTCTGACGCACTCACAACAAAGTGGAGTCAAATGAGAGAAAAACAGCAAACACAGCAATTTTGGGTTGCTTTTTGTACAATATGTATGTATATTTTTATATATATATTATACATTTTTTTATATATGTGTGTGCTTTTTTTTTTTTTTTACTTTAACATTTTTGTATATTGAGCTAACGGTGACTTTTAAACATTTGATTGTGAGACAACCAAATAAATAAAAATTCTTAACAAGAAAAGTGTTGGCTAAATCACAAACAGCTGCAGGCAAACTGACAGATGTACGTACAGAACTACAGATTGAAAAGAAAACACCCACAAACCCTCCGACAGAGGGATTAGAGCGGTGTTTCTTAAACCTGGTCCTCAGGGCCCAAATACCTGCATGTTTTCCATGTTGCCCATTTCCAGCACACCTGATCCGGATGCATATGTTGCTTCCATCCTTCTGCAGAGCTCAGGAGCTGATCCATTCATCAGAATCAGGCGTACTGGGGTCGGGCAACATGGAAAGCATGCAAGTATTTGGGCCCAAAAGACCAAGGTTAAGAAACACTGTTTTAGAGTAAGTTGTTTTCTATTTAGTGGCTCAAATTATGCAATCAGTCACTTAGATTTATGCCAAAGTCAACATGGAACAAAGAAATCATACATATACGTATATATACATACACAAACATAAAAAAAACTTCTAATTAGGACTACTACTCTTACTTGTATTGGTAATAGTACTGACTGATTTTTTATAGCAAAATCAACTCAGATCTCCATGCAGGAGGAACACTGACCTCTTTGACATGCCGCTTGAGGTGCATGTAAACGCTCTGTCCTGTTTTGCGATAATGCCTCTCCACATGTTCCCGACCAAAGCCCAGGAATGTGTTCATACACACATACAGGCCCCCCTCGGACTCCTGCAGACCAAAACAAACAGCATCATTAAGCAGCAGCAGGTTCAGAAACAACCAAACCTGTGTAGAAATCCTCTGAACGTACAGACGCTCTGTGATATTTACACCAACGGAAAGATGATATTCTTAATTTCGTATAGGCCACAACTAACCGTATGATGGGCTGATAATTCTACATTGCAAACAGGTTAAAACTGAATGTTTTCATATCATTTCAGCCAAGGCAGATCAAATAAATAAACATTCTAAAAAATGTACGAACTGCTACATTTGGTTTCATAAAAGCTATTTCACACAGCAACATTTTCATTTTTTTTTTTCTTAAAGCATTCTGTTATGGGGGATAAAATGGAAAATTATTTGTACTAATAAATATTGTGGATTTCAGTGAGCTGCTTGCACATCCTAAGCAGGCTAACCGTGTCTAAACAGTGAGGTGCGTTACCAAAAAACAACAAAACACAAACATACGGTTTCATCATTTTGTGGGCAGTCTAAGGTGGTTTCAGAAAGGAAGATAACTTTGGTGTCACTGGGGCATTTCACTGTTGGGGCAATAACATCCCACAAATCTTCAGACGCAACTTTTCGGAGACAAAACACCAGGAAAACTTTCTCTCAAAACTAACCTAGATCTACAATCAGTTCAGGCTTCAGGAGCCCCGGCGTTAAACCTTTAAGTGGCCCAGAGTGACATTTGAGCCTCAACAGTGCACGGATAAAAATAAACCAGTCCTCAGGCCAACATGATGAACTCCAGACAGCTGAGTCACCTTTAAAAATGGTTCCAGTTCAAAAAGTTTTGCCGGAAAGCTTCTGGAGAAAAGAAAAACATCTATTTCTCACCATTTCTTTCTTACAATTTGGAACTATCAGAGATGATTTGATCCTCAAACCCAATTACTGAGACATCCAAATGTTAGAAAAATACTCTCTTCATTGTTTTGATGCCCTCACTGTGTCCTAAATGATAAAGGGAAGGGAATTAAAGGAATTATGCTTTAGAAAGTGTGTGTTTAGGTAAAAATAACACAAAAGTATCCAAAAATAAGTCTAAGAGGCTAACTTCTAAATATAAACAAGGGGCTGGATGGGTATTTTGGTAGAGCCACATCAACTTTTCATTGTTCTGTGTGGTCTCGCTGTTGATGCCCAAAGAAAAAGATCCTGAATGAAAGCTGGTTCAGGCACAAGGGACAAACAGCACACATGTAGCACCAGAAGAAGAGGGTCACATGAGTGCACTTTCCTCTCAATTATAAGCGTGGGGGGGGGGGGGTTGCATAAAACGACAGGGTTACCGTATCAAGAGGGAATCCTTTCAGGCAGAAAAGCCCTGAGGTGACGCAGGAAAAGCCTGTCAGAGGTTTCCCCCGAAACTCATCCAGGTGTGAATCCGTTCACCGGCCTCCGGAGCGCACAAAGGAGGGGGGGGAACCCCCCCCCCCCCCCCATCCGTCTCACTCTCCCCAGATGTAAACACAATCCCATTGTTGATTTCCCTCTCAAGTTCACGGCCACGGACCCCAACGCGCGACCACAGATTCACGTGGGTCGTTTGGCGCACCGTCAGCCCACCTGAAACGCGCATTTCACCCCTCCCCAAACACATATACACACACACACCCCCCCAAAAAACCCAACCTGGGTGTGTGGGTGCGGGGCGCACTTACGGGAGAGTCGAAGGAAAAGGCGCACTCGCTCTTGAAAACCCTGTCTCCGGTCCTGGGGACTCTGATGGTGGGCATGAACGGGACCAGAAGCTCTCCCAGGTCTGCAGCCATCTTCGCATTCCTGCTTCTCGCAGCACAGTGCTGCGGAGCCTCCGGAGCAGCGCTGTCACAGCCGAGGATGCTATTTTTAAAAGCACCCCCGTCTCTACATTCCTGCAGCCCGGCGGGATGTGACGCTCGGAAAAAGCGTCAGAATAAAAGGACAGAGGGTTGGGGGGGGGGGGGGGGGGGGTTGGAGGCTGGCTTTTGTTGTCGTTGTTGTGGCCGAATTTCTCGTTTGTTTGTTTGTTTGTTTGTTTGTTATTCTCGCTCCCAGAGCTTTTGGGGATTTGGTGATGGCGGTTTCCGCACAGAGATGATTTACCAGAAGGGCACCTCCCACATCCGTGGATGATTCAGGGAGCCATCCACCTTTCGGATATCCAGCGTGGTTTTCCCTTCAGGATTCAGAAAGAAAGTGCATGTTTGCATTGATGACACTGCTTAAGTTGCAACTTAAAATCCCTCATTATGATGCATGATATCCTTTTGTTAGATTTGTAAACGTTTTTTTTTCTAAAAGGAGGCGACCTTCCACTCATCTGTATTTATCAACAGCATTTTGTCAGCGTTTTGTCATTTATAAGATAAATGTTTGGATAAATTTTGACAGAAAAAGTTGACATTTTGAAGCAAATGTCACATTTTTACTCCCGTATTTACCCATCAGACATCCGCCACGTGCTGCCACCCTGTGGCCACTTTTGTGCATTGCAACAAATGTGGACGTCACAGACTTAGAAGATGCATTCACACCACGTGCGTTTGTAAGATGGTTTAATAATTACGAGGGAGTATTCAAATTTAAAAGCCAATAGAGGTTGGTAGAGGAAAACATTAATTATTGCCAGTATATATAATCAGGACATTTTAATCAATCTTATATTGTTACAATAATTTGGCCCTCAAACAAATGGCATCGTACCTGCAGTTATCTGGTTTGCAGTCAATCCAGTTGAACATTTAGCTCTTTGACAGTAGTAAATACACTGAAAAACCAGACTTTAGAGTACATATAGATACTTTATTTACGCAAGAGGGAACAAAAATTTACAAACAGACTCATCAGCAGAAAGTATTGATGGCATCTGCATTAATTGTCAGGTGACGCCTTTGGGCTGTTATCAATAAGCTCCTTGTCCAGGGTGGGCACGTGGAACCAGGGGCCGTCTCCAGTGTTCCTCATCTCCCGACGCACCTCCAGCTGTGTCAGTCTGTTGTCGACAAGAAGGGTTGAGAGAAAATAGTTAAGAATCCAAGTGACACAGACTGTCACAGTGCAAGACAAATCTGACTTTTGCTATTTAATCGTGGCAAAAGTTAGATTTGTAACATGGGCCTTTACAGAAACTGCCTTGTACTTAACAGACTGAAGTTAAATACAAGCTTTGAGAGCTTTGTCACTGTATTTTTATCTCTCAATCATAGATTCTCCCCCATCGCTGGCTGAGAACTCCTTTTACACAAAATCCTCTGTCTCAGTAAAATCTAGCTTGCGAAGAATAAAGCTGCTGACTGGCAACCGAAAGCCTTTGTGCCCATGTATTAAAGGTCCTAAACATTCGGAGATCATGTCACCCAAGGCTAAAAATAGATCTACCCACACCAACAATCCTATCACCAACACAAAGCATGTTGCTTTAGGGCCAAAACGTGTCCCTTTTGCATGCATGCACCCATCAGCCATAGTCTGGTGACTTCCGAGAGCGAGAGACAGTACTTCTGAGCATCTACAGTAGCCAGCCTGCTCTATCCGGGGCACCACTGATTAAATAACGTTTTAAGATAAGCTAAATAGTTGTTGGTATAGCTGGGCGTTTCATCTTTACCTGAACGTCCCCACAAACTCCAGCCTTTGTAAATCGTGCTCATATTTTTGCTCTATCTTGGCCTTCTTGCATTTGTGTGGAAGCTCACCTCATGTCAGCCTTTTCCTTCTCTATCTGGATGGCAGCCATCATCTTTTCATAGTCCTTCACTGGTGAATCATACATGTTTCGTGCAATCCACCTGGTGATGGGATGCTGCAACGACCGGAGCAAAGAAATGATGTCACACCTCATGCAAAGCAAGTGAGGAAACCGTTTGTGGAGCTAACCCAGACTAGTGCTTTGTTGAATAATAAAACTCCATATGATATTTCATGGAGTTTAAGGAAAAATGAACAGCAACATTACATCAAAGGAAATAAATTAGAGTCTCTCCTCAGGAATATATGCCAGTACTTTGCATTAATCACACTTCAAAGATTCAAGGTCTTATATGAATAAAGCAGGAATTTAACACACATGTTGGCACTCCATCAAAGACAGAACAGTAATTATGATATCGGCCCTATCAGGAGCCAGTTGTCACAGCAACAACGCAAAGAGCCAAAGAAAAAGTCACACACCTTGTAGTACTCCCAGTGCTCAGGCTCATAGTCTTCAGGGATTTCAGCAAGCTCTGCCTCACCTGCACAGCATAACACAGGGTTAACTTTGTTAACATATTCTCCTTTTTTTTATTAATATTTTCTCTTTACCACGAAACCCAACTGACACCAGGAGACTTTAAATACTCACCAATGAAAACATTCACAGTTGTGACAATTATGGCCACTGGAATGCCAGTCAGCAGGATGTAATATTGCTGTGAGAAAGAAAGCAAAAATACAGCAATGATTCTTCAGGCCCAACTTTTAAATCACTATAATCAACTTCTGCATCCTGAAAGAGTCCAGGAAAAGAGCCCTTATAGCACTCACCAGCAACCGCAGAAATCTCCTGTCGTAGTAGTCCGATGGTTTGATGACAAACATTTTCTTTCCATGACCCCAACGAACAGCCACTGGAAAAAATAAACTTTTGTCATGCTCATTCGTGTCTGAGATCAAATATGTTCTACTCTATCATGCAGATATAATGAGACCACGTGGAGTGGTTATTCATTATACTCCATGCTATTCAAATTCATTTACACTTTTCAGATCAATATCACTTTTCTGAACTTGAATACCCAGATTCCTCTGATGATTTTACATATTTTTAATAAATAACCAACAATAATTCATTTTATATAATCATCTATATATAAATCATCTATATGAACGTTTTCAAAATATCATATATGAAACTTTGAGGATGTGTCTTGAAAAACCTTTTAATAAATCACAATCAAGCTGATGGAATTCTGATGCAGCACAATAAAACACTGTAATTTGTTAATACATAGTTTAACAAATCAATTTTGTATAGGGTGGGTTAGGGTTCTAACATGATATGAGAAAAATTAAGGATTTGGTACAAAATTCTCGACTGTAAACCACCAAATGTGTTCATGATGAAAACGCCTTTTAAATGCACTTAATTACCATCTAAAATAACCACATGTATTTGTTATTGTGAAGTTACTGTTCTGTTGACAGCAGGACAAACGCGACCAGCTAGTCAATGATAGCAAGCTAATAAGTCCAGGCGCAAGGTCAAAACAGAAGACGGATATCTTCGGGTTTAAATCTCTCGTGTTTGAAACCACACACGGCTGCCTTACCTTTATCTGTTCTTGGGATGGTTCGAGTAAGTAAATTCGCTGCAGTATTTCCAGATTTAAGTGGACTCAGTCTGGCCGCAAAAGCAGCGGCAGACCTAAGAACGCTCATGCCCACCATGGCTACTGTGGGAAGACAGTCCAACAACGCGAGATGTGATTGGTCGAGGAGAAAGTGAAGCTGAAGCGGACATAATTGATAAGGGCGCAAACGTTTTTTCATTAAAAAAATATCCAGATTGATTTATTAAGTATACAATTACTCTCCAGAACGTCGTATGTCTGAGTAGAACAATTTTACAATTAGTTTGATTTTATTTGTGTGGAGGGGGGAAAAAGGAAGACTTGAGAACAATGCATACTGGGTAATATTTGAGGTAGTGTGTTAAAGATGGCGGCGTCCTCATCTGCAGGACGCGCTTTGACTCTTTGCAAACAGTTTCAGAATTTCTTCAGGATATCTTCAGGGTTAACAACAGAGTACTGTGCTGTGAATCTGACAAAACATCAGCATAATGTTTTCAGGTAAGGAGGCTGTTCCAGTACGGAAAGTATTTAATGATTACTGCAATAGAAAACGACAATGGCCCTTTAGGTCCTCTTCTATCGTTTTGCTGTCATAACATAGAACATATTGGATGTCAGCTGACCGTTGTGTCAACGGTTTATATGTGTAATTTATCCATTTCTGGTTACCAGCTAGGATGTTAGCGCTCACTGACATTATAAAACGACTCCACATGCCCAATGGTGTTTTCTCAGTATATGTGTATACTGTTTGTAATTCACTGGATCTAACAGATAATCAGCACAAAGATGAATCTGTTGTCAATCATATCTAAATATAAGCAGTGTATTTGTCCACGTGAAACTGACTTTTATTTTCACAAAAAGTACAAGTTGTTGGCTGAGGCAAATGAAACAGGGATTTAAATAATTGTATTGACTGAAAAAACCTAGTAGTCATTTAGCTAGTTATTTAGATTTCTACATTGTTTTGCTAATGGTTACAAAGACCACATGGAAAGCCACAAGCAATGCGCAAATGAGAAAATGACAAACCATTAAAAGCTCAAATAAAGTGAAATGGAGGGACAGGGAGTCAACATTTAAGGATTTTGAATATTGAACATGAACAATTATTCAGAATGAATTTTATACAATATCTTACAATCTGAATTTATTTTGCACCCGGCAGGGAAAAGTCTTCACAAGTCACTCCGTCTCGGATCGCTCCTTTAAACTTTGTGGGTCAGTACCGGTCTGTGCATACAACCATCAGCAGGAGAGGACTGGATGAGTTCTTTGACTCGCCTGAGAACTGGGGAGAGACTTCTGTGAAGTCAGGTAAACAAAGAAATATTCAAACCTGCATGTGTATTAGCATCAAAGCACACTGACGTTGACAATCATGTTGGTATCTTTTTCAAATTCGTTAGGACTTGTAAAAACTTTAGAAACTTTAGTCTGCTTAAGCTTGTTTGTAACTCTTTTTTTATTGTGGCCCAGGTGCACCATGGACTGCCAGACAGCTGAGAACAAAGAGCAACGAGGACTTGCACAAACTGTGGTTAGTTGTGGAGTGTGGGGATGACGCTGGTTCTGGTCTTTCTTACAGTTCACTGACCGTACCGCTTTGATTGTCCCAGGTATGTGCTGTTGAAGGAGAAGAACATGCTGATCACGCTGGAGCAGGAGGCCAAAAGGCAAAGGGTTCCGATGCCTAGTCCTGAAAGGGTTAAGAAGGTTGGGTTCCTGCTCGCTTACTGGAGATGTGATGCAAGCGTGGTGCAGTTTGTGATAGTGAGCGAATAGCTGATTAGACATTTCTGCCACCCGTCAGATTGAGCGGTCGATGACCAGACTGGAGACGGTGGTGGAAGAGAGAGAGACGGCTCTGCGTCTGCTGCAGACGGGGCAGGAGAAAGGCCGGCCGGGAGCGTGGAGGAGGAACGTATTCGGATACGTCTACTGGTGAGGGAGAGCCACACAGTATATCTTGTCACACACAGAAATATGGGAAAAACCTTGCTTTGTTTACTTTGTACGCTAAGCTTTGTTTAGTTCCGTTTAGCAGCTTTTATCAAATCGATTTACAATGCAGATACAACATTATATTTAACACAAAAGTAACAATAAGCTATATTGGATTAAATCACTTGTGAGAATCTGTTAGAGATGAGTGATGGGGGGGGGAGTACTTGTATTTAATCTCACCAATTCCACCACAAAAATCGTTTGTACATCTTATGTTTTTGTTTTCATAGAAAGAGCATCAACTGTTGATATAACTGAAACCGGATCTGAATCCTGACAGATCAGTCGTTAGACTTTTATTAGGATTTATGAAGTGCATCATTTATGTCGGTGCTTGTGCCCCCAGGTATCGATTCAAAGAGTATGCCATCCCCTGGTACATGAATAAAAGATACAAGCGCAAGAAGTTCTACACGCCCTTATTTGTCCAACCACACATGAGGTAAGGCTCAACATCAACTTCCACTTTTTAATGATGGAATGAGACTTTCATTTGCCAATCATAATTTGTTTTTCTGGCAGGTTACGTGTGGAGAAGTACCTTCGGGAACGGGCCAGGAAAACAAACTTAAAGAAGCGAAGTGTGATCAAACTGAAGGAGAAGTTCCCTCAGATGAAAGTTCCCACCCAATGAAATTCAACTTTGTGTTTTTTGTAAATGAGTTCTGTGGTGCTGAGCAGTCCCCATCCGCTCGTGTGATCTGTTAATGGTCGCTGCGTTGAATTTCTGGAGCTGTTAATAAGTCCTACATAAATTATATTAAACCCAGATGAAATGTGTTGTTTTCCTCCAAAACAAGAGGCTGAAGCTTTCAAGTCTAACACAGAAGGACAGATATCTGTATTGGGTGGCTTTTACGAAAACAGCACTAATTAAACAAAAAAGAACTTTATTTTCCAAAAGACAAAATGCAGGCAATGACATGTAAAAGTGAAAATTAAATACATTTTAGTTGACAAGTTAATAATGACAAATGACTAACTTGCCTGTTCCAAAGACGAGCAAACCTGCTACATGAAAAGGAATCTGAACAAAAGACTATTTATGCTCTTCTGAATCATCTTTCCTTCTAAACCAGACAGTTTTCCCAATGTTCTCGACAGTCCGTTTGTTTTGGAGACTGTAATTTCCCAGCGTCGTCAGAAACTTGCTTTTTTAAATGACACAAATGTTTCCATCAACCATTAAAAATTAAGGCAGCAGACTGTAAAGACATGAGCAGAGGACTGAAAAAGTGTGGCTGTTTAAATTCTTCGGCAAGTTCCAAACACGTCTATGGACCAACTGTTTCTTCTTTTTAAAACAAATCAGACTAAATAAGAACGGGGTGCTTCTGAGTCTGGGTCAGAGGGGATCGCTTCACAATGCTGAGCTTGTAGCAAAGATGATGCAGAGGAGGGTTTGGAATCAAGGGCACTTCCTGTCCACACACTGCTTTCCACCCTCCTCATACTCCTGTTTGGAGATCCACATCTGCTGGAAGGTTCCCTGGAAAACATAAAACGACATCAGAAATGATCAGTGGCTGAACATAGAGGGGTTTTTAAAGTGATGCACATATGAAACACTCAGAGAAAACTAGACATTCTGAGTTTTAGGTATTTCCAAGTGGGTCCTTACAAGCGAAGCCAGGATGGAGCCTCCTATCCAGGCACTGAACCGGCGCTCCACAGTGGTGCTGTTGGCAATCAGCTTCAGCCTCATACTCTGCAAATGAAGCACAGAACGGCGCACGGCGCGTTCAGAAATCAAATCCACACACGCGATATTAATGTTCTGTAACTGTATTAAGGGGACTCCTTACCGGAGGGGTTTTCTGGGATAGTTCTCTGTTCAGGCGGTCGGTGAAGCCCTGAATGAGCGTGTTTCCTCCCGACACCACCACGCTGCCATACAGACCCTGAAAAACACGCCAACGCTTTCAAAACAAGTCTCTGATGCTGCGAGCAGTGCTTCGGGAAATATTCTAAACAAACGGTCAAAGTCTACGAACAATGCCTGGTGGGTGAAACCGTCACACTTCCTGTTAGCATTCGCATACTGAACTCCCCTTTGAAAGGAAAGTCTTATCCAGGATCCGATATGCTGTAATGCTGGTACTCACGGGTCGGATGTCAATGTCGCACATTCCTACACTTGTCGTCACCACGTGGCCGACTCCTAACATGGTGTTTCCAGAAAGGCCCTGGGAAAAAAAAGTTATTCCTTTAGACTGATTCTTGATAAACAGCATTAAAGCATTTCTTTAACCCCCTTCACAGCTGGGAGGGAATCCAATTCTCCAAGCAGCTACTGTCTGCTGGCTGACATACCTTGGCATTAGAGGGGTCAAACAGCCCCTCGGGGATCTTTAGCCTCTCGGCCCCAAAGTCACAGTTGTAGCCGTTGGGCAGCTCATAGTGGACGGTGGGCATTTGGGCTGCAACCCTGAACAAAAATCGAGCAGTTCGTAAGGTGGTTCTGACCTCCAGGAAACATCAGTTTGAACCTGGAACTCAGATACAGTAGAGCCTCTACATACAAATTTAATTTGTTACGGTACCTACTTTGTATGTTAAAATATTTGTATGTTGGTTCAAGTATTCCCATAAGAATACACTGTAATTGGTATAATTCGTTCAACAGCACAAAAACCTACGATAACTCCTTAATGAATACTGCAGATAATTACATATAGCAATAAAAGAAATGCATTACATAAGAGAGATGTAAAAATAAATCAATTATAAAGAAATAAACAACCAAAGGGGTCGGTGTGGAGGTAGAGGTGGTGACTGAGTATGTACCGTAACTCACCAACTTTCACTACGTAAACTTTAAACTAACTTAATTTATTTCTAATACATTTTTATATATATACTTTTTTTTTTTACTTCAACGTCATACGTCGTATGTTGTAAATTTACTTGGTGTTGAGTCGAATATTTGATTAAATTTTACTTTGGATGTTGGAAAATTTGTATGTTCAAGAAATCGTAGTTATGGAGGATGTGTTCAGACATTGCAAAATAAGTGCTTACTGTTCATCATAAGGAGAGTCTGACACTTGGAGCACAGATGCCTGGAAGTCCTGGATTACACACTGCAAAAGAGACACAGACAGAAATCAGATTCATCAGATCGCATCGGATTTATTCCCAGCCAAGGCACGGTCACCAAGAGCGAGCAGCTTACGTTGCACATGTAGTTGTGCCAGGAGCGGGTGACTTGAGGTAGTTTCTCCTTTTTCTTCCAGCTGGCTGGAGATCCCTCCCGCACAGGATCCTGCCAGGAATCCACAGAGTGAAACCATGGCAACACTCAACCATGTCTAATATGTCGAACGAGGATCCGGAATATGTGTGGTTTACCTTTGATGCAATCATGTAAGGAGGGACTATTTCCACACTTAGCTCCTGAAACAGCTCCCTGCACTGCATGCTCATGAAGTCACCGGCCAGGGGCGACTTGACAATTCCTGTTAGAGAAAGCACACAACATTTGGAGAGGTCAAGCCCTGAACCCAAAGTATCAGTATCATCACTTTCACTACAACATCACCGACCGGTTTCATGTCTTATCACCTTGATGAGTTTTCTGCCAGGTTAACATTGAAACAGAAGGATTCTTCAGGGTTTGACCACTATGCTATCAGAGGTCCTTTCTGATTTAGAAAAATAAAAATTACTTCTTTATTTTTGTTAAATCAAGGCAAAAATGCCAATCTCCGATGAGTCTTTAAAGACTGCTCGTGTTTAGAAAAATGTATGTAGAACTGTGGGATTCTACTTTCTCCAACCAGCAGATGGCACCAAAACAGAAAGAAGAGAAGGACTTGCACTCTGGAGTTGGATCTGTCTCTTTTGGTCATCTTAGATAATTCATTCCATCTGTGGTTTAACCCAAGTGAAATATTCAGGATTCCTCCAACACAGTGAGGGATTCAAATTGTGAGGTCACCTTGTTGCAGGACGTAGCCATCGTGCACTGGAATAGCTGTGGTGTGTGTGGCTCCACTGTCCAGGACCAGGCCAGTGGACCGTCCATTGGCAAAGCTTGGCGATTCAAAGTAAAGGTAATACGACGGGGTGTCGAATGACCCGACTGGATAAGTCGTGGGAAGATGGAAACCGACGCCAAACAACAGCGTTATTGTGAAACGGCTTGTGCGGGATGGAATAAAGCAGTAAAGGATACGCTGACAGCACAGCCGATTTACAGAGAAAGAAGGCGGGAATGTTGTAATGCTCGAACATCAGCTCGGTGAGCTTCTCCCGTTTGGCTCGCGTGTTCCACTGCAAACACAAGGCAGACGTTAGCCCACTCACAACAAGCTGTCCTGCTCAGGAACACGTAAACACAGCACGGGAAATCAGCTCTACTTCTCCACGGCCAGGTTCCAGCTAAAAACACAGCTCACCTCACAGGCCCCCGGCACTCGCTGACTTTTTACAGCGCTCGGATTTAACAGTGATGTTTGCATTCCAAATGAACAGGGGAAAAAATAAAAAACTCACCGAAGCTTCGGACATGAGCACAGGATGGAGGCTGGGTTCAGATTTGAAGTGCATTTTGTATGTGTGATCCAAAATGGCCTGGAAACTGTCCCAGTCCTCGACTATAGGTGAGATGGAAGAGAAAACAAGCGCTTCATTAACTGTCACATTGGGTTTAAAGCATCAGTGATCTCAGATTTCGTGGGGAGGGCCTATTTGAAACCACTTAAGAAACAAATCTGTTTGTCTTTTGCTGTAAACCTACAGTGTGGCTGCAACACTTGGCACACACACACATAAAAAAAACACAAAAACGCATTCTCCTTCATCAAAGACTGGGTCAGCTGGCAGATAAATTAGAGTAATGATGATTTTTTTTTAGATAACAATTTGAGCAGCAGTGTTTCAGGTCAGCCCTCTAAAGGGAGCTGCAGGTCCCACTGAGCTGCTCTGCCGCAATTAAGATGGGTGTCACTCTCATCTTTAAATAGCCATGACGCCAAACTCTGGTCCAGGTTCTGATGAGCATCATCGGCTAACGCGGCCTATCGGGTCGCCCTTTCCATGGATTTGCAGACTAAGGGCTTTTTTTAAACTAAAATCAGTGGTGGATTCTTTAACAGCTGACTGACAGATATTTTACCAATTTATATTTTCATGGTCTACTCTGTTCCTCTATTCAGAACCGGAACTGGAAATATAAAAAAAGGAAAATCTCAAAAAGCCAAGGAGGTTAACGCCAAAGGAAAAAATAAGGTTTAAACCTACATTTTTGTTCATGATTCTTTGTTCCTGGTTTTAATCAAGAACAAAGAAACAAACGGGTCGACTTCTCCTCACAAAAGTAAACAAATAATTGGACAAATAACCTGATAATAAAACTTGTGGGTTCTCACAATTGATGGCAAGTTGTTTTTGTTTATTTTTCATAGATGTTACTTCTCTGTCAGTATTACTTTGCACCATTTAATGTTTTTATTGCCTCATTTCTTTCCCAGTATGACAACTTCCTCTGGTTAGAAGCCATAATCATTATCTATTTCCTTAACTAAACACCTACTTTTCTAGCTGGTCTTACAGCCTGTATAATAAAACTAATACAGATGCTCTAGAATATGCGTTCTTCTTTTGCTAATTGACCTTCACTACATATCCGTGGCTGCCAAAAATCATTTCAAGCCACAGATGCCTGCTAGCTCATTCAAGCTGGCGCTTACACTCCTTCCCTGTCACCCCGTTCCTCTCATGGACATACGCTGGCACTGCCACATTTTTCATATTTTTGTTTCTTTTCTTTCAAAGCAGGCTTGATAAAACCACCTACACAATAACTACACAGAAAGATAGAAGATATACAAGCCGATGGACATTAAAAGCAATGATCTCATTCTGTATGAACAGTTTGAATTAAACCCACGCCAATTTTAGAGGACAACCCAGATCTTAATGGATTGGAGGAATAATCAATATGGAGAGAACTGTTAGATGCAACCCGTTTCGAGTCAGATGTGTAACACACCACGACATAACCCAGCAATGTTGAAAATGTGGGGAAAAAACTCCGAAATGGCACCATTTCCAGAAAAAGCCTCAAATGTTGTGAAAAAGTACTTCCAAAGCCTTATACTTGCTTTTGCATCGGGTTTATGGTATGTAACATTTAACTCAGCTCAGGATAATTGATAACAATAAAGCTGTTCGACCCACATCTGGATGATATTTGACATTGGCATAGTTTAGGCAGAGAATACAAATACAGGCACTTGAGGACAGATTTGGCTCGGAGCCAAGGATGGAAAGAGGCTTATGTTCTATCAAAAGGTCACAAAATGGGTGAGCGCATGATTATGAGTCACCTTGAGCTTCAAATGATCGCATCAATATTGAATATAAACAGCAGTCATCTATACGTCAGTCAAGGTTGTGACGAGCTCACATTCAACGTCAGTAGTCACACCGAAACAGTCTAATTCTGGATGTGGATCAGGCAAGCTGCATTATAAATATTCATTAATTATACATATTCATAAATATTCATAAGTGAGACTGCGTCAGACATGGGTGATCATTTCAAACAACATATATACGGTGTGTTCGTTTTTAATAACCTAAAAGTGTCCCTATTCAGCATGTATAGAGTTTTTAAAATGTCAGTTTATCATATTTGAAAGAAGTCTGCCTGTCCAAGCCATCACGTTCAAGGCAATATTTTTCACATCCAACAAAAAGGGTAGCAGAAAAAAAGAGAAAAACTTACTCATGCCATTTTTGAGTGGAGACATGACCTCCATGCTCTCTCTGGGTACCCTCAGCTGATTTGTATCAATGTAGTATGTGGTGCCACTCTGCTTGCTCTTGTCTCCATCCGTCTCCATGGGTGTGCTGCCATCCTCCCGGTCAAGAGTCACACCTATGACTGTGGGGAAGTCCGCCTGAGCAGAGACCAAAGCAAACACAGCACAGTGCAGGTGAATGCACACTCACACGCTCGGCTTCGCATTCAGAGCAAAAAAAAATTTGTTGTAGGTGTTGAGAAATTTCAATTCAGTGTAAGTCCCCTGCACAGTTCTTTATCTAAAGTGACTAAGTGTACAAATTTCCACTTTTGTGAAACAGTGTGGTGCTGAAATGTGAGGCAATGGTCATCTGACTTATGGAAAACACATTATAGTAGTTTGGAAACTCAAAAAAAACACACGAGTTGGGTGTCCTGTAATGCAAATTTGTATTGACCCATTAATCATGTAACTAAAAACAAATAAATAAAAAACTTGTCCACAGTTCTACATTTTCGTCAAAAGAATGGAGAGAGCAAAACATAAGGAGGGCAACGTTTAAAAAAAATGTTTTCATTGTTTTGACCAAAAATACCTTCACACCAAAATATCCACCTAAAGCGTACAAAGCTAAGTAAAGAAGCGTTCCAAAGATGATCAGAACTTAATTTATGGCATATGTCTCTAGGGCAAGAGCCCTCATTTCTTGACACTGGTGTACCCCCATTGGGAAGTTGAAGACGCACAGAAGAAGAAAAGACAGTTAATTAGGTCATTTGAGTGATCCATTTACCTTGGGACAGTCTTCTCCTGCATAACCGGCTCTTACAGAATATGAGCCAATGTCGAACACCAGCGCTCCCACCTCATCTGCAGATATAAGGCAGGTGTATATGTGTCATTCAAAAAAACAAAGGCAGAAAACTGTTTTGGTTGTGTTCCAAAAATGGATTTTGTTTAAGTGATTGATTCCTAATTGCTTGAAAACTGCCTCATATCGTTTAGGGGTAGCAAGTTACTGATATAAGATCACAGCGTTTGGCATATTAACACAAATCTGTAATTTTCCTGGCCAGCAACCTTCTTAAACATCTGCTTCTTTGCTAAATAAATGGCACAATTTAATATAAAAAAGATGTTGTCCACCTGAAGTTGTATTTCTCCAAATATGACACCAATCTTTTTTTGTGCAAGTATCTAAAATATATTCTATGTATTCCATATATTCCATCTATAATACATCCTTTAGATATAAGAAATAAATACCAATAATCATCTATTCACATGTCGTTGGCATTAATTTGTACATTCATTTCAGACTAGTGTCTACATGATAATAGAAACAGCTACTGCAGAAAATTACATTATTCGAAAATAGCGGATGTAAACTGAAAGGCAAATATAGAGGTGAAAACCCCGTCACTCCCATCAGATACTGAAAAATCAGTGGAAACATCGAAAGCCATTCATTAAACTGAACATACAGTGATTGAACATGCCCACTTTCATTCATTTCCTTCTAGCTATCGGTATTTCTTAACATGCATAAAAATAAGGTAAGTCTTAAGCATAGGAGTGGCCGGAGACCACCAAATATTCTATACATTCTTAAACACATTACAACTGTTATGCTAGCCAGGTAGATTTCAAATTATTGCCCATAACAGACGTTAACGTTAGCACAGCTAGCATAGCTAACTAACTACAAAGCTGGCTAAAGCTAGAGAACCGCACAACGTGGAGAACAGTTTAATTATATTTGAAAAAAGTCTCACTCACCACCTCCGTACACTCCGCCACTCATCCTCTAACGCTTGGTGGCTGCAAACGTACTGAACAAAAGTTATTACGGCAGAAGCACAACCGCAAAACGGTTAATAAAAACAAAAGAAAACGGTTAGCATGGGTCAACCTAACAGAGCGGGCGCCACAGTACGTAGAGGCTCTTGTCCAATCAGATTAGAGTGCAGCTGTAGTACTTCCGTTAAGTGACAGCAATTCCTTCCCTGTTCTTGAGTGGACGTGGCCTAGCCGTCTTCATATCTACGTGAGTTAAAAACTGTTTAAAAGTTGCAAAAACATACTTTTTTTGCATTCTAAACTACTGTGCAATTATTGTAAGTGCATACTGCTTTGCACCACGGTGATGTTAAGGAGTTGAAATTGCGGGACCTTGAGTCACGGTCGTGAGTGTGACCAGCTTTGATCCTGGTAACCATATCACCTCATGGTGCTAAAGGGGCAGCACTGACATGCTGATGCGCACGTGTTATTACTTCTCAACTAAAAATCGAATTACTATTTGAAATTGACATGCATTTATATTGTATGTCCAGTTGTTACACTACTGCATAAGACTTGGACAGTTTGCATGTAGTCGAGTTGTTTTCCAAAGTTGGATTAATTGCGCAAGCGCACTAGGTGGACATGGTTGAGTAACTTAGAGGGCAGGTGTTCTGAGAATTGGTATGACTTTTAAAACCTTGGAAACTATTTTTAAACATGCAACTTCAACTAATAAGTTTTAAAGAATCCTGAAAAACTGCTTTAAAAAATGAATATTACATTAAACTTGTTTGTTTTACTTTAGACTGTTTAATGTAATGTATTTTAGTTTGATATTCTGGTAATTTATTTCTGCAAAGAAAATTCCATTACAAAGTCATCAAAGGAAATATAAAGACTGTGCATTTTAACCACCTGTTAGGAGCTTGACTAGGAACTGTTCACCATTATGGTTTCATAAATAATGAAACTGTTGTTCAGTTATTTTATGTTTAAAGTTTTTTGGGTGTTATCCTTGATTTTTTATTTATTTATTTAATTTAATTTTTTTTAAGTCTCGTTAAAATTAAGGTTAGTTTTTATACAGTATGTCACAAAACTCCCAATTTTATTCTACTGTTAGTATATATTTGTGTGCTGTTGGTCTTCATACTGAGCTGGATTAATAGGTGGTTTAAATCTTTTGACCTTGAGGGAGCATTATATATTTTTTTAAGTTTGTAATGAATACCCTTCCAAAATTAAATTTTAACTTCCTTCTTTTCCAGCATCCATGCAGCACTGCCTAACACTGACCCTTGCTCGACACAGCAGGCTTCTTTTGAGAAATAAAATAACATCGGTGTCCTACCAGCGGTCAGCAGCCATGTCGGGTCTACTCATCAACCAACCCAAATACGCTTGGCTGAAAGAGCTTGGCTTGTCTGAGGACAACCACGGCGTCTACAACGGAAGTTGGGGGGGCAGCGGCGAGGTCATCACATCTTACTGCCCTGCCAACAACGAGCCCATCGCCAGGGTTACGCAGGCCACTTTGGCAGAGTATGAAGAAACTGTCCAGAAGGCCAGGGAAGCCTGGAAGCTGTGGGCAGATATTCCAGCCCCGAAACGAGGAGAGATTGTAAGGCAGATTGGAGATGCCTTAAGGAAGAAGATCAAAGTGCTTGGAAGCCTAGTTTCTCTTGAAATGGGCAAGATTTACGTGGAGGGAGTGGGGGAAGTTCAAGAGTATGTTGACGTCTGCGATTATGCTGTCGGTCTGTCTAGAATGATTGGCGGGCCCGTCCTTCCCTCTGAAAGGCCCGGCCACGCCCTCATCGAACAGTGGAACCCTGTTGGCCTGGTCGGCATCATCACCGCCTTTAACTTCCCCGTGGCCGTCTACGGCTGGAACAACGCCATCGCTCTCACCTGCGGCAATGTCTGCCTGTGGAAAGGTGCCCCGACCACTCCCCTCACCAGCGTGGCGGTCACTAAAATAGTGGCCGAGGTGCTCGAGCAGAACAACCTGCCCGGCGCCATCTGCTCCATGACCTGCGGCGGCGCCGATGTCGGCACGGCTATGGCCAAGGACGAGCGCGTGGACCTGGTGTCCTTCACCGGCAGCACCCACGTGGGCAAGACGGTGGCCATGATGGTCCAGGAGAGGTTTGGACGCAAGCTGCTGGAGCTGGGCGGAAACAACGCCATCATCGTCTTTGAGGACGCGGACCTGAACCTCGTGGTGCCCTCGGCGGTCTTCGCCTCCGTCGGAACGGCGGGCCAGCGTTGCACCACCACCAGGAGGCTGATGCTGCACGAGAGCGTGCACGACGCGGTGGTGGAGAGGATCGCCAAGGCCTACAAGCAGGTCCGCATCGGGGACCCCTGGGACCCCAGCACCCTCTACGGACCCCTGCACACCAAACAAGCCGTGGAGCAGTACCTGGCTGCCATCGAGCAGGCCAAGCAGCAGGGGGGCACGCTCGTCTGTGGCGGGAAGGTGATGGACCGCCCCGGGAACTACGTGGAACCCACCATCATAACGGGCCTGGCCCACGACGCGCCCATCGTCCACACCGAGACCTTTGTCCCCATTCTCTACGTCCTGAAGTTCAAGACGGAGGAGGAGGCCTTCGCCTGGAACAACGAAGTCCAGCAGGGCCTGTCCAGCAGCATCTTCACCAAAGACCTGGGAAGAGTTTTCCGCTGGCTGGGCCCCAAAGGCTCCGATTGCGGCATCGTGAATGTCAACATCCCCACAAGTGGCGCCGAGATCGGAGGAGCCTTCGGTGGGGAGAAACACACGGGGGGTGGAAGAGAGTCGGGCAGTGACTCCTGGAAGCAGTACATGAGGCGTTCAACGTGCACAATAAATTACAGCAAGGACCTTCCTCTGGCCCAGGGCATCAAATTCGAGTGAAGTCTCCAAGCGACTTGCTGTTCGAGTGTCGCTGAGCACGAATAACAACACTAAATGATCAAAGTAGCAGTGTTGCCCTAAAACGATCCAAACATATTTGTGAATACTAATCCGGAATTGGAAACTGTCAATAATGTTAAAGGTCAAAAGCTGTTCCCTAAAATGTTGACGTGCACTTTTCTACAAGCACTTCGAGCTTGTGAGCTACATGACTGTACCCGATGCTTTATACTGTAAAAGAAAAAAATAAATCTCACCTTTATTTTGGGAGAAGTGGACCCTATTTATTTTTATCACAAAATACGAGTAAAAAAACATTATTTCTGCAATTTTGATATGATAGATTTCATATAAATTCCATCAATGCTTAGAGGTACTTAAAAATGTGCTCCAGTTAACTGTGTATGTGCTTGTTTAGGCTGCATATGATCAGCTACACAAAATTGCAGAGAACAGACAATCAACATCTTACATATAGTATATTAATTGAATGTATCTTTGGGTGAAAGGTTGGACACATTTAGACACAATTATGGGAAAACAGACATGATCCTTTTTATTTTGGGAGAAGTGCAGAGCAAAAGAAAGTCAACACCAGTTTTAAAGAGCAGGAGAAAATGTATTTGATCAAAGCTGCATATTTTATATAAAGCTTTCCGAATATTACTTATTTAGTGGATATCCTTAAAAGTCTCCTATTGTGTGCTTAGATGCAATTTGGTTTGTACTGTACTGGCAAAGCTTAGCGTCTCCATGCAGTGCATCATGCAAATACATGATATTACATAATGTTATAAATTATTGCAAGACAGGATTCTGTAAATCTACGACGTATAATTGATATGAAAAAATAGGCTTTAGGTTAACTGCTTGAACTAGCAGCTATGCTGAAACCACTCTGTGAGATGACTCTGTGTCTGGCAGTGTAATTATTTTAACCGGTAACACAGAAATTAGCTCTGTCCCTTTAATACAGATACTACTCCATCCAGGTGGCCAGCCCCATACGCTCACCCTCCCACTCCAGTTCTCCTCCACACACTCCTGCTTCGCCTCTCTCTCCATCTACTGCTTCTCCCAGCAGCATCTACGCTCACTGCCGAAAGGAAGAAGTGAAACCACGGCGCCGTGTGCGACTCATAATCCATGCCATTTAGGACGTACGCTGAAAACGCCCACTTCCCCTGCAGCTCCACTTCACTGGAAAAAGGTAGAGAGGCTTTTAAGTGTTGTTTTACCAAAAATTGTGGAAGTTTTTAATGCACAGGAGTGTTTGGGTGGTGGTGTTCATTTGTGGTGTGCGAGAGCATCACTTAAGCCAGGCTCAGACAGTATTTTAAGATAAAAGCACGAAAAAGAACATTCCTCCTGATTGGTGCGTGGAAAAATACATATACACCCAAACTGCGAGTAGCGTTTAGAGTTGGGAGGTCTGCACTCACCTGGATTAAAACAGAGATTTCTGGATCTAAAACAATCGAGCAGCAACTTCAGGACAGAGAGAGGAAGCACTGGTAGCTGTGCTGTTCTAGGTGAGCTTGACAAGTTTATTTGTAAAGGGCTGTGTTTGGTTGTCAGGCAGCTTGAAGGTGCTGCCTTGGTCCTGTTCCACGTTCACAACCTGTGGCGCACCGAAATGTCAAGTAAAAATAATGACGGGCTCCAGGTCGTAAATTAATGATCATCTGGTATGATAGTGGCCCAGCTGTGATGGGAGGCATTTGAAAAGGGTGGTATTAGCACACCAGGGTGGTTCCTCACTTCCTTTAATCCCCCCCCCACCCCCTCCCTATACAAAACTTGTGCGATTCACTTCTTAGGAAACTCAGAGCATGTTAGTTCATGCTTTTTTTTTTTGTTGCTGCTTTTGTACCCCTGATTTGCAGAAGTGTCTGGGATTCCCCTAAACTGAAACAATCTCACTTCTTCACTTTGCACATTTCCTTTGCAGCTTCTCCCTGAAACAAAAGCTCCGCACCTCTCTTCACCTCACCAACGCCTTCATTCAGAACATGTTAATTATTTCAGAGAAAAATCATTTTTTGTTTTAACACACAATGCATGAAAAAGCATGTTAGTTCATATTTATGTATTCGAAAATGATTCCTGTGACTGTTATCTTAACAATCGCATGTCCATTCTTTGGAGCATGTCCATACTTCTATCGCACTCTTGTTCACTTGGGCAGCAGCTGTAATCGAAGCAAACCTGACTCTGTCCCACAGCATTATCACAGAAATGATGAGGGCTCTTCACCAAGCTGCCGCTGTGATAGTCTCTCACGGACCAACAATAGCACCGAGATTAGACAAGAACTCTGCACAGGCACACAAGGAAACTGCTCCTAGTTGTAGCGCTGGTCGAAATTAAGAGCGCATAAACCCATAAGCACAAGTAAATCCTGGCAAATAAATGGCAGATAAGCAGTTCTGCCAGGATGTAGAACAAAAAAACCTTTTCACCATCAGCAACAGGCCTTTGTGCTTTGATAAAAACAGGAAATGTACCCTTTTATTAAAGGCGGGGTGGTAAAAAAGGTCTTGAGAAGTTTCAGATGGATTTAACTGAAGAGTCATTGATGCACAGTTTCAGTACAGCAGAGTGAATCAGCACAGAATAGTTTCATCTTCTCAGTGACTTGGGGGAGCTCACTCAACCATCACACTTGAAATCGATCTTTCGTGTTACCGTGTTTTTACTACGAGTTGTTGCGCTACCAAAATATCCTTTAACACCTTTTCAGAAAATCTTGTTTCCTTGATTTTCTTTTATTCTGCCTAAGCTCTATTGATTTTTTTTCAAAATAGCAACGGGCATTTTGCAAATATTAGCCTTCCCTTTATATGCCTGTCTTTTAAGTGTGTCATATTTCTCTGTTCATGGTCAAAATAAACCTCTGCACATTATGGATGTATTTCACACCCATCTTGAGAGTGTTCCCTCACCAAGCTTTAGCCCAGTGCGGCATCCAGCAAAACCTGAATAACTTTCAAACATGACGACATTTTGAACCACGAAAACATATTTTGCAATTCCATCTTGTATTATATCTTTTTTTTTCTTTTTTTTTGTTGCCATTTTTAGAAAATGTGAATCCTTCGAATGAAGCAGATGATTGGCTTATTGATACTTTGCAATAAAAGCAAGGCTCTGGTGTCTGATTAATAGACATTTTTGACAACACTTTTAGACGCAAGGTGGGAATATCCACTCAGACTAGCCCAGTCAACAAGAAAACCCCTAAAACTGTCACCATTCATTTTCCTCATCGCAGAGGCAGGGAGGGGGAGAAGTGGTAGAGCTCAGCAAGGCACGCATATTTTAAGTCACTTTGCACACTTCAAGAGGACCCTTTTTCATCCATCCATTATGCATAGCAGCTCTGGCTCTCCCTGGTATTTCTCCTACCTTCTTGACGTCAGTTGCCATTTGTGAGGGTTACCCTGGCAACGGCCAGCCTCCCCGGGAGATGTCTGGTGGATAAGACGGCCCCGATAAAGCCTATTAAGGTCCCACTGTTGCTACACCTTTTAATTGCCTCTGATACAGTATAAGTACAATAAGGAGGTTGTGAGTGTGTGTCGCCACATGTGAACAGGAGACGGGAGGACGCAGATGAAAATACGCTTTTAAAAGCTGCCTCAGACCGATGTCTCGGGCTCTCCGCTGGATTTGATCACCCACATATTGGGATCATCTTTAAGCAGACGTTAGACACAGAATTAGACGCGGTGGCTCACAGCTTGCTCTGGCCTTTGTTTGTACAAATGACACATGCACTTGCCATGTTTTTAACATGACATTTAGTAAGAGAAGACAGAGCTCACTGAAATGCCTCAGGACAGCTTATTAGATAATGTGACAGCGTCATACGGGTTATTTATTTAAACCATTACAACCTAAACCCCCATTTCACTTGCAAACTTGTCCATGGACTTGTTCTTTCTTTTTTTCTCTTTCCCTTTTTTATTTCTTCTTTTGCATGTATTCAAATAGACAAGCAGCAGGAAAAGAAAACACAGATGACCCGTCGCCAGCTTCAGCAGAATTTAGGAGGAAAACAAATAGAAAGGTCTGCACAAGGGGTTTTCACTGAAACACTCGCATTCAAATTGTCTGATTCATTTGCGTGACTGTTCATGTTCCTTGAGCGTTCCTACTTGTGCAATACAGCGTTGGATTTGCATGGATGCAAAATGGTTGCTCACGCAGCTGGCAATACAGTTGTGTTACTGTACAATATACCTGTTTCAGATTCCTGGATGCTATTTATAGCCCACCACCATGCGTGACTTTCTTTTTTTCAGGCACCAGGCTATTGATGGGCTATTTTTACAGTGTCAATTTGCTCCCTCCCTTCCCTCTTGGTTGCCAGGCAATGGACCAAAGAACCTGATTGGCCAAGGATGTGCTTTTGGACGCACTGACTGTGATTCTCAGCTGGCTAATGAATTCGTTCAGAGAGCACAAGCGCTGACACCTTCTTAGTGTTTTTTGTGTTACCCCTAATAGTCACATGGATCTCTGATTCAAAGGGATAAAAACGTTACACCCACTGCTCATGAACACAAAGTTTAGTTTATAACTACCAGCTTTGTAAAAGCAGCATTGCAGATGAGCAACCTCTTCCGAGCAACCACAGACATGACCTGACAAAATGCTCAAATTGAACCAAGATTGCATCGTCTTTAAAACAAGTAACGGCAAAAACCTGCTTTTACTACTAAAGAGCTAAACTGTACATACATATTTGACTGTATAATGATCTTTCTAGTGTCTCTGTAGGTATCCCACTGTACCATTTGAAAGTGTAATAAGAGTTTTTTACATTCCCAAAACAACATTTTACATGTGAACACATTGTTTAAATTTTGCATTGTTGATAATCATTGGAAATGACAGAAAAACACAATCCCATCTGCATTTATCACAAACTGGCTACAGTATACACTCTTTCTACTATTGTGTTAATTCTAATCCTCATAATCTGTTTAGAGGGAAATTGGTCTGACACACCTAAACTACTGCTGTGTCAGTTAATTCAATTAGACTTAATCTGACCCCATCCCTCTCCGAAAGGAAACCAGGGGCTGGTAAACTTTCATCCTCCCTCCATTGATTCTGGCTCGTGCAGAGATATGGAAAAGCCTATCCCACTGCTCTCTTTCATTGGCCCCATTAAAAATGCATCCTAATGGAGAGACATCCTTCAATGAGCCCACTGCAGCATGGTGAGACTTGGCACAGGTGTCCTATGACACAATACAAACCCTCGACATTTAAATTTTGATCTTTTAGATGTTTGTTACAAAAGATAACTGATGAGTCCTCTGCGTTATTTAGTTTTAGGTTTGAGGGGGCGGTTACATTGCTTCTGAAAATGAGCTAAAATAACAAAAATTTCATATATGTTATCTACAAAGTGTAACAACCTTTTGAGGGTATACAAGGGATTCATATTATTCTCTCATGACATCAAACCATAATGAAACAAATTGAGATTGAAGTAGATATAATTGATTCTTTTTGTACAAGTACAAGTAAACATAATTTCCGCATGCACAACAGCACAGTATAAATTCACCTTAAAAGCAAAACCTTCAATATGTGGCGTTTTGATGTGTTTTAAGGTTGTACTCTCATAATCTTAGGCTTTTTAGTAATTTGGACTATATTTATCTAATGTTACTCGAAGTGGCGTTTGAAAATCTCAGAGAGCTACATCTTTGGTCACTTAGTACAACTTCGGTATAATAGGTCTAATATTTGTTTCCTGTATCCCATTCGGTTCATTTTTGTAGAGGGGCTGACAGACGGTACCATTTCGCCTGCAGGGTGGATGGTCGGTTTCTGACGTTTACTAGTATGCTAAATGTGAAAATAAAACTATTTTATTTGTAATATACATGCGGAATCAAGAATAGTATCGGAATTGTTGGTATATTACAAGTAACTATATTTCTCAGAAGATGAAAGCACACGTCTCACCGCTGCCGCACACCCCTCGGGGTAGGCTGTTGCCATGTTCCCACTTTCATGGGTGTGGTGATTAGCTTGCTTGGTGAAAAATTTAGTCAAATCCGACCCGAGCGGTGCTCTCCTCTGACCACTCAAGCAAGTTAGACTGTCTCTCAAATTTTTTGTCGGCATCTGTTTCAATCTCTCTCACAGCTGGTACCATGGTTGCCGTCTGAAAACGGTATCGGCGTGACTCGTATTGGAACAACACAGTGAGCGCAAACGCCACTTTCAGGTAAGGACGTACAGTTTATCTTGGTATTTTGGTGTCTGTGGGGCTATTTCCTGCTTTGCTCGTGTCGCTTTTAAATAATTTGACACTGCGGAGGAGATGCAATATATTTATATATATCCATGAACTTGAAGCTGTCTGGCTGTTAAAACAACTGTCCATTGGCTGGTTATATTTCAATGCCTGTTTTTCCTCTTAAGCAAAGCTCTCCACTGCTTACAATCCACAGCAATCCAAACGGGGCCTTTAACAGGCTGTCAAATGACTCGGGCGGAACTACGGATACAAATCCTGTAACAAATTAAATCTTGCCCTCGTGTTTTTTCATTCACACCGATATTTCCCTTTTCTGGTCTCTAAACCCAAATCCCGCACAGCTGTTTTTTGTTTAGTTCTTTGTCTTCAGTATCAAATATATATATAATATAAATATATATATATATATATGACAGTCCGCCCTCAACCGATCATCAACCGGTAGCATGACGAGACGTGCTATCCCGTAATTTGTAGCTTGCATCATAAACGAACTTGGGGTAATCTTTTCACGAAGATCACCACACTTTGATTTCATATAGTTTAATATGATGTAACCGATGGTTTCCCGTGTGTGGTTGGCAGTACAGGGATTAGGCCATCATCCTGCTGGGTAATACTGATCCACAGGTGTTCGCAGTTTTGGTGTGGCTCATAAAATGTCATCTTCAGCAAATATGAAGCTCAAAGACATGCAACCAACGCCTAATATAAAATCTGAATGACTGGCATATAGCTTCCACACTGTTATTCTGGAATATCTGCAGAAAGTCAAGTCTCTAAAAACTGACCTCGCCTGCTGTTTTTGGGTAAAGGAAAAACTGGCAATGGCTATGATGGGTGTAATAAAATTAGTGAAACACGCAATTATTGTAAAACTTTACTTTCTGTTTGGTATCAGCCTCAGGATTTGCTGCATTAAGTGTTGCAAGGGGTTTTAACTCGGTTAATTTTCTAATTTGATAGTTGAACGCTGGAAAATGACAATCATAAACTGTGAAAATCCGCAAAGGAATGGAACAAAAATATGTCTTGCTGTTGCCAAACCGCCCAGTTTTGGACATGATCCTATTTTGTCAGTGTGCCCTTGGTCATACTGTAATAAAGACGCTGTATCTGTTTGACTTTGATCCTAGTTATACTGTCATGATATGCTCCTAATGTGACCATCACAAATGTTATTCTAGAGCAGATATTGGAAGTGAAAGCCAACAATTACACCCCACTCTTATTTTTTGTTGTCTTTCAAAGTGATCAATTCGAGGCGGTGTAGTGCCTCAGCACGACCAGAACACCTGGTCCTGTAAAGTTTATTAGTCATTACAGCTGAAACTGTTTCAGGTGTTGATTCATATTCATGCTGCTGCATGTAGTTTTCAGGAGCATCACACTCGGAGGTTCCTCTGTAATTCAAACCAGTCACTGATTGGATGTGGCGGACAAATATTAGAATCTGTTGTTACAGCAGCCCTTGTGTGCATTTGTGTGTCTCTGATATGCTGTACAGTTGAGCTTTAAATTGTAACAGACTTTGGGACTTCTGTGGTTACACTAAAATTACAACCAAGATAAATGTGTTTCTGTAACAGTCTGGTGTAGGTGGGGTCAAACATACTCAAGTAGGGCAATTGATCGCTGCAGTAATGGCAGGCAAAATCAGCCAACGGTTCAAATGGTGGTTATGAGTCATTTAATTGCTCAATCCTCGTTTTCAGGTGAGTTTAGAAGTTTATTATTTCATGTTGTAATAATTGATACCTTCAGAATATGACATGAAATGTATCCAAAGACCAGAAGGAAGAGTTGTTACCTATTTCCTTGATGCATTTCCTCCATTCTCTAGATGTTTGGAATAGTCTCTAGGTCACCTAAACAAGTTTACACCTGGCGGAGGTGTCAAACTGCATTTAGTTTCACCAACCCATCTGCAGCTCGTTTCCTCCTCAGTTGGTGGACGATTAGTACATGTTTCGTAACAGTGCTTGGCAAACTTGCATAATGACTCTTGGGCATATTTGGAATAATTTGTGGAGTTTGTCATAGAAGCACAACAGCTGATGAGGTAGATGTTGATCTGACACTGGTGGAATACAAACGAAAGAGACTAATTCAATGCCTCTTTCAGAGGGAAATTTCCACTCATGTAGAAATGAAATGAGGGAGGTAAACATGTCAGGAAGAACTGATTTACAATATATCTATTCATTCATCAACGTCCTCGTGATTATGACTAGTATCAAGCTTCTAGAACATGATTCTGGGTAAATGGTAATATTTTACTATAGCTATGACTATTAAGCACTCATTGCAAGCAGTGGTCCAAGAATGTGTCTGGATGTGCTTTCTGATGGTGTTTAATTTCTTTATTGTTTTTAGGTGTTTTTTGCACCTTTTTTTCTATCTGAGCAGTCGAGGCAGATGCACCTGAAATTGTAAAGTAAGTTTCCTAGAAGAGGTTCTTATCTGATAGTTAATTAGTGTGAACTCAGCTCATGTTGAATGTGAAGCTAGTTTTCTTCCTCTGGAGGATTTGCCGGTCTGTTGCAATAGTTGATCTGATCAACGTGAACGTATGATAAATCGGCAGGAACAAACACTGAATCGACCGCCTCTCATGCCAGAAATATTTATTGGTCTTTGTTTTCTCTTTTGTGTAAACGTATCAAATTCTATTGTGAAGAAGTGGAAATTCTTTTTTTTTCCTCTCCGCATTCCTGATTGGAAGTGGGATAAAATAAAAAACGAAAGTCTGAATGCCGGTGTCTAAACCCTGCATACCTCACCCATGAGAAATGCACAAGTCAGCCTCTATTAAAATTGAATTAGGATGGTGTTGCAACTGCAGCCAATAAAATATTGACGCTTTTTTACATTTTTTTATTTTTTTAAATCTAAAAAATCAAAATACTTTTATACAGATTGATACTCCTGGAAAAGACAACTGTATGCTGGATTTAAAAAGGAATAATGTATGAACTGATTTGACTGATGATGGAGTGGACATTGATTCGTGAAAATAATGGCTGTCACTCTCCTCCGGCCCGTCTCCACATGTGGAGCGTCCACACTGTGATGGGGGTGGTCTGCTCAGGTGCGGCGGCCTGCCGCTGGCCGGGCCGGTTGCGTGCTGACGGCAGCAGAGCGTTGGCCTCCTGCGGCCTGTTGCAAAGGCTCCACTGTGGCCGTGCCAAGCATCCCTATCTGCTGTAGCCGGCAGCCGCCCGCCGAACAATGGGCAGCTCCGGCACACAGCTCTGCCTTTGTGGCCCCGATCCTGCCCAGTGCTCTGGGCCTTTGTTGGCTGGTTGAATGACTCAAGTCGCACAACTTGGGAAAAGACCCAAATGAGTTTTACAGTAACATTTTAAAGGTAGGCTCCATCCGACAGCATTTATCGGTTTGACAAATTCTTTTGTCTGCCAGCGAGGCCATGTAAAGCAACTTTGTTGAAGGTTCTGTTGGATGTTTAGTTTCAAAATGCGAGCAAGTCTGTTCACGTCGCACAAATCGATGACACGGCTTCCCTAAATCAGACTTGTCATATTAATACAGACTGGTTAGATAACCGTCAATGCCTCTTTTCTTAAACTCATTTCTTTATTATAATTTAGTGTTTTGTTGGGGGGCGGGTTTGGAACAATCCACCATCTGCCGCTTTATCTCTCTGGCCTTCCCTTGTATTTCGTGACAAAGATGTTGGGTACAAACATGGAATGAGTTTTGAGGGTCACGTTGAGTGTTTCGCCGACCGAGTTGAACCACATAAGACGTGGCAGGATTGGAAAGCATGCAGCATTTTAGATCCAAGCCCGTCACCGAGTACATGACGGGCAAGCTGACGCTTGGAGCCTCTCTCCGAGTGCGTTGTGGGTTGCGTCAGCTTCATGTAGAGGAGACTGTGACGTCACTCTCGAGCAGCTGAGAGCATTGCAATGTCTGTCAAAGACCTCCTTAGACCAGACAAATGACTCCACAATGACCAGCCCGTTGCATCCTCACTGGAGTCAGAATAGTTGCAGAGCCGTGGCCTTAACTAACCGATCTCATCAAGAAAAGAATAACATAAAGATCACTTCAACCTCAGTTTTGTGGGTGTTTTTTTTCAAATGGTAAAACGCTAATCATCAAATCTTAGTTTCTGCGTTTAAAATTTCCTGTGGAGAGGACAGAGTGGATGCTGTCTAATTGCTGAATTATAGAAAATGGGACTGAAAATTTAATCTGGGAGGGTTAGACCTCGGCAGACTGTAAAATGGTGTGGAAAATCAGGAGGGGTGGGGGGCGGTCCAACCATTTGTGAGGAGTGTCTAAGTGCTCTGTGACCCACATTCGGGCTCCCCAAGGTAAAGGAAGTGGTAACTGGCTCGTGCATGCACATAGACACACTCACTTTGCATCTTTCCTCTGAGATGTTTACTCGAATGAAGTCCACGCTCACCTATAGGCTCATGCACATGTGTTTTCCCTCCCATTGAGACTCATTGTCTAATAAACGCCGCCGGCCTGCCTGCAGTGCATGGCAGGACCCGCTCAGCACGTGCACGCAGGGACGTGGGCCGGGCAAGCGGCACAGTAAAACACAAAAGGCTGATTGAGTGAGGAAAGGTCGGGGCCTAGTTCAGATGGCCGTTTGAACCTCGCTGGGGCCGTTTGAAGAGCCAGACCACCCTGGAAGCCACCAGCCAGTGTCGCCGCTCCCCCGGCGGCTCAGAGTGGCCCTGCCGTCCCAAACAGGATACCTGCGTTTGTCTTCCCATCCTTTGCCATCTGTCCGGCTGGTGGACTTCATAGTGTTTCTATCTGTGTCTTGCAGGTGTCCGCGATTCAAGCGTGTCCGTGTGTGTGTGTGTGGGCGAGTGTGCATGTGCGAGAGTGTGCGTGCGTGAAGGCGCGTGTGTTTTCCCGGCCCGGCCAGTGTTTGGAGCAAAGAGTGATCTGAACACATCTCGCAGGGACAATGAGCGAGCTGGAACAGTTGCGGCAGGAAGCCGAACAGCTACGTAATCAGATCCGGGTGCGTTTTTGTTTTTCTTTCTTTATTTTTGTGCTGCTGTTTGTTTGCGTAGATGTATGTCAGTTTTTCCTGTCTGTGTACATACATACGGAATAGATTTAGTTGTTTTTATTTGTCTTGTAGCATAGGAAGTGCTTTCTTTCCTCCATCCTGTCTGTTTTTGTTTGTACATGCTGTAGCTGAGCATTGATGAGGGTTTCTGTCTCTTGCAGGATGCCAGGAAAGCCTGCAGCGACTCCACTCTGTCACAGGTAAACTATTCTGTGAACATGAAGAAAATGTGACTATACAAATGTTTATTTTTTTCAGTACAGTTTGTTTTATCATAAACCCATGTTGTCTGTGCACATTTTCTAAGTCCTGAAGCCCAGTTTAATTTTCCCAGTTGTCTCACAGTTTTGACAACAACATTCCCTCAGTCTAGGTGTTGCGTTCTCCTCTTAACGGCTGCTAAAATAGACTTCAGCTGCCTGTATCTCCAAATGTATTCTCACTAATTCCATATCGATGCTCCACAGCAGCCGCGTGCGCTTTACCACTGCACATCTCCTTGATTTGAATGCAGTTGCAGTTTTGTTTTGTTTTTTGCTGCCTCAGCTTGTGTCCATTTGTGATAAGTGTAACCACTGACGCCTCTTCCTGTGTTTTGGCAGATCACAGCTGGTCTGGACTCAGTGGGCCGGATACAGATGCGGACACGACGTACTCTCAGGGGCCACCTGGCCAAGATCTATGCAATGCACTGGGGGAGTGACTCAAGGTAGTTTGTTTCCTCACACAGACGACACATCGTAACTAGTGTATTTTGTCCTGAGGCTGTTTTTTTTACTTCCTCTGCTATATTGTTGTGTATTTTGGTCTCTGTCTTTTTCTGAATGATTTGTTAAAAGATCAAATGCGGTATAAAATCTGCTCACTTTTTCAAGCTGTTGCAAAGCCTTGAAGCGAAACCCAGTTTTTCTGTGCATGGAGTTCTTTATTATTGTTTTTATGTGAAAAAATACATGTTTTTTAAACTTTTTTTTTTGTCTTGCAAAATTGTAGCTTATGTAAGTTCGTCTGCCTTTACATGACGTTATCTTTTGGTGTCCTATGAAATCTTTCACTTAGATAAAAAATAATTATCCCAATTCATACTTTTTTCCAGAAAGGACAAAGGTGTTTATAAATTTCTGCTCCCAGCATATTTTCGTTTCTGGTGATTTAGTAAGAGCATGTCGGAAAGAAAATCTGCTGAGTTCTAACAGCGTAGAGATTTAACAAGATATTCACACGCTTTAATACCTGAGCCAAGTTCTGTTGACACAGTAAAGCTAAACTTCATTAACTTCATTTACAGAAGCGTGTTGGCATCACGACAACTTTGATTGCTGGATGGTCTCTGACCTTTTGTTTTCCTGTGTTTAATATTTATGTCACTCTTTATCTTTCTCCCCATCCCAATGCAATGCACTGGGCCAGTGACGGCAGTCCCAGGTGTGGGGCTATACTACTCTCTCTACCACTACTACTAATATGACTAATATCACCATAAATGACTGTCACTGCTGCTATGGCTCCACATTTAAACACAGATGCTGTTTTTTATTTCCGCCACTACAAGCACAGCAGTGATATTTGTCTGACACTGAGACTGACTGCCACACCGGTTTGTTTGCTTAAAGATGCAGTTTTTAAGATCTCAGGTTTTTGATGTTTTCTAACACGTTCTGTACGTGTTGCTTTGAATATTTAAAATGTCAAGCGCGATCTAACAAACTGCTTTTTTAACCCTCTGCTCCAGTTGTAAGCACTGAGACAGCATGAAGAAATTGGTATTTAACTTCACTTTAAGTTTGCATGCAAGTGCACTAATCTTGATCCATAAAGATATGCATTTTTTTATTTTAAAAATGATCAATAGACTTTTCTATCTTAAAGTTCATTAAGGGTACACGCCTATCTGACTTAATTACGACCCTGAGTTTTAACCACTGAAACCTCCTCTTTAGTCTACGCTGGCACCTGTTTTTCTACCCCTCTTCACTCTCAGCTGTAGGCAGGAGCGTGCATGGGTGTGCCTGGCACCCTCTAGGTGACCCTGCAGGAGGCCAGTGTTTGTTTTGTATACAGGCACTGACATTTAGTGCGATTGCTCTCCTCTTGATTTTAGTGCAACACCATCAAACCACTTCCTGTCCCTGGAGAGGCGGAAACACCCTCTCAGGATGGGAGGGAGGGGTTCCAGCTGTTTGTGCATCTGCGCCATCCACAACCCTTCCTCTGTGTCCCGTTCTGCCGTCGGGCCTTTGTTTTCTGGCCGTCCCCCCTCTAGCATCTTCCTAGTGCTTTCCCAACATGTGAGGAGTCCAACTCCCACATTGGGACCTTGACATAACTGGGGTAATGAATATTATATAGGCTGGGACATTAAAAGGATCTTTTGTGGGTGTAGAAATGTCCCCAGTGAGGGCAGGAAGAGGGGAAAGTGTAGGGAAACCAGGACTTTTGTTTTAAATGGCGCGCTGCGTTTAGTGACTCAGGCTGATCTACAGCACAGTGTCTGAGGTCTCATTGCTCATCTCATTGCTTTCGGTGATCCAGGTGCATGCAGCTTGGATTATGAGGGTTTTCCAGTGAATGCAGAGAGTCATGAAGTTCTGCTTTGCTCCTCTTTAGGTTACTTGTCAGTGCCTCGCAAGATGGAAAGTTGATAATCTGGGACAGCTACACAACAAATAAGGTAACGTTGTCGTTAGAACTTCACAGATGAGCTGAAATTAAACCTGTTCCGACCTTCATTTTAGGATCATAAAGAAAACGCAGACATTAAATTTGAGCTTCATATGAAGCTCTGTTCTTTGTGATGGAGAAACAAACGTGAGTTGTCTCATAAACAGATGCATGCCATCCCACTGCGCTCTTCCTGGGTGATGACGTGCGCGTACGCCCCCTCTGGGAACTATGTGGCCTGTGGAGGTCTGGACAACATCTGCTCCATATACAGCCTGAAGACCCGAGAAGGCAACGTGCGCGTCACACGGGAGCTGCCTGGACACACAGGTAGGCATGGGCCCAGCCAAAACCGCCCAGAAAAAAAGAACTCCATCAAGCCCAACACCTTGCTCCCTTTTTTTCTTTCTCCATTTCAATTTAGCTTTCTTTGAGTCTTTAATATATCGCCATTTGAGAACCTTCCAGTATGTCCAATTTTACTTATCGTGTTGGTGTGTCTTAAAGATTTTAGATGTTTGTGCATATTTAATGCACATTTATATCAAGAGATGCTGAAAAAAGCCGAAGCTTTAGTTTTTTGTAAAACCCGCTGCCGCCCTTCTTTTTCACTTTACCCTCCCCTTAAAACAAAGAAATAACTACAAAAAACAGCTAATTTCTCACAGCAGAGAAGCTTCAGGCATGCTCGGCCACAATGCAAGCGGTTCAAGACTTTGGAACTTTGCCCAAGGCCTCGGAGCCTGGAGAGCAGCTCTGTCCTTATCTGACACAGATCCTTTGCTTATCTCCAGGTTATTTGTCCTGCTGTCGCTTTCTGGACGACAACCAGATACTAACCAGCTCTGGAGACACCACCTGGTGAGCAGCCACCTTTTTACTGTAATGTTGTCCCCATCGGAAATATTTCCTTGGTTCTGTTGTCTCAGCCACACGCCGTGAATTATTGATGGCCGTTGAAATGTTTGTTTCCAAATATTTTCCTCGGAGACATAACCAACCACACATCAGACCTTTCTGTCTCAGCATTTAAAGACCGTCATGTGTCTTTAAAGAAAGGCAAGCGGTCTGCACTGTCCACACGTAGAACCTTTTCCCAACCGTGCCTCTCGCCTGCAGTGCATTGTGGGACATAGAGACGGCCCAGCAGACCACCACCTTCTCGGGCCACACGGGAGACGTGATGAGCTTGTCTCTCAGCCCGGACTACAAGACCTTTGTGTCAGGAGCCTGTGACGCCACCTCCAAGCTGTGGGACATCCGCGACGGCATGTGCAGGCAGTCTTTCACCGGCCACGTGTCTGACATCAACGCCGTCTGCGTGAGTGCTGGGATCTGCTGAAACGCTGTGTGTTCGAGTGCCCGACTGTGGCCCTCCCTAGTCTGACTGAGGAGTTTTGTTCCTCTCGCAGTTCTTCCCCAATGGGAACGCGTTTGGCACCGGCTCGGACGACGCCACCTGCAGGCTGTTTGACCTGCGTGCCGACCAGGAGCTGATGATGTACAGCCATGACAACATCATCTGCGGGATCACTTCTGTGGCCTTCTCAAAGAGCGGCCGCCTCCTGCTGGCCGGCTACGACGACTTTAACTGCAACGTCTGGGACACCCTGAAGGGAGAGCGTGCAGGTATGAGGCGTCTGAGGGCCGCTAAAGCGTCAAACTGCTCCATTTCAGTAGTTTTAGGAGACCCACAATGACGGGAATAGAAGTCATGGTGCAAGAGGCTTTTAGCCAATAGAAATATGTTAAGCCCTTGAATTCCGGTACTCCAGACTTAAAAAAAAAAAAAGAAAGAAAGAAAAAACGTTTTTAAACTTTCATGAGTACAATCAGTCTGCTTGAATGTGAGAAAACAGTATTGATAAGATGTATCGATGTAGTTGACTTTAAAGACTTTTCCAAGCTTTTCAAATCTCAAGATAATTGATCATTGTCCATGCAGCATCTGGAACCCATCTGGTTGTCGTTCACGAGGGGCCGGCATCCAGACACTTTCATTCGGCTTTAGGCTCAAGATTCAGACTAACACGGCTTTATCATCCCCCCCCCCCTTGCAGGTGTGCTCGCTGGCCATGACAACAGGGTGAGCTGCTTAGGGGTGACGGAAGATGGCATGGCTGTGGCCACCGGCTCCTGGGACAGTTTCCTTCGGATCTGGAATTAAACAAACTTTTCGCCTGACGTACTCAATCACTGCCCACCACCTCAGGCTCACAACACCTCTCTACATATCCCACCTCATCCGCGGGGCTGGACCTGAGGGGAGCACGTCGTGTGTCAGGCAAGACCCTCTTTACCCACCCCCCCCTCCCAGCCCTCTTCACTGCTGGTGACCCACCCACCTGTGCAGACCGCTCTGCTAAAAGGTTGTTTTTTTTCATCCATCTTTTACAGATTAACAATTGTTTAGTTAAAACAAACGTATCGTATAGAATTAAGGAAACCTGAAGAATAAGTAGAGGATTTTGCTCATATCCAGTTATTTTTGGGGGGCAATGAAGTCATTTGTTGCCATGAGAAACAACATTAGCATCAATGTGTAATATGTAAATGTATATATAAAGACAGTATATATGTATAGCATTATGTGTGTATATATGCATCATATATGCATATATAATGTGTATGTATATATTTTTGTGTTTATTTCCCTTTCTCAAAGTTGTTGTTTTTTGTTTTTTTTTGGGTGGGTGAGGGCTTTTTATAATTTTTCATTTTTCTTATAAATGGAAATACTCGCACTGCTTCATGAACCTAGAAACAGTGATTTTTGTTCAGCCAGACAAAGATTGAGCAACAAATCATGAATTTGTCTAATTAACAATTAGATGGGTACAGTTATGTTAAGTCTGATTTCGAAATTCATTTTTCTTGCTAATTTTTGTTCATTTTTATTGACTCAGTTACAAAAGGCTAGACGAGGGCCTTTACACATGAACATGAGTATTGTTCTTAATCTCTTATCGTTTTAAAAGAACAAAGAAAAGAAGACAGAAATGGATAAGCAGACCCCATCCACTCAACCACAAAAACCAAATGAAAAGACGACAGGTCGTCGTACCGGCTTCCTGCCGCTGTATCAATAAGTTTAGCTTGATATTTAAGCAAGGAGATTGCAGCAAAAAATCTGACGTTCCAAGCCAAAATATAAAGGAGGTATTTCAGGAAACACAGACACGTCACACACAATCTTCTTTTTCGAGGCTATAAACTAGATTTGTAAGTGAACAGTGGATTTGAAGCCATTGAAAGGTCTGCTGTTATCAGAATACCTGCGTTCATGTGTACAGGACCTAAAGTCACTTCATCCATTTGTGTGTGTGTTGACTTGAGGCAGAGGGTATAGATTCATCCTCCCGTGCGTTTTATTGTGGTATCATGTGAATGATTGCTTTCTCTTCAACAATATGGCCCCCAGCATCCCCGCCCACATAGAAGTGTTGTGGAAGGAAACTGTGACTGTGATATGAGAAGAAGCCTCGTATCCAATAGGAGGTCTTTTTTTTTTTTTTTTTTTTGACATTTATGTCCTGGATGGAGCTTTAACTCCAAAGTAGAGACTACTGAAGCCTTGGCTGAAAAACTAACATCACAGCCGCTTCTCTTGGCTACTGGAGTCGGGCTTGTGGTTTGAATCCACGGGATGCTGAATATCACGAGACCACACCCGTCCCAACCAAATCTACTGCTGGGCGACAGGATGGAGGTCGACGCATCCCTGCCCCCGACCTGCAGAAGGTGCCCCTCCCCTCGGATTTGAGGAAAGCTCCTGTCGTTGCCCTGTTAGGAAACGGCTCCAAGAGGGGCGACGGAAGCCGAAGCTTTTCCTGTATGGACAGAGGTCTGTCAGCAGACCCCAAAGGAAGCCGTCGGCAGCCTCTGTGGAAAGGAGGAGAAAGGAAAAAGATTTCTGGAGTTCCCTTTTGGCCTTCTATCAGCCTTCCCCACCCCAAATGAAGAATCGGAACCTTTTACCATCAGAGAGGTGTGACTCAAATGTCTGCACAGGAACTGAACTGTTAGCCATTTCAGAATCACACCAAAAGACTGTGTATAACACAAAAAAGAGGGTAAAAAAGCAAAGTTTTAGTTTTCACACTTTCAACATTTTCACCCAAAACCATGTGAACTGTTTTGCTGGTGAGGAGGGTTCCCTCTGTAGACAGAAGCGTACACTTAGCAGAGAGCTAGAATGCACTCACAAACTAGTAGAAACGTAAACCAGTGCGCACATGTGACTTACTTACCCATAGAAGTGGTATTTCTGATTTAAAGTATTTTCTCCTCACGTATCTCAGAATGAGTTTGGCTCCCAAATAGACTTTAAAAAACACAAACCTCCCCCTCGTGTGAGCTGGACCTATCGTCGGCTGTCTCAGGTGCCTGTCTGGATATGAACTTTTGAGCCGCCCGGGCTGGATAAAGAGGTTTCTGCACCTGTGGGATGTGGCACTGTCTCCATTCTGCCTTATTACCAACTTTACGACAGAAGGTGATTTTAGCATAGATTACAGCAATGTTCTCATCTTGTGAATCCTGTTTTTGTTTTTTGTTCACACACCCATCAATAAGAGCGCTACTTTTTTTTGTTTTGGTTCTGGATAGAATCTCATTGTGACACTAGTGAACACTAAAAAGGAAAAAGTGCTTTTAGAAAACGACCACACGCAGCTCCGCTCTGCTTCTGGAAGCGTCACTTTTTTTTTAAATATAGTTCTGCTTTTTATGGCCATAAAACCCATAGGTTCGATCAGCTGTCAAAGAAACTGAGCTTTGGCAGGAAATGTTCTTAATGTTTTATCTGCTTCCACTCTGTTTGCCATTACCAGGTCTGTCCTGAGAGAATGGTTAACTCTCTTTGAGGTGTGCACCACGCGACACGTCCTGCTTATTAGCGTTGATCTCTGTGTGTGTGTGTGTGTGTGCGTGCGTGCGTGTGTGTGTGTACGCTAATGGGTGGGCGGAAGTGGATAACTTCTACATTTAAGCATCACGACTTTAACTGTGCCAACGTTATCCACAGATCCCGACCCACCAACTGAAAACCAGTCAGAAAAAAACCACACAAAAAAACAGAAAACATTTTCTTATGTAACTAAAGTGCCAATCTAGTCCACATTCATGAGATCTTCATTTGCGTGTCTCATTCCACCACCGCGTCATTTCGCTGACGGGGCTCGTTAGACTCAAGTTTCTATTTCAGCCGCTGGGCGCCAGATGTTGCACACAGATGACAGAGCGATGAGCCGGGCGTCAGGAGCGCGTTTGCCGTCCAACGGTCCGACTCAGAAACGGTGTGAATATTACCTGTGGTTTGTTGTGGGTTGCCCAGCAACTGAGTTGGTGTTGCATCACGCTCTGTGGCCACCGGACAGAGGTGGACGTGTTCGTGTTCTCTGGTATTCCACACAGCGTTAGCCTTCCAGTGTCCGCCCGAGGACATTTGCATGTTTCCCGTAAAAGCAGAAGTCGGGGACAGAGGCCTCAGTGCTCTGAGTGGTCAGCAGCCACCTTCCAGCAATCTGAATAGCAGGGTCAGAAAATAGAAAAATTATTTCATTTTAAATGAAAGAAAGAAAAAGAAGGCTGCTTGAATTTGATGACTTATAGCTGGTTTTTGGGTTAAATTCTGATTCTGTTTGGAGGATCTGAACCAGAAGAACTGTTAAAAAAAGGAAAAAAAGTCAACCTGACATTTATTTGGACTTTGTGATGGTCATAAAAGATAACCGATTATAAAATGCCTTGTTAATTTAGGGTCAGTCTTTTCTGATCAGCGGTGTCTGAATCTGTGGCTCCTTCAGATCCACTTCTGCTGACCAACACCTGTACAAGTGAAAATAAACGTTAGACCCCCCCCCACAACCAGACGATGGTCACAAAAAAGTGACTTCGCTTTAGAGGGAAAAGTTTATCACACTCTGCATGTCGTCTTCTCCCTGCTCGTTGAAGGGCTCCTTCCAACCCGCCTTCCACTCACTTCCACTCTCCATCAGCCTTTAGGAAAACACAATAATGATGAAAATAATGATCACACAACACCAAAGGGGGGGGGGGGACGTGCCTGAGCCGCCCACTCATGCAAGGTGCTCCATGTCATTGAACTTTGTCTCATCATTGTATCACATTTTCTCCCGGTTGTTCCCATAACTCCACAGCTGATCATCAGCATTCGGTATTCCAAAAACGTCCACATGTGAAGCCTTTTAGGCTTCCCCGAGTGAGAACGTCACGCATGTTCGACACTTAAGTACTTTGTACGTTTTGGGCCGTATTGAGCCTTAAAGATAAAATAAGAAAGCTGTTCCCTGCGTCACTGCACGGGTACAGCCAGTATGTATAGCATTTGCTTGCCCCCCCCCCCCAGTTTGATCTGAATATGATGGAAATGAAAACATTCTGGGCCACCCCAGTAGGTTTGCACCACATGACCACCGTCACTGCACTGCCGTCTGACCACGACCTACTGCTCCCACTTTCTCCTCCACTTTGATTTCCTTTTTATTTATTGTTTCATGTTTTAAGCCAGTAAAGACCGGGGACTTGGTGCCATGATAATTCTTTTACAGTGCTATTGTGTGAAATTATAATCACTTGTTATGGAATGATTTTTATAGTCTTTTTCACACCAGACTTCTTTTTTTTTTTGTTTTCTTTTTTTTTTGTATTTGTACAGTGGCTTGGTGATACTGATATGTTGCCATGAGTTATTGTAACCAATAAAAGCTTTTAACCAAGGATATTTATTTTTTTTTCGGGCTCATCTTACTTTGAATTTCTTAAAGGAACGTGTGTCGAAGTTTCCTCAGAGAAAACACGAATATTTGAACTTTGGCTTTGATGCTTAAGGCTCAAACCAGAATTTAAAATATATATATATATATATATTTTAAGCAAATAAGTTTGCACCGTCTTTCTTTTTTTATTCAGCTGGAGCCTTTTAGATGAGGATTAGTGTCCTAAATGTAGTGCATGGCAGCAGAATCTATGCCTGAAAAACACTGAATAACATGAACACTCATTTATTTCAATGTAACATTTTCAGAACTATGAACAAGGAATGCTTATATTTATCAACGGGTGCGATCACAGCGCTGGCTGGTGTGTTAACGCCGTCCTTTGCCTGGGTTCCTGAAATGTGCACAGCTGCTTGTAAAAGCATGACGGTGAGAACTGCCAAATGATGCCCGAAACGCCTGCTTCAGATTGTTTCAGGTTTAATGCAATCTGGACACATTTCAACACACATCCGAGAGGAAAAAAAGACACATTTACAAAAAAAGTCTGGTGTAATTTTCATCGTACAGTCTAGTGTATAAATAAAATAGAATATAATAAAATATCTGAGGATCTTTGCTGTATACAGTTTGCTTTGTTAGAAAATAGAACTTAAACTACACTATCTTAGAGACATGCGTTCCCTTCCTACTTCAACTTTCAGTAAATTTAACTTGTTTCTGAAGTTTAAAAAAAAAGAAGTTTTGACATCAAACTTCTTTTTTTTTTTATGCATTACTCTTAACATATACAGCTAATCGTGAGTCTGAGCAGAAGCACGTCAGACGCACACACTTCATTCAAAAAAAGGCAATTTCACAATAAAGTGTGACAGCATACTGGTGTAAAAAATACAGCACCCAGCCGGTCGCCCACCCAGCCACAGAATAAAGCCACAGTATAAAGCCACCGTGTGGAGTGTGTTTGCACAACTGCAGTCCAGGGAGGCTGCTGCGTTTCAGCCCTGCTGCGGCTTCCCCATCCTCCCAGGCACCTGGACGGCTGAAGGAGGAGAGCGAACCCGTCCAGTGTCGGGACTCTTCCTCCTCTTTGTCCGCTTACCGTCACCAATACCGTTCTTTTTTTTGTTTCTTCAAATTCACGGGAGCTACAAAATAACCCAAAGACTGTTTTCGGTTGTATCTCAACTGACGCTAAAAGATCAAATCTTCCAGATCCTGGAGGAGTTCTGTTTCGTAGGCTTGTTTGATGAACGACTGGCGTTTACGACGAACACTCAAACGCGTGGAAGTAGTCGGGGTTGGAGCGGGGGAATGACGGGCCGTGGGGGGGGGGGAGCCGCCTCACTCCTGAGGCTGAAGGTACTGGTTGGTGAACTCCTCCAGCTGCTTCTCCAGCTCCGTGGCCTTGTGCCTGCGCGGGAAAACAGACCCGTATGCAGCAGTGAGGCTAAAACCGAATGCGCAGCCCCCTCCCCCCCTTTCCCCCCGGGGCGGCGGCGGACTGACCGTAAGCTCTTGGAGCGGCTCTGGACGGCCTCCAGCTGCTCTATCTGAGCCGTGAGCTGACGGATGTTTGCCTCCAGCTCCTTCTGCGTCTGGTCCACCTGCTGACAGAGCCGAGCAAAGGTCGTCGCCATCTCCCTGGCAACACACAGAGGGCGCAGCGTCGCGCTGGTTATTTATTTAGCCCGGACCCGGGGGGCTGGGTTGGTCGGGGGTGGGCGGGTTATGCCGCTGAAGGGCATGGCGGGGACTCACTGTTGGACCTGGTGGCTGCAGTTTGCGCTGGTGAAGCTGACGATGAGCTGCAGCTTCTCGGAGGCGTAGTCCACGAACTGGCGCTTCAGGGCGCGCTCCTTGGCCTTGGTGGTCCAGGTGAGCCGCTCGTACAGGTAGAGCAGGCCGTAGAGGGAGCCCGACAGGGCGATCAGCCTCCAGCCCACGGTTTTCCACACCTCAGGGCAGAGAATCGGAGAAAGGAGTCAAAACCTGAGCGAGAATCTTTGTTACAGTCTCTATAAACGGTGCCTACGTGATTTTTTTTTTTTTTTTCTGCTGAGCTAGTGGCTAAAAATATACTAAATCAAATAAATAAATAAAACTAAATCAAATATAATTCCACAACATGAGGTTAGTAATCTAATGTTTTGGTTTCGCTGGTCTATGAGTTCAGCCGGTGCATTCAAATAAACTGAGCTGGAAGTAGGTCGTGCAGAAAGACGATACCGAGCACGCAAGCTGCTCGGGCAATAAATGATTAAAGGAGAACAAAGATAACGAGCTGCACCGGACGCCTCACGGTCCCGACCCCAATCTGACAGATGTCGTCTGGAAATATCTACACAGAGTTCACGTGAGGAGGCAGCTGTTCGGTTCAGGGGGAGGGGCTAAAATTCCTTCACGGTGTGAGACACATCTTTTTTTCTTTTTCTCGTTTTCATCAAATAAAGCACACTGAAACCCATGTTGAGCTGTGTAAAGGGGGGGGGGACGCACCACTCCTCCGACGACGATGATGCTCATGGAAGTGCGGGATGTGATGGAGGCCAGGTTGGTCGCCATGGCGACCATCAGGTCTTCCTGGGTCATGAGGGCGGTCTGGTTGGGGGGCGGGGCGGCGATGGAGGGCGGCCCCGAGGCGGGCGTGCGCGCCTGGGCCAGCGCCGGCCGGGATGTCTGGGCGGGGGAGACGGCATTCATTTCTTTTTCCGGGATACTCTTTTCCCAGGATTCCGAGCGGCTGTGCCGGCGCTTACCTGGAGGTTCTGCTCCACCATGGTCAGGGCCCGCTGCGCGTTGGCGGGGCCCAGGAAGCGGTGCGCCAGCGCCTGGAAGCCCAGCGAGAAGCGGAACTCGATGTTCTCCTGGAAGTCGCTGCAGATGGTGGCGCAGTTCAGGTCGTAGCTCAGGTCGAACGTCCTGTTGGGCACCAGCATGCCCACCTGGCTCTGGGCCGCCGAGGGGAGCAGGGGCAGCATGCTCTCTGGACAGGGGACCACCAGACGGGTCAGAACTAGCCCCATAACTGGGTGTTCTCAAGCTGCGCTGGCACACACAATTGACACTTTGTGGACCTCATTTATTAATTTCATCCATCCATAATCGTAACCTCTTATTCCCTAATGGGGTCGTGGGGGGAATTGGAGCCTGTCCCAGTGGTCAATGGGTGAGAGGAAGGGTCCATCCTGAACAGTCTGCAGGTCCATTGCAGGGCCACACAGAGACACACAACCACTCACATTCACTCCTAAGAGCAGTTTGGAATGTCCGATCAACCTAACGTGCTGGTTTTTGGACGGTGGAGAGAGCCCACCAGACACGGGGAGGACTCGCTGTGAGGCGATGGTGCTGACCACCACACCACAGCGCCGTCCACTTTTTTCGAAATAAATAAGAACTGCCGCGTCATGGCGCTGTCACCTCAGAGTTTAATGACACCGGCCGAGAGCGAATGACGGGTCCAAAAAAAACACGACAGAATGAGGACGTTTGTTTTGTTTGTTTGTTTGTTTGTTTGGTGAACTGACCTATCATGTATCTCTGAGAGGACTGGACCGAGGCGTGGACAGCGTTGGAGCAGCGGAAGGCCAGGTTCTTGCCCATCCCCTCCTCCACGTGAGAAAGCAGCTCCTGCCGACAAGAGTAAAAAGGATTCAGAAGTCTGACGGAGGCCGAAAGACGGCCCTCGTCCCTCTGTCCAACGGGCAGATTTACAGACTTCACACTCATTGGTTTACGGTGACCCCCGCTGTTTTTCTAATGGAACGCTGCATCGAGCTGGAGGAAAAAGTTACAGCTTCCTAATGTTCTTAATGTCTTGTGATGCATGTTGATCATTTTCTCCAAATCTAAAAAGCTGCAGGTTTCCGGGGCGGACGGAGGGATGAGGGGGACCGGGCATTGGAGGGATAGAGGAAATCCAAAAGAGTTCAGTGTCTTCTCCACAAACCCTAAAAGCCCCCACGGAGTAAAGCGTTCTCACCCACTACGGTCACAGTGTGACGGGGCATTCTCAGTCTAACAGGTTAGGCTCTCAATAATTGATGATGCGTTAATGTCAGGCATAGGTGAGGTTATATAAACGCAGTCTGACAGTTTCAGCTCTGATAAACAAAAGAATAAAGACGTTGCATCTTTGAAGGAGACTGTCTGCTAAAGCCATTTCCCTATAAAATACATTAAGCATTTCTTTCTTTATATTTTTGCGATGTTTAGACTGGTCAATCTCACATTTTGAACGCTGTTTTGATCACCTTTGTTGTTGATATGAGATTAATGGCTGACGACGCGTTTCTACGGCAGCGCTTTGACTCACAGACTTGTAGATCTTGAGGATGTGAGGCGACGGGTGGAAATCGGAGTGAAACTCGTCAACGATGACGTGGAGACGGCAGATCTCCTCCCCCATTGCGATGGACACCTGCAGAGGACACAGCGCCGGCCTTCAGTCCCCCCCAGAGGCAGACGGGCTCACCTTCAATGACTCTTATTTCCCCCGCTCATGGATTCAATTTCTTCCCGGAAAAAACAAGAAGTTTGATAGCTTCCCCCGAAAAAACGCAGCTGACGTCAGAAAGGCCTGAACCTCTTTCACATTTTGTACAAAAAAAAAAAAAGTTTTGGGTGTTTCCTTCCTGGCGGCTTTGGGGCATTCCAGCCTGTGTTACCTTGGACTCCACCTCCTCGCTTATGGCTTTGATCTTCTTTTTGATCTCGCTGATCAGCAGGTTGAGCTGGTTCTTGACGAACTCCAGGCGGTCCATTTGGTACTCCCTGTCCTCCAGCGCCGCCACTCTGAAAAACCCCCGTCCCCACAGAGCAAACACTGTCACACTTTTTTTTTTTAATGGCGACCGCGCCCCTTAAAAACCATCAGTCAGACGCGCCAATCTGCTCCGAATTGTCATCACGCCCTGTTTTACTTACAGCAAACCAACCCATTTATCCTCTGTTGCTGTTTACAGGGTTACCTTTGCGGCCGTCCACGCGGTCAGCAGGAAGCGGACAGAATCAGTTCAAGGTTTACGCACAGAAAGTGGAGCGGTGGACGGAGCGGCTCACCTCTTCTCCGCCGCCTCGATGTTGACGGTGTCCATGATGGTCTTGACTTTTTCTGTGATCTGCTTGGCCCTGATAGTGTGCTGCTCAAACTTTGTTTTCACTGCTGACTGCGAGATACACTCCTGCGAGGCCATAACACACGGGTTACTGTGACGGCCGCGGGGGGGCAAAAACGGCGGGGACGGGCCAGACACCCGCTGCCCTGAACCAAAAGGAAGAGGGGACGGGGGGGAGGGGGGGGGGGGGGAAGGCAGCAGGGTGTCTCCCCCGTGGCCCGCGGCCCGCTCCGCCCAGCGTCACAGTTGTGCGTCGGCTCGGCAAAAGTAAACAAAAATGAAAGAAATCATACAGAGGGGAACACAAACAGTTCAACTGAAGGAAAACACAAGGAAACATAATAAATAATGGAAGGCAGCAATGCAGGACGACTGTCATCTGTCATTTGATGATGATTTAAACTACCTCTTGGTTTTGTCGGCTTTCTGTCTGTCCACTGACTCCATTAACCCCCAACAAGAAGACTGTTTTGTCCCAGAAGCCGTGTGTGAGCTACGTTGATTTAATTTCCCTGGGATTGTGTTTGCAATAGGGTTGTTTCTTATTCTTTTGTGCATTCTCAGCATGTGTTCTCCTGCACTGTAAAAGCAGAGTTAGCTAATATTCAGAGGAAAGTGGACTAGGCTTTGAATATGTCCAGATATACTGCCTACAGTCCCCCCCCCCGCTCTCCGTCCTCTCTGCTATGCTTCAGCTCCGCTCCAAAAACCCATCGTGAGCCTGTCAAACTCTAAAACCTCTTTGGTCTGTGTGAATTTCCAAAGGGAAAACCCAGTGGGTGCAAACAAATCTGCAACCCCCCCCCCCTCGGTTAAAAGAAAAGGCGCAACAAAACGCATAACGGCAACGAAAGTTGCAAAGAGAACACAAAACCAGGGTAAACGAAAGCAAACGGATGTCCTCACCTAAGTGAATCTAGATTTCAGCAATGAAGACGCAGGTTGATAAAAAAGGCACAGTGACTGGTCGAGGGCGCTAGCTAGAGATTTAGCAGCCTGAGAAAAACCTGAACAGGAGGAAGTTATTGACGGCTTGTTTCAGCTCCAACGGCTTGTCACACTGCGACCTTTTAAGCGGCACATTTAAAACCACCTGCTTGTATGAAACACAGTTTTTTTTCCTCCTGCGTTTAACAGTAACTGGAACTGCAGCGGTTTCCTCTTCATCCCTGATCAGCCCTCATCATGTCACACGCCAACAATCTTTGTACCTGATGAAAAGTTATCTGCGGTGGTCCTGCATCAGTGCTGTGTTTATGCGCTCTAAAATGACTGAAAACCGCCTCCCCTAGCCCGTCTTTGGAAAACACACCTCAAACCTTCTCTCAAAGCTCTGGAACTCCTTCAGCCTCTCTTTGAAGCCCTCGGCCAGAGCGCCCCCTGTTGGATGAAACCGTCACATCAAACATAAAACCAGATAGACAAAACGTTTCTGTTACACAAGCTGCTGCTTTCCCCACACGTGAAATTTCAAAGTTTTGCCTTTCTGGTACCCGTCTCAGGGCTTTAATGAATCGTCTAACAGTTAAATAACTATCAGCTCGCGCACACGGCCCGGAGCAACTGCGCGTTGCATATTTTATCTCTCCTGCTTCCTCAAAGAGACGGGCAGAGTGTGTTTGCGGCCGGAGTGCTCACCCCCTTCGGGCATGCCCTGCGCACGCTGCATGCGGGAGTTGAGCACCTCTTTTGCAGAGACAAAGAAGATGCGGTTGGGGGCCTGCTCGCGGTCCACCACTTTCAGCTCCTCCACCAAGAAGTTCACACAGCGGTCTGTGTGCTGTTTCCTTACCTGCAAAAAGAGGAGCGTTTTTCTTTTGTCCTTTTTTTTTCAATTTTCTTTAAATCGGGAATCGGTGAAAAAGCAGGTGTCTGGATGGAGCTACTCACGTCCTCCATGTATTCTGGCTCATTTGCTGACGCGTCCCAGCGGTTGTTCAGAATAAAGATGTTTGGCTTTGACAGTCGTTCGTTCACTTTGTGGAAAAAGTGTTTTTCCTATTCGGAGGGTAAAAAAAATTTGAATCTCAATTATTCTTATTTTTTTCAAACTCTCTTTTTTCCCTAAAGCATGCCATTTTGTCACGCTTGATCAAAAAGACTAAAAAGTTTGGCGATCTTCGTTTAATTCCTCAATGTCTGGTTTATTTCCAGGCTGGTGGGGAATGTGGGTTTGCTTTCCCTTTAAGAGCTGCGGCCGGATGAAGGGGCTCTGTGCCCGACTTTAGCCTCACGTTGCTCGGATGCCTGAGCAGTGTGTGGCCTCACAGAAACAGAGTCGCACTTTCACCGGCTCAGTTTAAAGTCCTGGTAGGTGGTGAAAAAGTATAAATTCAATTGTTACAAAGGTCTGAACTTTTTAATTATCAAAAGCTTCTCATGCACATTACCTAAAGTTAGAAAATACAAAATACAGGCCTCAAATGAATCTGCCTTTCAAATCTACTCTTGTGTGTGAGATTAAGGGAAGACGGGTTTCTCTGAAAGTTTCAAAACTCTTGGGAAATGGCTTTAAAAACTTTTTTTTTTTTTAAAGAGGGCTTATATGTCAGGACTAGATAAAAGAGATTAAGTTCAGCCATTACATGAGTGATGCAAACTTTGTCACAGCGAGTTCATTCAGGGGTCGCGCAGCCTATTCCCAGCTCGGTATTCACTGACCACGCGTGTGCTCCGACCCAGACACACACATGTGACGCCGACCCCACATTGGCCAAACGGGAGGAGGGTGGGAGGTTTTACCGTGTTCATGAGCGTGGACTCCGAGTTGGCCACCAGCACGAACACGTCGGCATCCAGGCAGAACTTGTCGATCCAGCTGTCCAGCTGCGACGTGACGTCCGTCCCCGGGCTGGAGAGAGGCAGGAGAGGGAGACGGGTCAAAGGCAGGGAGAGACCCCCCCCCCCTAAACGCGGGGAGCAGCGCGCACGTCTTCGGCTGTGATGCTGGACGGGACCCGTCACCTGTCTACGAGCACCAGGTCGTCTCGGAGCAGCGCGCACTTGGTTTTGGGCCAAAACACCCGGACCAGGCAGCCGGCGTCCAGGCTCTCATCCATGTGGAGCGCGTGGGCCAGCTGGTTCACGGTCTGCAGACAGGTTGTATTTTTAAAGCAGAGGCAGTCAGCAGCCATTGGAGCCACTGCACCAGTGCGCATAGGCACATCAGATGGTCAGGAGCTTTGTTGGTGTTTTAGCGTTTTTTTAAATATCCGATTTGCAGCCGTCGACAGCTATAAGCCGCCATCCAAAATGCGGCTCACCTTAATGCTCTGCTCCTCCTCAGAGCCCTCCGTTTTGAGGTAGGCCTTGTCCTCGTCCGTGCCCTCCACACTCAGGAAGCAGTTAGTGGTGTGGCCAATCCCGCTGGGCAGGACCCGATCCCTCAGCATGGCGTTGATCACCGTGCTTTTCCCGTTGCTGGTCCTAAAATAAAAAAAAGCAAATGTGGTCATATGGAAAGGCAAGTCTATTTGTCTATCACATTTCCTGTACGTCTTCACAGAGACTTTAAAAGCAGAAAAACAAGAAAAGAAAAATAATAAAAAGTAGATGTATAGATGAAAAGTGAAGGGTTGCAGATAAAATACATTCAATTTTCATATGCAGTTAAACAGAAGCTTTTCCAGCCTGGATTTAAACATTGTCAGAGTTTAAGCCTGTCTCACATCTTCAGCTCCTAAAAACTGTTCCAGATTGTAGGAGCATGGAACTGAAATGAAGCTTCACCTTGTTTATATGGCGCTCGCTGCTGTACCTTTTGTTTTTTTACTGTATATCCATCACCAACCACAAGTTTGGTTTTGTTACTGCGTTAAAGCCATCAATGCAAGAATATTTAAAACATGTTAGAGATTTAGGCTTTCCGATGTCTAATCTTGACATGTTTAGGGCACAGTGCCTTTTGATTTCACCATGAAATGAATGACAGATTATTATCAATGTCAAGATAATGAAAGTGAAAGAACAACTTGCCTTCAAAATTGAGTTGAATGACTTAACTCTGACATAACCCAACGGCTGTTAAACAACTTGCTCTTACAAGTCTCAGGAACGTGTTCCTCAGTCAGAATCTGACATTCGGGTGGGCACTGAGGTATTTACCTGCCAAAGAAAGCCACCTTCATGTGCCTGCGAGCGAGCACTTCCTTGATGACAGTGATTTTGTGAGCATACGTCTGGATCTCGACCTTCTGTTCCCTGGTGGCGATGTCTTCCAAGGCTTTGTTCCCACTGATGTCTGTCAGCAGAGACACACACACACACAACATAAACACAAACACTTCCTCCTCTTTGAACTCTCAACGGTGACCTTCCAGGAGACCAGCTCACCTTCTACAAACTCCCAGGTTTCATTCACGTAGTTGAGCAGCTGATCGAACACGTCGCTGATCTTCTTCTTGGCCACAACAAAGTGCTTCAGGGGGGAAAAGTCCCCCCGAGATGGGGGTGGGGGGGGGGGGGGAGGGGGTGGAGCCATGGGGGGGGATGGGGGGGGGGGGGGGGGGGGGGGTCATACACTTATATCAGTTGACACGTGATACAGAGTTACCGCGATTGCGCCACAAAGATCAAATGTACACTAGTAACTCGAGTTGTACGAGTTAAAAGCTACGCGGTGAGGAAGGAAATGACTGGCGTAAGATGATTGGTTTACCCGTAAATGATCTGTTAGCTTAAGAAAATCCCAAGTGGCACGTGACATTCTAGCAAAGCGTGCCGTGTGTTTGGAAACACAACGAGATTGAAACTTTTCGGTGGGTTACAAACGGGTGTGACACTCGCAATACTTTGTCCAACAAGCGGTCACAGGCTGCTGCCAAGCTAACAGGTACAGCTAGCTGACCCACGGCTATGCAGTCACATGCTAACACTGAAAATAAGTGATTTTTTTCCCCTTACCACAGTCCTAACAGAGGTAGTGCTCACCACTCATAACAAAAACAACATCGATATGTGCAGACGACACAGGAAATCTCCAACTCGGGTCAAAGATTCCTCGCTGTCAGCTTGGCTAACCTTCTGTTTGTATCCAGCAATGCCACCGATGGCAAGTTACATCTGCCACGCAGCGCACTTCCGGAATGAATCAAAATAAAACCCAGCAGCGTTTGACGTTATGCCCCGCCATAGCCATTAGTTTTTAACGGTTTATTACATCATGTTTTTAGTTTTGTTATGCAGCTGTTTCATATGAGGGGACACTAAACTTTAGATATGTGCATTTTGTCCTCTAAAAAAAAGACTGGCCACACAAAAACATGTTTAAGCTGAAACTTGAAACGGAAGTACTTCCTGTTTGATCAACGGCAGTTTGCTTCATGTGTAATCCCTCTCGCGGTGGGTGGGTGGAGACAACTGACCACTCGGATGGCAGGCAGCAGCCAATCAGAGAGAAGAGAATGCGTCCAGCCCCACCGCCAATAATCACTGCTGGAAGCCAGGTTATGACATTATAACATTAGTACAAGCAGTACTACCGTGAAATATTTGTATAAAACCATTTCTATTTGTTCAGAATAGTTTGCTCAACCCCCAATAAAAAAGGAGTGTTCAAAAAAAGATACTACAATATTATGCAACACCTATGAGAGAAAATCAATATTCTTACAAAATGGACGTTTTAGTATGAAGTTGCTGAGTAAAAATATTGTAAGACTGATGGGTATTTGCTTAGTTCAGTTTAGTCTCAATTTTGTGGTTTGTTGTTGTTATCAGTTAAGTAGTGTGTTAAATACTGTGCTGATCAGAAGGGTACATTGGAAACAGTGTGTTTATTTATTTATCTATTTGCTGGTTTGTTCAGTCCACACAATCTGATGAACATAGGTCCAAAATTACTAGTAACAACACATCTCATTTTCAAATACATCTCCAAGACAGTTAAGAGGAAATAAACCAATATGAGAGACCACGCAAATACATGCAAATTAGATATCGCAGGGTAACTAAATACTATAAACTCTTTAAAAAATGCTGAAAGTGATCACCACTTGAGAATTTCCATTATAACTAAGACTTTGCACACCTGTAATTCATGTGGTGCCTGGACGACACTTGGTTGGGCTACACTGCAAGACTCATGACACCAAAAAGTAAATAAGCTGCCTTTTTTGTCCATTTCACCCTTGTTTTGTCTGACATATTCAGTGAATCGACAGCACACTCCTCTCCTAAATGTAAAGCAGTGATTACAGGGGATTGGGAACTTTGGTGGCTTGTCCTGGGACGCATTTCCACTGAGATGTATCTAAAAACGTCATTAATTAAAATCTTGAATAAATAGAATTACAACTGAAAGGGAAACTCCTAAATAAAAATACAGAAAAAAATCTCCTGCCACACACAGTATGAATTGAAAAACGTTGTCAACCTCCTGAGAGCCGAGCTTTTGTGTGTTATGTATTTTTTTCCCCCCAGATATATAAGTTTAATAACCAGACTTTGCTATGGTACTGGTAGTTTTTCTTTGTATAGGCTCAGAGGGTTTATCTTTATTTTTAAAATGTTTGTTTATATATCTGATATAATGTTTTTGCAATTTGGTTCTAATGGTCCAAATGACTTATTTACAACATTGTTAATACATAATAAGAACATGATTGGTTGAAAATGTATAGAACCATTCTACTTTAGATTTCACACATTAGTGTCTGATAGCGTCTACTGTGAGGAGGTCAAAGTTGAAAGAAAAAAGAAGTATCATGCTAAAGAGAGGCACAAATGCAATGTCCTCATATGAGGACGCAGGATGTCATGAGGTTATAGATATATAGTCTTTATCAAATTAAATCATGGAGTTTAAAAATATGAAATTCCATTATCCTGTTCTATTCTAATTGTATTTTTTTCAGATTTTCTTTTTCTGGTTTACTGCATTTACTTGCTTGTTTATTTGTTGATGTTTTGAAAAATGCCATTCAACAGAAATGCCACTGTGTGTGTGTCAGGGTGTGAGTGGGTGGGTGGTTGTGTGTCTTTGTGTTTGATGAGGTGTATGAGATGGTAGTAACTGAGGCAGCCATCAGTCAGAGCAGCAAACACTGAGCGACGCAGAACCTCCAGCCTCTTGTTTGGCGTTGAGATACTGAACGACTGCTTGTCCTCACAGGAACTTGGAATCAATCCTACTCTGTTTTTCTCTTCCCCTGAGATTTTTTTCTTTTATGGTTTTGTGCAAATTTACGATGGAGAATTAAAATGGTGAGGAAGAAAAAACTCCAGGTGTATGAGTAAGTATTTCCATTTCCTCTTCTCTGCATTTTGTTTGCAGTAACACATTCAGCCTCATCTAGAGAATTATTCCAGTTCAAATTCATGTTGACCTGGAATGATAATTTGGTTTTAATTCCAATAACAGGCATCTTATGCTGTTGGACTTATAGTTGAATTAATAACACAAAGCTTTTCATTTTCACTGTGGCCTCCGTCTCTTACATTATTAAAGGGGGCCGATAAGCCCGTAGCTCTCCTGCGTAGCTATAGATTTCAACCTATTCAACTCTGGTCCAAACTAAACCTTTGTTTCCTCAAAGTGATAAAAAATGCTTCTCTTTTGACCGTGTCTTAAGTGACTTCTCTAAAATGACAACACACATCAGCGATGGTAGATCTAAATGAGCAGATTTTTGTCTTCTTTTCTTCTTCGGTTTTATGTAAAATAACCTGAGCTCAAACTATTTTTCTGTCAGCTTCCTCATTGTGTTGGTGCCATTGTTGTGGCACAGGTGACACAAGAGCTTATGTGTGTATTGTCTGTGTGTGAGCTGTTGTGTATTGTATGTGTGTGCAAGTATGGCTGACCTTTATGTTTAACTGTTCTATCCAGCAGTCTCCTCTCTGAAAATCGTGTTTTTCCCTTTATTAATCTAACTGTATCACAAACTAATAGGAAATAATTATATTATTATTATTATTTTAGAAATATGTTCTGATCTTTTCGTGGATTTAATGCATCTTTGCTCAGCAGATGACTTAACACATTGTGCCTGTGCTGTTTTCTTCTCCCAGAATTTGTGGAAGCATGATGTGGGATGGATAAACAACAACAAAACTCTGCTGTAAGTGAGCTGATTGATGACAGTGTTTCTGTCTGTGTTTATATGATAGACAGGAGTGTATGTGTAGTTAATTTATGGCTACAATTTTACCAAACTGGAGCACTGGTGTTTTACTAAACCTGTTGCTACATAGTTTTTAAAAAGGATAATTTGCTTATGTTCTCAGTCAGTGTGGCAAGAAAATATTTGCATTTTGCAGGGACCAGATTTTAATTTTCACTTTTAAAGCTCCTGTAAGACATTAATTCCATCCAATAAGAATTTAATCTACCAATAAAAATGCCACTGTGACACAAGAAACTGCGTGTACAATTTTATTTTACAATTTTATGAAAAACAAAACACATAATTGTCTCTTTTTGTTAGATGGCCTCAAATGACCCTGATCTTCCTGACCTCTCTGGTGACCCTCAACCTGGTGACCTCATTGAGATCTTCAGACCAGCCTATCAGCACTGGGCTCTCTACCTTGGAGACGGTTACATCATCAACCTGACTCCTGTTGGTCAGTGGACAGTATTCATCCAACTGAGCTGAGTTGGTGTTCCAGCAACTTTAATGTTCTTGTTATTGATCAAATATGATCGCTAAGTTGTTTCTTCATGTTTGCTTCCCCCCCTTACTCAGATGTTATTACTTATGTCAATACAGACCTGTTTTCTTCCCTGAAAGCAGGTCAATATCTTTTTAGGATGTAGAGCTCATTATTAGCTAAGTATGACAGAGTACTCCATGTCTCATAAGCCTTGGCTTCAGTATATATGCTTCAGTGTATGAAATTAATGTCTGGAGTGTTTGAAAGGAGGTTGAAAATTTTAATCATCAGTTGTCATAGTGTTATGTGACAATCAGTAGGTCCCTGTAGATTGGAAAATCAGGAAAAAGTTAGCCTAAGGGACCCTTTATGGGTCATTTGGGGCCATTAGACCCAACGTTAAAGTCCTTAATTATCTTCCTTTTTTTGTATATTCCTTTCAATACTTTTTTCTTTGCTAAAGAATCTAAGAGAACAAATTCATTTTCCCCCTCTCCCACAGATGAGAACCAAGCAGCCGCTATGTCCAGCGTGAAGTCCGTCTTCAGCAGAAAGGCCATTGTGCGCATGCAGCTGCTGAAGGAGGTGGTGGGAAGTGACTCGTACCGTGTCAACAACAAGTACGACCACAACCACACGCCCTTGCCCGTTTGCGAGATCATCCAGCGGGCTCAAGTGCTCATCGGACAAGAGGTGTCTTATGACCTGCTGGGGAGCAACTGCGAGCACTTTGTCACCCTTCTGCGCTACGGGGAGGGGGTTTCCGAGCAGGTCTCTAACTGTTTATTTTGCTTCTGCCTCATGTGCCACCCACTCAAAATACCAGCTTTTCACCCATTAAACCACAAAGACTAATGACTCTTTCACAGTGCAACATCATTAGAAAGGGAAGCTTAAGTGGAAACCAACCTCATGTTTTTTTTTCTTCCACACTTGGATATTTGGGTTGTGTTGAATTTTTCAATTTTATTTCTCAGAATGAATGATTGCATTTTAATAAAGTGAAATAGTTTTTCATATAGAAGCACTGACATTATACAAGGACTGACATTTGCTGTATTGGCCAAAATGCATTTGGATATTTCACTATTGTTTTCTTTACACTATGGATTTTATTTAATTTTTTACTCAGTTTAAGTGCTTTAATGTATGCTCACAGCCTGTAGCAAAAACGGGCACATTTACTATCCCAGACATCTGAGAATTTAAGCCCTGCAAAGAGTGTAGTGGGTAAAGATTAACATCTGTGACATACAGTAGTGCAAGAATACGCTTTTGAAATATAATCTTATTTCACATTTATAGCTGTATTTGAGTTATTAAACTTAACAATATTGTATGTTTTCCACAATGCTTAAAATCATACTGTATCATGGATATGCAACAGAGTCCATGTGCACTTCTGACCTCTCACTTCTGATGTTTCTGTTCGGTAATCTCTGGTCCACGTCCTGTGCTCCTCCTTATCTCCACAGGCTACACGGGCCATTGGAGCCATCAGTTTGGTGACGGCAGCAGCCAGTGCATTCTCTGTCCTGGGACTGATCAACACACGGTCCAGAAACAGGCCTTTCTGACAGCTGTGATCTTCACTGAAGGGTCTTGTCCCCCAACATTCATGTGGCTGTGACAAAACAACAAATAAATAAATACAAACTGCATCAACAAGACAACAACTCACTTTGGTACTTGTTCATTAATTTGAGTCCTTATCAATGATCTAATTATTGTCTGTGTATTTCTATCACTTTGAAACACGATTTTTCGTATTTTGAATGTTTTCACAAGGAAATACTGTCCTATTGCAGTTCTAATTGGGACCATTCAAATACTGATTTAACATAGCGGCATTTAACTAAATTAGAATCACAGCTATTCATATAACCACATTGCATTACCATTTATTGGACAGAGCTGAGAAAATTTACAAAAATTTTTTTGCAATCAATCTCTCTTCTCATCGTCATATATGTCTTCTGCCAGCTTTTCTGGTTTTAACTCTTTAATTACTAAAAAAAACAAAAAGCACACGATGAACCTTTAAAGGGACAATGTCTCCATTCAAATATTTGATTTCATGGACAAGGTGACCTGTTGGTGTTACAGATTAGGCAGCATTGAGGGTTATTGACAGTAGGTGGCGTTACGTCCTCCGGACAGCACAGCAACAAAAATCAGGAGAAGAAGAAATTCCAGCGTGACGTCAAACATCTGCGCTGGGTCTACCACACGTGTTGTTTTCATTAGGTCCGATTAACTTGGACTTTTTTTTTGTTGCCGAGTTCCCGACTGCGTAAAAGATGGGGAAGAAACTCAAAGTTGGAAAGACCAGAAAAGATAAATTCTACCACCTGGCTAAAGAAACAGGTAGTTTAGTAGTTTCACACAATATTAAAAGAACTGGCCCTGAGGTTGTGCTAGCATTAGCAGGCTGGCTTCCTCTGCAAGGTTGGGAATTTGGGAGGAATTTAGTGTGACACTTGTTAAGTTTATGTTTGTTTTCGTTTTTTCAGGTTACCGCTCTCGCTCCTCGTTCAAATTGATTCAGCTCAACCGTAAATACCAGTTTTTACAGAAAGCCAGAGCTTTGGTTGACCTGTGCGCTGCTCCTGGTGGTTGGTAAGTAGCTTGTCACTTCATCTGCTAGAAACCTAACATTTGCTAGAAATCCTGTACTGAAAGGAACAAAAGAAAAAGTCAACTCTGCCGTCCAGTAACTCACCCTTTATTATGTGTTATGCATGTCATATATAGCTATAATAATAAAACCCTGACAACTGGTAATATATCTTATGTTAACCTACTTAGATTTCCCATTAGACATCAACATTGGTTAGTTGGGTTCCACCGTGTTGTTTATTAGAAAAGGGAAATTGATATATACCAATGAAAAATAAAGATGTTAATTATGAATAAATCTATATCCTCAGGTTGCAAGTGGCTTCCAAGTTTATGCCTGTTTCAAGTCTTATTATTGGTGAGTGTATCATCTTCAACATATGTAACAGCACATTGCCCTAACTCTTCTGAGGTTCATGAAGCAGTATCATGCTGTTTTCTGTTTCCTATCAGGTGTTGACTTGGTTCCCATAAGGCCCATCCCCAATGTAGTGACTCTGCAAGAGGACATAACCACTGAGAAATGTAGACAGGTGGGGGGGCAGCCCTTTCATTACCATGAAGACCACACTGAAATTAAACCAACATGGTTACTGGATGCTTTATGGGTTGTTGCTTGTTCCACACGCAGGCAATTCGGAAGGAGCTTCAAACCTGGAAAGTGGACGTTGTGTTAAATGATGGCGCTCCGAATGTGGGAGCCAACTGGCAGCACGATGCCTTCACCCAAGGTAAATCATGACTGATATAAGTAACAGTTCACACAGACACATATCTGTCCTCAAATCTGAAAGCTGATGATTGAAAACAGAATTTCAAGCTTGCTATTTCTCTCGTTTCTTATGTACCAATGTAGGCCATGTCTAGATTAGAGGGAATGTTTCTTTATTTTTGGCTTTATTGTCCAAATTGTCTCCTCTCAGCTCACCTGACCCTCATGGCCCTGAAGTTGGCCTGTGAATTTTTGACGAAAGGCGGCACTTTTGTCACCAAGGTCTTCCGCTCCAAAGACTACCAGCCTCTCCTCTGGATCTTCCAGCAGTTTTTTAAGAAGGTCCAGGCCACAAAGCCGCAGGCATCGAGGAACGAGTCCGCTGAGATCTTTGTTGTCTGTCAAGGTCGGTGTCAGTTGCACATCCCAATGACGTAAAGTTGTGTTGCTCAAACAACTTCACAGCTCACGTCTAATCCAATTATTTCTTGTGGTTTCCAGGTTTTGTTGCACCAGACAAAATAGACAACAAATTCTTTGACCCCAAACATGCGTTCAAAGAGGTGGATGTGCAGGCCAAGACTGTGAGGGACCTCATGCCTGTGAAGAAGCCAAAGGCAAGAAGTGCTCTCCCATTGAAATTGAAGTTAACATTAATAATCATGTCGTAATGTTTTTTGTAACCAAAACTTCAAGATAATTTCTGAACCAGGAGCTTTTTCCCTTTTTTTTTTTTCCTTCTAGGCGGAGGGATACACAGATGGGGATCTGACTCTGTACCACAGCTTCACAGTCACAACTTTTCTCAAAGCTGAAAATGCAGTAGACTTTCTGGGAAAAGCCAGTGAGGTAGTATCTCCAGTGTTCTCTTTCTTTTCCTAGAAACACAAAAGTTAAAAATGTTTAATCATCTGTAAGAGGACACAGAAATGTATGAATCGTTATACTGGATTTGTTAGATTTTTATTTGTGTCCGCAGTTAAGCAGATGTAATCTTTACTGAATAACGTCACAAATAAATCACTGTTCTCTCAGATCACCTTTGACAATCCGGTGGTGGAGTCTCACCCATTCACCAGTAATGAAATAAAAGAGTGCTGCCGGGACATTAAAGTCCTGGGACGCAAAGAACTCCGGTAAGACTTTTATTCAGATCTCATTTCTTCACATGCTGCTTGTGAATGACACACTTGTTCACACTGAGCCAGAAAAAAAACAACTAGGGCCTCACTGTCAATAATGAATAATCTCCTTTGGTAAAGTCCAGGTTGTTGTGGAGGTTCCACAGGGGAGTTTTTTGCTTCCCAACACAATGATGAGACGGACATTGACTCATATGTGTGCTTATTTCCCTTCTCTTCATCTCATGTAAAGCCTGCTGCTAAACTGGAGGACCAAACTTAGAAGGTACCTGGCAAAGAAACTGAAGGAGGAGGCCAAGCAGCTCAGCCAGGAGATCAGGTACAATCTTATTTACAAAATGCTACAGAAACATGAGTGGGGTTTTCAGTAACTAGTGAAGCAAATATGAAACTATGATACAGTATGACTATATGATCCAGTCATCCTCAATTTAACCTTCCGCGTTGCTTGTAGTTTAAGCTCTGACGAAGAAGCGAACAATTCAGAAGAGGACACAAAGGACAAAAAGGTGGATGAGGAGGTGAAAGACGATGAAGATGAGGAGGAACAGCTGGGGAAACAACTGGCAGAGCTGAAGGCAGAGGAGGTGGCTGACCTCAAACGGTACAGCCGACGCTTCCATTTTTCCCCAATCCTGCGTGTTGAACTGTGCTGCTCGGTGTACAGCGGGCGGTTTGTTACAGAGTGTCTTTGTGCTGTGGCGCTCCATCAGAAAGAAGAGAAAGCTGTTAAATGAGAAGAGGAAGCAGAGGGAGAGAGTGGAGCTGAAGATGGATCTGCCCGGTGTCTCCATCGCCAGCACCACAGACTCATCCTTGTTCTCCCTTTCCACCATCAAAAAGCCAAAGGTGAAAGTCACTCCATCTTTCCCATTTGCCCCACACTGGAGAAACAAATGCCTTCAAATCTGTTGAATGCACTAACTAGACCCCCCTTTACCTCTGTTTATCAGGCACTGGCTGACATCTCTAGGGGGGACATGCAGGGAGCAGAGAGTCTGGCAGAGGGAGAAGATTACGTTCACCTCTCAGACGAAGAGGAGGACGATGAGGCAGATAAGATGTCCCTGGCGTCTGATTTAAGCGAAGCGGATTTGGAGGAGATTGAACAGAGGCAGAAAGAGATGGAAAAGAGAGCGCCAAAGAAGAAGTAAGAGGCTACTGATCCTGTTGGTGTTTGGAGAGTTTAGTTGATGGTTGGAGCTCACATGAGCGTGCGGGGTCTCAGAGTTGAAAAAAGACGTCATAATTTTTTTTTTTACAGAGTTAAGTTCGCAGAGGAGGAGGAGGAAGAGGATGATGGGGGGGCAGAAGGCGGCCTGCTGGTGGAACTGGAGGGAAAGGACGAGAAGACAGAGCGAGAGACCAACCTCTGGTTCAGCAAGGTTTGTCCACGTGTGCTCCCATGGGGCAACATGCACGCCCACCGGTGTTCCTGATGTAACAATCCTTCGCAAATCTGCCTCTGTAGGGAATCTTTTCTGAGATTGACATGGATGGAGACGAAGAGAGCGAGCTCCAGCAGGCTGAGTTGCTCCAGAGCAGACAGACAGGTCCATCCCCGCGCTCGGGCTCAAATGTTGTTCAGAAATGACTTTCAACCATTTTATTCTGGCTCTCACAGATCATGGATTTGCCTGTTTTCCAGGAAAGGGGAAAAAAAGGAAAGCCGAGGAGGCAGAAGAAGAGGAGGAAGTCGCCGTCCCAGCTGTGGAGAAGGCAGGACCCTCGCAGGAAGCCGTGGACGATAGTGACAGCGATTCGGATGACAGCAGCGACGACGAAATGTAAAACGTCGTCTTGTCGTCTCTACGTTTAGTTTGTTGATGGAATTGAGTAAAGAAAGAAAAGGCCAAAAGAAGGAATTGCAAATCAACTCTCAAACCAACCCATCGTTGCTTTTTTCCAGTGACATAAACGGAATGAAAAAGGCCAAACAGACCGGTGGGGCGCCAGGAGGAGCCGACAAAGACGATTTCCAGGTCGTCCCTGTTGAGAGTACCAGTGAGTACGAGAATGATTTTAGTGCTCCCCTCATGTCAAAGTTCTCCACCGTTTGTCTTGCACATTTCATGTCTTGGCTCATCCAAGCTTCGCTTTTCAGGCCTTTAGGACACAGTTCTTCTTTAAGGGTTAGACCAGTAAAAGTTTCTTGTAGTTCTTATGTTTAAATGTCGAGACGTCTGTTCTGTGCGCTTTAGGTAAGAAAGCCAGGATCCTGAATGCAGAAGGCCTAGCTCTGGGCTGTCACATCGCTACGTCCAAGAAGAGAGCAAGAGACCTGGTGGACGGATCGTTCCACAGGTGTGTGTGTGTGTGTGTTGCCTCATTACAAATCCTGTTACCAGCAAACCTCAATACCGCACCCTAACCCTAAAGCAGAAGATTATGGTGAAAGTAAGCCGATGTCTGTCTCTACAAATGGCTCATCGTTTGCTGTCACAGGTTTGCAAACTCTGAGGAGCAGTGGGATGTGCCCGAGTGGTTCGTGGATGATGAACGCAAGCACAGAAGGAGGCCTGTGCCTGTCACCAAGGAAATGGTGGAGGAGTACAAACAGAAGTGGAAGGAGATCAACGCTCGTCCAATCAAGCGGGTTGCCGAGGCCAAAGCCAGAAAGAAGAGGAGGGTAAGAAAGCAACCCCATAATTTTTTTTCCTAAAATGTTCCATTTTAACACACGCATAGGCGTTTAATACAATCTTTGGGAATTTCAGTGTTAACTTTGCTTGTTTTATGGGACATTTTTAGATGTTGAAGAAGATGGAGCAAGCCAAGAAGAAAGCAGAGGCTGTTGTCAACACCGTGGACATCTCAGAACGGGAGAAGATGTCTCAGCTGAAGACGTACGTCTTTCTGTCTTCTATATGGACAAAAAGAAATATGTCACTTAAAAGAAAAATCTAATGATTTTAATTTTGGTTTTCTCTCACTCTGCCAGTATATACAAAAAAGCCGGCCTGGGGAAGGAGAAGAGAGAAGTGACATACGTCATAGCCAAGAAAGGTGCAGGCAGAAAGATGAGACGGCCCCCCGGAGTCAAGGGAGTCTTCAAAGTGGTGGACAGCCGCATGAAGAAAGACATGCGGGGAATGCAGAGAAAAGAGCAACACGCCAAAGGGGGGAAAGGGGGAAAGGGGGCGAAAGGGAAAGGGAGACAATCCAAGGGTGGTAAAGGAGGAATGAAGGGTGGTAAAGGGCGAAGAGGTAAATAAAACTTAAGCGAAAACATTTTCACAGTCCTGCCGTCTGAGCAAAAAATATACCTGTGTGCAGACCAAGAGCTATGATGCTCCTCTGTTATGGGCAATGTGAATTTTAATACTCAAGTTTAAAGTTAATTTATGCCCTGGAGATGTCAGACATGTCATGGAAGTTTTGTCACAGGTGCTGCGGGTACATATTTTCTGAAATGTACATTGTTGGCCTTCTGCTCCTTATATGAAGGGGTTTCACTGAACAGATTTCAGTGTAAAAACAATAACTGCATTCATACAACTTTGTAAATATTAATTGTATGTTTATTGTTTTGCAATAAATGTTCTGTTTGAATTTGTTAAAGCCTTTTTAATCACTTTTGATAAGCAAACATTTGGTCTGTTGAACAAGTGTTGGTAAAAGTGGGAAGTGTGACAGCTGCAGACAAGATGATGGAGAATGGTGGTGGGGCATAATGTAGACTCATATTTTGTATACATGTAAACCACCATGTAGCTTTCCATAAAGTTTTGTCTTTATGGAAAGCTACATGGTCAAATAACTGATAATACAGCCTTCAGTTATATGAGAAGCTTATACAATTTGATGTAAGAGATGATGTAAAGATGTCACTGGTGTTAGATATTTTGAAGCATAAACTTTACCCTGATAGTCCATTTTAGGAACATCCAATTGATATTGATGAAACTAAATCTTTCTTGAATAAATAATGATTGGTGAGGGGCTAACTTATTAGATCAAATACTGTAATGAATTTTCTATAACCGTCTGTATAATACAGTCATTATGGAAGTTACTACAATAATCTGGATACCAAAGACCATAAGGATTATTTATCATAAATTAAGGTAGTTTTTTTTTATTATTAAAGTCAACAATTATTTACTCAAATTCAATTGAGTCATCACCTTACCTAAATTTGCATCCCATCACCATTACAGAGAGATCACGTTCTGGCAGTACAGCCATTTTTCACATGTTAAAAAAAAGACCTTAGTAATATTTAATGAGCTCAGTAACAGCAATAATTTATTACAAAAACGTTACAATTCTAAACTTTCTGTGATTTTAACTTTGGCTTGCTATCTTTCAAGTACCTCGATAACATCCCCCAGTATAAGATTTGGTTTCCTCATGGGTAACAGAGAGGCTATTCCACCTTTATTACAGGGGAGTCTTTTCAACCTAAAATCATTTACTGTGTTCAGGTATACAGCTTTTGAATTTAAGTGTGAAAATACACAAAACTCAATTCTCCTTTATCATTGCATTTTAACTCTTAAGTGTGCAATATATCTTTGAATCTCTATTTTGTTCGTAACGGTTTAGGCCAACTCCCCTATGACAATCTAGTGGTAATGTCTGGCTAAATAAATGGCGCTAACTGCAGAGATCACGCCATTTTCTTACGTCGGCTCCATTGCAGTCGCTTTGTAAGATTCACTATATAAGATTCTTCTGCTTCACCTTCCTGCGAAACTAACAACGAAAATATGGTGAGAACATTTTGAAAAATGTGTAGGTCGTATTTAATCGTGAATGGAAAATATTTTTTCTGTCTTGGGTATAATTTAGATGTGAAGTTTAAACTAGAAGATCATATACATTTATTTTGACTGAAATCCTGACAGTTGATAGTTTTTTTTTTTTTTTTATTTTTTTTTTTTTTTTTTTTAAAATTTTTTTTTTTTTTTTTTTTTTTTTTTTTTTTTAGAAATTGTGCTCGTAAATAATGGTAATATTTCTTGCTAATGTAAAAAACGGTTTGTAACGGATACTCTTTGGGCAGTTACTGTAAAATTGATAGGCTTAAACACGCCAGCTATTGTAATTTCGATATGAAAATCAAGCTTTTTTGTCCTAACTGTCGGAGGAGTCATCGAACAGGCCTACAATTATCAACGGTCGTTTCGAACGCAGTTCCTTAAAAGTTTGACCGGGCCCAACCGTCGGCAGTGCGACATTGTCACATGTTCTGGCGCGCGATGTATAGAGCGATTCGATTGGCTTAGGCCCTCGTCCGGTCGATAAATTGAATTGCTATTGGCGTCTGAAAACCGCCAATTCATTGCGTCTAGTTATCGCGAGACTTGCTGTGACCGGCCCCTCTGTCGTTTCCGAAACGTTTTAGAATCCAGGACAGTGGTGATTATTAATTGGTCTGCAAAATAGAAAATGTTTATACTGTTAATTAACAGTCTTATGTTTTTTTTTCTCTCTAGCGTGAGTGTATCTCCATCCATGTAGGACAGGCTGGTGTCCAGATTGGCAATGCCTGCTGGGAGCTTTATTGCTTGGAACATGGGATCCAGCCGGATGGCCAGATGCCAAGTGACAAGACCATTGGAGGGGGAGATGACTCTTTCAACACCTTTTTCAGTGAGACTGGTGCTGGAAAACATGTCCCCAGAGCTGTTTTTGTGGATTTAGAACCCACTGTCATAGGTAAGTATATCATTTCTTGTGATTGGCAATTAAGATAAATGTAAATTTCTAAATGTTATATCAAACTTGAGGCTTTTTTCTCTTTTATTTCCCCATAACTAGATGAGGTGCGTAATGGTACCTATCGCCAGCTTTTCCACCCTGAGCAGCTGATCACTGGCAAGGAGGATGCTGCTAATAACTATGCCCGTGGGCACTACACTATTGGAAAAGAGATCATTGACCTGGTTCTCGACCGGATCCGCAAACTTGTGGGTACATTTAACTAAAGATACTTGTTGGAAATTAAAATGAGAGTGTTTAGTAATGTATTTCTTGTTTCTTTCTTTCTTTTCTTAGTCTGACCAGTGCACAGGTCTTCAGGGATTCCTGGTTTTCCACAGCTTTGGTGGTGGCACTGGCTCGGGTTTCACCTCCTTGTTGATGGAACGTTTGTCTGTTGACTATGGCAAGAAATCCAAGCTAGAGTTCTCAATCTACCCAGCTCCGCAGGTTTCCACTGCAGTGGTGGAGCCCTACAATGCCATCCTGACCACCCACACCACCCTGGAGCACTCAGACTGTGCTTTCATGGTGGATAACGAGGCCATCTATGACATCTGCCGCAGGAACCTTGATATCGAGCGCCCCACCTACACCAACCTGAACAGGCTGATCAGCCAGATTGTGTCCTCCATCACTGCTTCTCTTCGTTTCGATGGTGCCCTCAATGTTGATCTGACAGAGTTTCAGACCAACTTGGTGCCTTATCCTCGTATCCACTTCCCTCTGGCCACTTATGCCCCTGTCATTTCTGCTGAAAAAGCTTACCACGAGCAGCTCACTGTTTCAGAAATCACAAACGCCTGCTTCGAGCCGGCTAATCAGATGGTGAAGTGTGACCCTCGTCACGGTAAATACATGGCCTGCTGCCTCCTGTACCGTGGTGACGTGGTTCCCAAAGATGTTAATGCTGCCATCGCTACAATAAAAACCAAGCGCACCATCCAGTTTGTGGACTGGTGCCCCACCGGCTTCAAGGTTGGCATCAACTACCAGCCACCCACGGTGGTTCCTGGGGGCGACCTGGCCAAGGTCCAGAGAGCCGTGTGTATGCTGAGCAACACTACAGCTATTGCCGAGGCCTGGGCCCGGCTCGACCACAAGTTTGATCTGATGTACGCAAAGCGTGCCTTTGTTCACTGGTATGTGGGTGAGGGCATGGAGGAGGGGGAGTTCTCTGAGGCCAGGGAGGATATGGCAGCTCTAGAGAAGGATTACGAAGAGGTTGGACTAGATTCAGTTGAGGGAGAAGGGGAGGAGGAAGGAGAAGAGTACTAGTATGTTCATATGAACACTTAATAGTAAAAGTATCCAGATGTTCTTAAATACATTTCCAGCAGATGTCAATGCTGTAAGGGTCCAAAAAGTTCGGTTATCCAGTCCAAATGGTATGTAAAATGGCATACAATTCTGTATGAATAAAGGGAAATATCAGCATGTTCATGTTTGCTTTATTTTATTTCTTAAAACCAGACTTAAATGCTCATCTCACATTCACTGTTTACAACACTGCAATAAAGCACCTGCTTATCCTAGTCTGAATAGTCTTTCAGATCTGTTTAAAATAGAACAATAAATGCCAGAACTGACTGACACCTAACCTGCATTTATCTTAACTTTAGGGTACTAACATGAACATTGTCAATGCAACTGATTAAAAGTTTATAACTGAACCAGAATCAGAAATACTTTAATAATCCCAGAGGTAAATTATTTAAACAAAGCCAGTCTCACATTGGCTGTAACATGAAACGCACTGATCAAATGTGCCCTTCGTGACAGGTTAGAGGAAATGGCTTTGGAGTTGGATGAATACCTTTGAATAAAACCACGGGATTCATATGACTCACTGAGCCCGTCGGTCCGGCTCCATGAATCGCCGCTTCATCTGATCTGGTTTTTCCTTTCCTGCGCAGTAATGAGTCTGGCATGACACTAAACTACATAATTACACTTTTATGGGTCTCAAAGTTGACATTTTCCCTGTTTAATAAACTGAATTTGTATAGAGTATCAATTACATTTTTATAAATATAAATAATCTAAGTATGAAAATGTCTTAATTGACAAACTGTGAACACAAATAACAGCAAACTTCGGCCGAATACTTTTTGCTGCCTTTTCCATCATCTGAAAACACTCATACTAAGTAGAGGGAACTCCCAGCTCTTCTAAGATTGTGTTTTTACAATTGTTTCTTATATGTATATTGGATATTAGATATAGGGAGAACAAAAGGGATGAATATATTTACAAAGAGGGCTGTGTGAGTTGTTCGTTTCACCCAGACTCATTAGCGGTCACTGGGGTTGATTGTTGTCAAACACCCTGGGCATCTGGAGGGGGTTTGAAGCTAAAACTCCCTCAGGGTATGGAGTTACACTTAACAAAAAAGATAGAAATCATCCTATAAAAGTCCAAATCCTGTTAACATCCAAATCATCATAATAAAAAATTAAGCAAATTACAGATATAGTTAACCAAAGTGTTTTGTTTTAAACATCACGGCCTGCTGGTTTTCAGAATAAATGTAATTTATTGCATGTAATAGTATTTTACAACAATTTGATTTGCTGTACAAAGACCCATACATATCAGCGTTGTAAAACTACATTTCCCATGAGACCTTTACATCTTACGTCATGGGAGATTCCCGAGCTCCAGCTCTGAAGTTGGCTTCCGATTCACAGTTCCGATTCTAGACTGGCATAAAGGGCCATTTCACTGGATTATTGCATCCTGATCACTCAAAACTGGGTCCTGTATGGAAACTACGGTAGCTACACTGCTGAGATCTTGAAATAATTATTCTAAATAGGCTGTAGATTAATTAAAAACTTGTTTGAGATTTTTGAAACCTGTTTCTAATTTGTGTATATGCAAAACAGGGTGATTTCATTGCTTTTTTGCATGCTGATCCCACTAAACTGGGTCCTGTATGGAAACTACAGTAGCTACACTGCTCTGGATCTGAGGGGAAATATTCTAAATAGAATACAGGACCCAGTTTGGTGTGATCATTATGCAAAAAAGCAGTGAAATCACCCTTTGTTTTTGGCATTTTCACAAATCAGAAAAAGGTTTCACTTAATTAATATACGGCCTAGTTAGAATAATTCTATCCCGACTTGATTAGTGTAGCTACTGAAGTTTCCATACAGGGCCCAGTTTATTGAGATCATAATGAAAAAATGCAGTGAAATGGCCCTTTATGCCAGTGGGGAATCGGAAGCTGTGAATCGGAAACCAACTTTAGCCTCGTGGTTTGGTGGGTTTCCTGTGTTGTAGCTTCTGCGTTGTAGCTTGACTTTTTCATTTCTAGTTTAAATGTTCTAGTTTTTTAGTTTTACCAAGACATTCTTACTGTCTTATCAAAAAGTATCCACAGACAACACTGAATAGGAGCTTCACTGATTTGGACGGTCTAGCTGCTGATAAGAAGAAGCCTAGCTTAACTGAAGTGCAGGACTTTCGTTTTCTCCCGTTCAGCGAACCGAACCTCGGCGGTTATCTGGGGCAAAGGGAAACCACCTCTCCCCGCCGGGATGCTGCTCGTCGTCCTGGTGTGCAGCTCGTTGCTGTGTGCCGCGGGTCAGGAGGTGGACCACGACTGGCTGGACCCTTACGACATGCTCAACTACGACGCTAACACCAAAACAATGAGGAAGCCTGCTGAGGTCGGTAGTCGTCTGAAGTTTACCCGCTCGTGCCGCTTTGATTCTGATGGGACATTTAGCTCACGTGTTTGCATTTGGTCTGGCAGCCAACAAGGTACACTAATGTGGTCACCAAAAGGAGGGAGTACGTCCAGGAGCCGAGCCAGGAGGAGCTAGCATCCTGTAAACAACACATGGCGGATCTACAGACACAGGCTAGTGGCTACATGACAAGCTTATGCAAATGTACTCTATTACTTACTTAGTTTTGAAAACAGTTCAAATTCACACTTGCTTTCTACATTATCTACATATGGGGATAAGTTGGTGAAAATCTGAAATGTGGCTTTCATAGCCAAATATAAATATACTCCATCATATCTGGACATTCTCTGCCTTGTCTCAAATCTTAAAGCAATTTGTAAAAGGATCATGAGTCCAATAGACACTGAGACATTTGGACGGATTCAAGGAAGCTTTGTAAATAATTTTCTTCTGCTTTCATTCAGATCGAGGACCAAAAGAAGAAGATGGCGGTCATGTCGCAACAGCCTACGTGTAATCCGGTGTTCAAGAGGTTCCTGAGCAGGCTCCTGAAGGACATACGCAGAGTCGGAGAGGTAGGTCTCGAGTTCACACGTTTTATAATGAATTGTGTGTTCTTTCAGGTTTCGGTCGCAATGGTGTGGCCCGTAATGACAAAAGTCACTGTTTGTTTTTCAAGTTTGTCTGACTTTCTGCCCAGCCCAGCGACTCAACGGACGTCTTCTATGACGCCAAAATCAAGCTGTCCACGCCGGCCATGATGGAGATCCAGTCGCTCCTGGATGACGAGGACAGGTGGCGAACGGGGGCTCTGGACAATGCCGTCAGTCAGATTCTGGTAGACCTCAAACCTCATGACTACGAAGCCTGGAAGTGGCGTTTCGAGGACACCTTTGGCGTGGAGCTCGACACACTACTGAAGGTATCCTCATTAAGTTTAAGTTCAGTCAGAAATGTGCTGAGCGGCAATCAGGAGCATGTAAGCTCATCAAAGGTCAAAGGTCAGACCTCCGAGTTGTGTTCTGGATCACTGCAGGAAAACAACTGACCAAATTGGCTCACATCTGCATATTATTTCCTGTACTTTATGTGTTGAGGGGTGTTCTTCTTGTCTCTGTCTCAGATGGGAGCGTTTGTTTTGATCGTAACGACCATCGTCTGCACCGAGATCTGGTCGCACGTCTCTTGGTTCGTGCAGTTCAAGCGGCTGTTTGTGGTGTGTTTCGCCGTCAGCATTGTCTGGAACTGGTTCTACTTATACAAGGTGAGGAGGAGCTCTCTCAGTCCGCTGGCTTTTAGATCTGGAGACCGCACGCTCACGGCGCTGATCCGCTTTTGACGTTTTGTGCAGATTGCTTTCGCTGAGCACCAAAGCAATATTGTGAAGATGGACAGTTTCAACGAAAAATGCACAGGAGTGAAGAAAATACAGTGGACTGACAATTTAAAAGGTGAGAACACATCTTTGGTGTCCTCTTTGAGAAAAGTTCAATCATTTTATATATCATTTAATGCATTGATCACTTTTTTAAACAATTTACATAACTTTAAATAGAGAACCCATGAAGTTTAGTGAGTTCAGCCACACAACCATTGCAGTCTTTCATAAGCCAAAGCTGCTTGATAGATAGTTTAAGTAAGAAGTTGTTTTAGTAGACAGTGAACCATTTCATTGCTTCCCTGCAGAATGGTTCAGGAGTACTTGGACTCTTCAAGATGACCCTTGTAAGAAATACCACGAACTCCTTATTGTCAATCCAGTCCTGCTGGTCCCTCCAACAAAGGTAGGTCACCATGCCTGTCTTTGATCAGACACACACACACACAACACACACATGGAGGTTCTGCAGTGTCCAGATCCGTCAGGTCATGCGGGTCTCAAAGTGTCCACAACGGGACAGTAAACCCACTTACTGCAAGTCCACTCCAAGTTATAGTTTGGCAGATACTTATTGGCCGTGAGGTAACACATTTTCAAGCTGACTTAATTTTGTACATGTTTAGCCGTTAGAGAAAAACAGGAAAATAAGTCAAGAGAAGCATTTCTGTGAACTCAGCTGGGTTAATATGCACTCAAACTTTAGTGGTTTTTCTAGATTAATCATTAGAGTAACCGGAGCTCCAATGCCCTCAGAGTCCATTTGAGTGAGAACAAACAGTGTTTGAAAGTGTCGTTTGACTTTTGATGGAGATTGAGTGGGGCAGTTGAGGCAACTGGACGTGAAGTTTCCTAGAAGTTGCTTCAACTGAACTTTTCAAACTTGACCATAACCTGGATGACTGAGAATCTTCACAGATGTGACTTTGATGGACATCGTTCTAAACAAAGAAGTGTTTTTTTTGTGTTTTTTTTTTTAAACCAAAGAGAAATGTTGCCATGGAAACAGTTTCCTGCTGAAAGATAACTCCGTTGATGATTACCGGCTAAATTTCGCCCTCTGCAGGCCATCTCGGTTACCATCACAACCTTTATCACAGAACCTCTGAAGCACTTGGGCCAGGGAATCAGCGAGTTTCTTCGAGCGCTTCTGAAGGATCTGCCCGTTACTCTGCAGATCCCCGTCCTCATCACTATCGTGCTGTCTATTTTGGTAAAGAGGAGTCAGGGGAAGACGCTCGTGCCAGTGGGTGAAACGTGACAACGTTTGTTAATGCTGGTGGATTTGCCCGACTCCTCAACAGGTGGTTGTGTACGGGAGCGTCCAGGCGGCCTTCCAGCATGGCATCATGGCTCCTCTGCGCGGTCCACGAAGGGACCCGCCCCCTCCGGAGCTGGGGCCCCCGAAGCCCCAACCTCAACCTCGCCCCTTAAGGATGGAGGGCCACGATGCCTTAGCCGGGGGGGATGCACCGGCCCGCGCGCAGGCGCCCGCCCCAGAGCGCATCCCGCGGGGCCAGGCCGACGACGTCCGGCTAAACAGGAACAACGTCCATCAGCGGCGGCCCCGCAGGGTCAGGGAGCCACCGGCTCCCATCGCCGTGGAGACCCTACGGACTGTAAACCCTCAGTACAGCGAGGATGAGACGGACGCCGAGCGGCACGCGGAAAGCACCGAGGTAACGGAGAACCCGTCCACAGGGTCGGAGTCCGAAAGCCAGCTGGAGACTGAAGAGGAGGCGGGTGGAGCGGGCGCCGCCGCCGCTAACACAACCCAGACAGCCAAACCAAAAGAGTCCGATTCGTCACAGCCAAAGAAAAAAACCTCCACACCGGAGAAGAAACCTCCTCAAAATGAACCTCGTAGAGCCCGTGTAGAGGCCGCATCTCAGCCAGCGGAAAGGCGGCCTTCACTGACGGTAAGTTCTCCTTCAAGCGCCTCCAGCTGAATCAAATTATAAAAGAAAATTAAAAAAAAGCTTCTTACGGGTTTCTAACCTGCTGCATGACCATGTCATGTCCCAATGCTGCAGCCTTTTGTTGGCACAAATGGAATGGTGAATATTCACCTGGGACATAAACTGGTAAATAAGTGTTTGAATGTTTAGCTTATTTTTTTCCTTTTGCAATTTATGGTCATTTAAACATATTTTTGTGATGGCTGTGTTTGACATCCTCTTTCGAACAGTTAGCCACTCCATCATTTTTTGTTTTTTGTTGGTAAATACTATATATGTGTATAATAATAAGTATGTGCATGCATATATTTGTATTTATGTGTGTGTGTGTGTGTGTGTGTCTGTCTGTATTCTATTAAATATATTTTACACATGCATGCAAGTTAAAATGATTTTATTTCTGGAATTAATGGATGAGCTCTTTATGTTATCATGCATCTTTCGCTTTTGTTTGTTCTTTTGTTCTGCTACTACAAGTTTTGATTTAGTTGCATTTCAAATTGTGGACTTGTTTTTTTGTAACATATTTCCCATGCACATCCACGCCTGCAGGATCCTGAGTCCTCCGTCCCTCCGAGGCATGTCGAGACCGTCGGTGTTCCCGTTCAGGAGACGAGTCCCGAGGCAGAGGCGCCGCTGTAGGAGGCTTCACATCTGATGCAAAGAAGAAAAACCCGCAGGACTCACCTCCACTCAACTCCAAACCATCTCCAATCATTGTTTTAGGAAGAGTTTGATTTGCACATTTGTCTGGTGTAAAGAAAAACACGACACCAGGCCGCTCATGAAGCAGCCCAACGGAAAACGGTCAGCTTTGAAATTTGGGCATGAACTCGTTTTTGTCACTTTCAAGGAAGAGCAGCGTGTCTTATTGACTTTTAGGATATGTTTGTGACTTTAATGCATCGAAGTCCGGCACACTTAATCGGTTTTCTCTGTAAAGTGCCAACGTTTGGTAAACTGCACTAAAAGTGCCTAATGCGTGCAGCATGGCTCAGCGTAAAGAGGAAAACTCTGAATATAATCAAATCAGAAAATATGATGTAGAAGTCTGATTTAATTTTTTTTTATGTATAGATTTTAAATACATAGAGATATTTATTTTTAAGGTGACAATAAGGGAGAGTAGTAAAAGCACTAAATAATGCACCTGCAGGGTTATTTATGTATTCTTCTCATTTATAGTATTTTTGTCCCTTTTAGTCGTTATTGATTTTATAGGCTTTGCAAGTTTTTAGTTAGTTTCTCTTAGTTCAACCTACTGATGATACCTGTCCAAGACTTGTGGACCTAACCTGACCTGTCATCTCACAATGAGTTCAACTCATAACCACCAACAGCTGCATGCAGGCTGAGATGGGAATTATGCACTTATCTGTGTGGACATTTTTGTAATAAATTCTGCAGCAGACATAATGAATGTCCTCAAAGTTTTAATTGAGCTTTTTGTAAGAACATCTTCCTGTGAAATAGGCATTTTCTAGATTATGCCATTTTTAAAAATGTGAATTTTTTTTAGATGTGGTATTTTTTGTGACAAAAATTAACAATTTTTTCCTATGTGGACCTTTTTTGCCAAGCAAAACCATGTTGAAAGATAAAGTTGGTGTGGTGTTGAGATGGAGGTCTGTGGGGGTCGGTATTAGCCATCATGTTTTCTGTCCTGGTTCATGTGTTCATGACAGGTTCAGTTTGGCTTAAAAGTTTTTCTCTGTCAGAAATGTAAAATTTCAATACATTTTATTGGAATTTACAGTTTGAAAAATTACATTCAGTTTATTCAAATAAAGTTTTATTAAATCCCAACTTTAAACACAGTATATCTGTTAATATGAAATAGTTCAAACTTTGAGAGTCAAAGAGTTTACACTCTACTGTGATTCTCTTTGTTTTTTTTAACCAAAATTGATGATAATTTTATTATTTTATTTTCTATTATGCATTAAACAGCATAATTGAGATTAAACAGTTATAAAATTTTTCAAGTTAGTCTTTCAAAGCTGTTTCATTCATAAAAATTACAAAAATACATAAAATATTGCAAAAAAAAAAAATAGAAACACTATGGTTAGAAAAGATTGGATGCATTTGCATCACTGTTTAGAATTTAAAAGTTTTATTCATAGTAATCTAACCTTAATATTCAGCAATTTGTTGTATCCCTTAAAATACACTTAAAATAGCTTTATAAAAATAGTTTTTATTCCATCACACATTGCTTTATAAATGTCAAATTTGATGGGAAGAGTCTAAAAAAAGCTAAATGCATAACATTCATATAGCCTATTATTTATCACACTAATATGAGGAGTGAAAGCTAGCTGTTAAAAGAAGAGAAGAGAACAAACAAAAACAAATGACATAGTAATTTAATTTAATTGTAATTTAATGTGTTGTGAAGTTATTTTGTTTTCCTGTTTCTTTTGAATGTTTTTCTGGCTTTATATTTCCAAATTTCTCCTCCACAATATATATTACATGAATCCATTTTAGGTTAGCCTTTCACTTGAAACGCTTTTTTCCGTTTCCCCTCGCGCTCCTCGCACCCTGCGGGTGGCGCGCGCGTCGCAGATTGCGCACCTGAGCGCGCGCCTGAAACTCATTTCCTGATTGGCCGGCTGGCCGCTGCCCAGTCTAACAGAAAGCTTCGGAGCGGCGTGGAACCTCGGTCAGCCCCAGGGACTGAGCCGCCGTCGGTTAAATGGTGTTTGTCCACGCGGGTACCCCACCATGGAGCTACTGGTTCGTTATCTGGACAGACGCAGTTCAATAAGGTGAGAGGGTTTAACATGACAGGCATTTGAGCCTCGCTGAGAACTTGAGTAGAGTACTTGAAATGGTGTTTTTAAATTGCTGAGACCTGATATTCTGGCCTGAAACTGTTACTTTTTCATTCAGTGAAAACAAAACCCAACTACTTCTATTAGTTTACTCCTATAGATGTATCCACCGAAACCTAAAACTTTACTGCTGTGAGACTTGATGATAAAACCTGAATCTGGCAAAGTGGAGCACGAGGAGATCTGCGGTGTTTGTAGTTGACAAACTGTTGGGAAAATATTGAAAGTGAGCAAACCTTGGACTTGAACCCAAACAGCACCCTGAATCCAGGCAGTGTACTCGGTACACAGAGTTCTTCTGCTATCCGCTCAGCCCACCCTAAAAAAAACTGCCACTCATAAAATAACTGCTTTTTCACACTTTCGCTTCTGCATTTTTCATCCAGTGAACCATTATTTGCACAGTTTGTGGCCTTGTGTTCCAGTAATTTTGCAGCCTGCCGTCCGTTTCTTTCAGCTCTGTCATGATGCAGGACGTTGTAAAAGAGGAGAGCCTGAGAGACGACCTGAGGTACTACTTCATGAGCCCGTGTGAGAAGTACAGGGCCCGCCGCCACCTACCCTGGAAGATGGGCGTCCAGATTCTGAAGATCATCATGATCACGACACAAGTATGTGTGCCGGGGAAGACGCCCGCAAACGGCCGGGGCCGGAAATGCTCGTGAACGAGGGCAAACGTGTGGTGGAGCATCCCAAGGCTGAGGGCACGCTGACACCCAGCCGGCCTCTATCGGTCCAGGAGGAGCAAATTAAAACTTGTAATCTTTTGCAGTCTTCTTGCTTTGAAGGCTTGTTTATTCATTCATCTCCACATTGTGACTAAATTAGCAGCCAAAGGTCAAAACAAAATGCATAAGCTCCTCAAAAGGACCTTTTATTTTAGGAGTAAAGTGGCTACTTAAAAAAAAAAGCCACTTTCCTTGATTTAAAAACTGCAAAAGTATCTGTTTTTTATTATATTTTTAGTCTAATGAATTGTGAAGAAGCTCCTTTTTGTAAGAATCAGCCGACGACTTCTTAAGATGACCAAAGCCACCGTAGCCACTTCTGTGTCCAAGGCAAAAGTTCTCGGGTCGTTTCTGCCCCAGTTTTCTCTCCATTCATAAATAATTCTGAAAGCGTTTGCGTGGGGGTGTTCCCTTTCCCTCTGCTGTCCGCGCAGCTCGTCCTGTTCGGCCTCAACAACCAGCTGGTGGTGGCCTATAAAGAGGAGAACGCCATGGCCCTGAAGAACCTTTTCCTGAAAGACTACAGCGGGGTCGACGAGGACGACTACTGTGTTGCCGTTTACACCAAGCAAGCTGTCTACGACAGTCTGTTCTATGTCCTGGATCAGGTAAGTCCAACCAGTGGAAGTATTTATTTATTCAACATTTAGGAAAAAAAACCCAGCCAAATTTCATGAAAGATCACATAGAAGTGCACACACTGACCATTTTCCTTTGCCATGCTTGGTCACATGTTAAAAACATACAAATCTCCGTACTAATTAATGAGCATCTTTGGCAAATCAGGTTCCTTTCGCGATGAAGGTTCATATTGCAGGTTTTAAATCTGGAGTCCTGCAGGTTGGCCTTCAGAAGTCTGGTGCTGGGCTTTGTGGAGGGCCATGACCTTCTGTTTGTTTTACCACAACAAGCCGAACTAAAAATGGAATGGATAATACTGTCCTTATTGATTGAGTTTGGTCCCAGAATGTTCGTTAAACTCTTCCCAGCGCCGTCCCTGTTTTTAGCCTCTTTAGACGATGCGAATCGATTCACCCGAGTCCTCTTGCGTCCGCAGTACAGTCAGCTGGGGCAGCTCTCTGTGGGCCCCATCAGTTATGCCGAGGACGAATTCGGCAAGCTGCAGCCGCTCATCATCTGCAAACAGCACTACAAGAGAGGCAGCCTCAAGCCTTCAGATGAAGCCTTTGATATTGACGCCCAGTTGGAAACCGGTGAGTTTTTTTTGTTGTTGTCATTTATCCATTCAGAGTTTTTCAACCGACCGTTGACATTACCAAGTCTTGGCATCCACATGTTAGTCACACGGCAACTTGCACCATACTTTCACTCCAAAAAAAGGGCAAAACATTTTTTTTCCTCCTCACAGTATACAAGAGGTGTGACAACATAGGTTTTTATTTATTTAGTTTTATTTATTTCATGTCATATCCTGATATTATAGTGTTTTTATAAAAACAAAAAAGTTCTGGAGGAAACAGATCTTTTTTTTCTACCCCTCTGTTATATCAGACTGCATGTCGCATGATCCGAAAACTGCAAACCAATGGAAAAGCCGAAATGCATCCTTTTTCGAATTGGACTTTTACAGGTATTCAGTGCCAAGCGTCTAATACGTTTGCTTTAATCATTAAGAAAACCTCTTTGTATGATCTGACACTTTTTTTTATTTTATTTTTTTTATTTTTTATTTTTTTTGTCCCATTTCAGGCTCGTTGACATCAAGATAACGTTCCAGCTGAAGGGAATCAACCTGCAGACGGTTCGCTCGCGGGAGTTACCCGACTGCTACTCCTTCTATGTTACGGTACACGTCTCCTGAAATGAAGAAGTGCATGAAGGCTGGAAACTAAACTGACATGCTGGAGTCACGACCAACTCCTAATTAAAAAAAAAACTTCTTATTTTGTTTGCAGATCACATTTGACAACCAGTGTCATAGTGGGAAGGTCAAACTATTCCTGGACATAGATTCTGAAAGCAGTGCATGCCGAGACTGGAAGGTGTCTGGAACGGGTAAAATGTTTACATTTTTTTGGCCTTTAGCAGCCACTTTCATGCAAAGCGACTTACAGTGCAGACACAACTTTAGAGTTAAGATAAAAGCTGACAAGAAGCTGCATAGAAGGAAATCCCTATTCAGACTCATGCAGTAGAGGGGGTGTGGAGGTCTGGGGGAGTGTTGAAGTAGGGTTGAAAAAATCAATCTGAACCTTTTTTAAAGTTTTACTTTTCTGTTAATGAATAACTCTTGTGTAAAATTGGTAGCTCTCTAAAGCAGATGAGGATATATATCCCTTTATCTGAGCGCTGTACAGCTCCAAATGGCCTCCATGTGATACTTTTTCTGAGAGCAAAGTTCACGACCGTATGTTTTTGTTGCCCGGAAGGCGTTTTCTGTCAGGCCTCTATCAGCACTGAGTGTTTGGGAGTAGTATAAGAGATAAACCCTCGCACCGAGGCTCTGACTTTTACGATTTGTTCCAGCTCAGAAGAACACGCACTATCTGCTGGTGTTTGATGCCTTTGTGATCCTGGTTTGCATCACTTCTGCGGCGTTGTGCACGCGCTCAATCGTACTGGCTGTGAGGCTGCTACAGGTCAGCTGCTCTGCTCCTAATGCACACGGCATCACAATGAATAAAAAGCATATTATATATTTTTCAAAAACTGTCCCTTTTTGGCTTGAACCATTGAAAACTATATGATTTCTTATAATGTATAATTATGAATATAGGCGGTCACTTGGTGGGAATTCATCAACCAAGTTTTTACCAAGCTAAAGCAGTTTCCATCCATGATAACATGTTAAAGTAATATTGAGTTCATTTAAACTTTTCACAATGGTCTGATTTTATTTTTTTTTATTCAAATGTTCATTTTCTTCAAGAGATTCTCACGATACTTTGATGAGAACTTCAACCGTAAAGTGTGTGAGGATGACCAGAAGGAGTTTCTGAATGGCTGGTATGTTTTGGTCATCGTCAGTGACATCATGGCCATAATTGGATCCATACTTAAGATGGAAATACAAGCAAAGGTAAGATTTAGATGATGCTCATCCTATTCTGCCTATTTTATATATAGCATATGAGAAGGTCCCTCAAGTGTTGTGATTAAAAGATAAATTAATTTAAATCAGCCTTATTTTTAATATACCCATTCAAGACGATTGAATAATGTTCTTTTACAAGTGAAAGGAAAAAAAAAAAAGGCATTGCAGTGGTTCATCAGGGAACGGCACTGTAAGCCTGGGGGATAATACAGCTGTCAAACTATCATGTGCTTGAACTTTGGAATGGAGTGACTTAATGCAAAAGGTGTAAAGATCAGTTTTAACTAGACATAACTCTATAAAGTCAGCGAAATAAGTGCTAAACTGATTGTTGTCATTTTCTCATGAAAGGTTCTGGTACTTAATAACGGGTGGCTGGTTCCCACATTGCTGTGCCTCAGTGTTTTTATGTCTTTAAAAACTAATTATTGATGTTGTGATCATATTAAAGTGGATCTTTAAGGTTGTCATTTATCAATTTCTTTTCCCGGTAATTTTCAAAGCTCTCTTAACATTTTTTAAATGCATATTGTAGCACAAATAGTGTACTTAAAACATTGTTTTTGATTGGGAATTGCATTCAAATTATGATGAGTAATGATTTTAGGCTTAAATTCAAAATCATATTTCAACTGTTTTTTTTTTTAATCAACACTTTTAAGGTAAAGTCTCTTTTGTGATGCAGTTCTTTTTTGTAATTTCTGCTTGTCTTTTGTAGAGTCTGACAAGTTATGATGTGTGCAGTATCTTCCTGGGAACGTCTACCTTAATGGTGTGGGTCGGAGTGATCAGGTACCTGGGATACTTCCAAAAATACAATGTGAGTCAGGATTATTTTTACCCTTCCGACAACTGAAAGCAATGTTTTCTGTTTAATGATCTGCAGATATCTGCTGCTTTAAAAAAAGTAAAAAAAATACAGACAGCCTAATTCCTGAATCTTCTCCTGTGATTAGGTACTGATTTTGACCATGAAAGCAGCATTCCCTAAAGTCCTGCGTTTCTGCTGTTGTGCTGGCATGATTTACCTCGGCTACACATTCTGCGGATGGATCGTACTGGGGCCGTACCACGAGAAGGTAAACGTTGTTGGGCTGAGGAAGAACAGACAGACTTGATGGTTAGGCTGAGCTTTTTTTGAGCATTTACGAAGCTGAATGAAGGGTCTCGTGAGTAATTTGTATGTTCACGTTTTTCAGATCAAAGAAGATCTTGATGCTCCGTGAATTGACACAGGAGCCATAAACTTTAATCTTGAACACTATCCTAACTGCAATCTCTTTAAACAGAGCTGCAACCAAATTTAGAAAATTGGAAATATTGAAAAGAGTGCAACACACGTTATTGATTAGCTCCCTCAATGTTTTCCTTTTCCTCCAGTGAGTGAGAGCCATTGTGTAATTCTGGAATATCAGCACTGTGAACTTACTTATTGAGAGGTTCATGGCTGCCTTTTAGTGTTATGGTTTTACGACAAGCTGCCTGTTGGTGCTGCTACCTCCAGCCAGGATCCTGCAGCTTTCTTGGCAGTTCTGATCAAATTGAAGAGGCCTAAACGTAACCCCTTCTGACAAATGTGTTTGAAAATTATCCTTCAGTTTTTTTTCAGTTTTTTTTTTTTTTTTTTTTTTTTTTTTTTTTTTAAACTGAGACAGATTTCACCTTGAAGTCTTTGTTAGACTGACTGCTTTTGATTTCTTTACCTGGAATAAATCAGTAATCTTAAAGAAAAAAAAAATCTTCAACTTGAGCGGTTTCAAAGCTAACTGTAGTGTAATAACGGTGTTGTTTTCTTTAACAAGTTTGAACTCTATGCTTAAGATGGGAAGTCTATAAAAACTGGCCTATAAAGTAAATGTGGTCATATAATCGACTGCACTGGAAACCTTCAGCCCAGCAGGATTTTTCCAACAAACACTTCAAATATTTCAAAATGAAGTCTAGATGAGGAAATTCCAAATGGTGACAAAATGAACCTTTCTGACCTCGCTGCTTTTTCAGCGTTTTCAATGAGTTGTAAGTAGACAAAATAACCACAAGGTGTCAGTGTGTGCTTTGTCAGTAATCTTTATGTTTTGCTTACCTGACATTCACTTGAATTTGAATGAAATGGCCAGAATTTCCTCTATTGGCTCCTCAAAATGATCAAATATTATACAACTAACTTCCTTCCGCTTCCTTTTCAAATAAATAAAAAATAGATCACAGTGACGTTTGTTCCAAGACCAGTTATAAATGAACTGGGAATCCCTGGACAGCAAATGTAACCAGGGAAGAAGAGCATGTTTGGTTCTCGGTGCTCATTCAGATAAATAATTTACGGAAGTCTGAGCACAGGTGGGCGTTGAAACGAGTTATCCTTTTGCCGAGGTAGAGTTGTGGTGAACGGAGAGCAGCTGTTCCCCTTCAGCTCTTTCTCAGCAAATAAAGATTTATGGATGATCTGAAACCAAAGGGCCATTTACCTTCTGTAAATACGGTCATGTGCGGGAATATTTAAGTGACAAAATGTTTATCTTGTTGGTGGTGATCCAGAGTCTCTGGTTTGTTTGTTGCAGCTGTTTAAGGTGCAGAACTGAATTTAAGAGTTTTGTAAGTGTCTTCCAGTGAGGATACCACTTCCTTAAAAACCTTGGACTATAAGTTCATAGTCGGTCAATTCAGACATTTTGATTTGATTTTTTATTTTTTTTATTTAAATTTTTTAACTGTTGAGGTCCACATGTAAAGGTAAAGAAACATGTCATTGTTTTGTAATTAATTAGAATTTTCACAACAAAATTGTAAGAGGGGGATAAAGTTATTTGACAAATGGTGTGTTTGTTCCCACAGTTAATGTAAAATAAGGTTTTGTAGGACAATATGTTAGCAGCTGCATTCAAATATCGATACTATACGGATATTTGCACTGCACTGACGGGAGGAGTCCCATGTTGTGTGCCGTCAGCTCTTCCAGGACTTTCTGTGTATTTACTGAAGGAATAAACAGAGGATGTCCTAGTACTTGGCTTCCCACACGTCTTCAAGTGCTGTGCCCTGGATCCATAGCGTTGCAGAGGGATGTTGTTTTTAGATGCTATCAGATTGTGGAGGAACATGGGTTTTCTTTTTTTAATGTAGGCGTCTGACTTTCAGGCACTCCCTGAAAACCATCTGCCTCTTTGTTTTCTCCTCCGTCTGTTTATCGTTTCATCTCTCCCCAGCTCTCTGTCTTCATTTGTCTTTTGTCGTCACTTCTTTACCCTGTAAAATTTAATCTGACTTTTAAATCTTTGCACTAAAGCAAAAGAGGTCAGGTGGGTAATGAATGTGAGTTTCAAGAGCTTATTATTTACTTTAGATTTGATTTAAGAGTTGCTGACTGACTTTTAGTTTAATATTGATCAGTGTCTGATTTAAATGACTGTTTATTAACACCTCCCCCCCTCTGCCCCTGCTTTAGTTTGAGGGCCTGAGCCGCGTGGCGGAGTGCCTGTTTTCCCTGCTGAACGGGGACGACATGTTCACAACCTTTGCCCAGCTGAAAGACAAGAATATTCTGGTGTGGCTCTTCAGTCGGGCTTACCTGTACTCCTTCATCTCCTTGTTCATCTATATGGTGCTGTCCCTCTTTATCGCCCTCATCACCGACTCCTATGAGACCATCAAGGTAATTTTTTGAGTGAAGCAAATGTATAAGCAGCTACACTTTAGAACAGACATGTAAACTCTCCCATATTGGAATTATTTAAAAGATTTAAAATCAATTCTTAAAGTAAATGTGTCTGGTTTCTGTTTCAATTCCAATTAAACGTAAGAAGATTGTGCTACACTTGAATGGACCACACACAGTGAATGTTCTAATTTCAACAGTAACACTATGACTCCTATTTAAGCCGGTGAGCAGTGCTGCCCAACATGTGGTGTTTCAGCTCCCGCCTTTCGAAGTCTCACCTGAAACCTGTTGCTTTGGGGCTTTGACAATGGCTTTGTCTCTCTTCTTGCAAACAGAAATACCAGCGGGACGGATTCCCCCTGACAGACCTGCAGAAGTTCCTCCGAGAGCAAAAAGACTTCCCGGTCATAGCTGAGAACGGCCGAACAGTCGCTGAGCTCAAACACCCTGCGCTCTCCTGCTGCCAACGGTATGACAGAGCTCAGTGCCCCATGAACGTTTTACCCACTTTTCTACCCTCACAGACATTTACACTTACATCTGCAGACAATGCGTGGAAGATGTTGCTGCTCCCACTTAAGCTGGAGATATGTTTTTCAGAGTGAATCGCAGCAACTGAAGTGTTTATTTTCCTTTTTGATTTGTTCTGTTCGACTGAAATCGAGGTTTCACAGTAGTCGAGCTGATCGTGCTTAAAGTCCGACAAGATGTTGTTGTCTTGAGAAATAAGTTGTTGGAACAAACCAGGATGTAGAAGTCAGTTGAAATTTTAATTAATCATTATATTATTAAAAATGTCATTTGTTTTTTTTTCACTATAAAACGGTATCTGGGGATGAGTTTCCTTACTCTCTTTGGCCCACCTGGTATCGCGTGTTTCCCAGGTCCTGGGATTATTTACCGAGGCCAATCAGGTTTGAAGTTTAAACACAGTTATCAGTGCATGGATGCTTTCAGATTAAGCCCACATTTGTCTCGCAGACTGGCCCGAGTAAACACTGCCCACAATGCCACATCAGTTTGGCTAAAGCTGGAAACGTAATAATACGCTTCATCACACTCGGTTCCCCCTTCTTCTTTTTCTGTCAGGAAGTGGCACAAAGCTGGACCATGTCCTTGCCAATATTTAGAGGAAACAACTTTATTTATTTCAACGACAGTGACATAAAACTACAATGCACTCAAGACAACTCAATTTTATGAAGACTTTGAATTATACAGCTCCCATTTATGGTGTCAAATGTACTTATTCCGTTAAAAGTGCAGGAGTATAAAATGCTAGAGACTTAAATTTTTTTTTTTTTTTTTTTACCACTTATATCAATAAGAAAAATTGCTGATTATGCAGTTTACTTTTATGTGAAAATGTAACTGGCTTTGTTGATGATGTTTTATTGTCCATATTCTGTTCTCAAATTAACCAAAAGATCCCGTTTAAAACATTACGCATAGAAGTAGCAGTAATACATCTAATTTCTCACAAATTACACCTCCTTAAAACTAGTTGTATTTTTTCTATCGGGTTCTTTTTTTTTTTTTTCCACTGCGCATTCCTTTTCTATGAGCCAGTCCCTATCATCATCAGCCAGCGAGGGTTCCTCTACGCTGTGGTTTGGCTCTGTGTTGCCGGGTCTGAGAGCAATGAAATTAGTGGTGGGAGCTATGCAGACACACCCAGTGATGGTCTGATTACAGAGAAACTGTGAGGCTGAACACTGGGAAGAACCCCCCCCGCCCCCCTCCTCTCTCCACCACCACAGCTCCCTGTTTGCTGTGTTGCCTTCCAAGTAAACAAGTCACGGTCAACACTATAACACAGAACCAGAACTGTTCTGTTGCTGCACCATGTTCGATTTAACAGATGATTGCAGTGAGTTTGGCGTTGTACTCGTCTTTTTTTTTTTTGTGGTGGATTGAGTGGAGCAAATAATGTCTCCCTTAATGTGTTTGGGTTTTTTGGTGGACTTACAAAATACAACTTCCCCTCCTTCATCAGCACTTTGTTGTAATGGGATGACTGGTTAGACAATAATTTTTTCAAACATATTGTAATAAGTTTCTTTTCTTCCTTTATCACCATTTGCCATCAGTCATTTTTCCTCGTAAACTTTTTATAATTAAGATATGGTTTAAGTTACAACCAAAAACTGCTACTGGTGGGTGTTGTATGATTCAAACTGTCAAACTTTTTAAAAAAAATTTTTCAGTATAGCTGTTTGTGGTCAAGATTTTCTAAAATGTCACTGTAAACAAACACATTCACTTTCTGTTCCAACCATCCTCTTTCCACTTTTAAGGTTTGCACCTTGTTCAGGCAAAAAAGCCCTTATTTTCCCCCTTCCAGAGCCTCGAATCTGTGAACCTGTAGTAAAAATAAGTTATTCATGTCGTCGTGGGAAAAGGGCTAAATTCATCCACATTGTCCTTTTGTAAGCTCTGAATATTGCAGCTGGTTTCAAGGCCCCCCGCATCATTATTGTTTCACTAGACGTTAATGCTCAAGACTCTGGACTCTTTCCTGCGTGTTTGAGAGCTGTTTCCTATCATTCGACCATCCGGGGTTTCCTGCTCTGAATGTTTAATTGTTCAAGGAAGGGTAGTCTCAGTTACAGAGCCATTATGTAATACCGAGTAATGCAGTTAAATGCACATCTTGTGGTATAGATAAACATAAACCGGCATGTGGCCTTTAAAATTTAGTTACGTTTTCTCATTAGTCCTGTCAAGTTGCACAGACTAATCGTAGTCAGTTCCTGGCTGTAGCTAGACTAAATGGTTGTCAATGGCTATTTTTAGCCTATTCTACCGTTTGAAATTAGATTAGCAATGATGGTGACCTCTCACTGGAGGACACTTAAACTTTGCGCAATCATGCAGTATCGTTGTTGCCTTGGTCAAGTGGAGTTTTAATTCAAATAGATTGGCCATTTTAGCGAAGGGTTGTCTGGGCACTGTGAGTTGAGGGGAGCGTCTTTGTATATTGCATTTGTTTCCCACAGATTCCATCCATCTTGAAAATTTAGAGGTCAGCGAAACACTTGTTTTTCTTTTTTGTAAGGATCATAACCGTCCCTCTGCAGAAAGCTATCGTTGATATGTGGCATGACTCAAGGGGTTCATTGGTCAGCAGAAATATTTAGGGAGCTTTCCTCTCGTGTCAGTGGTCTTAATGTTTTGGCTGATCAGTGCTTATTATAAGTGAGCTGACGAAGTGAATAAAAATGAAGACATCGCTTCTCAGTTATATCTGCTTTGTTCTCGCCACAGTTTGATGCTTGACGTAACTACCATTAATAGTGGCAGAGGGCAACGGCTCCTTGTTTGTGTAACAGCCCAGATATGGGAACTGGTTAGTATAACAGGGGGTTTCCAGCTCACAGGAAAAACCAAAAATACTACAGATTAAATGGTGTTGTGCTTTATAATCTGAGGCGTGAAGGTTTTCACTGTCAACTCGCCATTCAAACCGTGCAAGGACAGAGAATTTCAGAAATGTTTGTGGGTGTCAACAATGGGCACTGTAATCCGTATTAACAATATGTTGTTGAAGGCTTTCCAGAGGGATTGGACTCAACTTCCTGTCTTTGAAATGCATTCACTTCCTCAAAAGACGTAGACTTTTGAGGAAGAGAGAGTCTGAGAGTTGGAATTTGGCATCAGTAATTTAGCTTCAAGCTTATCACAAAGATGACCAATAAATGTGTGATGATGAATTTTCTGTTCAGGTTTTAGTGAGATGGTAAAAGACCAAATTTGGGATTGGTTGCTATCATTAAGTAAATATATTTAAACAATATAGTTCTCCAACGTGCTCTACAGGCCCTCTTTAACTGTTTTTTATCCATCTGAACACGAGCATGTGTTTCAGTAGGTGTACACTAAATTTAGATGGTATTAACTGTAAACTTCTACAGAACTCCTAATCTGCACTGCTTTTCACTGCTATGTTTTAGCATTTAGATATTTCTTCCCTTTGTGTTTGACTCATAAGCTTCCTGAAAGTCCTTATTCCTGCACCTGGTTTTCCTTTGAACCTTCGGGGAATTTCTTAGAAAACATCTTGGTTCAATCTGATGAAGCTTTAGGACGGGAGCTTTAGGAATACGGCCTCAGGCTTCAGCTGATAAAAGCTTTGATTCATTCTCTCAATCATCAACATCCAGACATTTTGTGTGAAGCTATTTCACAAAATGCCCATCGAGCAAGCGGTATTTCCCTCGTACATAAACAACTAACTGTGTGTGTGTGTCAGACATTTGATAAACACAGTGATGCAACTGTAGATTGATTGAAATGTGTGTAGCTGATTTAGTGAGACCAAATAATTTAGATGATCACATTTTATTGACCAAAGTATTACTGCTGACTTCATTAAGACAGAATTAAAGTTCTTGTTTTTGTGAAATTTCGCCTCATGCTTTATGTTTATTTATTTATCTTTTGTTGCCATTACAGGGTTCCAGCAAATGATGACGTCATACTGATCAGCTGATTGCCACACCACCCTCAGATGAGCTAGCTCTGGGGGAGGAGGATGCTGGGAACAGGTCTTCACCTCCTTGAAACGAACTCTGAGATTAATCGCCTGGAAAGTGTAACGTTATATGAATCGGCTCCTCCCACTGACCCTGAAATGAGATCAAGCAACACGGAACTGGGAACAAGATAAAACAAAACAAATGTTTCATGCACTGACAGTATCCAGTGGGATTTCAGGATGCCATTTAGATGTTTACTGGGCCTTTTCAAGGTCTGCTCAAGCATTCCAATGCCAAGGAACTGGACTCTGGGCTCTCTGGATCTGAGTATTGATACATAAACAGGTGCTCTGCAACATAATGCAGAGCTGGATGTAATTTATTTATCAAGCATTGAAGTAAAAGATTGCAGTAAAGTTTGTCTTTTTTTGTTGTTTTGTCTTTATGGGCAGATAGTATAGTGACAGTTATAGGAACTTGAAATTGGCTCATATGAAGTGCTCAAAAGGTTCCCCCTGATTTGCAAATATGCCGTCATGGCTAGGCTGAATAAGAAGGGTATTTCTAAGATGACACCAGAGCTACTGACGAGTTACTATTATCAGAAAATGTTTTAGCTTGTTGAGATAAGACAAGCTGGCACAAGACTTATTTTTACGCGTGATGACAGCGTTGTAAAGTTTTCTGAATCTCATCCATTGTACTGCTATGGTTTGTCTCCCTTGCGCAATTTCTCTGGTATCCAAAACATCTCCTGCTAATTCGGTGCCTGAGGTGGTATCATCACACCTTATCAGGAGAGGACGGGCTACCACACTCTATTCCAGGTGTTAAAACTGCTCATCTATTAGAGGTATCTGAATTTGAATGAAGTTCAAATACAACCAGCAGTTATAGCAAATTCGATTTAGAGATTTAACATTTTCTTTAAAAAATTTGCTCTGTAGTTTGGGTCAAACAAATTCAGTGACACTTTAAGCACCATTTGATTTTCCAAGTTGAAAGCCAATGCAAACATTTGTTTTCAGGGATTTGGTCTTGTTACATTTACCTTACATACATTTACATTGCCTGATGCAGGTCAAAGGTCATTTCAAGAAGTGTGTGGGGGTGGAGTTGACTCAAATACATGTAAGAAAAATGGATTGTAAGAAAAACAAATAGAAAGACCAAACAGAAGAGAGGAGACATGATTAAGAATTGTTTAACTGTCAAATAAATATAAATGTTCAAGAGAAAAACCAAAAGGAAACTAATTGAATATAAAGAAGCAGATTGTTTTAAGGGATAGATAAAGACTTTACCCCCACTTTTTTGTCTTTCTCAATCTACTTAATAGGTAAAAGCATTAATTTCTATTCTCTCAAATCCTTTTTATCTGTCTCAAACCTGGTGTGCGCGCAATCTGTTCGCCGGGCACCGATTTCAATAATTGATGAACAATGAGCAAGTTTCCAGATGGTTTTGTTTTGAGAAAAAGAGATGAAATATTAATTGAGAAGAATAAAAAATCGATTAGCTTCCTTCCATACGTCACGGTCAGTGTGTGCGCTCACGGCTTGAATCGAGCCGGAGCGCAGGAATTCAGCCGGTGGTTCACGCCCTCTGCGTCACCGGACTCAGACCTACAGTGACAACTCAACTCCTCTAACTTCAGTGTAGTCCTCGGGCTCTCTTGCTATGCAGTCACCTCCCTCGGTCCACAGATCGGTGGCAAAACGCGTAAATGGTTCTTAACTCCGCGCTGGAGGTTTCGCAACGCTTCGTGTGGTAGCGCACCAGGAAAACGCCGTTCGCCTCAGGTAAACTCACCTGTCTGGTTATTCTCCAGCCCTTTTTCTTCACATTTTGAACTCTGGAGGAAAGAAATCGTTGACAGTGTTTTATTGTTTTATCTATGATGTCTTGTGTTTCTATGCGCGTCTCTCTCGTTGTACCATGACAAGTCAGACTCGTAGTCGTAAAGTTGCGCAATTAGAAAATAGACTGAGAAAACTTTTTATGGAGCATGGGTAATGTTCAGGTGTTTGCACAGTGTTTTATGTAACTCTCATGACAGAGTCGATGGGGCCGATGTCTCATCAAACTGTGCGCTGATTGTCACACTTGTTTTGCCATGTCTGGCTTATCTTTGTCAGCTTGAAAGTTATTTAACCTTGAAAAATACGAGCACAGTTCTCTGAAATAAGAACATTTAATTTAATCTCGTTTCATTTTTAAATACTTTATTCATCAAATATGGACTAGGTGCCAGCGTTTTTTTATAAACTTGCTTAAATTAAATCAAACAGTTAAACAGTAACAGTGGTCTAAATCCTTTGGAGTGAGTTAGTTACAATGCATGCAAAAGTACTATCAGTTAGCATTACTAATCTGTGGATAATTGTGCAGGAACTATGGACTATGGTCTTGATTATCACAAAACAATAGAAATGATTCCACGATGTGTTTTGGCATTTTCGTTTCACAGACCCACGGGTAAAATGGCCCCGCAGAACCTCACCTGCCACTATAATGAGCGTATGGGCTTCTTTTACAACAAAAGTGGTGGTGATGATAAATGGGACAATACTCAACTCATCCTGGTCCAGGTGGTGGGCTCCCTCTTCTGCTGCTTCATCCTGGTGTCCAATGCCATGGTCATCGCGGCTGTCATCACCAATAAGAGGTTCCACTACCCTTTTTACTATCTTCTCGCCAACCTCGCTGCCTCGGATTTCCTCGCAGGCATAGCGTACGTGTACCTCATGTTTAACACGGGTCCGGTTTCACGGCAGCTCACAGTCAGGGGATACTTCATCCGCCAAGGCCTTCTGGACATTAGCCTCTCAGCCTCGCTGGCCAACCTGCTGGTCATAGCTCTGGAGCGGTACATGTCCGTCATGAGCTGGAAAGCCCATAGCAACCTGACAAAGAGGCGCGTGACCCTGCTGATAGCTCTGGCCTGGACCATCTCCATCTTGATGGGGGCCGTGCCCAGCCTGGGCTGGAACTGCATCTGCAACCTGGACGAATGCTCCCAGCTGGCTCCCATCTTCAGCAGGAGCTACCTGATCTTCTGGTCGGTCTCCAACCTGGCGGTGTTCCTCGTCATGGTGGCCATCTACATGAGGATCTACATCTACGTCAAGAAGAAGACGGCGATGCTCATGCCGCACACCAGCGGCTCCATCAACCGCAAGAGGACTCCCATGAAGCTGATCAAGACGGTGATGGCTGTGCTCGGTAAGTGCTCGGAAGTTGTGCTCATAAAAATGTGGTCTGTCTGTGCAGCATAACTCAAGACGCATGAGTGAGTCAGTCCGGATGACTTACGCTGTGAGTCTTTGCTGTGCTGAGCAGGCTGGACTGTATTTCTGTTTTCCTGACATGAGGGGGGGAAACCACGAGCGTGAGCACCTTGTTGCTCTCTGGAAATGTGTCATTTAACAACTTTAAATGAACGCAGAGGAGTTGAATTAGTGAAGCTGCCACCTACCCAGCAGCATAGATCAAATTCCTAAGATTTTTTCTAATCATCTTTTATCATTTTTTATTTTCTCCCTTAAAATGTTAAATATTCTAGCGTTACTTGGATTTTTTATTGATTGAAGGAAAAAAAAAAACCTCACCATTATCATTGAACTCAAGCCTTATCAAAACCTTCCTACAAGACTCTTATGGTACCGTGCCGTTCGGTGTATTGAGTGGAGGAATGAAATTAGGTGGCATTTTTAGTCTGCCTCAAAGCTGGCAGTCACAAATGGAGGTCTTTGTGAAAGGAAGAGCTGGCATGTCGGCACATACCACATCACAAACTGTTACATGCCACACCTCTGATCTCAAAGTGCTGCTGGAGTGTCTCGAAGCTCACACCAGGAGCCGCTTTTTGCAAGCGCTCAAGCAAAGACGGCATAAAGAGGTCGTCTTCCTGACAGTATAGCGGCTGTGAATGGAACTGGGTAAAACATGCAAACTCTCCGAGCATTCTCCTTTTGTTTAGGGTTTGCAACAGGATACTTTACAATGGAGTTTGGAACTTTTGAATGCTTTCTTTACCCTCATCCTACTTTTTCAGGGGAACAATTGGACTGTACTGAGGAACAACAAAGCCCTTCCCCATTCACCGCCTCAACACTCTCAGTTCTTGACAAATGTTCAGTTAAGCTCAGATTTATAAGTTCAGGACCTTCCAGACAGCTGTTATCATCCGAATAAAACAACAACAAAAAAAAGTATGAAATGGTTGTTGTGTCCCCCTCCACAAGAAAGTGGTCTGTAATTTTGGGCACTGGGCTCATCCGTCCACATGGCTCCATGCTGTAGTGTTTAGAGCAGAGGAGCCGTTCGCCTGTGTGTACATATTTTATTCCGAACGGCTGTGTGTAATTATCTCTTCCTGCAAGGACACTGGTGTGCAGCCAGTGTGGTGCGCCATCCACCACACTGGCCCTCAGTGAGCGCCCCAGCTCCTCCACCTCTGAAGGACTGACTGCTTACCGGTCTCTCTTGGTCATTCACATGTTGTATGCGATCATCATTTAAAAAAGTTCAACTTATCGTCAGTTCACCTGAATTAATAACCTCACTTTTTGATGCCAAAAACAGGCTTTTTTCAGTTTCTTTACACTCAGGGGGAAGCCGTGATTGCACGGGAGGGATTTTTATTCAAAGCGTTTTTATGGATGCTGGGGGTGGAGTGCTCAGAGGTTTCGTGTTACAAGTGTTTTCGATATAAATACGCCAGCTTTATCAAGAGGGGAATCTCAAGATATGATTTCAGCCCGGGATCTAAGGGACTGGTCGGCCAGTAAGAGGAAAGAAAGAAGGAGCTTTTGTTCCACGCATAAAGCTGTCTACTCAGGCAGAAAGCACAACCTGACAAACCAGTTCAGGGAGGCATGCATCTCAAACACGCGTTAATGCCAGGATAAAATAAATGGATGCAGAAATGCTGGATTTGGTAGAACACAGGGACCTTACTTGCCTAAGCAGAGCACACTAAAGTGCAGACATGTCTTGTTTTGCTCTGGAGTTAATTACTCATTCACTCAGTGCCTTAGCATGTGTTGTACTGGGACCTCTCCTGTGTCCTCATGCCTTTCTTTTGTCTTTACTTCACTTGCTCGGTAAAGTTGTTCCTGCTGTTGAAACCCTCCCACCACATGCTTCTTTGTCTTCGAGGGCCGGGAGGCTGCACGTGAATTAAAACTCAGCTCATTGTCAGACTTTGTTTCATTTGGTGAATTTAATCGTCGTTGTCTTAATATGTAACAAAAGGAGCATGTGTGCAGAATGCGTGCCTCCAAAGCTATTTTCCATGGTCAGAGATTAAAGTAAAGGAAAGCCCCCTTAAACCGGAGAAATCCATCCGAATCTGTGTGAGGCAGTCTCTTTAATGGGTCCTCTGTGAATTACGATTCAGTTCGCATTTCTTTGGACATCAAAGACAGAAGTATAAAAAGAAAAGTAGAAGAAAAATGCTCATAAAAATGCAAAACCACTGTTAAAGTGCAGCAACCCGTTTTTATTTCAGGGTCTGAGAACAGGAAAAAACATCGGCTGAACTATTGTATCAGACCTCTCTGTCTGTTTCTGCCTGTGACCAGAGACAAAGGGAAGGACTCCGTAGAACAGCGCCTGCGTTTTTCTTTCGGGACTGAAGCCACAAAGATGCTGGTAGAGCAGACAAGTTGCTGCTTGTTGCTTCCTTTCCAGTGGTAGCGGTTCCAGAAAACCTTTGTCTGTTTGTGGCCAGACATGTTGGGATGCGGAGGTGGCTCGCCGACTGCCTCGGGAGTCATGTGACCTACCTTATTATTGCCCAATAAAATTACAGGTCTTAAATATCGAGAGAGGCTGTTGATTTGGGCTCTCGACGTGAACTTCCAGTTGAAGCAGAGCAAAAATGTCCCCGTAGGTAATCAGAGACTGTGTGAGAGGACACTATCGCTGAATCTGAAGGATAACTGTCAAAGAAATGGTGACAGTCATTTGAGATAGACCCAACAAACACAAATAACGGAGTTGAGAGGATTTCTCTGAGCCACTTTGTTGTGGTGGCTGCGTACTAACTCTGTTATAATTAACCCTTTAAAGCCTGAAACAAGAAAAAAACAAAACAGAAAATTACTTTTTTTTGGTTTGAAGTCTTTCTTTGGCCTTTTAACAAAATATGTAAAAAGAAAAAACAGAAATACATTTTTAATATTAATAATTTATTACTATGCGATAAGTCAAGATTGTTTTTCGTGTAGTCTTCTGCCCCCTGTTATCAGGTATATCTGATTGTGTACATTAGGATTTTGAGCAAAGTTTTTACCATTGAATTATGCAAAAGGTGTCAGACGCAAAACATTTCAGAAACCGTATGTATCAGATATGATACATTTGGCATTATAGGGTTAAAAGGAGGAAAGGAGGAAAATCTTCTATTTTTGAGGAAGTACTTCACACTTTATCTTTGTGTGCTTTTGCCTACTTGAAGTTATTAATCAGTATTATTCTCACCCGGTTTTTTAGCTTCCTAAGCAGAAGCCTACAGTGATTAAACTGGATGGATGTATCTGTTTTTCAATTAATTTGCAGTCCTCCCAATTATTTATGAGCTAGATACATGTAATTACCTGTTGTTATTCTTTTTCTTTAATCCTTAGAAAGCATATGGATTCTACACATATCTCCAACGGTGACTGGCACGCTCTAAAACTGACTGTGTTGCTCATTTCCTCTTCCTGCAGGGGCCTTTGTCTTCTGCTGGACCCCTGGCCTGGTGGTCCTCCTGTTGGACGGCCTCAACTGTGAGAGATGTCAGGTGATGAAGCTGAAGCGCTGGCTGCTGCTTTTGGCCGTGCTCAACTCCGTCATGAACCCGTGCATCTACTCCTACAAGGACGAGGAGATGTGGACTACGTTCAAGAACCTCATGCGATGCATTGGCAACGGCACCCGGCGGCAGCGGTCCACGCGGGCCAACACCAGGCCTCTGACCTCCGGCCAGGACACGGGCAACAGCCAGCCGCCCTCGGAGGAGACCAAAGGCGACGATCATGGCATTCTCAACACGTGAGACGGGACCGGATGAGGGAGTTCGCAGAGCTTTTATGCCCGGATCAGAATGGAAGTCGGCCTCTAAAGACGGCGGCACGCTTCATCTACACTTTTCCTCTGTGGTTTTAATGACTGTCTTGAAGAAACGCCGCTCGCCAAGTGCTGCGGTGCAGCGTTGGAGTTGCAGTTCGATAGCGATCATCATGCGCCACCGATTACCTTAAACGCCGCAGCAGTGTGTTACGTCGTTGGGATCTTTCAATTCCTGGACACATAAATCTCACAGAAATGGGAGATTTTTAAATCAATTTCCTCCCCCTTATATCCATCTGGGTCCTTTATTTACCGCTCATAACGGTGTCATTAAGACACTATTAAAAAATGAACACCGTTAAACCAGGAAGGATAATATTCTCATCAAGTGAGACTTTTCTTTTTTCCCCCAATGAACACTTGTATATATTTACATGAATTTTCTTGTCTATACTGGTTGTAAAGCTTAATTGCAGAAATACTGTAATTTAACTTTTTTTACTGTCTTTTTTATTTTTATTTTTTTTACTCGGGCAACACTTTTTGTAGAAAATCACTAATGTAAAAATCCTGTAAACTGCTGTACTTTTAAGCATCTACTTGAAGATCTTGTTAGGAATGGTTGCCATCATTCATGCTCCACAATGTTTTAACTGTATTTTATTAGTTTTTCTGTATCATCAGGTCACTTGGATACAAACTCCTCGCACATGACTGCTGAAACAGTTGCTTGACTCACTGTAGCAGGGCCGTAAAACAATGTTGCAACACTAGATTCTTCCTGGAAGTTCAGCAAAGTGTGCATACCTGCAGGACCCAAGTTAGACACGACAGAAACTAGCTTCCCACACAGATTCCCCAAGGCTGACCTGTTCACCATATTGCTTAATTGTTCATGTTTCATCACGTTACTGTTTGTGCCTTTTGCTCCTGAAACGTGCCGGACAGATTTGAAGCTAATTTGTTTTAGTCTTGGAAGTTCTGTCCTTGTTTTTTTGTCCTTGTTTTTTGTCCTTGTGGTGAATCCAAACATTTCTAAACAGCTCAATCACTTAATCAACATGGTCCCTGTGCACTTCCTGTTGCACTTTAAAATCTCATAGTCCATTAGATCACTGCTTCTTTTTGCAGAACATTAAACTGTAAAATGACCGATTTGTAACTTATGACCTGAGGAAATGGTACAGAAAGATTGAGGTGGTATCCACAATATGCTGGTCAGATTTGTGTAAATAGAAAAAAGGATGGACTGGGCAGTCAGCATCAACATTTCAAAGCTTTAAAAAAAATCCCATAAATTCTTAACCAATGTTAATGATGAATAATTTTCTCTTGTGTTTCTGGCAGACTGATATAAGATATCAAGTAAAAGACTTTTTGTAGAATATTCTCATCAGCCTTAATTTCGAATAACCAAACCCATATTTTATCGTAATGCAGTTAACCGTTAGGCTGGTTGGATTCCAGTTGCCTTTTCCTATTCGTTTTCAATACCACACCATCTTCCCCTCATCGTACAATCTTTCTCATCAAGGTCAAGATAATGTACAAAGAAATGTCTAGAGGAGGTTATTTTTGTTATTGTTTTCTTCTCTAATAAAAAAAAATCCCCTCTTCCCTTTGTATGACAGAAAGACTGCCTGCTGATTTTGAATTTGGTAAAAAAAAAAGAGAACAAATAAAAAGATGACTGATGAAATGGGTTTAAAAAGTTTGCTGGGCAACTGGTTATGTTTCATTAACATTAATCACTTAAAGGATTGTTCAAGTTGAACATTTGTATCATTTTTTTAATAGATTATTACCTAGGTTTAGCGTACCTTTAAACATAGATATTTTATCCAGTTCATTTTCAATTATTCATTTTTTGCTTTTTCTGGTTCTGGTTTTCTTTAGTATAGTAGCTTTACAGGAAAGGGGGCAGAGAGAGAGAGGGGGGGGGGGGGGGGGGGGGGGGGGACATGCCTGGACTCAGACACAAGCGGCCCACACTGGGACACAAGTCTAGTCCAGTTTATTCTGTTTACACAATTCCTTCTTTGGTCTTCCCAAATATCTTGTTAACGTTTTCGATGTCTCTAATTTAAAAAGTCTACAAGCTTGAAATGAGGACCTTTTCTGTGTTTGCCACCAAGATCCCACCGATATTTAAATTTGCCCTCAAACTATATGTAGCCTCTTTTAAGGAATTCCTAATCATACGTTAGAATTCGTTTAGAGGATAAAATCCCACAAATCCCCCAGAGTTTATTACTCCGAACACAAGAACTTCCCTGAAAATCTCAGCAAGTTTGAAGAAGTTTAATCTTATTCTACAGAAGTTAAAGTTTTTTCCCCTCCCTGTTTTGGAAAAAAACATATGTATTTTTTAAATGATTAATTATTACATCATGTAAACAGTCAAGCCAAATGATTCCAGCTAATTTGACTTCATTTTTAAATGATCTCTTTCTTAACACACCCTAAAAACTCAAGTCAGCAAAGCAATAATTAGACAAAAATGACCAAAACTACTGTGTATCATGACATTAATGAGCATCTATCTGAATGCAAATCCACTACTTTAGTATTGTTTCAATAGGATGTCTAAGTCTTTGACGTCTCAGGTGTTTGAGAATCTCTTTTACAAGATATTTTGGCTGCGATTGTAAAGTTTATGAGGTAGCCTGAAATGCAAAGCATTTTAGTAATTTATAAGTTTTTAAACAATAAGATTTCTTCAACATTCAAAATAAAAAAAAACACATTTAAAGTAGATCATGAAAGAAGCAAATCTATACTAGTTGAGTACTACCAATTCACCTGTACTAAAAGGCATCAGAGGAAGACTTGTTCTTTCTAAATAGCATGACGAGTATGTCAAGTTTTTCAAGTTTGTACAAGAAAAAGAAAAAGACACACAGTCTGCTTACCCCCCCCCCCCTTCGTTCAGTTCCAGAAAGACTGTAAGAGCCACTGCTCTTTTATACCTCTTATACTTTCTGTACCAGTGAACTGAAAAGTCCCTGCATGTCTTTTTGCTCCCGACCAATTACCACCTACTAACATCTGGCTTTTGCCTTTAGACCGAAGTGGACTTTTTTTCTACTTTGATACCAGCTATCAATGTGTTAGCTATCTGTAGAAATTGCTTAGATGTTGTCAAAAGAGGTGGTAAACCTTTACAGGCGTGTCTGTCATCTATTTTTATTCCATTTCTTCCAACTCCTCAAATAGCAACTGATTGCTGTGTCATTTCCACTGGCGTTTATTTTGTTGTTGTTTTTTACACTGAACATTGTGGCATACTCTATAAACAGTACATCTATGTTTTTTTAACAAAAAAAGTCTATTTTTTTCTGATCAACAGATTTCAATAGCAGAAGAGGAGGTGTAAGATCTTTTAAAGTGTTTTTAGAGACATGCAGTGGAGTCTTATTCATTTGTGGGTATAATAAATTTGACATCACGCATTTAAAGCTGTGGTTTGCGTGCTGTTCAGAGGTGAGTTCTGCGTCTCTGCAGACCCACGGCGACTTCTGCCTGCAGCTCTGCTCGAGCGTTCCTAAAAACATGAACTGTAAACCGACTGGTATGGCAACTGTTTTTTTGTTTTTTTGCATCTGAGCCATAATTAGACACTCTTATAATCCCCAATAAATTAAACAGCAATGTTGTGATTTAAATTAATCACTATGTGGTTTTTCAGTGGTTTTTAGAAGGAAACCTCAGATTGATGAGCCTATGTTTCTATTCTGATCATTTCAAATGGAATTTCCTCATCATATTTTCTCTTTGATACACTCACGGAATCTATCATCTGTGCTACAGAGACTTTAATGCAGTACAAGGCCCTGACATCACCAGCAGGATCCGCTTCGCTTGCAAATGGGGGTGTCACGGGAGACTTGACTTCACAAACAGACAGTGACGTGTGGAGAGGGTCAGGTGTCAACAATATATCCATCAAACAATCTTACTTGAAATGATGTGTAAGGCCTAAAACTCACGAGTCAAAGTTTGCTTTGCTGTTTCCTGGAAACATAATTATTTGCAGCACAACCACATCCCACACCTGCAGTTTTTAAGAAAACAAAGTAAAAGACAACATCCTGCCTCCTACACGGCATCTGGACTGTATATATTTGACCACGTTTGAGCTCAGATGTCAGGGTCTGTAGAAGAAAAACTTTGAACTCATCTGTAATGGACTCAATTGTTGGGATGAAAGACGTACATGCTGTGGACCTGAAGTCCTGCAGAGAGGCAGCTGAGTGACACTCAATGATCAATTGTTTAGCCATGGTGGGAAAAATGGGGTTTTGCTATTCAAAGAGTTATAAACATTGGTTTTGAAGGAAAAGCATTTCTAATTAATCCAAGTTTCATTTCTATTGGTTTTAGGTAACTGCAAATGGAAATAGATAGGGAATGGTATTCTTTCTCCTCTCCTCAGCTGTCCCAGGTTTTTGGTTGAGATTGCAGCGTGCTCTGACCTCCTTTCAGTGAGCGTTCAAGGCCTCTCTGTAGATTACAAGCTTCTGCTTCTTTTTGATGTTTGCTTTGTGACCAGCAAAGCCCCCGAACCGGACCAGAGTGAAGGAACAAGGATGGTTATCAAGTGGCAAACTCCTCCGACTGAGCTCAAAGCATGGGCAGCTCATTTCTGCTGACCCAGCAAAAGGAATAACACCGTGGTAACATCCGTCACTTGAGAAAAAGCTAAGGATTGAAAAGGGATCTGTTCACTGTTTAAGCCCGAGGTGTGATGGTGCTCAACAAGAAGCAGAATAAACCTTCATCCATCCATTTTCTGTATGTGCTTTATCAAATTCAGGTTATAGAGGCAAGGGCCTGTCCCAGCTATTGGGCAAGATTCAAATTAAAAACCTGACCGCCAAATAAACCTGCCAGATGTTAACACTGGAAAACACGGGCAGCATTCTGTATACATGCATTAGTCAGCAAGATCTTGACTTTGTGGACTTTACACGTCATCATAATCACTCTAACATTTAACAGGTAAATCAATGTGATGACTCAACACAGTCTCATTCTGTGCGTGAGATGAAGAATGTGGTCATATTCGACTGAAATCTGACTAAATAAATGAGCCAAACGGTGTAAGGCAATGTGTACCTCACACACTGGATTTTCTTTTGCATTCACACTTTCCTTAGCAGCAGATGGAGAAGCAAAGCAAGTACTGGGAGATTAGAAAAACAGTTTTAGTCAGACAGCTTCACTATTGTGAAGAATGATGAGATTTGCTGGGAGTTTTGGGCTATATGAACACTCTCTATCTTCTATTCCGTAAATTAATGACAATAATGTTGTGTACAAGCAGCGCCAAATGTATTTAGTAAGAAACAAAAACACCTGTCACACAGTATATTTTCAATCCATCCGTTTTCCATACTTGCCTAATCCAGTTCAGGGTCATGGGTTGGTGGAAGTTGCAAAAAGATAAACTTCAGACTTACGGTATTCAGATGTACTCACTGCCATCTGCTGGAAAATAGTTAAAAAATGGTAGAACACAAAGAAACAGCACAGAAAGGAGCCAATTAATGACTGCTGGTGTTTTTATTTTCCCGAACGCTTGCGCTTTCCACAAGGGTGAGATCTTCTTTGATCAACTATTTTGATTACACTGAAAACTTAGTCTGATAGAACAAACTAAAAGAGTCTTGCTGGAATTAATTAGGCCTTTCCAGGAAATATGCTGTGTGCGAAACTATGCAGCCATGATATCTTATCTTCCAATTTTGTTTCTTAGTAAACACGCCCCATGTACAATTTTTCAACACAAAATAGCATAGAGAATACTGCACGGTACTGTGTGTCTTGCATGGGATACAAAATTAAATAAATGATGTGAAAGGGCAAAAGATGAGATTTTAAAAGATCAAATAACATTGACGAGTATCCCCTCTGGTAAAAGTAGTGGATTTATTTGTTCTGTGTTTTTTTCCCCTCTCATTGGACCTATTGTATTTTCTACTTTTAGTGAAAAAGTCTTTCAGAGAGAAACTGAAAACCTTCCTTTGGGTGGGGCCCTTATCATTATGGGGAGGCGGTTACTCCCAAGCCTCAAGGGACGCTCTGTGCTGACTCTTGTGATGTTTTGCTCAGAGGGGCCTCAGCTGCTGTTCTCTTCCCTCCATCAAAGACTAATGGCTTTATTTCAAATTCAAGGGGAGATATGCTTTGCAATATGACTCTCTGTCCTTTTCACCTCATTCCTTTATTTTTTTACTAATCCAGCCGGACAAAAGCAATAATGTAATGTTGGCTTAATAAAGTATTTTTTTTTTTAAATGCAACAACTAAAATAATCCATATCTGTGTCCAGGATTTGTTGTCTTGCTGCATTATGAAGAGAAAGTTAAAAATACAAACAGTTTGAAACGTTAAATACATGTACTTTTATTATTTTTGTTTATTTATTAGGAGTTACCAGTCTAAAGTGCAATATCAACTTTTGTCAAATTAGATGATTCTGTCCATCATCTGTTGTTGTCTTGATTGGCGACTATATCGCTCTTTTGGAGGGCTCTTTGGAGGGCATCTTCTACCACAAAAATGTCAGAATGCATATTATATTCCTATTTGAATAATTCATGAGCATTTCATGTGTAACATGTGTTCAATTATAGTTCAACACAATTAGAAAATCCCACTTTAAAAATGAACGAGAATTAAGAATGCTCTGCGTGCCCCGTTCCCTTTAGCCAATCATATCGAGTGTGTCTGGTTGCTAGTCAACGAGTGGGCCAATTAGCGCAGTGTTTGGTTTGTGTGCGGTAGTCCGCACTGTCAGACGGACACTACTAGCCAGAAGCAGCAGCCAGGAGACACCCATTGAATTAAAGTAAGCTCTCCAAATATTTTGTAATGTATTCGCTTTTCAGATTAACGCCTCATACGCCTCCCGTCGTCTCCATTCTACCTAACCGGGACAGGAAACCAGAGTTATTCTGTAGTGAGGGGAGACGCTAAACGGCAGCGGGGACCAGTCCCACGTCCGACGGTGATTTGGGGAGTCGATAACGTTTTTGTTTTGGTTTAGTTGACATAATTTGTGTTCTAAAATATCTATCTAATCATAGTACCGAAAACGACGGTGCTAGTGGAAATGAAGGGGCACAGTTAGCTTTTTCCAGCATGCATGACTTCAAAGGTTCAAATAATTAATCTATTTCTGTTGACAATCCTTAATCCACATGTCAATGTTTCTATCGCTTTCATGGTCAGTCTCAAAGATAAATCGCATTAAAGTTGTATAATAAGGTCCCAAATTATGATTGATTGACGGATAACCTCAAACTTTCTTTTTCAGCACCTATGGTATTTGACCAGCTACATGAACGTTAAATAACCAGTGTTGCATATTTCTTCGTTTATCCTTTTTAAATCTATCATCAAGGTGCTAAAAAACTATTGCACATTGCAAAAAAGTATTTATCCCTTAGAAATTACATTTAGTAGAAGTGTTGGAGAACGTAATAGTGGCCAGTTGATCAGACTACAGCGTCTTGGGTCTTGGCTTCTTAAGCTTTGTGCCATCTGTCTCACCAGACTGATTAATTGTGATGGAAAGCCATGAATACATCCTCTGAATTCATCCATGTCTTCACTGAAGGCTTTAACAAATGGCAAAAGTGGCTGTTACGCAATGAAAATGTTTGCTTCAAAGTTGCCTTCTGCTTAATATAGCCACTGTTTTCCTAAAGCCGTGGTGGTAAATGGTGCTGTGGATGTTAAGAAGGAACCCCGATTGATTGATTTCTAAAAGACATTTTCAAAAGTTTCCATCCAAGCATGTTTTTATCTCACTCTGCGACCAAGACTGCATGTTGTCTGGCTGGGATTAGGCTGATCAGATGATTAGTGTGTCAAGTTAAGATGGCAGTCTGGTCCAAACCTGCATCTTTTTAAGCAGAGTGCTGCTGTCGCCTCATTAACACAACGATTATTATCATCTTTGGAAAAGGCTCCTTGAATGTGCATTACTATAGCGTAGTCAGGAATAATCTAATATGGAATATGGTGTCCACAAACTCTTGTTAATCAGTTGAATGCTTTTTTCCACTTGTCGGCACAGCATGTGTTCTCCCGGTGCCTTGTAATCCGTAAAGTGATGAATGGCCACAGCTAATCTGAGCGTCTATTTCAGGACAGCGTAGGTGGATCTTGTGGTCAACTTTCTTAATCTGCACATGCAGTCCATGATCTAGTCACGTAGCCTGACGGCTGCACCGTAACAATGCCTGAGTCTTCCCAGGGTGAGTACAGATTTTGAACACGTGCTTGCAGACAGCGCTTTTTAAGACACTGTGGGGTGTTTTGTGGAGGTCCTTCAAATGCTAAAGTGGGGTTCTCAATAAATGAAATGTACTTACTTAAATATATGCACGACTATGCCTTTACTTTTTACTTTTATCTGAATTTCATACTCCAATGATCTGACATATCACACAAAGTAACTGTAATTCCTTTTGCATTTAATTTTAGATGAAAAAATGGGTCCGTTGTTTGAACTGGTTAAATTAGAATCGGATAATTGGTGTATATGTGATGAAATTTCCTCCTATCCAAGTCAAGGGCATTGGCTGCAGCTCTGCTGAATGTAGAACACCCCCCACGAGGCCATTCACCCAATCACCATTACACAGAAATTCCTACATGCTCGGTGCCTTCTGCACAGAGCACAACGTTCAAGAATGTCTGTCACACATCAATCAGGTTAGTGTCCTTTCATGCATTTGTGATCTAGAAATGCAAGTAAGCCACTATCTAAAAGAAACGTACAGTACATTTTAGAACCCATGTTATAATCAATACAACTTTATAAAATATCTTGTTTCCACTTTTCCAGTTGTGACGTGTTTCCTCTGTGTCACTTATTCCTTTGCAGGAGGTGTCATCACTGGGCCTCTCCTCACTCTGGACAGAGTTAGGTGGAGGCTCACAACTGAATATTGTGGCTGTGCTAAACTGCATGCACGACCTGATTCAGTTACACCACCGGGGCCTCAAAACGCTGGAAAACATGGAAGTGGAGCAGCTCAAAGCCAGCAGCAGATTGGACTATCTGCAGCTTACGACCACTCATCTAAAAGTACAAAAGCTCAGCTTTTTTCCCCCACGATTATTTACATACTGTGAGGAAAGAAGATAGCTATTACGTTGATTGAGTTATTGAATGAGGTTGCATTTAATCTGTATCAGTGCTTGAAGGCTTTGCTGAGTCACTCTTCCCATCGTGCTTTGCAGGAGCAGCTTGAACTTTCCAAAAGAGAAAACACAGGTCTTCTGGAAAGAGAAAGACAGCTCCAGCTGAAAACTAAGAGTTTACAGAACTGCCTGAAAAATGAAAAAGAAGAGGTCTGATGTTATATATATGTAATATTATAATATTTGCAATGGATTTATACTTAGATCTGTATTATTTTGCTCCTAGTATTGTCTAAAGAAGCATTTACCCTTTGTTATTCCCTCTCACCAGGTTCAAAAACTTCAGAACATCATTGCAAGCCGTGCCAGTCAATACAACCATGACATGAAAAGGAAGGAAAGAGAATTTACCAAACTAAAGGAGAGATTGAATCAACTTCTGGCTGACAAAAAGGAGAGAAAACAAGGTAAACCTGAAACTCTTCACACTATTTAAGACAGGGATTGTAAAAAAAAACAGAAAAGAAAAGAAATCTAGCCAGATCACGCAGAGAACAGAAAAGGGGTAAAAAATTAATTGATCCACGGTTTTATTCCCTTCACACATCGTTGCGGTCATTGACTGACTAAGAGTTACAGTCCGAAACATCTAAAAATAGGAAATAGGAAGATGCATGGGGGCCTTTTTAGGGAAATGCACCACCACATAATGTCACCAAATGATAATGTTTAAAATTATGTCAATCTTCATTCTTTTTGTATGTTTTTTCTTTTCTTCTAGCCATTGATGTGCTAAACAGCATTGGTAGAGCTGACGGAAAAAGAAGCCTTTGGAAAACAGAAAAGACTGAAGCAAAGTAGGTTTTTACTTTGATTTTGTGAACCTTTTTAAGGAGATTAGAGGAACAAAAAATAAGATGGCAATTGGAACTACTTTAGTCCACCTACAGTGGAAACGGCTCCTCTTTCACTTTTCTAGGTGACACAAATTTAATTTCTGGGATGAATTAGAGGAAGCGCTACTGGGAAATTTTCAGAGCTAATTCGTTTTAAATAGATGAGTGAAGAAAGATGATTGTGTTTCTCATCCTAAGGCACGAGGGGGAGATGTATAAGACGCTGCTGAGCAGCTATGACACCAGACAGCAGGAACTAATGCTGGAAAACGCTGAGTTGAGGAAAGTGTTGCAGCAAATGAAAATAGACATGGTGTCTATACTGAGTTCGAGGAAAACCCCTCTAAAAAGCAACAAAAGTGAACATAATGGTGCCCAGGTAACATAGATTCCTCTATAAGCTCATACCATTTTCCTTCTCATATGTGATATCTAAATTAGACAGAGTTATTCCACAAAAGTGACCGTCTGTGCCAACTTGTTGAAAATGTTCACTCTTATTTCAGGCTGCGTCCGAAGAGGAAGAGGAAGAGGTGTTTGACCCCAGTAAGGAAAACATAGAACTGTACTGTACGAATGCCCGGGAAAAACTGACCAACAGTATTCGCCTGCAATGGAGGAGACTGAAAAGCCACGTCGAGAGACTAGACAGTCAAGGTTAGTATCTCTCATTTTTACATTTATGTTGAAAAGATCGAAGAAAACGTTTTTTTCAGCAATGTGTTTTGTGACTTCCCAGCTAACCCATGAAAGCAGAATGTTTTTTTCATTCATTGAGGTCAATGAAGACGAACCGTCTTTGAAATTTTCCATACATTCATATTCATTCTCACTGTAGAACAAAATAACTCTAAATTGTTTAGGAAATATATTACTACCCCTCTCAGATTCATGGACAGCAACAATTGCTTCTCTAAGACCATTACTGGTAAAAATGAGGAAAGGGAGCATATGCTGATTTGCTTGTTTGTTTTAGTATCCTTGGCTCAAATGGACGAGAGTTATAAAAATGACTCAGTTCCACGAGAGACTCATGAGGACGAGATGAACAGACTAAAGCTGGAGGTGCAACAGTGCAGGGATTTCATCCAAACACAGCAGCAGCTCCTACAGGTAAGAATTAATATATTATTCGGAAAATAAAGTGTCGCTACTTTAAAGTGGGCTTTGAGGCAGATTTTACTCACTTGCATTTGTTATCAGGGAGTTTCTAAAACGCGTGTGGACTGCTGTCCCTCTCTCTGCAGCAGCAGCTGAGCTCCCCGTGTGATGAGGAGCCGGCCTCCCTGCTGACCGATGGCCACATGCTGCAGGAGAAGGAGCGCCTCCGGGAGGAGTGGAAAACCCTGGAGGAGCAGAGAAAAATCTTTGAGAGGGAGAGAGGGAACTTCACCGAAGCCGCAATTCGACTGAGCCATGAGGTAATGAGAAATGTTTTACAGAAGGGGGCGCACTGAGCCCTGCTCAGACTTTCGGCCTGAAACGGCTTCTTTTTGTTTGACTTTCAGAGGCAAGCCTTTGAAGAAGATCGCGCCACATGGATAAAACACCAGTTTTTAAGCTTGAGTCCATTTGGAGAGTCAAAGAAACCGCTGCTTTCTAAATCTACAAGTGCCTTTTTGATAAGTAAGTGTTAACAAGTCACAGTGCGAGACTTCAGAATGTGAAGGAACGATTTCTATCCTCCCTTTGCAGCAGAAATGGATGAGAGAGCACAGCTGGCTCGAGAAAAGCTCATCGAATGCCACGCTGACTCGGCCTCCTCCACACCCAGATGTGCTCCGCTCACATCACCTTCCACAGCTGAGCTGTATCGCATGTTTTGCCTTATCCCAGAAAACGGGTACAGTCTCCATATTTGCTGTTTGAATTCTTCAGTAATCATTGAGTCAATGCGGCTGTACCTTATGGCTCGTTTCCTTTACTATGTGACTTTCAGCTCAAAGAAACCAAAGAAAAAGCCTGAGGATGTCGAGGAACCAGGCTCCCTCTGCGGCCGTGGTGCCGCCCAGCGCAAGCGGTGGAACGACGGCGAAGACCTCAGCATGTTCTCACTCACACTAGAGGAGAACAGCTCTTAACAGTCTAAATCAATTTTGTCTTCAAATAAGAAGAAAACGATCACAGTCTAAATCACTTTTGTTGTCAAATAAAAAAAAATCGTTGTCAGGTTTAGATCCAATAGATGAATGCCAACCTCTTTGGATTGGAAAATGGTAAACAGTGGGAGCCAATCATTCTCCACTTAGTTGCTTTTGTTTTTTATTCAATGTGACTGGAAAAATATTCAGTCTAATTGTGACTTTTTGATTTACTCATAGAATGCGTTGTGAATGTATTTATTTATTTATATGATGTATTCCTAATTTAAATAGCTATACTTTATCTCACGTGTAGCAGTTGATTTCTGTAGGATGAAACTTTAGTGTCAGTGCAGATGTCCTGCTGACAAGAGGTTTTTTTAGTTGATGTTGCTGCTAACGTTGTTTCAACATGTCAAAGCTTGTCAGGTTACTAACCATCATGTTGAACTTGTCAGCATTTTAAAATCGATTAATAGTGCTGTTTCTCATAAAAGAGGCCGCCACAAAAAAATGAAAGGATGTGAGTCTGTTCAGTTTTTGTTTAAGAAAAAGAAGCTAAAATCTGACTTGCTGCATTCAATACCACAATTGTATTAGTGATGTATGACAAACAGATATAAAATTTTACAAAGTATTTATAGTTTAGACGATAGGTTAGACCACTTCTAAACTTTCAAGTAATTTGCTAATACACTGTGGAATAGTCTGATTTTTTTTTTTTTAAATGAGTGGCTTTATGTTAACAGGACCAGTAAGTGTCAATCACTGTAACTCTTGAATGTGAAATTTCATTCTACAGTGACACTTATTTCTAGATATATACATCTGTAAACTCAAAAGTTTACAATTTGCCCACAAAGTCCCTTTTAAGTGTGTGGGTTAAGGTTTGAAGCAGCTGTTCAGAACACATTATCCTTTATCAGTGTCATGGGAGGCGCGATACATGAGGGAAACTCTACTGTTAGTATCACTGACAGTAGGCTGCTTACTGGTGTGGTAGTTAGCCCTATAATGAGACAGCAAAAATGTTTTTGGTTTGAATCAAGGTATGGTCGCCCTCATGGGACCATTTTTTTGCATTGTCTTTTTTTTTAAAACCATGAACCAGCCCTGTAATGGACCAATGGCTGCTGTGTTCTTAAATAGTTTTTTCCAGTTGTGTGCTGAATATGTTGGAAAATACAATTAAATGTGTGTCCTCAAAGGGTTCAAATACATAACTGGGTACTGATTGCAAATTGAATGTAAAACTACATCAATGTGAGAAAATGGAAGCTGAAATAAATCATTCTCTTCACTATCAGTCTAAAGAAGAGCGATTAAATATTTACTGAGATATCAAAAAGAACATGAACCACATGGTTGAAATGTTTTTGTAACCCTTGAGTTGGGATCCATTTCAGACCCAATAAATACGGAACTGTCAGGACCTGTGAGCATTTTGCTTCGCGAGATGTGGTTGCGACGCTCAATAATCAGATTCAGATTAATTCTTTTTTGACATGCTGTTTTATTTAAAGATACAATTCAAACATATTCATGAAGTCAGTGATGAAGTGACTTCAGTGACTTCTGTTTTTAAGCACACTGAGCAGTGCAACTGCAAGCGAGGTGAGCCTCTGCGGTTTCCTTCAGGTCCACACTGCGGTCGAAGACGCTGCTCATGCTCTCGGGAGCAGAACCTGCAAAGATGAGAAGAGCAGAGCAGTTAAAAACCAAGCATTTGTCATTCCTCTAACTTCCTGTCTGTTGATTTCCCCCCGCACTCACCGGCGGCCATGCAGTTGAAGCCCACAGTGACAGGGGTGGTCTTCACTGGGAAGCAACCGGGCAGGCAGCGCAGCACGGGCTCCACAGAGAGGCATGTGGACTCTTCACCGTGGATGTTCACTTTCTTCTCCAGCTGCACAGATTCCAGCTTCAGACGGCATTCTGTCAGAGAGCAGATACGATTGATCAAACCTCGAATGAAGCAGGAAAAGATTTACACTCTCAGTCAAATGATTGTTTTTCTTCCCCCCCTGTTTTACCGGTGGTGTCCCTGCAGCTTTCTGCTGGCAGAATCCAGGAATGAGCAAAACTGACTGCGTTCTTGGTCACGCGTCCATTGGGTGTGCGGTACTCCTGTCTGACTTCTCCGTCAGCTCTCCCACAGAGACCACAGGTCTTGCCCTTCATCCAGTCTGGAACTTTGATCTACATGACAGGAGATGTAGAGTTAAAAGAAATATATAAACATGCTGCATTGCTGCCATTGTGATTTCTTTTCACAGCCACGACTCATCGCATCTTATTTCTTTGGTAAAGGCCAATGTTGATCAGTGATGCATTACCATCCATGATGTAGTGTTGTAGTAGAGTTCATGAAGCCCATGTTCTTCTGCTCTCACAGAAACACCTTTGCCGCTTACATTGATTTTGATATTTTCTGTAAAACAAGTTCTGTTATCAGCTCAGTTCAAATAACATTCTAAATGCAACTTTTCACTTTGCAATGAAAATATACCTGTTGGATGCTCGTATGGCAGGCTATCAAGGGCTATTTCCTTTCCGTTAACCTTCACAGTCACTTTGTCATTCTTGGGGTAAAGGTCAATATCTCTATAAATAGAAAAGCAGAAACATTGTTTTTCAGTTTAGTCAACTTGTGAATGAAAAAAAAGCAGTTATTTCTGTTTTCATTAATTCGTTCAGCCACGCACAAGTCAGAAACTTTGACATTGATGTGGTTTTTCTCCATGGAATCCTTCCTCTGCAGAACCATGAATTTCAGGTCATCGGTGCAGTCCTGTGCCAAAACCTGGTAGCAAGAGGATGGCATCTTGTTGCTGAATGTCCTGTTGTTGAATGTGGTCAGCAAGTCATTGGTGAAGTTACATTCAGCTGGGGAGAAAAAAGAAAAGAAGCATTTGTTTGCTGGTTGCGGGACAAAGTCAATTCAGTGTGTTGAGTCTGTGATTGCAACATTACCTGCAAAGGACTTGGCAAACACGTAGTGGATTTTGGAGCTGATGTCTTCAAAGGGGGTGAGACCTTGAATCGCACTGAGTGGCAGAGAGACGGGAAGACGCACAGTCATGTTGTAGACAGTACTCTGTTGGCGGAGAGAAAGTAGGATTACTTTTATGAATTTATGATTATGACAGCTTTGTTTTGCGGAGAGCACGACTTTTCATACCACTGGTGTTTTTGCAATCAGGTCAACGGTCCTTTCAGATGATGCAACAGCTGTGAATGAAATCCTCCTTGTGCTGTTTTCACTCCTTGCTCTGATCAAGTCAGACAGAATCTTAACAGGAACATATTCATAAACCCTGTAAAAAATGTCCAGATGTCAGAAATTTCAGACAGTCAGTGTGGCACTTGAGTGAACTTTAAGCAAAACCCATGAGCTTTCTTACATCTTTCCATAGCGTTTAAGGGTGGATGGGAGTCTTTCCCAGTTCATTCTGAGACGAGCGGCAGGGCTGGGACCAATAAGACCGGTTTCACCTGTAACCATGGTGCTGTACTCCTTGCATTGTTGTCCCCAAGCAATTTTAGCCTATGAGATGAAAAACACATATCATGACGGGTATTCTTGTTTTTAAATGATGCCTGGTTGTTTCTATTGCTGGTTTCTTACTGTCATTTTGTGCTTGCTCAAAAGAACTCCATCGGCACAGAACCTCCAGTTGTTCTCAGGAGTCAGGGAAGCAATGATGATCTGAAGTCTGGCACTTGGTTTGTCGATGGAGGCAGAGATCTGGTATCCAACGGCCCTCTTATCAGCTCTAACAGCACGGAAGATGATGGCTAAGGCGGCGGCCTCCTTGCTCAAGAACTTGGTCTGTGGGGACAGCCATAATGTGTTGGTCCCAGAGCACACATGCAATCCAGAACAGGTCATTTTTGTTTCTAATCATCATATTTCACCTGTCTGTAGATGGCTTCAAAGCTTGCGCCACTGCTGTTGCTGCTGGAAGATGCTACTGAGGTAAGAGCCTACAAAAAACAAAACAGTATGGTAACATCGTGAGGCAGTGGGCAAAAGCTGTGACAGAGGTCGACTCTTTTTATGCGGTACAACATTTATTTAAAGGGCTCATAAAAAATACCTGATCCTTGTGGTTCTTCTTGAACTTCGGGAAAGAAATCACCCGCTGTTAAGAGCAAAAAACAAACAAAAATGCTGTCAGCTCCCCCGCAGGCCATGGCGAGTGCCTCCCGGCAAAGTTACGAATAGTTCCCACAAGCTTACCTTTGAGGCACGAGAGCTGGAGCTAGAAGAACTTGAGCTGGCACTGAAGAGTGACTGAAGGCTGGAAGCAGAGCTGGTCTTGGATGAACTGCTGGATCTTGAAGAGCTGGGTCTACCTCTGCTGCTGCTGCTGCTGCTGCTACTGCTGCTGCGTTTGCTGCTGCTGCTGCTGCTGCTGCTGACCCTGCTGCTGGGACGAGATGAGGAGCTGGAGGATGAAGAGGAGGACTTGGATGAACGGCTTGAGGAAGAGCTGCTTGAGCTGGAAGAGGTCAGGGTGCGGTTTTTGTTGGGAGCCAGGATTTTCTTGAGCTTCATCAGGACAGGTGCACTGTCAAGGATATCTTCGGCCAGGTCGATCTGTCTAACAAGCTTCTCGGCAGCCTTTGATCCCACTTTAACCTCCATCTCCAGTCTCTCAATGGCTTCACCCTCAACTGAAAGAATTTGTAAAAAAGTGCCATTAGTAAGGGACTTCTGTAAACAGAGCTTCTGTGAAATTCTCTTTTTGTCTCATTGCTTACTTGGTGTGACAGAGACAGAGACATTATGCCTTCCAGCCAGCTTGTAGAGAGGAATGTCCCGGACGTAAGCGCCATTCTCAGTGGCAACTTTAAAGCAGGCTTTGAGTCCAACGCCAACATACTTGACACAATACCTCTTAGAAAATGCTCTAGTTTTGTTGATCATTGCAATCTCGCCCACAACAGGAATCATCTCCTCAGATGTAGACTGTAGGGAGATATAAGTTCTAATTATATACGAAACATATCCTTTTGTAGATAGCTTAAATCCGTGCTTAAAGTCACCAGTCATACCTCAGCGGAGACAACGGCAGAAGCGACAATGTCAGCCATGCTTGAGATGGGTGCCAGGGCTTTGCTTGAAAGGAATGGGGTGATTCTCTCTTTAGCAGGTTCCTCAATGTTTCTTGTTACAGCAAAGGTCTCAACGCTGTTGAACAAAGACATTGACATAATCATTCAGGTTCAATCAATAAAGCTAGATGTCACTCTAAATCTGACTGATTTCAGTGGGAGACTTACCTCATAGCTGTGATGTTCTCTGGCACAGAAACAGGAAGAGCTTCGATCTTGAAGTCGCCCTCTTTGATGTTGAGTCTTGCAGCGATTCTAGCTGGTACAATGGAGTAGAGCTTGGCTCTTGACACAAGAGTGGCCTGAATGAGGGGGGTGTTAACTCCCATCACAGCATACGTGTTCATGGCAACACTGGAGAATAATGAGGACAACATTAGATTCAGTTTGTGTCACTTTTCAGTTTATGTCATATCTGTTTATGTTTGTCATTGAACCCACCTTGGTTTGACCTCAGTCTCAAGCTGTATGTCTGTCTCCAGCAGGGCTGAGAGATGGAAGTCTTCAGGCAGACGTGGTGAGGTGGTTGGCTTGACTAAGAAAAAAAAAGGGCTTGTTCATGATTCCCTCAATGCATAATACTCCCCACATGACTTCCTTTATTTAGTTATTTTCTAAAAGAAATGTTCATGTCATCTTTTCCAAGTTTTAGCTCAAGGCAAGGCTAAGCTGTTTTACTCACTTTTGATAGCAGCTGCAGCCACAGCGGCAGTGTACAGACTCAACTCCAGAGGAAGACCAGCAGCAGTAGGAATGATACGTCGCACTTCAGTGGCCAACAAAGGCTTAGCATAGTGGAAGTTGACACCAGTCAGGAGCAAAGCCTTGAGAGCATCCTTTCCATATTCCTGAATAGAGGGACCGCTGGCCAGCTGTAGGTGGAGAATAGAAATTCCATGTTTTATTTAGCAAAACTCAAAAACTGTCGATCTTGAGGTTAATCAGTTGCTGTTATCATACCGCAACAGCCTTTTCAACCATGACTTTGTCAATGTTGGCAAAGGCAATTTCTTGTCCAAAGAACTTGACATAGATGGAAGCCAGAGGCTTGGTGGTGGGCAGGGACCTCCATTGAGAAAGCTGTGGACAGGAAACATGTGTTATAATCACATTGAGAGTTTGATTTTTTCTTTGTGGTTTTTCATGGTTTCTCACAGCTTTAATGACACGCTTCATCTTGGTGATCCTGTCAGTGTTTTCAGAGAGTGCAGGGTTTTTCAGGAGAGCCTCTTGAAGTCCATCGGTTCTCACTCCAATCTAAGAAGAAATTGGGCCAAGTTAAAGCAGTAACTTTTAAAACAATGTCCGAAGCACTGAGCAGCTTTTCATCCCCGCCATGTACCTCCAGAACATCAGCAGCAGCTCCAGCAAGGAAGGCTCTGGTCTTGGCCACAACGGACCTTGGCAGAATGGTGGCGGCATCATTGATGTAGAAAGCAGTGGCAGCAGCGCCAATCATCAAGGAGCCTGATGTGGTGTTTGATGACAAACAATTAGTTTTATATATCATCCAAGCTAAAACTCAAACAAGGTTTGTCTGAAGTTGACGTAGGTCTTACTGTTGTAGGCGTCCACGTGGACGGCTCTGCTGTAACGCAGGCTCAGTCTGTCCAGCTTAGGGCTCAAGATTTTCATGGCAACACTGCAAGCTGCAGCACTGTAATTGAGGCATAAAAGAGATGATGCACTGTTTTGTGCAGTTGGATAAATCGGCATCGGGCAGCACTCTTACACTGAGGGGTGGATGGTGGAGGGGCTCCTGCTCAGGGACTTCATGTGAGAGTAAGTGAAGCTGGCAACCTGCAAATTCTTCTCTGTCTTCACGGTGTTGGCAAGAGTGGTCACCAATCCCATTGATGGCTTGGTTTCAAACAGGACAATACATGAAAGCATGCGGAGCTCTGGGTGAAGAGCTTTATCCATGTAGAGCTGAAGAGCCAACTCCTGGACCTGTACAAGAGGATAACTAAACCTCAGCATGGTGTTCATACTAGAGACCAGCCCACTTTGAGAGACTTCTTATCATGCACAACTCACCATTCTTGGTTCCTTCTTTGCGATGTTCCTCAGGGCCATGATGGCTTCCACGTGGACTCTCATGGGCAGAGATGCAGCGGCAGTGCCATGAATGGGCATGATCTTTGTGATGGACTTGAAACTGGCAGGATGTCCGGCATTTCCCAAAACCTTGATGAGCAGGATGATGTCCTCGATCTCACTTTTTGTGACAGCCTCACTAAGACGTTCCTGGATGGGCTGTTGAAGGAAATGAGAAATTGGGATGTCCATTTCTTATCTTGTAAAAAAAATGTATCGACATCTAAAGACTGAAGATTGAATTAACAGCAGTAGTTCACCTTAATGTACTCAGTGGGGCAGACAGCTAATTCAGAGCAGTTTTTGAAAATCATGGTACCATAGCCAAGGAGGACAATCTCACGCAGAACTGGGTTTTCCAATACTTTCTTGTTGACGGTCAGGGTCTAGAATAGAGAAAAGATCAGAAATGTTAATCTGTTTACTCTCTTTATCGTACATGAAACTTCCTTTGGGGTTCACCAACCTCAATCAGCTTGATAGTCTCAGCATCTGCAGACACCATGTGAACAGCAGCAACCAAAGCCTGAGTTGCCTCAACAACACTCAAGTCATCAGCCAGGAATTTCTCCTTGATGAATCTGAGTGCAGCGGGGGTTCCAGTGACAGGGATGGCATCCAAGAACCAATGTCTGTAAAAACAAGGAGTAATTGAAATGTTAAAACTCAAACATTTTCATTTGTCCCTATTCTTGCTAAAATGTTGGGTCCCTGTAAGCCACCTGTGGGAGGGCATCTTTTTGTACTGGTTCCAGGACATTTCCAGTTCTTCATAGCGGGCTGCACGGAAAATCTGAACCAATTCCAAGAACTTCAGAGGGGCATGTTCGTTGACGCTCTCCACATTGTGGGTAATCAGGTGGTTCAGAAGCTCAGCAATCTAAGACCACAGGATTGAAAAGGGTGCCATTAAAAAGGGTTTGTAAGATTCAGCTTTCATTCATGAATCCCCTTTTGCTGTGAAACAGTACCTGGGACTGTACATTGACGATCTTGACAAGCTGAAGGGGTGTCTGAAGGAGTTCGGTTGAAAACTCATACTTGATGGATCCACGGTGGCGGTATGCATCGTGGGCAGATGGAATAGGTACTTTCTCAATCTCAAGGAACTCCAGGGACTGCCTTTAAAGTTATGATAAGAAGAAAAAGTTCAGTTGCAGGTCCATTCAGCCAAGATATTCCCACTTTGACATTATTTTTATCTTTGAACATACTTGGTCTCCATTTGAGCAGCTCCATTTTTCTCAGAGGAAGGTGAAAACTGGATAAGCTCATTGACGGATGCTTTCAGGACCATGACACCGCTTGCAACTGCCTTCAAAGTGTAGGTGAATGACGACGTACCTCTCAGGTTTTTGGTTTCCTGCGGAAACAAGCCCAACAGGTCATGCATTGTTGCTTTTGCATATCTGGACACCTAATACAAGATCAATGTTAGCTTACCTCCTGACATTTGTCACATTTCTCAGTGTACGCCAACCCCATATCTTTAATGATCCTTTCCTGACAGTGGGTCATGTCCCTGGTCTTGGTCAGGAGGATGCGTTCAGCCTTGATGTCTTCACTGATGGAATAGAGGGTCTTGCACACACCCTGAGTACCGGCCTATTGAGCAGAGTGATTTTTTAGTGAGCTGATTGAATCTCCTGATTTGTGTTGTTTCATAAATAAGCTATTTGGCATATTTGACAAACCTCCTGCAACTCATAGACATTGTGTGTCTTCTTGATGTTGAGCTGGAGGATGTTCAGAATGCCCCGATAGATGTTCAGCACCAAAGTTGAGGTTCTTTCAGGTGCGTAGATCTTTCCCACAACACCATTAGTATACTCAAACTTGATGGGGATCACGAGCTGGGGTGCCAAGGCTGCAGTCAGTTTGGTTGCTGGGACTGGAGTATCCCTTGGCCAAATACCACTGTACTCAAAGAGTTCAGGTTCTGCAATCTAAAGTTTAGGAATAAGATTTATAGATTTAGCACATTTCTGGGGTAAAATTACTGTTGCTTGCTCATTACTTTGATCTTTACCTTCAGCATGTACGTGTTTTGGGCTTCAGCACTGATCATAACTTTGGACCTGATTTTGAGTCCAGCTCTTGCCCAACCTTCCTCAGGGAGACCTCCAAGGAGGAATGCCTCATACTTGTACACATAGGTCTTACCAGCAGCAAAGTCGGGGGCTATAAACATAAATTAGCACAGTTATGATTCCTTCAACTTATCTCAAAATCATGCCAAAGAGTTCTCACTATTTTAGCCTTGGATGATTGACAGTCAACATTTTGCCAGGATATTTCAATCATATTTGAGCTTTTTATTTTAATTTTAAGGTTAAAGTAAAGTAATGGACTTACCAAAGTTATGACTTTGTCCAGCTAAAGTGGAAATAAAAGAAAATAAGTCTGAATACATGTGAACACTTTCAGTGATATAAAGATGCTGAAGTTTATCTTTTTTCACTTGACACATAACATAGATATATTTTAAGTCTAATGAAGAATCATGTTCCAGAATACATAAAAGAAAAAATTTGAATATTTGGGAAAAAGTAATCCAATTAAATTGGGAAATAAAAAGCATAAAAAGAAGAAGGCCCTCCAACTCAGCAATTTCAACAAGTCAAAAAAGTAGACAAAAGAATAAAATATGCAACATATAGTCCACTAATGCTGAAAAGAATAAGTGAAATATTGGGACCAGTCGGCGAACAAAATAATTTAGAATAAGACATTTTCTCTCCTTAAATTAAGTCATTTGAAATATTTCTATGCAAATAGTAAGCTGCTCCAGATCTAACAGAATCTGTCAATGTAAAACAAAATTCTGGTTGATTTGCAGTGTAAAGGTATCTATAAAGTCCAGGAACGGTGGTGAACAGCAATTGACTTTGTAAAAAGTGAAGGCAGCTTCATTAAAACGATAGAACATTATTTTAAAGTAAGTTAAAAAATCTCTATGAGTCGAAGCGGCACACTTTTAGAAATGCAGAATCACACTTACCCACGAAGGCCAGAGTCAGGGCGAGCACAACCTCCTTCATGGTCGATGGGGCTGTGACTCTCCTGGTGACAGGCTTCCCTTTTTATAGGGAAATTTGGAAATGTCTGACGCTCTTGATTTTATAAATAACTTATTAAACTCTCAGAATACCAGAGGGACAAATGTTAGGGTCACCTGCCCGTATTCTTATCAAAGACCAAATCAAACTCTGGCAACTTGTTTTCAAAATGTTTACAGTGTTTCACAATCAAGCCATTCCCACATTAATGGATCTATGCCAGTATCACATGAAACCGTCAAAGGGAGTTATATTGGACACTGACTGAGAGCTGAACTGGCCCAGAGGGTAAAGAGACCAAGCTCCAATGGGCCTTCTTATGATTTAATCCTTAAATATCTCTGGAACCTTTCTGACTGTGAAAATTGTGAATCTCTGGTTACCACAAAATTAGAGTATTTGTATTAAAATTATCAATAAAAATGAAAGTAAAAAGCATAATGTTAGCTCAAGAGAGGCTTTCTTTTACTTATTGGCTCAACTGGTGTATCATTCACTGAGGAATTAACGATATAAAGGCTTTGATTAATTTGAATAGTTAAATGTTGCAGAGGTGAAGCTATTAAAAGCTTCTTATGTAGTCTTATGTAATGTTGGTTTTTAACATTTAGATGTTATTATTTCTTTTATAATTCTCGGGAAACCAAATAACTTTCAGAATTTGAACAGACACTCTTTGTGACTTTGCCTGTTTATTTATTCTGGTCAGGGTGACCAGCGAGGTCATGACATCTTGGCGGAGCTGTTGTGTGATCGATTATATTGGATTTGTGGAACTGAAGTGACCATTATCATCATTCGTTGACACAGCATGTTTACTCTGTTCAGGTTAGCTTGGCTCTGATGTTTTTTGGGTTATCCTTTCCAGCTATCAAAGTATAAGCTGCTATTAAGTTGATTTGAAGGACACATCCCTGTAAAACCCATAGTGACAAATTTACAATGGAAAGTTTGCAGGTAGAATCAGTTTTAGGCCAGGTGACTGAAACCTATAAACACTTCTTCCATCCATTAGTATTGTGAGGACAAAAAATAAGGACCTATTAATTATATGAACGTGTTCTTGAGAAAAAAAGACATATGCAAGCCTTTTTTTAGAGTTGTGTAAATGTGATTCTTATATATATGCATAATTGTTCTGATTGTGCACTGTTATAGACTAATTTATTCTTTGTGAATGAGCTAATAACCCTTCCAAGATTATTGAGAAGCCACGGTTCTCTTTCTATAAACTATAGATATGCTAATCCATGGAACTGGATGCATTGAGTTTTTTTTTGTAGATACAAAACCTAATTAGGTGAGATAGAAGAAATGTATCTTATCATCATCATCTGATACATGTGACCCTTTTAGAGAATAAGTGGTTCCGAAAATGGATGGATAGATAACCTTCTACTAAAATAAGAAGACATATTCAGTAAAATTCAGACTGTCTCATAATAAGGCTTTTACCATTTAATAATGGTGATTATTTACTGATTTTCAGTAATACTGTATGGGATTCGATGTAAAATAAGAAACCTCCGTTTGTACATTGTACAGGAAGCAATGGCTTTAATAAAGACGTAGTCATGCTAATTTGGCCGAAAAGGAATGTTGAGTTTGCCAGTTTAGCATGTAATTTCTATAATGTTATTTTGTAAAGGATTACCGTTTTACATTAAATGTACAGGTTATTCTATAATGTGTTTTACACTCAGCTGTAGTTTTTACAATATTATTCTGGCAACCACAGCTGCCAGCTTTTTTCCGTAAAAAACAGGTGTTTCTTTCTTACAGGAGTTTAACCTGGTTGTGTCCAGGGGTTTAAAAGGTTTGTGGACATTTTGTAGCCCTGCATCATGATCATATACAGACGGGGGTAAGATGAGTGTAAATTTTCTTCCCATGAGACCTGATTGCCCTTTGCAGTCTGTTCTTGTCACGTTTGGGGCCAGATCCATCACCACTAGTGATACTCTAATAATTGTGAAAGTTAATTCAATTGAAATTCAAACTGCGACCAGTGTTGTTGCTTTCGTTGCTTGTTTGTTCTTTTGTCTCCCCTGTGCCCTTTTGCAGGAACTCCTACAGGTGTTCCGCTCAGATTGCCCACAAGGAACAGTGTCCTTTTTGCAGACATAACAGCTGGTCATATGGTCTTGTTGTCTTTCTTTCTCCTTCCTTTTTTTATTTTTATTTTTAAATTTTTTTCTCTCTCCCCCCTCTCTCCCTTTCTAAAGGATCTCTCTCCTTTCCACTACCCTTCCCTCCCCCCTGTCCCTCTGTCAGGTTCGGCATTATTGGACATATGGAAGTTGGGTAACAAAAATGAATAAATAAAGAAGTTTTGGGTAATCAAGGGGGGCTTCTAACTAACAAAGCCTCCCTTGGCAAAGCAATTTTGCTCAGCATAGCACGGTACGCAGATTTCAGTTCTACTACCATAATGCTGAACAGGACAAGGTAAAAAAAAGAAATTCAATTCAATTAAAAATACTTTATTTATCACACAGGTTAATTAAATGTTGATGTAACTCATTTACTTATTTCAGGATATATTACAGATTGCGATGGCTGTGGGCAGGAAAGATCTTCTGTAGCGGTTCATTTTGCAACCAACAGTCCTCTGACTGAAGAGACCCTGTTTTCTAATTACAGTCTCATGAAGAGAATGGTCAGGGTTTTCCATAATGTTATTGATTTTATGCATAATCCCTCTTTGCATAGTCATCTCCAGAGGTCGCACAGTCGTCCCCAGAACAGAACCAGCCTTCTGACACCTTCTGGACCTGCAGCCTCACTCTGGTTGAGACTCTCCAGCTGAAGACTCTCCTCTTCACATGACTTCTAGAAACAGAGAAGTGGGAGGGGGAGGCAAAGGGAGCAACATCATCTCCTGATTTTGGTTAAATACACACTATTGGAGGCAGAAAAGTCTATGACTGAGGTAGAGGGTACAATATCAAACATCTGAGGTGTGACATTAAAGCTGTGGATCAAAGGAGGCTTTAAGCTTGTAAGCTTCTTCATCCCTGACCACATTTCTGTTATTGTTGCTCTGCAGTTGCTCTGCAGTCTCTCCAACATCTTCCTTATATTGCTAGTTGCTGTCTCTGATGTTGCCTTTGAGCTGGTTAACCAAAATTATATAAATAATGTATACTAAATAAAATAAATAATGAAGAATATATTAATGAAAGTGAAGTCCTCCTCATTTGCAATCACTCAAATAAAAATTTAGGAAGATATCTTTCAGGTCTATCCCATTTAAGGCAAATGCTGTCGACTTTTAGAGTACAAGGTTATGGATTTTAATCAATTATGGGGTAAAACTGTGTCTGACTGTGGCAATGTAGACAATGTATGCATCACACAACACACAAATTGTTCTTGAAAACAACAACTTCTTCAGAGTCAGTTGAAAAGTCAAACATTTTTATGATACATTTATAACATAATACAAACAGGGAAAAGTGTACTTTATATATTTCCTGTTTAATTATCTACTTATATTGTTAAATCCAGACTTATAATGTCACTTAAATTGATACATCATTTGATTATATTACCTGTATATATATTTTTTTCTAAAAGTATGTACAGTATATATTTCTACATCTCTAGTGTACTTTTTAGATTTTTTTAATACTTTATACTCATACTTTATACTTTGTGTAAATGTATATATTTCTACATTTGTTGTGTATTTTTTAGATTCATTAAACAGTTGTTGCTACTTGTTTTGTTTAATCCCATTCATTTATTGTTAAAACCCAGTCACAGCTTTAAAGTGACAGCTTATGGTATGTAATATGCACATCGATGAGCATGTGAGCAAGTAAACTTTCTTTAGGTCTGTAAGTATCTGAGTTATTTTATTTGATCTTATCTGGTTTAGAGCAAGGGCACAGTATTAACTTTAGCTTGAAATACTTGAAGGTGCCAGAAAAAAACATGTTCAGTTAAGATACAATGACGCTATGTCAATCACCTACCCAACTCTAATTATGGAGATTGAATAGTACCCTTTTCTTTTGAGAGAACTGTATATTGTATTGTTGCTCTTCAGTTGTCCTGCAGTGTCTTCATATGCTTCAGATACAGGTAGTTGCTGTCTCTGATGTTGCCTTTGAGCTGGATTTGTATACTCCTCAATACCAAATTTAATAAATATATAAATTATGTTTAATAAATAAAAAAATAATGAAGAATAAATTGATGAAAGTGAGGTCCTCTTCATTTGCAATCACTCAAATTAAGATTTAGGTTTGTAAGAGGAAGATATCTTTCAGATCTATCCTATTTAAGATGAATGCTGTTTATTTTTAGAGAACATGGTTATGGATCTAGGGTAATTATGTATATTATTTTTATTTTCTTATTTCTTTCTTTCTTTAATTGTTTTCATTTTTTGTAGGTACTTCAACCCGAGACATAAACCATCATTTCTGAATGATATCACAGACTGAATAACTTTGGACTTTTTGTTGATATATAATCACCACAAAGCGTGCTGCAAATGCATTCCAGTTTATTTACATTAACAAATCTGTATGCAACAAAAAAACAAAACTTAATGTAACGAATGGCGGTGACATTAAGCACACTGAGCGGTGCAGCGACAGGCCAGGTGAGCTTCTGCTGTCTCCATCAGGTCAATGCTCTTCTCTGAGATTCCGCTCAGACCATCAGAGCGGTTCAGGTTCGAATCTGAAACAGTGAGAGGAAAACAGAAGTGAGGTTCTATATAATGTATCCACATACATGTAGACGTTTGTTTTTACTGTGCTTTCTTGCAGACATACCAATGGGCAAGCAGTGGTAGCCCACAGAGACGGTGGTGGTTCTCAAAGGCATGCATCCTGGCAGGCAGCGGAGGACAGGCTCCACAGAGTAACATTTGGACTCCTCACCCAGAAGCATGGCCTTCTTTTCCAGCTTTACAGATTCAAGCTTCATGTGACACTCTGGAAAAAAATGTATGGGGCAAAGTTAAGAAATCTGCATGACTTTTTCATATTCTTACCTTTAATGGCTATTCCATGTTGTTGTAATCACGAAAAAATTACTTCTAATTACTTCTGCATTTTACCGTCCTAACTATCGAAAGGGACTACAGTTTTAGTACTACCGGATGCATCGCGGCAGCTCTGTCCCGACAGAACCCAGGAGTGAGCGAAGCTCGTGGCATTCTTGGCCACCCGTTCGTTGGGCGTACGATACTCCTGTTTCACTTCACCATCAGCCTTCCCACAGAGTCCACATGTCTGGCCCCTCATCCAGTCCACAACTTTAACCTGGAAAAAAAGCCCAGATAAGTGTGTTACCAGTGTGTGGGTTACTTATTGTGACAGGTCCACCATATTCAGTTTAGTTGTGTTACCTTCATGGCAGTGGTGTTTAAGAAAACCTCTTGAAGGCCATAGCTTGGAGCATACAGAGCAATGCCCTCCCCTCTCTGCTGGATCAGTATATTTGCTATAATGAAAGAAAAAGTATGTGGATTTTGGCTTTCATTATTAGAAATAACAAACGGCTGACTGTTATCCTAGATTTTATGAAATGGAAATACCTGCTGGATGCTTATATGGCAAATTGCTGTCTACTCCATCAACCTTCACCATGAGCACGCTGTCCTTAGGGTACATGTCAACATCACTAGAAAAAAGTTGAACAAAGTCTTAAAGTGATTTGTTGGACTTGCAGGACTATTCCCGTTATGATTTTGATTCGATCGCATGCCTTTGCTTGCGCTTACATGTTTTCAATCTTGACATTGATCAAATTCTGTTGCTGCGTTTCGTCTTTCTTTAGGAGAACCATAAATTTGAGTTCTGATGTGCAATCCTGAGCCAAAACCTGGAAGCACGAGTGGGGGATCTCTGTTTTATATTTCCTCCTGTTGAACGTCATCAGCGTTTCATTGCCCATTGTGCACTCAGCTGGAATGAGAACAACAGGCCCATTATAGATTTTTTTTCTAAAAGAATATGACATTCTCTGTTTCAAATTTTCTTTCTTTTAACCTGCGTGGGTCTTGGTGAGCACAAATGACATTTTGTCAATCCAGCTGTCAGAGTATCCTCTAAGCTCAGCAGCCGTGTCTCCAACTGGCAGATAAACAGGAACACCCATTCCACGTTTGTAAATGGTGCTCTGTAACATCCAGTCACGAAACAGAAACTTGTTACAAAATGTTAGTTAAACAAGCATCATCTATGTGGAAATTAAAACGCGTCACAACATCCCACCTTTGGTGTCCTTAGCACAACATCCAGGCTTGTCTCAGAAGCGACAGCCACAGTCAGTTTAATCTGTTTCGGGGCATTTTTGACCATTGTCTGGTTTGCGCCGTAATTGACAGCGACGCCAGAAAGGAAATTGGAAACCCTGGACACACAAGCAGGCTCAGGTTTTTAAAAAATCGCTGGAAGTTTACATCACATATACAATTACGAGTTATTGTGAAAAAGACATTTGCAAAAACAAAACTAGTTTCATTCGGCCATTTTAAGCTGTATGCTTATGTGCAACTTTACCTCCTTGAATATTTCATCATGCTCTCTGGGAGTCGACCCCAAGCCATCTTAACACTGACAGCAGGCTCTTTACCCACAAGGCCAGTTTCTGCAATAACTGTTGTGTTGTATTTCTTGCATTCGATGCCCCAAGCAACCCTGGCCTGAGTGAGCATTTCACTTGGTTACATTCAGAACAGTGCATACAGTTTCTCAAAATCTTAATACTTCTCATCAGGTATTTACCATCATCTTGTGTTTACTCAGCATCACACCATCTGCACAGATTCTCCAGTTGTCGTTCTCAGTGAGGTTGGCAAAAATGACTTGCACCCTGGCATTTTCTCTGTCATAGTAAGCTGTAATTTGGTATCCCTGGTTCTTGTGGTCAGTTCTCACAGCACGGATGAGAACGGTAACAGCAGGAGAGATGCTGGTCGAAAGGTACTTGGCCTGACAAGGCAGAAAAAAAAAAGGAAGAAAGAAACAAGTTGTGGTTACACAGGTTGCTTTGCTTTGTCTTGCTGGAGTGTCTCTGAAGTCAAACATTTACGATATCAGCATCTAGTTTTAAAACTCACCTTATTGTAGATGTTTTCAAAACTCTGGGCACTGCTTTTGCTCTTTGACCGCTCTGCAGAGATGGAATGCTGCACAAAGCAGAAACCGCACATTAAGCCTACCACAAAAAGACTGCATGCAGTGACTGCTTTACTCAACCTGAAGCTTACCTGGTGAATGTGGTTCTTGGTGAAGTTCATTTCATAAAGTTCTTGCTGAAAAAAGGAAAAGCAAGATTATTAGGTTCTGCACTTTTCTTTAACATGTGACTGTCTTTATGATGATAATGATGAAAGCAGCTCACCTTTGACATGGAGCTTGACCTGGAGGAGCTAGAGCTGGAAGATGAACCACTGGATGACCTGCTCGACCTGCTGGAGGAACTGCTGGAAGACCTCTTTGATGTCTTAGTGAACCGGTCAAGACCATCAACCATCTTGCTCTTGCGGCGTGAGGAGGAGCTAGAGGAAGACCTGGACGATGCAGATGAGGAGGAGCTTGAACTGGAGCTATCAGATCGAGAGCGTGTTGACCGAGAGCTGCTGGAGCTGGATGAAACCCGAGTGCCGTTCTTCAGCCCAGGAACCAGAATCTTCTTGAGTTTCATCAGAACATTCTTATCTTCCAGAGTTTCCTCCTCCGCACTCATGGTGATCACTTTAATGACCTTCTCTGCTGCCTTCTCTCCAATCTGAACTTCAATTTCAATCCTCTCCACAGCCGGTCCAGGAGCTGAAAAACAAATAAAGAGGAATAACAATCTGAAGCAACTTTCGATGACCATGTTTGAAAAATCTCAATCAGAATGGTACTTGCCTGGGGAAACCTTAACAGAAACGACATGATGACCGACTATGGCGTAGATAGGGCTGACTCTGATGAAGGAGGCATTGCGTGACAGAGCCTCAGTGCAGAGTTTAATTCCAAATGTTTGGCTTGCAGCACAAAATTGGTTCAGTACAGCTTTAGGGAGTTTCAGTTTGCTGATAACTTGTCTTGACAGATCAGCAGGAAGGGTTTCAGATGATGCAGACTGTAAGATCACAACAGAGGGTCACAACCTGCACTTAAAATGGGATGATCATTAGCAGATGATGGATCAAACCAACTCACAGCGCTTTCGTCCATGGCGGACGACATCCTGGAAGTCTGCCAGGTGGAGTTCCACAGTGTCATGGGCTCGGACGGGATCGCTGGCGTAATTCTGGCGGCCGCGATGTCCTCCACGTTTCTTGCAACAGCAAATGTGTCCACACTTTTTTGGGGAAGGGGGAAAGAAAACGCAATAACCAAACGAGCTCAGAAAGATTTAAGCATGCATGACACAGTGGAGTGGATTTACACGTACAGTGCAGAGGCAATGGTATTCACGCCCTGAACCGGCAGCAGCTTGAGGTTGAAGTTGCCTTTAATCATGTCAACTCTTACTTCCATCTTGCCTGGAGCAACTGTGTGGACTTTAGCTCTTGTCATCACAGCAGCTTGGATGAAAGCAGTATTCACACCCATAACCACATAAGTATCCAAGGAAACACTGCAAATGACCAGACAATAAAAATGTAAAAGATGATTCTGAAGAGTCGTTTTCTCTTCCATATTTTAAGTTATAAGGACAAGCTTTTCACTGCAACGCAGCTGGGTCACCTTGGAGATACTGAAGCCTTGACAGATATATCAGACTTTAGTAGCTGAACAGGATTGAAGTTCTCAGGCAGAGGAGGTGACACTTCGGCCTGCACTATAAAAAAGAAAGACAATTCTACCATCAGTACAAATAATGCTCTATAATCCACAACCGGTCAAGTGCTTTTAATTCACCTCCAACAGATACAGCAGCCACAGCAGCAGTATAGTAACTGAGCTCCATGGGAAGACCCAGAGAGGTGGGGAAGATCCGCCGAATCTCAGCAGCCAACATCGGTTTGGAGTAATGCATGTTGCAACCAGCCAAAAGAGCATCCAAAGCCTTTCTGCCATATGCGCGAACTTCAGCTTTGTTTGCAAACTGCAACATAAGATTTGGCAACGAAGAAAGGGTTTCAGCTTTAAAAACCCTAATCGGTAACAGTCAAGGGAAATTGTGGGAGATGTGCTACCTGAATAATGTGTTCAACAATGGTTTTGTCGATGTTTGCAAATGCAATTTCCTGTCCGAATATCTTCACATATGCAGAGGCCAGGGGCTGGCTTGAGGGAGAAGTCCTCCACTCAGAAAGCTGCAACAGGAGGAGGATTGCAAATTAAAAGCAGAGCAATATGTTTCCCCTAGTTTTTCCACCTTGATAGGGGGACTGCCCATTAGACTTACAGCCTTAATGACTTGTTTCATCTTGGTGATCCTGTCTGCGTTTTCTGAGACATCAGAGACTTTAAGCAGCGCTTCCTGCACTCCCTCCGTTCTCACTCCAACCTAGATGGGAAAACGTAAGATTCTTACTTGGGAATATATAATATTCGTTTGCATTGCCAAAAATCAGCAGCATAAAGAAAAATGTGTTGACTTATTTGATATTACACAGACCTCAAGATGTTTGAGGAATTGGCAAAGAAGTAGGAATTTAGACACAAATTCAAGTGGCAGATTTGTTTCCTTTCACTTTTCCTTGTCTCTCTCATACCTCAAAAATGTCAATATAAATTCCAGCCACGTAGGTGCGAGTTTTGGCCATGATGGACCTCGGCATCACAGTTGCTGCATCATTGATGTAGTAGGCACTGGCAGCTGCACCCAGCATCCAGGGATCTGAAGCAGACACATGAAGTGTCAACCCAAGCGTATGAATCTGAACTGTGTAACAGGAAATAATTCTTTTTTGTCTTCTTACTGTAGAAGGTATCATAATAGAAAGCTCTGCTGAAGCGATAGCTCAGTCTGTCAAGTTTTGGGCTGAGGATCCTCACAGCAACATTACAGGCAGCAGCCCTGGAAGGAGATTAAATCAGAGAATGTAAATGCTTCAGATTCCGGCTGAAAATGTGTTTCACTGAAGAAAAGGAAATCAAGTTGAAGGTTTATGACCATCAATATACTTACACAGACGAATAGTCAGGGGTGGTGGTCCGGGCAAGGGCCTTCATGTAAGAGTAAACAAAACTGGCGACCTGCAGGTTTGATTCCTTCAAGAGGTTCTGAGCAATAGTAGTCACCAGACCCATGGGCAGCTTAGTCTCAAAGAGCACCATAGTAGCAACCATGCGGAGCTCTGGATGGAGGTTTTTGTCCATGAACAGCTGGACAGCCATGTCTTGGATCTAATTATTAACACAAAGTACAACAGCACACGTAAAAAAAGAGTGAAAGCTACTGAGTATCCTGTCTTTAAAAGAAGAAATCAGAAAATGTGATCTCACCAGTTTGGGCTCTTTCCTCGCAATTTTCCTGAGGGCCAGAGCAGCATCAATGTGAATTCTGTGGGGTAGGCTGGGAGCTGTGCTACCGAAGCCAGGGAGGAGTTTCATGATTGTCTTAAGGCTGCCAGGGTGTCCAGCATTGCCCAGAACTTTCAGAGCCAAAGTGAGCTGATCCATGTCACGTTTTTCAAGGGCCTGGATGACGACTTCATGTATCGGCTGTGGACAAGATAAAACAACATCCTTTGCTTTCCTGGTCTCATAAACTGACATAGGCCTACTTCAATTGATCAGATATACAAAAAAATATATAAATAGATTACACACCCTCAAAAGTTCAGATGGACAAGATGGATTCTCTGAACAGTATTTATAAACTATGTTTCCAAAGGTGAGCATGGCAATCTCACGCAAAACTGGGTCCTCTTTAACCTTGGGGGTCATAGCCAGGCCCTGAAGAATGGAAAAAAAATAAGAGCTGTTTTTACATAGTCACTTTAGCTTCAATGCAAAACATTTACTTATCCCCTTGCCTCTGAGAGCTTGATGGCCTCCAGGTCAGCTGTCACCAGGAAGGCAGATGAAATCAGGGCCTGAGCGCTTTCAGCAACGGTCAGTTCTCCAGCAATTAACTTCTCCTTGATGAACTTGAGAGCGACGTTTGTCCCAATGGCTGGGATGGAACTCAGCATCCAGTGCCTGGTGAAGACAAACACTAAGGGGATTGCGCATAGCGTGGATGCATGATTCCTCGCTGACTGAAAGCAGGGTTACCTGTAGTCGTTTCTAGCTTTGAACTGACTCCAGAGGGCTTCAATGCTCTCATATCTGGCCACACGCAGGAGCTGGATGAGCTCAATAAACTTCAGAGGAGAATTTTCATGGGCCTTGCCAACATTGAGGGTAACTAGGCGGTTCATTGTTTCCACAATCTGTCATGAAGTGAGACCCATTCAAATGCCCCGTTAGAATGTTTTAGTTGCAACGTCAATTTGATAAAAACTTGACTGCAAACAATGTTTCCAGAAGAACCTGAGCCTCTGCGTTAGTGATCCTCAGAAGCTGAACTGGTGTCTGGAGCAGCTCGGTGCCAAACTCGTATTGCACAGACCCACGGTGAATGTAATCGGCTTTCATGGGCTCCACTGGCACTTTCTTGATGTCCAAAAAGGTCAAAATTTGTCTGTGAGAGGAAGGAAACATCAAGTTAACCAGGGTTGCTTGGTGAGAAGTGCAAAGAAAACCATGCCGCGTTCTTCTAAAGCCCATACTTTGCCTCCATCTGTGCAGCACCGTTCAGGATGTTTACAGGTGAATACTGGATGAGCTCTGTTGCAGTTGCCTCCATGATCAAGGCACCAGAGGCTGAGGGCTTCATGACATAAGTAACCGCAGCTGCTCCCTTCATCGTCTTTCCTCTCTGAATCAATAAACCCACGTGATTATTAAAAACGGTTTAACCTTTTTGTCCTGTTTTAAATATGAATTAGGAGGAAAACTATACATACATTTTCACACTCAGAGCATCTCTCTGTGTAACCGGCCAAGCCGACATCCTTGAAGATTCTCTCTTGGCAGTGATTCAGGTCCTTGGTCTTTGTCAGATGGATGCGTTCAGCCTTTGAATCCTCACTCACGACATAATGGGTTTTGCACACACCCTGGACTCCAGGCTGGTTTTAAAATATAAAAAAAAAACAATTTGTCAGGACGCATTGAGGCCTTTTGTGGAAAGACTTAGAGGAAAATCTGTCTTGTGTACCTCTTGCAACTCATACACATTCTGTGTCTTCTTGATGTTCAGCTGAAGGATGTTGAGGATTCCCTTGTGGATATTCAGCACAGTTTCAGAAACACCTATTGGTGCGAACACTTTACCAACCACACCGCTGGCATATTCGAACTTGATGGGTGTCACGAGCTGAGCAGTCAGGGCTGAGGTGAGCTTGGTGGCTGGGGTGAAAACATCTCTTGGCCAGATGCCACTGTACTCATAGATGACAGGGTCTACAAGCTGGCAGAGTAAAGGGGAAGGTTGATCAATGAAACACGGTTCCCTTCATGCTTTAAACATTTTTTGCATCACTCATGAAAGATTCTCTCTACCTTTAGAACAACGGTGTCGGGACTAGCTGCACTGATCAAAACCTTGCTCTGGATCTTCATCCCTGCTCGTGCTAAGCCCTCTTCGGGCAGGCCGCCCAGAAGATGAGCTTCATACTTGTACTCATAGGTCTTTCCAGGAGCAAACCAGGGGACTGTGAAGTCAAAAAAGTTTATTTTATTTACTTCGTTTAACTTTTTCTCAAACATTATGTTATTCAATAAAATAATGATAAAAAACTTACCATAGTTGACTTGATTGCCCGCTAGAAAAGAACAATCAAATATAATCAGTACTTAACAAATGGCACATGTTCAGGTTAATGTATCTAGAAACCTGAAGTGAATAAAAAAAAAACGGAGACTTTGAATAGAATATACTATTTTACCAAAAACTGTCTTATTATTTTCTTAGTCCCTGTACTAACAGTATTACATTGTTTTTAATCCCAGGAGTTCTCTTAAACTTTGATATATGAAAGAATAGTTTTCTCTATAATTGAACCCATAAAAAAATATTTCCATGACTTCGTATTCATCCAGGAACTAATCATTTCACTCAACAAAAAGAAAGATTTTCAAGTTTTTATCTAAACTTACTCACCCACAAGGGCCACGACGAAAGCTAGCACGAGCTCCCTCATGTCTGCAAAATGTGAGGACATGTGCCACTTCACGCAGCTTTTTAAAGAGAGTTTTGGCTGACAGCATTCATTAAAATGTATGATTAACTAAATATTGTCTCTTACCAATGTTACTGTGCCCTGATCATGTTGATTAGACTGAGCAAATGACATGACCACACAAAAAGTCACAGATGAGAAAAAAAGTTGCTGTAACCTGACTTTTTTGATGATGAGGCTTCCTGAAATGGCCAATGATTTAAAAGAATGCAATCAAATGTATTCTATTCTCCAAAATTACAAATACTTCATGCTTTAAAAATAAACTATTATATTATATTATATTATATTATATTATATTATATTATATTATATTATATTATATTATATTATATTATATTGTATTATATTGTATTGTATTATATTATATTATATTATATTATATTATATTATATTATATTATATTATATTATATTATATTATATTATATTATATTATATTATATTATGTGGGAAACAGTAATGAAAAACTCAACATAGGGAAAGCTGAGGTCTGGAAAGCCAGGAATGTATTCACAGGATTTAGTTTTAGAATTGCAAGAAAGCCCAATAAAAGCTCTGTTTGACTATTGACTAGCAAAATTTGGAGTGCTGGTGCATAGTAATACTATGAAACCACGTTGCTGTCACTGGGAAGTCATCAGAAGAAAACTTTTTAAAACAACTTTTTTTAAAAGAGCTGATGGACTTTATCAACTACTAAATGATCTTAAACACACCTAAAAACTGACAATTGACAAGCACCAGTCTTTTTTTTTATTTTTTAAAACCTCTTTTTTCAGGTCAGGACATGGTGACCTTTATCTGGGAATCCATGGACAGACCTGGTGGGTGCAATGCAATGAAAAATGTTTCTCATGAATTTCTGAAAATGTCCCACATTGGGACTGGGGAAACGCCCAAATGTGCATATCAGTGTATGAATGTGAGAGATTGTAAAGCAACAAGTAAATCATATCTTTTGTGCCTGTGTAAATGACTGGTAAACAGCTGGAGGCCATGCTTTTGCAGAGGCATAACATCACCCTTCACTGATAATTGTCAATGTTTACCCACAGTTTGTTTAACCACCTCTGAAAACCCAATGGTTCGCCTTTAAAAATGAATTAAAAGGTGAAGTCTATTATCAAATGCTTTACGGCAAAGAAATGTGATTGTTGATTCCTTTTCCCGGAGATCTGTATTTTGATATCACGAGGTTTGTCCCATCTCGCACGCCGTACAAACGAGCATCACGAGCCCTGGAGTGTGACAGTCGGTCGGAGATCGTCAGAAACGGCCAGAGTCTCCACCAAAATGTTGTGGTTTCTGGTGTTTTCGGTGTGGCTGCTCGCTGTGTGTGAATCCACCGCCTGTCCGTGTGAGAGGCCGGAGCTCTGCGAGCCGATCCGCCCGCAGAGGAGCTTCGAGGTAACGCCGCCAACTGATCCTTCAGACGCTGGAGGTCCAAAACAAACTACAACAAACTACAACAAACTACAACAAACTCCTCTCAGTCCCGTCAGCTGTTTCATTCTAACTGCTAAATGTCTTTAAGGCGCGGGAAGTGAACATAAAATAATAGTCTGTGTGAGAAAAACACTGATTTGATTTGAATCTGAAAGCAAAAACTCTGTAGTTTTAAAAATAATTCTTCACATTTCTGTTAATTTGAAGGATTAAACTGATATTGATACTTTATTGCTCCTTGTATTAAAGGAGGATCTTACATGACAGTGTGATAAATGTTGTGAATAAGAGATTAAACATCCATTTTTTTTTAAAAACTGGGGATTGCACAATGGCCCAGTCAAACAGGGCCAAAAAGGAAGAGTTAACACAACACCTCCATTTTGCCAAGCTGACCTTTAACCCCTGGGATAAAGGACTAATATTTATTTAGCTCCAAATGCCTGAAAGGCTTCAACCTCTCCTGTTGCTTTTATTGTTTAAATGTAGGTAACTAGATTGTTTAACTGTAGGTAATTATGTGTGTGTCTCTTTTTTATGTACAGTTTGCTGTTTTCTGTCTATTTATTATTTTAGTTTCAGTCACACATATTTGCCCAAGCAGACCTCAGCTGAGCTGCTTTCACTGCCTCTGAAATGAGAACTGAGACATAACAGTTCAGGACCTTTGAAGAGTAGTAATAGTGGACCTTGAGCCACCAGATGTGGGATTTTAACACAAAATATTAAAAACTGTGTTGGCCAACCCCCAAAAAGTATCTCAAGCTCTGCTAACCTGAACAGAAAACAGAATAATTTCTCCTCTGGAAAATTAGCAGAGAGGAGCTTAAATTTGAGAGCCGGTTTTGGTTTCAGTTCTGCTCTTTTTTTTAGCGGTGTTTAGGTCCGTGGGAAGATTTGATTTGAAGAAACTAACTGTGTTTGGGGCTGTGTGTTTTCAGGTGTTTGTGTTCGATGTTGGTGGAAAGACGTGGAAATCCTACAACTGGAGCATGGTGACAACGGTGGCAGCGTTTGGAAAATACGACGCCGAGCTCATGTGTCACGCTCACTCCAAAGGGGCACGGGTAGTCCTCAAAGGTACCATTCCCATCTTTTTCTCAGAACCTCTGAGTCTGACCAAAGGCTGGAGCTAAAAATCCTTCTGTAAATCCTTCTCAAAAATAGGTGATGTTCCTCTCTCCTACATTGTGGACCAAAGCAACAGGACGGCGTGGATAAGAGAGAAGGTCGACCTGGCTAAGAGTCAGTTCATGGATGGGATTAACATCGATATCGAACAGGCGGTAGAAAAGGGCTCCCCAGAGTACCACGCCTTGTCAGATCTGGTCAAGGAGACCACTGAGGCCTTCCACAGGGACATCCCGGGCTCCCAGGTGAGGGAGGAACTTCAGGAGGGAGCGGTCGGGACGGTAGGTACTTATATTCACCCCCTTCCCGTTTTCTAGGTCTCTTTTGACGTCGCCTGGTCACCAAAATGCGTGGACAAGCGCTGCTATGATTACGTCACCATCGCCGAGTCCTGTGACCTGCTGTTTGTGATGTCCTACGACGAGCAGAGTCAGATCGCCGGGGACTGCATCGCGATGGCAAACGCGCCTCTCTCCCAGACGCTCAGAGGTGGGAACTCCAACGAATGGCTGCAAGTCTTCTCTAGACACCCACTGAGACGCCGTTAATCTGTGCTTTCAGCCTATGACGACTATTTAGACCTGAAGATCGATCCCAAGAAGCTGGTGATGGGAGTGCCGTGGTACGGCTATGACTACCCATGTGTCAACCTCTCTCAGGTGTGTTCATCTTAGATAAGAAAAAATAATTGCCTCCATTACATTACAGTATCCCAAAAACTCAGATTGTGTCTTAATGACTTGACCTTCTTCCCTTTGCTGCCACCGTGAGGTTAGCGTTGCAACCTGCCATAGCTGTTGGCTCGCAATCTGGTTTTTTCTTCTCTACAAATAAAAAACAGACATATTTATCCAAAGCTAAAGAAACATGAATCAAATTTTTTAAAACTTAAAACCGCCAATGGGAGGCCGAACCAATTATTTGCTCTAAATTAAGCAAATTATGGAAACATGCTGGCAGTGAAATCCATGATAAAACTCCAAGTCATTTTCATATCCAGTCTTTTCCATTTGGTCTGATTTTCTTTGTTGTTAGAAAGTATTTAGTTTTATTTTTGTACGAGCCAAAGAATGCTCCCGCCATCAGTTGCGGGCACTGATTTTAACCTGGCTGCGCCTTTCCTCTCGCCAGGAGGGCATTTGCTATATCGATAAAGTTCCTTTCCGTGGAGCTCCTTGCAGTGATGCAGCTGGGCGTCAAAAGCCGTACAAGTGGATCATGAAACAGATGAACAGCTCATCTTCTGGCAGGATGTGGGACGATGAGCAGAAGGCTCCTTACTTCTATTACAAGGTAAATAATCTTTTGCTGTGATCTTACTTTTATAGAGTCCCAGTGAATTACAGCTAAAAGAAAAAAAATCCAACCAAAGTTTTCGAGTAGCAGAATCCACCCAACATCCTATGAGAACTAAACAGCAAACAACCATAAAAAACATTCCTTAACCCTGTAATGCCAAATGTATCATATTTGATACATACGGTTTCTGAAATGTTTTGCGTCTGACACCTTTTGCATAATTTAATGGTAAAAGCTTTGCTCAAAATCCTAATTTATACAATTAGATATACCTGATAACAGGGGGCAGAAGACTACACAAAAAATAACCTTGACTTATCGTATAGTAATAAACTATTAATATTAAAAATGTATTTCAGTTTTTTCTTTTTACATATTTTGTTAAAAAGGCCAAATAAAGACTTCAAACCAAAAAAAAGTCATTTTCTGTTTTGTTTTATTCTTGGATCAGGCTTTAAAGGGTTAAAATCCTGTGACGAACAGAGAAGGCTTTTATTTGAGTTTTGTCTGCAACTTTTTTTCCCCCTTCAGGACCAGAAAGGAGAGGTTCATCAAGTCTGGTACGACGATCCGCAGAGCATTTGTCCCAAAGCGAACTCTGTGCGGGCCAAAGGACTGCGGGGCGTCGGCATGTGGAACGGCAACATCTTGGACTACGGAGACGAACCGGCTGCCAGGGAGCAGGCCGCTCTGATGTGGAATGCCCTGTTGGGATGCTAGCTGGGAGACGCTCACCCCCGCTGCGGGAATTTACGCCAGTCTGAGCCCTCTGTGTGTTGCCATGTCCAGATATGCCTTTGCGGTTGTAACGGGGGGGGGGGGGGGGGTGGCTCCCCTCTGACCTCAGGGATACGCATTGTCCCGGAAGCTTTTATTGAAGCTTTTACTGCTCTCGCCTTTGAATAGGATTTCTCGGACATTCCTCTTTGTTGACTGAAAGCCCACAAAGACAGCCAAAGGTTTACAAGGTGACGTGGCGTCACTGTTACTGAATATCGAGCTTTCTTAGATTTTGACTCCACTTTTCATTTGATTACTGATTGAACTCTATTTGTAATGATCTGATCACATCGCTCATTTTTTGGTAATTGTGTCATTAGAATGAGGGAGAAAAAACTAAAAAATAAAATCTTAAATAGGGAGCTTGACTTAATGATCCATTTTAAGATCACAGCAGTAGTTTTGCATTTTAGATGGAGCTGCTCTGAGTGCGTGGTCTGTCCCATGTAGAGTTTCCCATCAGTTTGGCCGGAGACGACTGACCCTTCTTTTGGGCCAGCTCGGCCTTCAGGGCTCTCAGCTCGGTGGCGGCCTGCTTCCTCAGCTGCACATGTTTGGAGGGGCAGAAGAGGGATGGATTATATCTTTTCATATTCTTATGCTTGTGTTAAGGTTTTGAAACGGAAAACCACCTACTTTCATCTCTGCTCTCAGCTTCATCCTGGCATCCTCCACTTTCCTTTTCAGGTCGTCAATGTCGTAGTTTTCCGTCATGATCTTGATTATGAGCTCATTCTGAAATAATTAAGTTTAATTACATAAATCTGTGATTATTTTTTAAAAAGGTGGATACAAATCTGTCTTTCCAAAGTGCATAATGGCCAAAGTTTGGGTACTCTCTGATACATGTTTCGGTATCTTTTGTTTTTTTGACTCTTTAGGATTTTGATTCCTTTTCTATTTATTGTCAATCACTGTTATAGATGAAGTTGTAAGTGAAATCTGAATCTCTGATTTACTGGTCGTAGAATTAGCTCCTTTCGAGAGAAAACATTTGCTTAAACTTTGCTGATCTATGGGAATTGCTTCTCCAAACCTTTGTTGGAGCATTAAACTGTGAAGGCACAGGACTTTCTAATTTATAAAGATATAATCAGCCCTAAAATGAATTGCGACCAGACTTTTGACTTGGTAGAGGTTCTCTGATAGTCAGAAAATAATTCCCAAACTCATCCAGACCCCTGTGTATCCTGATACTGATTGACAATTATGTGTTTTTGTGTTGGGGAACTTATGAGTGATAATCAACGGAGCTTCTTTTGGAAAATAAACTGCCATCATTTTAATTCTCTAAATAAAACCCTTCCTCAAATCACACTTACCCAATATGTGTCTTAATGTTAATCATGAGCCTTTTATACATGCATTAAAAACTGTTCTGATTAATAAGAGCTGGACCTTTATTGAAGAGCCCCCTTGCCGTCGTGGTTTCTCTCTGTTGTCTCTGGCCTGCAGCTGATGTAGGAGCTTATTGTAAAACGTCTCCAGTTCTTGTCTTAAGGTTTTCAGTTTGTCCTCCAACGGGGCCGTGGCCTTCTTTGTTTCAAAGTATTTCTTTTTCCAGCTGTCGCGGGCTTCATGTTTGCAGCAAGAAAACAGTGGGACATTATTCTCTTCAGCCACATGAGGGGACCATAAGGGAGATGGTGGGGGTTAGGCGCCCACCTTGGTTTCTGCGGTGTCTATTTTGGGCTAACAGGTCTTTCCCCTTTCTTAGCAGTTCTTGCCTCGTCCACTCCAGCTGCTTCCGTTCCTCCCTCACCATCTTGATATCCGCAGCCAGAGCTTCTCCTTACACACATGAAACACGTCACCTTTATTGAAAGGCAGGAGCCCTAAGGATGAGGCTGTAGCCATCGTGAGGGACTCACTATTTGTGTGGCAGCCTGCAGAAGCGTCGGCCTTTTTACCGATGACTGCGGCTGGATGGAGACCTGGAGGTGGAGAGGTGCAGATAACGGGCTGAGACGGAGCCGCCGGGCCTCCCGCCACCTGACAGCAAATGCCAGACATTTTTAGATGTAAAGGAAGACTAACACAGACACGCTCACAAACCTTGCTACAAGGATACTCATAAAAGTGTGCCGAGCGTTACCCCGGCTGTGGTTGTTTCTCTGATGGACGTCAGTGTCGGCGCGTCTTTGGATTTCCCAACCCTGCAAAACAGAAACGGGCATGAGGGAAAGCCGGGGCGCTCCTTTGACTTCACGCACAGGGGAACCCACAGCGGGATATGCGATGGCCGCCCCGTACCCATTTGTAAAGGAGAAACCCGAGTCTCTGTCTCCAGGAGACTCAGCTGCTCCCAAAACTCCATCTCTGTGTCGCTGGCTGATCCTTCTGCAGGTTTCCTCCCGGTCTGCCTTCAGCTGAGCTGAATCGGCTTCATTTTGTTCTAAAGCTGGACATGTGTAGCAACAAAACAGTTCAGCAATAAAAAATATGTGGCTCAGAGGAACTGACAAGCTTTGATACTTTTAAATAAAAGCTCTCCATAAAAGGTGATATAGTCATAAAAGAAGAAAATATATATTTGTTTACACAGAAGGAAAACTGATATACATTAAGATCCATCTTACATAAGAGTTTAGTTGTAAATTATTATATTATATTTATGTCTGATATAACCCACTGTCATCTACCGTCTGAAATCCTGTCTATTACTTGGTATAATCATGGCATGATTGAAAAAGCTCTCCAGTCCTGTGAGTTTTGCAGGGAAATTAACAATACTTGCGAATGTATTAATTCATTCACTGTCCATATCGCGTATTTGTTAAAAAATTTTTTAGCTGAGTCTGTCCAGTGTAAAGAAAAATATCATGGTTATGATGATATAACAAAATAACTGCTAATCTATCCATGGCTGCTGAATATTGGACAGAGTATGCCAGCAATACAATCTGTCTATGGGAAATTGAAATGTAGAAAGAGGATCAATATAAGAGAACGTTCACTCATCATCCCATTGAAAAAGGGGAAATTCTAAAAATGTCCCCCAAAAAAGAAGCTATGTTTGCAATGTAGGCTCTACTGGCTTCTGGGGCCAAAGTGCTCTATTTCCCCACAGAACATGATTACATCTTCTGAGACTATTGTCCAGTTTAATAGCACACATGACATCACTGCCACCCCAAAAAGGTTTTTGACCTTTCCTGAGTGAAACAAGCTGCAGTGGCCTTTCATTCTCAGCTTCCCCTCTGCACTTCTCTGCTTTCCTGATGGGACACGGAGCTTCCTCTGCATTCTCTCCCTCTGAGGAGCTGCAGCTGTGGTCATCATCTTCCTCCTCCTCCTCCTCTTCCTCCTCCTCCTGCTGTTCCAGTCTGGGGGTGGGAGGTGGCTGCCTGGAACTCAGGGCGATGTGGGGAAATTTAACAGGCTCTTTTGTCCCCGTTGGCAGGCTGCACATCTTGAGCGGATGGTAATAGATCTGCTGGTCTGGGGAGCTGTTGCTGGTGCTGTCTGGGGTGAAGGACTGAGAGCAGAAACTGCTCTCCTCCTCCACCGCTGGCAAAAGGTAAAGCTCTGGCTGCGCAGCCTGCCAACGGGGAACACAATTCATTACGGGAGCGGAAAAGGTTGAGCGTTAAAAAGTGTTTCAAAATGTGGGATGAGCTCACATAGGGCGGGGCAAAGGTTTTCACTTTCAGGTCTCCCTCCTGTTTGTTTTTCACCTGAAACAAAAAAAAAGATTTGACTTGGTTTGTGAGGCAAGTTGTAAAACCCGCAACCTTTACCGCGGCCCGGCTGAATGGTTTTACTTCACTGCCAGTAGCGCTCACCAGTGCCAGACTGCGGCCCACGCATTTCAGGAAGGAGTATTTGTTGACGCTCCTTTCGGCACCAAGGAGAGCGCTCAGCTCTCTCCTCAGAGTCTTCAGAGTGATTTCAGGATAAACTCTAAGATCACAGGATCACAAATAATGTTTTCTGCTGCCATGGTTTTAGTTCCATACCCAAAAACACAAAGGCAAACCAGTGTACTTTAAAGAAAAAAAGTTTACTTAAGTTTTAGTTTGATAGTCTTATGATTATAATTAATACAGTCTACTTATGTACACAAGGATGGTTTTGGTGCTTTCTGAGGACAACCCTTTCTACAAATTCAAGTCAAACATATACTCATTTATCTTAATATGGCATTTTGGTTTTATTTAAGTTGAACTTTTTATATAAGAAGAAACAAAAATGCCAGATTTCTTCATATAATAATTATTTTTTGGTATTTATTCCTTATTCAAAGGAAAACCCTTTCTACAAATTCAAGTCAAACATACACTCATTTATCTTAATATGGCATTTTGGTTTTATTTGAGTTGAACTTTTTATATAAGAAGAAACAAAAATGCCAGATTTGTTGATATAATTCTTTTTTTGTATTTATTGATATCTAAACACCTCTGTTCCATGGATATATTTAGGCGTTTCCAACTATTCAAACATTTCCAGAACTTTTACCTGATGAAGCCAGCAGATATGAAGCTTTCTGTGGCTTCAACTGAAACCTTATTGAGTTTCATATTCCACTGGTCAACTGGCACACACAACACATGGAGCTCCACAAACTACAACACAAAAAAAATGTTCACACCACATCAATCTGTTGCAGTTTACTCTAAAACTGAAAATATCTTTAAAGGAAGATGTTCTGCAGTGAATAAGAAACTCAAACTGTACCTTACAGCTGGCCGGTCTCCTGCTCTCTTCTTCATATCTGACAGACTCACAGGAAAGCTCCATCGTCAGTTCAGCATGAGCTAAAGTGGTATGACAGTAAGGAATATTTTCAAGGCGCTTTGTGTTCTCTTCTAATGTGAAGCCACGACTGCTAAGTCACACTCTGGTGCAGTCAAACACACTCTGTGGTTCCAGAGAGTCTTCTTTTATGAGACTGCCAGCAGTGGGTGCTCTGGTGCTGCTGATGATGCTTGCAGAGAAAAAAGCGGCTCTCATAATCTGCGGCCATCTGAAAACAGAAGAAGTTTTGCAGGCTGCAGCTGTAATGCAAGTGCCCTTAGTGTCCAAGCCACAATTACTAAGGAATCTTATAAACATAGACCCCCCCCCCCCCCTGATTTGTTAGGGTATGAACGCCACTGGCAAGGGTTGCAATTTGTAAGAAACTGATGCTGCTTTCAAGTTCGTGGGATTTGGCAGAATGTGATCAGTGAGCTAGTGAATACTCTCCTACAAAGTTTGCAGTGTAAACGAAACAAACAAAGATAATTTAGAAACAAATTTAATGTACTCTAAATGATCTATCTATCTATCTATCTATCTATCTATCTATCTATCTATCTATC